AAAAAAAAAAAAAAAAAAAAAAAAAAAAAAAAAAAAAAAAAAAAAAAAAAAAAAAAAAAAAAAAAAAAAAAAAAAAAAAAAAAAAAAAAAAAGATAATGAATCTGGTTACTGTTATATACTGATTATGATAACAATGAGTTCTTCGTCCTATCATCCCTGCACGCATCTCCGACAACAACAAAGGGATGCTCTAGCTAGTCCTCAAGCTAGTCAAAGTGAGTTCTGCCAAACATGGTCATGCCAGATGTGCAGAGAATTTAAGTCTTTCCCGGGGGCTGATTCTCCTTCTTAATTGGTTGATGAGACAATGGAATTCCGCTGGACTCCTGACCTCCTCTAGTAGACTCCAGGTACTCCTTCCACCAGAGATTAAACGCTGTCACAAATGGACTCTCCTCATCGATCGGATAGGATTTGGCTGAGTCGATGTATCCAAAGCCCGAAAGATCTACCAAGTAAAGGTTGTCCGCCTGAGCATCGTAATGAAGGTAGCTGGGGTGCTGCTCGCTCATACAGTAGTCGTTCTTGCGCATCAGCCTGCCAGATTGTCGGCATCCGTTAGTCAAGAACGAACAATGCCCTGCAGTACGTGTAGTGAAGACAAATTCACTTACTCCAATAGATTCGCTAGCTTGGTCCTGATGCTCTTGCGCTGGCGATCGGTGAGATCAAATTGGATCTCGTCAACGTTCTCCCCAGGTGGAAAGTCCATGACGATAAATTCGAGATAGCCTCCAGGAAAAGGCATCCATTCAGGCTGATTCTGGGTCTCATGATTATGATACCTTGGCCCATATCCGTGAGTAGACAGGAGTTGTGTGAGCTCAGCTTCATGGCAGAAGTCCTGTTCGGAAAACTCCAATATCTCCTTTGGATCGTCTAGATCACAGTCTTTCGGGTCAAGCTGATAGCGTATCTTGAGCAAGTATTTTTGGTCTAGTCTCCTGGCTATTGCTTGAACCTTGCGTTGACCCAGTTCTTCATCGTCCTCCTCGGTCAACTGCTTCACCACCTTGAAATCTTCCCCTGCGATGTCGAAAACTCGGTCTCTAAAGCTGAAGCTCCACATGATCAAACCGCTGTATAATGCTGTACTAGCTGGATGGAGATGTAGTCCGGCTATACGGTCAATGAAGATGAACGCGTGGGACAAAGGATATGGGATTGGAGGATGGGAGTTGGAGATAAGTTGGTAAACAGTCTTCGAATGTGAGTCACCACCCGCCTTCATTCACTATGACACTCCAACAAGGTCATTATCCGTACGTCATCATAGGTTGCTTCATACTTATATCTATTTTCATCATGCCACATGACATTATAAACATCCTTACATTACGTGACCGTAAGCTATACACCCAATAAGCCTAGCTGTTCTTGTCTGACTTCACTAATTTCGCGCTCTGCCAGCCTCCTTCATTGTACGCATACTATGTGTAATTTCCTACAGAGACTGCTTGACAGTCTATGATGTTAACCATGTTCATAATCTCCATCGCTGTCCGCATCTGTAATTGTTGGGGCTCAACCCTGCCATGGCCAATCCAATGATAGCAATCCCGCGATGGGGGATCGCACAAACGATATTTACAACCGAGAAATAATATACAACATAGTACCGGGTGTAGTACTCTATATTACTAACAGGTGATGATTTTGGGGAAGCCCATCAGAAGCTTGGAATACATTGTATCCAATGAGGTCCTACGAAACTTACATTGAAAACTTCCTAATCTGAAGATCGAACTCCAGACTCTGCTGTCAATCGAGGAAGACAAAAGCCAAACCAGTATGCACGAACGATCCTGATTTAGCAGATAAGGGAGTGACTGGATGTCCTCCAACAGCCAGATCGAACTGAATTCGAAGTCACCTACCACTCCTTTTTATGTACTGCTAATGAAATACACAAAGTCAAGAGTTTTGTATAATACAGATACAACAGTAGAAGTAGCCATTTATTCACCAATCTAGGCTTCGAAATATTGCAAGATCCTGAGTGATGTGTCTTTGTAAGTTGTGGCAATTGCATGAGAGATGTATTCACAAATACACAACGCTTCTGGCAGCCGCAGGATGAATATCTCATTTCGTAGTGAAGATAGGTGTGAATGATGGTACTGGCTGTGAATGTCTCACATTGTCCTCTTGAGGAGGCAGCAATATAAATTTCTTCAGAACAAGAGAACTTGCCTTCCTTTCGTTCTTAAGCAGTTTACTCTGAGAGAAACCAGCTTAGGTAGTGACTCTTATTTTTTGCGATTTGGAGGCTACCCCTCAAAGCTCATATCGGTTGGAAGTCCCTGACGGAGTCTACATGGTACAACAACTGATAGCAACAGCCAACCTTCCGAGGTCGAATAACAGAATACCAATACATTCTATCTTGGGTTCCACTAACATCACCACGCTACTGCCCTTTATTATGTTCTATCCTTTATCCGGAGTGTGATTAAATAAAGTCATAAGGCCTTTGGATCCGGGCTTGCTGCCCGGCATATCTTGTGAAATTTGTGTTCCTTCCTTTGATCACCTTAAGGCGCATTCACATCAAGCTTTGCCGTGAAGATGCCCCAAATATCTTTCAATCAATTCAAAACCGCCCTCGAAGCCGCGGTACAGCAGAAAAGCAGTAGCTATTAAAATATCCACTCACTCACTTTGAGGTGGGAAAAGGACGACACAAATGCTGCCAGAGATACTGAGCATTTTCAAAGACTGCTAAAGGCTCTCGACGTTGCACCGGCTGAAGAGCTTGTAATTCAGTCTGATGACCCTGTTTATAGCATTACCTTCAGCACGGCCTGGCTCAACCTTGTCGGGAAGGCTGCAGCTAAGCCAGAGCGCAATCTAGTCATATTTCATTATGCCGGTCACGGAACAACAAGAGCGGGAAGCTTCGTTTTCGCAGAGACTAGTGCCGGCACTAGAGTTATTAATGCGGACCGCTCGCTCATTCAGCCTGTTACAGGATCTGATTATCTCTCAGATTCAAACAATACTGACGTGTTAATTATCCTCGATTGTTGTTGCGCCCATATTGCTACTCGCGCGCCAGCTATTCAACGCAGGACTGTTGAGATCCTTGCCGCCACTGGTTGCGATACACCCAATGCGAGGTGCGGGCCAGAGAATACATTTAGTGCTAAGCTTGCCAATGAGATTGCTACAAGAAGAAGGCAAGGCCACAAGCGAGTAGACTTTGCAGATGTATTCCAGAGTCTTAAAGGCCAACGTGTGAATAAAGTCTGGCCTACTTATGCAATGATGGTTGGCATGTTTTCGGTGGGTCTTGCACTTAACGGGAATCCTACCGTTGATATAGCTCCTATGCCAGCAGACTACCGAGCTATACTGAGTGTGAATATCTCCAAAGACATCACACCTGACGAGCTGGTGGACCTTAGCAGATGGATCCGCCAGCTGCCACCGTTTCCGAGCGTCTTCATTGAGACTCTTTTAATTCAACCAACATATCACTCTCATTATGCTGGCAGTAATCCTGAATATTGGTAGGCCAAACGCAAGAATACAAGGGACAAAAGCGCAACGCTCAGGTCCATATCTGAGCCTCTTTTCATTATTATCGATCGCCTACGGCATCTTTGTTGTCCCAGCCGAATCGCCAGCAGCTAATGCCCACCAACGAAGGTCTCACCAACGGAACATCCTCTCCTACCAATGTACGGTCAGGCGGTAACGTACAAGCTCAGGTAATTGGAAAATGGTAGTAAAAAATAATGGATATTTATTTTTTCGTGTCCGCCCGGCTGTTTTCTCTTCTCTTTTTCTCCTTCTGTTGCAAATGTCGTGTTCACGCGCAGAATACTAGTTTTCCCTTTATGTCTAATACCGGTCCGGCGTCCGCGTGCTTACTCGACGACGACGGCCAGCCTACAGACTGGAGTGCGAAGTCCGCTACTGTGGTTATTGCGAAGTGGTATATGGATTATCCCCCTATTATTTTGATATGTTGGCGAATGCCTATCACTGGCGGCTCGGGTATTCAGGATGTATGTCCTGACTAACGCCATCGCGCTGTATTTGCAAAGCAGCGGGGTCTGCTACACAAACAGCAGGCCGTCTGGAGCCACACAGTCATCGGGCCGCGCTACACAACAGGAGAACCAGCCCGCAAAGAGGTACTTAACAGATTCCATGATTTGATGGTAGTAGGTTTCTAAATACGGCTAGAAGCGAAAAGTCTGGGGAAGTGCACTAGCACTGGTCACTTCGCTATTCTTCGTTTACTGGAGTCTAATTAGAGATGGGTCTGCACTGTCTTTATTGTCAAGCAAATGCTGATTGATATCAACCTTGCAAGTATTAACATATGAACCTCGAAAAACTATCCGTCTCAAGATTTGAAAACTCAAGAATAGCGCCAAAATGCTGCATTGGGCTCCCTCTAAGAATTTGACTTAACTCTGGAACTATAGCATAACTGGTGTGCGGTTAATATAGAGTAACTGATCGTCATACTGCACTGTCGACTGCAACTTCTCAATCAGATCCTAGACATACGCCTAACTTCCAAACCTCTCCAGAAGCTTCAAATCGAACGATGTAACGTAGCTAGGACACGCGCTCAGTAAAATAACAACCCGACCATGCTCTCCTCAGATATTCCAAAATGTAAATACGACAACCTCAGATCATATACGAAGATGGAGCCAAACTATACATTTCAACAGTGCGATTGAAATAATCAAGTCGCTTGAAACTCCTATGCACCCGAAAATAATAAAGCTCCAGCGTCGGGCACGAGTGAAGACCGGCTAGACTGACATGCGCCACTCGTTATTTATTTAGGAAAGGCCATGGCGGGCTTTCTATCTCGACCTCTTTACATATGTAATTTAGGAACAGGACAGAATTTCGTTGACTTCATGCACCTCAGACGGTCGACAAATACGCACATGAATATGGTGTAGAATAGTATTAATCGAATATGGAAGGACCCTGAATTTCCCCGTTCAGCCACGGCTCGGATTCAAGGGAACGGCTCGGCCCGCGGTGGGCTTATGCGTGGGGCAGCCCTGTGATCTGCAATTGTGTCTCCGGTTTCGGTTCCATTATGCGAAAGCAACAGTCAATTACTTATTGGATTGATTTTACTCCTCCCTAAGACCTGGGACACGCGTCTTTGTGTACACGCTAGTATCTTCAAACATATTGACATAAGAACGTAATCAAATACTAATGCAGACATAGTATCCCAACGACAAATTATCGCATGCAGTATCAAGCTCCGTATTCCACTTGCGCAGATGCGCAAGCGTAAAACCCCTCCTCACTAGAAATGGACCAACATTTGTCTCCATTCTTTTAGGCTACTAGACACTTTACTAGAGCACGTTATTGGTAACGACACAGCCAACAGTCAAGAGCAGAGTTCACATGATCAGGATATAGTACGGGAATGACCTCGATCAAGATCATGTAGACTACTACATGATAATGTGTATGCTGTGTTCGCGTAGGGACCGCTCCTTGGCGAGGAATCAGTTGTCCAATAGATATAATTCTGAGGCGAGAGGCGAACACTCATAATAAGCCAATCAAGGACTATCGTAAGCGAGATTAGCAATCAAAACCTTCTAACGTAGTAAGGAAGAAGCGGAAGCAGCCGACAAGGCTGGGATCGTGGCTTCCCCTTAGCGCCTTGTCCACATTGGCTACTACTACCCCATAAGGCTAGATCCGCGCAAGAGAGCAGTCAGGGACCATTTGGCGCCATTTTGGGAAGTGAATGTAACGTTGCCCGCCGCGCCAAGCCTTGGCCGATGAAGGAGAGGCTTGGACTTTTCCTCGCTCCGCTCCGGTCGTTTGTTTAGACCCTCTTGGCGGGCAGGTGTGGCGCGCCATGTCACCTTGGCGGATGCGGGGACTCTCACCCCAATTCTAAGACCGAACCTGCGCTATCTACTGTTAGTTCGGACGGATGACTCGCTTGTAAGCCCTCGAGACCTAACAGTTGGTCTCGGCGGCAGGGGTCGGGAGATTACCTGCCTCGGACCCCTATTCCACTCCCTCGGCCCACACACGTTTCTTACAAATATTCTCTCTTTGCCTGTCTGACTGCCACTAATAAGGAGAACTTCCCAGCATCTGGAAGGTCTGACTGCGCAAGGGAAAGCACAACACCCCTCTTTTTGGCTGCTCTATTCCAGTCCTTCAACTTCCGCTTTTGTCTTGGCTCGTCAGACCCTTCAGTCATGCATTTCCTCCGACCCAAATGGTTCATCGTACTCGGGTTCTTTGTCACTACCTCGCCTGCGGTTGAGGTTGACTTGGTCTTCCCTCGCAGCGACGCATCATACTCACCCGCCGAGTGGTTCCCATTCGTCTTTGCTGTGCAGAACACGGAAAGGGCAGAGCTTCTCAATCTCCAGGTGACCTGCAACATCCGCAAACGCAATGCCACCCTAAAAGATATTGATAACCAATTATACCTCAATCATGACTTCAGTTGGACGAACTGGTCGGGCAGCGCAGACCCTTACCTCGCCTACAACTACATCCACAACGACTTTAACACATCCAATCATTGGGTGCTTCTGTGCGTGCTGAGCTGGCAAAGCTGCGATGTGGAGGCGCTGACCCACGGTCCTTATGCATATGGTGGAGTCTCCGACCACAACTATCGGTGGACGATGGGCTTCCATATCGACAATTCCAGCCTCAAAGAAGTGGATCTTGTAGGAGCAACCGCCAATGACACCTGCCCTGGGAGCCAAAATGCCATCTCCATCAATGTGACAGACAGAGTTATGAACTCACCCTCGTATGGCAATACCGCACACCGCGAAACGTGTGTTGTTACAACAAATACAACTGCCAGTCCTACGACATCTACCCCGGATCCCTGTCGCATTGCAATAGACGAGGATACTGCTGAGAGCATGGCATCCGTTCAGCAGCAGCGCTTCTGCTATCTTCCGGTTCCTCCTGATAACTGTCCTAAAGAGGAGAATGGTGCTACGCCATTGGCTGTACTTGGCGTAACTAGAATGTTAACGGCAATTGGAGCTCTGGGCTTTGCCGTCTTGTAGATAGACATTTATTGGTGTATAGTACGGACCAACGTGCTTTACCTTTGTTCGCGCTTACGCTTATCATCATTTCAAGACACTGCGGAATAGGTAGTCGACAGCAAAGTTTTGGTCAAGTATGTATGATTCTGTTGAAACGTACCATCTCTATACACAATCATTGAGGATCCGGCAGATCAACTGTAACAAAATATGTAACAATGTATCTGTTTGGGAGGTCGATTTAATTTCAGTTCGGTTTATATTGTTATCCTGGATTGAGCTCAATACGTAAGATGCCAGCTATTCAGGTCCTTCACTGTCTGAAGCAAAAAATGAGGCCCTGAATGCCGTCAAATCTCTCAAATATCGCAGTAATCACATATAAATCACGAAGCAACGCGTGCTACGACGTCGGAAAGTCGTCTTAGCATTCAGAATACGGATGATCCCTCGAAGGCCACGATCACACTGGTAGTAGTGGTAATGGGCATGAGGTGTGAACGAAAACAGAATGGTTGGAGAATTAGCGTATACTACAGCCTTGGCCTCTGCCACACGCCAACTGTGGGCAAATTAGATTCCTCTTGGCTTCTGCCTCCCGCTACCTGGCCATAGTGTGGACTGATATCACGGAGTCCGGCGCACATCGATCTCTCCCAATTTCTCTACTCCGATCCGTGCCTCACAAAATCAGTGCATCCTTTACAGTTTATGGTCAATATAGAGACCCACAGCTTACAGCACACGCGAGAGTTGACGCTGGAGGTGATAATATCGGTCCCTTCTTTGCCTGCCAAGCCCACTTAAGTGGGCTGGAACACTGCTGGACCCCCTTTCATCGACAAACGAGAATGTTGGAGGTTTCACATGTAGTGAGACACAGAATAGATGCTTTGCCGGCTGATGCATACAAACTCTTTCTCTTCTTTCTCATAAGACAGAATTCAACAATGACCTTGACGGTGTCGACATTGACTGGGAATATCCAGGGGCACCTGACCTCCCTGAAAACGACCCTGGCACGGAGGAAGACGGTCCCAACTATCTTGCATTTCTTGTCGTCCTCAAAAACCTCTTGCCAGGAAAGTCTGTTTCCATTGCTGCGCCTGCGTCCTACTGGTACTTGAAGCACTTCCCAATCAAGGACATGGCTAAAGTTATCGACTACATTGTTTTATATGACGTATGATCTCCACGGGCAGTGGGATGCGCATAACAGCAATTCACAGGAGGGCTGTGATACGGGCAATTGTCTGCGCAGCCAGGTTAACTTGACGGAAACAAAACAATCTTTGGCAATGATCACCAAGGCAGGTGTCCCCGGGGCAAAGGTCATTGTCGGTGTGACGAGCTATGGTCGATCCTTCAAGATGGCAGACCCCAATTGCTGGGGGCCGGATTGTCTCTACACTGGCGACCGCTTAAACTCTGACGCGAAGAAGGGAGAATGTACTAACACGGCTGGGTATCTTGCCGGTGCGGAAATCGACGAAATCATGAAGGATTCCTCTAGGGTTGTCAAGAGCTATGTTGACACAACCAGCAATAGCGATATTCTTATTTATGATAACGATGAGTGGGTCAGCTACATGAGCGCCGACACGAAAAGGACGCGCACTACCCTCTACAGTGTCTGGGGTTTGGGGGGGACATCTGACTGGGCCAGTGACCTACAAACCTATCATGATGTCCCCAAGCCGGCAACGAGCTGGGCCAACTTCATCCAGCTTGCCAAAGCAGGGGAGGACCCCAAGACAGACCAGACGCGTAACGGAAACTGGACCTCGTATAATTGCGCTGACGATAATGTGGCAAATCTATTTGATTTCACACCCTCACAACGTTGGAAGAATATGGACACCGATACGGCGTGGGATGACATTATCCGAATTTGGAATGAAACCGATCGCGAACGCAATCTCACCTTCATGCAATCTGTTGAAAGTACAACCCACTTTAAGAGTCAGGCTTGTGGTGAAATACAGTCAGGGAGCTGCAGTTCCATTGGTTGCGAAGACGGTGCAAATGGCAACCACTCTGGTCCCGCAGCCTTTTTGATCTTGTACTCAATGGCCGAAATTCACGGGATGTACAAGAGATACTACGACGGCTTATTCAACTCTCTCAGTATTGTCGGTACGGCCCTCGATGATATGGAAAACAAATTTGCGCCTATCCCACCAGAAGAAGACAACACCTGGCTCAATATCCTTATTGACATGATCACGCTCGGCGCCCTTGGCACTGCCGGGCCGCTGTTCAACACAATGTTGAAGAACCACGCTTGGTTTGCTGGCAGCGCCCTGGACAACGCAAAGGACACCACCATGACCCTCTTAGGACAAGGTACAACTACCGCCAAAGACGTACTACCTCCGGGTGATAAGGCCAAATGGACGCCGGAGGGACAAGATGAATTTTCTGCCTATCTGGGGCAAGTTGTGTATGGCTGGTCCAATATCACATCCCAGGCGCTTGATGACCTCTTCAGTGGAACCAACGAGAGCATGAACGCCCTCTGGGAAGTCATGTCAGATGGCAAGCTCATCGAGGGTAAGAGGGATAATGATCCCTCTTACACTGGAAATGTTCAAATGAGCTAATTGCCAATATTAATAAGTGCGTCATCGGCTTTGCCCTGCCCGCATTGTGGCGCCAAGCTGGATCTTACACTTTTATCCTCGACTCCGGTCAGTCTTGCGACGATAACCCGAACATCGGCGAGTACCTTGAGGATGATACGATAGACGCCACGGGTGTCTGCGTTGACAATCGGCAATACTACCTCGTATATCCGGACGGCGATGCCACCGACTGCACTTGCAAGATTATCAATGATTCCGGCCCCTGCCAAACAGTCTGCAAAGACAACAAATTCTCCGCGCCCAATGGAATCCAGTACATTTCCGGCGAGAATAGCTACTACGGCATCACGGCCAACGATCTGGTCAAGGGCTCTGTCCGCACCTGGATTGCTAACGGGAGGGAAAACGGCGCCCGCATAGCAGACCCAACCAACCACGGCACCATGTCCGACCTTATTGATGTGGATGTTACAACCCCCGGCTTCATGCGGATTCCTGTCTGCAGCCCCGCCCGCGCCTTTCAATCCTGGGACACGGCCGACAAGAACTCGAGCCCGAACTGGCCCTGCGATATCCCGCCTGGTAAGGACGAGTGCGGGGACTCGACCTTTGTCGACCAGACTAGCGATGCATCACCAAAGGTTGAAGACTGTCGCCAGATCATCAAGAACATAGAGGGTGATGCAACCACTGCTTGGACCACCCAAGTTGTAGGCCATAACCAGCGCGAGATTGCCAGTCATGCAAGCTGTCATTTTGGCGTCGAGGCTACCAAGACCAACGGCAATGTCAACTTCAAGGTCGGCGGGCAGGATGTCATTGATATTATCAACGATGCTATCGCCAAATTTGCTAGGGATGGGCTGGTCGGCGCAAAGGGTAACATGGATTGCAACGGTAATGTTAAGAGTGAACCGGTGCTCTGGGGGATTTACTAGGCATGTGTCAAGGCGATACCCTGTAACCCGAAAAGGATATGTCTGCATCTGTCCGGAAATCCGATGGAGTGATATTTTCAACCAGAATGTGGTATTATATATGTTGGGACACATATTTCTCCGTCGCCTGGCTAGCCAAGAGCGGTTTATCTTTTTTTGGTCTAGCGGTTACTTAGTGCTTCGACAATATATGTATAGTAGATGGTATTAACCAACTGCTCAGTAGCAGCTCCATAAACCACCACCGCGAGACGTACAGAAGCCTTTGTTCCCCAGAACAGCTTATACAGATTTCAAAGAAGCACCGACGCGTTCACTATTCAAGAACCACCCGTATCCTCGGCCCCAGAAGGACCTTCACATACTTCTCATGCAATTCCACCACAGGTGCAGGTATTTGCAGCTCTCTTGTCACTGCAAAATCCTGGAAAACCAGTAGTTTGAACCCAAACTCAACTACAACTCTGCCCGTGAACGACAGGGAGTAGACATTTTCTGCATTGTTGCAGCACGAATCGCCATTTGTGGTAGTGCGCAGATATACGGTTCTTAAGAGAGGAGATGATGGGGTGGGCATTGGTCGCTTACCCCATATACAGCTACTTATGCAGGTAAGCGTCTTGTTCTACACACAATGTTAGAGAACTAATTAAGCTAAAGGCTGTGTGGGGCCCCCGTTCGGGTACACTAGTATTACAAATTTACAATACGCCCCATGTGTTCCGCTTTCCGGTGGGTTAAGATCGCCCGACGGGTGGATGCGGGCTAAGAGATCCATCCCGTTGTCGTGCATATCCGGCTAAGATAAGATGAGATGGTGGTGACCCACTATCTAGTGGATCTGCAGGGTCCTTTATGCGGATTAGTATGCGGATTATGCACAAATGACCTAAATGGGGTTATGCCGATGTGTATGCTAACATTGACAATCTCCGATCTCGCTAAGAATGTTTTCCATGCTCATATTGATATTATGGCCAAGGCTAATAAGCAAGTATCACATTGGTTGCTCTAGTGACCATGTACCACACATCAACATAACGAGTCCGTCATTTCGACTTTCTGTCTTCTGCGTTTCCATGTCTTTCTTTTCTTGCCAACAATAAATGGGCGATTCCTCCAGACTAATGCACTATCCATCAGAGGGATTAATTGCCGCTTTGAATCTACTCATCGGATCATACTGTCTCCTCAGAGCTTGCAGCTTAGCGAAATGCGGGCCCCAGATCTATAGTCGGAATAAGCAGCCGGTCGGATATCAGTGATATCTTCTATCTTACCTTTTCCGCGTCATGGAAGTCTTCAAAACCATTAGGCAGGTAGTTCAGATCCGCGTCTTCCCCCAACACTGTGGATCCTGCCTTGATAGCGAGTTCTCGTGCAAGGTTCTCTTGCTCACGCCCCGCATCAGAGGGGCAGCCGGTCCCCAGGAGCAAGATATGCTTGGTGCCTGGAGGTCGTGGCCAGGCGCAGCTCGATACTCCCCCGCCAGGGTCGCGCTTGTCTAGTCAGTATGGTACGCTGATGTCCCAGCGAGGTTATCAGGTTCTTCAGCTTACCGAACTCAACGGCTCGAAGATGAGATAAGTGCAGTCACCGAGCGACTCGTCCAGTTTTCCGATATTATCAGACCACTGGACAGCATTGATAATGGTCTCCTTTGAAATTTCTTGCAGAAGCAACGGCGACCAGAACTGCTTCATGGTGCCTTTGACAATATGTGCCTTGTCTGGTCTGATAGTTAGCATCCATTGACCAGTACTTGCAAGAATGTAAACTTGCCCTGTAGATCCACAACTCCAGACAAGGTCGTTACCTTGGTTTGATCAATAGATCCGGGGATGTTTAATGCCCATTGGAAGTTGGTCCGACCATGCGCTTCTCCGCAGGCATCAAAGGCATGAAGTACCAGCATATCTGAAGCGGCTCCAATGGACTCTAGTAGCCGTTTTCTTACGACGTATAGAAACATTGTGATCTTTGGGTCGAGAGGCTGGTTAACGAAGTTTGCCATCCCATTTGCAACCACCTCGAGCTGCTCCCTCGGTATCAGGATTGGGCCGGCCCAGATATTCTGCGGATAAGGGAACACTCGCAGCACGACCTCGACGAGGACTACACCTTGGGTGTTAGTAACCATACATTTAGTATCGCATCGAAACCTTTTGGATTGCCTACCCCCAAAGCCACCTCCCCCACCACGGAGTGCCCACAGAAGATCCGGCTCGCTGGAGGCCCAAACAACCGAGCCATCGTACTTCACAACTTTCGCATCTAGCATGTTCGCTGGGTCTGAGATACACCCGTACTCTCTGGAAAGCCATGAAACGCCACCACTGATGATAGTGCCTGCGATGCCCACGCAAGGGGTACGCGCTCCCACGACTTCGTTCATTTTCTGTCAGTGTCCGGCCACGAAACACGTACATCGCGGAAAGATTGAAGTATTATTTCTTACTTCCATAATTGGGTGCAACATCGCCCAGCTTTCGGTAGACATCCGACCATGTCTGTCCAGCTCCGATCGTGGCCAGTTCCGAATGTCTGTCAAAGTGAAAGCCATCGAACGCCGACATGTTCACCAGCACATCCTTTGCGGATGCGGACATGAAACCATGCGCTGTCCTTCGACGTAATAACCTACAGTCTCTAGTGAAAAACACAGATTCGTGAGTGGAAAGCCGACTGTATCGGGAAGTTGGCCCCGCAGATCAGTTATTCGTTACCCTTCCAGTTCGGAAGGCCGGACAGCAGCGCAATAACCCGTTGGCGACGGGTCAAAACACTTCGCTGTGGATCATATATATCTTCCTGCGAATTGCGATAGAATTAAATCCCATACTTCTTTAAATATATTTCACCGATCGGGCGTCCCACAGCAGACACCTGGCAAGATGTCAAACTTTCTCGTTACTGGCAGTTCCCGCGGGCTAGGATTAGAGTTAGTGAGGCAGTTAGCTGCCCGCGCCAGCCTCGAAGGAGGACTAGTTATCGCAACGGCGCGGAAATGCAGCCCAGAACTCATGCAATTGATCACGCATTCTGATGGATGCGTCGTGTTCGTGGCTTTGGATATTTCTGACGAGTCAAGAATTGCCGAATCGGCTGAGGAAGTCAGATCAGCCTTGAACCAGCAAAGCCTAGACATGTTGATCAATTGCGCTGGTGTCCATAGTGAGACGCATGGCAAATTAGCGCTAATGTAAGCCTGATGACCTTGGTTCCGTGGGTGTACTTCAAGCTGACACCAAACCGACAGGTCGGACCTCGAATACCAATTGTCGGTGAATGTAACTGGAACGCATAACGTTCTTCGCCACTATCTTCCACTCATGCAGAACAGCAATGTCAAGAAGATCATCAATATGTGAGTATCATGCCAGAGGCCTGAACCTCATTCCCTAGCGGACACTCATAATTCAAAACCACAGTTCGAGCGCATATGGTTCAATGACCAGTGCACGCGCAGTATCATACGCTCCTTGCCCAGCCTACAAGATCAGCAAAGCAGCACTGAACGCTTTAACCGTCCAGTATGCGCTGTCCTACGAAGAGGAAGGATTTATCTTCCTCTCAGTCAGTCCCGGCGTAAGTCACTACTCCCCGATCTACTGAAAGGCCAATGCCGGAGAAGCTAATAGGACCCCTCAGTGGCTCCAAAGCGACATGGGTGGTAAAAATGCCGACCTGACCGTGCCACAGGGTGCTGAAGCAGTCTTGAGCATTTCCCTGTCCGCCGAACGTACGGACAATGGTCGGTTCAAGAATATCAGCGTCCCAGGGTGGGAGGCTTATGATGGCCAGGATGTACCCTGGTAGTCCAATATGGCCAATTCTTTTTCTTGTGTATGACTAGTATTATATCAATATAGAATAGACCAGAACTCAGATTTTCGCGCAACTACACTTTCTCGGATCGAACTTGGCTAAAAAAACATTATCTTGCTATGCTGAATGGAGTCGACTCTTCCCGACGCACTGTGTGGATTACCGTCCCAAGGTAGTCTTTTAGTTCGCTCGGCATCGTCAATTAGTTGGTTAGACCGTAAGAATGCAAAGTGAAATTATATAGTACCACAAAGTATGTGGCGGGGGACTGGCGCTTTTTAGTCAATAAGCTCCTGACGAGTGGGATGCTCAGTCAGCAAGCCAGCCGGGTGGTTGATTTTCCCTCCCGGCTCCGCACCCTTGACACACAGCATACCTTAATACTATACCTGCCTGTCAATTCTATTGTCAGTCAGCCTTGAAAACATATAAATTTGCCATAAAGCTTACTGCCCATGTCGGAAAGCCTCACGTTCTCTGGGGATATCCTGCCCGCGGTATGTCTTTGATACCCCTAGGCCGGAATGCTTTGGTAAAGCAGTAGACGCTAACTAGGAGGGAACAGTGTGACCTATGTCATTCCAAAAAGGTTGCAATATCATGATCACCAAGCTAAATTTAGAGATTGAATCTGACCATAATACAATAAACCTAGATAAAGTGTGATCGTCGAGCGCAGTGCGCCAATTGCGTAGATGCCGGTGTGGAATGCCAACGCCGGCGGCGCGGACGGCCACCCAAGAAGAGAAGCCTCCAAAGGTTTGCTGTCATTTAAGTCTTGACAAACAGGACTCTCTGAATATGAAGTAGCTAATAAATACTGGCAGCGCTCTAGGCCCTCAAGAAAATATAGTAACATTTGAAAGACAACCGCCTCAGACACAAAGGTAAAGTGAGAGAGCTTGTCGGAGTCGTCTTTCTGTGTTCGGAGTACTGAACAACTACAGAGGCAAGAGGCAATCAGGCCGCAGGGCAGTGACAAGGAATCTCAATAGAAGCCCTACTCTAGAGCACAGCCAGCTTGACAATCAAGTTTCAGACTCAAGGGAGCGATCCCCGACCACAACTGCGCAATCGACACCCAGCGTCGAGGGCCCCAACTATCATGCAATCCAAGCAAAGAACATAATCCAATTGGAACTAAATGATTCAAGACATATCAATCGTGGCAGGCAGTCCATTCTTCGCTCTGCCCTTCAACTGGTAAACAGAATTGCCGAGAGTGAGCCTCAGCATCCCGACGAAATCATAGAAGAGCCTCAGCCTAGCGATCCTGCTCTCACGATTCCGGATGCACCGCCTCGAGAGCTTTTGTTTATGCTTCTGAAAGGTATGAACTCTTGACCCTCTCGTGTCTAGGCTAGAATTAACGAAATAAGGGCCGCCGGAATCCATATGCATACAGTGGCCGGATCACATCTCGCGCAAGACTTATGAAAAGATGGCTACGGCCTTGTTGGAGCATGAGTCTCGACTCCAAGGTCAATTGTTTCATCAATACTGCATATGTATATATGTGAAAGCAATATTCCATTTATATCAGGCTTCACGAACTGTGGACAACCCGCTTCTCAAATCCCAGTTGTCCCAGTCTAGGTCCATCTACATCACAGCGACAATTCGAAGCATTGAGAAACTGAGCATACTCAAACGGCCAGATCTCTCCATCATACAAGCTCTACTATCAAGTGTAAGTCTCTGGGTTGCTGACTTTTCTGGTGGAAACTATTTCATTGACATTGCCTAAAGGCATTACTTATGCAGCACCTGGGGAGACTAAATCAGTGTTGGATCCTTACCTCTTATGCTGCCCGACAGATCGCATCCCTCAACTACCACAAGATCCGCAGGATACCAGCGCACTCAGACTTGGAATTAGAGGTATACAGTGTTGTTTACTGGTGCTACTATCTTGATCGAACTCTGAGTTCGCTTCTTGGCTGGCCCCCTTCATTGCCTGATCTCGAGGTCTCCCCGACAGATCTAATTGTGCTAGACCCATGCTCGCCATACGATACCCTTCTGCATGTCTTACTTGATCTCGCACAGGTCCAGGGAAAGTTACACGGAATATCTTCCTGCGCGAAGAATGTGTCGAATAGCCAGGCTTTGGAGACTTGCCAGCTACTTGAATCAAGGATGCAGAGCATCCTTCGAGAAATGCCGTCGGTAGGTGTACCAATTTTCTAATATACAGTTGCTTTCACCTGACACAGCCTCCTTCAGAGCCGTGACTCCCTCCCAAAAATGGTACAATATGAATGGGTTGCGGTCGACTTCTGCTACTACGCGATTTTCGTCGAGATCGACCGAACATGCTTAAAAAGCTCGTTTAGCCCAGCCATACACAGAGAATGTCTCGTACATGCCCGAAAGTCGCTTGAAGCATTTCACTTTCTCCAGCAGCATCCGGAAGAAATGCCGGGGTTTGAAGAGCCATATCCATCATTTCTGACATGGTGCACTGATAATCCTAGATATATCAATTTTCATTTTACTGACTATTATACAGGACTTTGTTTTTCTACCCGCTAAGCGCCTTCTTTGTGGTCATCTGCAATATTATCGGAACTTTGGATCATGGCGATTTTGAACTGCTTCAACAAATAACTCAAAGTTTGTCACAGTTCAGGCAAGATCCACATCTTGGGAAACTCTTGAACCTCCTCCAGTCGCTAGAAGATCTGTGCGAGCCGCTGTTCCAAGGGGGAAATTCTGGCCCAGAGAATATGTCGTCAAACCTTGGAACGTCCGGCCCGAATCAACTAATCGAACCTGTCACTATGGATGGAATTCTTCCGAGCGCCTCCTTCAATAACAATTTTGGGCTAAGTGATGAACCGATACCAAACCCGGACTTGGACGCCTCAGCCGACTGGCTGATGTGGCAGCTCTTCAATAGCCAGATTCCAGCGGGTTGGCTTAGCACTGGCGATGACCCTTTCGAAATATGAAATAATTATAGATTTCTCTCAGTAAACACAAAAGGAGTTTTAAGATCCTGTTCGCTCTGACTCCTGAGGGTGGCCAGGGTCAGTCAGCCGGAATAAGAGTTGTTGTCCGGCGCTCGGCTTATTACCGTTTTCGTTCGGGAATCCGATGGCTCGGGCATATCGCTATTCTATTTTTGGTTTAGCTCCAGTCTACCTTGTATAGTTAACGAAAATGTTGGAAATTGCTTTGACACAATACTGGCATTCAAAGTTCTCAAGTACGTATCTCATGCACTCCAGACAATTTTGATTTTCACATACAGGCCGGTTAATAATCATACAGCCGCAGCAAGCGCCACCACCTAACAAGAGTGAATAACAAATCATCGCAGACAATGCACTCAGATAACGACGGAGGATTCACCGTCCACTGCGACAGCCTGAAATGGCACCCTTTGGCCCCGAGCGTATTCATCAAAATTGTCAAGCTTGTTTCAGAAACCGGAGAATATACGATCATGGTCCGTGCCGAACCCGGTGGACTGCTTCCTCGCCATCGGCATGTTGAGAGTGCGGAAATTTATGTTCTGAAGGGCAGCGGTGCCCATCCTCAGACTGGCGCATTTGTTCAGGGGGATTATATTTCGGAAAGCAAGGGGGCCGTTCATGATCCCCTTCCCTTTGAACATGAAACGGAGCTTTTGATGGTTAGCAGAGGGCCTTCGGTGTTTTTGGCGGATGATGGGTCGGATTTGTATACAATGGATGTGGCGATGTTGCAGGATATGCTAGAGAGGGCGAAATAGGCTTCAGGTATTGGAGTTGGCTATCGTGTTGAAAAGAATATCAGTTTCTGGGTATGGATTATATGAATGCATCTTTGGCTATTATAATGTAGGATGCTCAGTTCATCACTAGTTTCCACATCTGTATAGTGCTATGTCTTATTAACTTACTTATCTCTCGCTAATCTCTCACTACACTCTCACTACACTCTCACTACACTCTCACTACACTTTTATTTCTGCCAGTTTACCACTTTGATTCAAGATTGCGCATTATATGATCTTACTTACCATATAACACAGAATACATTACAAACTAAAGGTTCTTCAGTGTAAAATGCCATAGCAACCTGAGTTGCCCTATAGAGTAAATGCTGAAATCTAAAATACAACAGTGGTAGTGTTGACTTGAAATTTCATTGATGTACTCAGGGCAATTCCAATCAGGCAGTTCCGTTGCGATCCAATGCAGTTAGAAAAAGCTCAATGAGCTGTTCACAGTTAGTATATACGGCTGCAAAGGATGCAGATGCACTCACCTTGCCTGTATATTCGTTTTCTTTTCCAAGCTTCTGGCAGTCTGCCAACCACTTATCCAGACTATCTGGAGAGCAGTGTAGCATGTCATTAATTGAAGTATCAGTTTCCAGTTCGCTGACGAATTCTTTTCCCCTTCGGCTATTGCCCACTCGAGAGAGAACGAAGAGTGCTGCTTTGTCACCATACTTTTGCAGGTCCGCTGCTTTCTTACAAGAGCGGATGCATGATTTGAATGTCTCGCGACCTTGGGCTGAAGGTATCTATTTTGTTGAATCCAAAATATGTCAGCATGAACGTTGATAGCCTCACGTTATTGTAATATTGAGAATTCCTTACATCGGCGTCAGTAAGCATAATAGTAATCACTGGCCGTTTAAGTTCCCCCGCACGGGCCTTTCTCATGATCATAGGGTGGATAATATCTTCATTGACAAAATCCCCTAGCTCTGGGCCGTTCCTGAACCTAAAATATTTGGCATTCTGACATATCTTGTCCACTTGATAGCCCTCAGTGATGTTCTCGTACAGATCCTTTCCGTCGTGGTTGGTATTGAGAAACCGGATCGTTATTCCCTTTGGTAGGAGAAGCGAAGAGATCGTCACAAGATGCCGCAATGTCTTTTTCATGGCATCTGAGTAAAGAAGCATGGATTTACTGTTATCTATCATACGAAAAATTATGTTAGTCTATCACAGCACAGATGGTAATCAGCTCTCCATCGGCAACAACTCACCACAGACAATGACCATATCAAACAATGCCAGTTCAACCATAGCTTTTTCCTTCCCAGCAGGAATATTGTACGTTTGGACAATATTCATCATCTCAGCTGCTGCTGTTCGCATCAGCGTTTTGATAGTCTGGTCGTCTATGGAGAAGCCGGAGTAGTTATTCGTGATGAAGGCCATCTGAACACATTGCCAGTGTTAATAACCCCGGTAATAGTCAATCCCGAAGGGCATTATACTTACTACGCCCTCCACATGGAAGTTCTGCGAGGCATCGTTGTTCGTCGTGGAATTTCCACAATTGTTGTTCGTAGTGTTCCCGCAGTTCGTGTTCGTGCTGTTGCCGCTGTTATGGTTGAACGTCGAATTAAGGGCAGATTTTCTGTCACTTTTCGTTTCAAATTCCTGTTCTGGAAGATCGTGTGGTAAATCGGGTTTTCTTTGTTGATATGCTACTGCTACTGCTGCATCATCCTGGTCGTCAGAGCGTCCGCTCGATTCCACGTTGCCATTACCTTCCCCTGATGATAAATCTTGCCCTTGGGATATGTCCCCGTACGAGGTATCCGATGGCCCGGAGGTCAGCTCTGGCGTGGCCCTTAATGGCGCGTCAATCTCGGAGTTCGAATCAATGGGAATGTCCGCAACAGCAACGTCCGACATAACCATGTCATCAGGTGTGATATCGTGCACCTTTGATGTAGGACTTCCACAGTCGAACTCCTTGCGACTTTCCTGCCCCTTGTCCACTATCAAGCGTGGTGGAAAGTCTTTCTTATTTTCCACCGCAAGGTGTTTGTGATGGTGGCAATAGAAGCCGGAACTTGTGGCACGCTTCTTGCATCTACCCCCATGTTTTGCTAGTGCTTTACACTTCCTAAAGCGAAGCTTTCCGAGCTTCCTCTTCACGCGGTAGTTCATAGTTCAAGGCGTCAGACAAGTTGGGGGGGAAGGGTGGTATAAAACTCGTTATAATGAGAAGGAATTGATGGAGAGATGATCGGTCGTAACAAATGTTGGGAAAGTAGCCTTCTTTTACATTCTGTTTATGCTCCGAACCTCACATTTCTAAGCCTAGTCTTTAGCGGGGTGGCTTATGCTTGTTCGTGGTTGCAAGCCTTTGACCATAAAAACTTGGGAGAAGAAATCATGAAAGTGAGTGAATCTTGTCCGAAAAGCGAAGGACGACCAAGAGGTGTCAGCTTAGCCACACTGTCGTAAATGATAGTAGAATCAGGCAGCGTAAACTCTCACATTATTTCCCCGATAGTTCAGCACCATATCTGCTGCGAGAAGCCGTCCTCGGGAGGGTTGCGGACAAGACTTTTGCTTGTAGCGGTCGATTACCCGTCAAAACCTGACACCATACTTACTCGGGGACATCACAATTACCTTCGGGGTTAGTAGATCCCCGATGTTGATGACGACAGCTGACAGGAAGTCACATCTTGAGATGGGGGAGAGACTGTCTGTCCTGCCGCAGACGGAGAAGTGGAGTGTCAGCTCAGCCCCGCCTAGCACCTGTCACATAATATGTCACCAGATCTTGCAGCTAATCCTGCACGAACATCCTATATTTGTAATTAGTGCCTCCGGTCTATTGATTATGGATTCGCATTCATGCAAGTTTGTGGGTTGACCGCTTCACAAAGAATAGGCAGTGATGAGGGGTCTTTTCATTGCAGCTGTCTCGCTGTAGACCAGCTGAGGCTTGTCCACCTTAGAGCCTCATACTGCCAACTCTGCGGTCCATAACGCATCTCTTTACATGATTCTAGGTATACTTTTACTTGTTGACTGACAGAAATAAGGCTCGGAATTAGTTCCATTTGCGTGTAGGATCACCACTCCGCTAACATCTAAGCAGCTGTAGCATACAATACAATTCCTTATTCCCTAGCTTTGGTCGGACAATTGTGAGCTTACTACAAAGCTTTCATGCAATTGCCTCATGACTTCCATAACATTGGTCAAAGAGAGAAGCAGCTCTATAAATCCCGTATCCTTCATTGGACAATCCAATCACCTTCCTTTCCGTCCTGCCACGCACTTTAGCACAATTATTATCCGTAATCCAGAATGGAGGGCTCTAAAACTAACACTAGACAACATGACCTCTTGCTAAGTACGGCACTCAGAGTTCAAGTGTGCCACCATTTCCACCCTTCACATTGCCCGAAGTCTGCACATGATGGAAACCTCTGGTGTGATACCCGGTCTGATGAGCGTTGCCTCCGGAGACATTGATGTTCGCGGTCTCAACAAAGTTATGTTCTTTTGCAATGGAGATTTTTCCACCATCTCCACCGTTAACATCGCCTCCGGCAGCTCCAGTCCTCGAGTTGAAAAGGCCTGTGCTAATTGCTTGACGCCCAGTGGCCTCGGCACCCCTAGACTCCAGGTCGCCGTATTTGCGAGTGGTATGCTCAGACATGGTTTGGTTTGATTGCTGAAGTTGGAGACTCAAAGTAGGAGAGGAAAGAGGACGAGAAATGTAATGAGACAGTAGAGAAAAGGTTTTCGAGGTTGGGTTAGGTGTGGCTCAATGGCTACTGAACGGACAACTTGGAAAAGGTGATTTGACCTTAGAACTATATGTTATTTCTTTTATGCATTGACTTTGGGCCGCGGGGTATTTCTGGCCAGGTCGATGAGCTTTTTCAGATTTACTGGAAGATCGCGGGCATCATTGAACAGTGCGTGCATGTTTAGGACGTGTCTACGGAGTGGCCGTGGAATAGGAGATGTCAATTCGTCCGAGTGATCGGCGTGTCAGAGACAGAGACATATCCGATCCACTCCCCACCGCCATATTGGTGCTATGACATGCAACATTGCCCGAGCCATCAAAATATGTCATAACCAGCAGCTAGATGCATATCAGCTGAAGGGGTGGTCTGCTTGTTTCGGTAGAGATTAACAGGCCATGACTCGACATAGGCAGCTAGTCAGCACATCCTTGTAACCCAGGACTGACCAATTCTTCTGATGATTTGCTTTTCTCCATCACACTTACTGTAGAGGCTAAGTGTGGATTCAAAGGAGAGCGGCAAAGGAGTTGATTATCTCCAGTCAAGGACAGAATGTGCTGTTGTATGTACTAGGCAGTTTCACTACACTTAAGGGATCTATGTACTTTCTGTTACTGCCCTAATAAATGGTGGATGTAGGGCTGAATCAAGCTCAAAGCGCAAGGCAGTGAGTTTCATTTCCACTGACTGCCGTTGCATCATCCGATGTGATATCTGTTGCCAATGGATATGTTCATCGGGGCTGTGCGAAGTGGGCACAGCAAGCCGAATCCCCCGCGGCATCTGCGGCCCTACTGTTGAGTTGCCTGGACGCCTCGTACCCATCGTCTCAATCCTTTGCCACTCAAGCAGCCACCAGTGCTTGTGTGCAGCCAGGCTTTTGCAATGATGTAATGAGATATCTGTCTATAAATTGAACCAAAGCATCGCAGGTGGCAGGCATTGGTCATTCTTCTCATAGTATCACCTTTCCTCTCACTTACTACTCCTTACTCATCTAACCATTTGACCTGATTCACATTTTTGCACCACACTATGACTTACGGAGGCTGGAAGCCAGGTAAATCTGACACTCCAAACCCATGGGCCTGGAACGGGGGCTTCCCCAACAGCGGAAGCCACAATAACTTCTCTTGGAACAACAACACCGGAAACACCACCTCGACGAACTGTGGCAACACGACATCAGAGAATTGCGGTAATACGACCACCAACTACGACAACAGTAGGAACATGACCACACGAGCCGATACCGCAACCGCCTACCACTACATGAATAGTAATAACAGGAACATTCGGACGGGTAACATCTCGGCTAATGGAGGAAATGCGAGTAAGGGGGGTGATACAGGAGGCAGATCTGGTTCTGGTCATTCATCATCTAACACGTCGGATAACGTTGTGGGTGGTAGTGGTGGGCATATTTCTTTCGGCTGATAGACTTGCTTTTCAAAACGGTTAGTATGGTCCGGCTACGTGATATTGGGTATATATGTTTACAAGATTGATAGGGCTGAAGGGCTTTGGATACTTCTTATATTGATTGGCATTTCATGGCAAAGTATGCTCAAAGGGCTACAGACCAAGGCTAGAATGAGTCGCGGCTATAACTACTCGGTAGAGAGCTAGCAGGTCTTATAAAATGTGCGCAGGGATCAGGAAATACATATCTCTGACTATTATATTCTTTGACGTACTTAGTACTTTGGGATGCTGGGATCTATATACATTAGCGTCTGACACGCGCGTTTCCCAACAGTGTATGCTTTTGTCATGAGTTGCCGTTCGCGATGATTTTATCATATTTTCCAAGTGAAGCTTACATGTCATACTACAATCCCAAAAGCTTCGATTTCTTGTCTGAATTACCTCATATTATCATTATCCGAGCCACAAATCTGACTTCCTTTATATATGCATCAAGTCTCGTACTTAGTAGACGACAAGTTTCTTTTCTCCGTCGACACCAAGATATCCAACAACGCAAGTCCAGCAAATTTCTCTATCGAGAGGTAAACAGAAGCATTTGAATTTCTTGGAGGATGCCATGCTTATTGCGGCTAATCGAACCATCCACTGCCATCTTTCAGAACCGTCAGGTGCTACCGGTGTTGAACGGAGCACGAGGACACCATCAGGGGGATCTAGAATCTCCTCCCAGCAGTCGATGGACACCATTTCTATCGCTGCTGCTCTGAAGCTAGGATCGTGATTACACGATTCCCTTGAGAAAGGATACACTAGGAACTGAACATTCGTTAGTCCTTGGAGGATATCCACATCTCCCACCCACTCCCCGCCATCATTGACGGAGATGGTTGTTTGGAGATAGTAGGCTTCCATGGTTCTATAGCTGGTAGAGTCCAAGCTCACAGGCCCATCCCATCCAGTAAATGACAAATGAAGCGATGTACCATCGAATTTTCCACCCACTGGGTTTCCATCATATGGATGATGGTTGACAAGGCGCCACCGCTCAAGTGTGTGTTCTCGAATCTCCAACTCGGGTGGGGAAACCAAGAGAGCAATACCTGGTTTTCCAATGTTACCGATGACGTGGGAAACAGCATGGGACTCAATTCTATCTGACGGGATTGGGTCGTATAGTAGTTGCTTGGCAATGAAAAGCGAGTTACCACTAGATATTGCGAACACTGCTGTGAGATCTAATGTGTCCAGGCTGATTGTACCGGATTCAAACTGGAGGATGGCTGCAAATGCGTGTTGTCGAGACAACACGTTCAAATAAACGGAGTTAGGAACAGATCCTTCGCGAGCTTGCTGTGTGGCGAGAGAAGCTGATAGATCAAGCGGGTGCAGCAGGGATGGGACCCATTTCCATGAGGTCATAGGGCTCTTTATAACACTCATGGATACCGTAGCCTGGGGCAAGGAGCGTTTGTAGTAATCTATTACTCGTCCAAGAGCGAGAAGTGAGTTCACATGTAGAGCTTGCGTCGATCCGAATTGGTCCAATATGCATCCAACCACCTTTTCAGGCATCAAAACATTCCTATCAAGTAGATCCTGGACCAATGACAGCGGAATTGTGTTCGAGAATGTCTCATTCCGGGATGATGACTGGCTGGTTCGCCTTCTATAAACAGCTGCTAGGTTATGATCACCAAACGCAAAGTCAAATAGAACTGATTCCCTGGTCTGCGGATTATCTTCCATGAGCTCGGCAAATATATCCTCGAAAGCGCCGGGTGCGCTGGTTTGAACAGCATGTCCCCTCGATGTCGCTAAGCTAGCAATGAACACCCAGTCCTCTCCTGGTGGGACCTGGACACACTCAATGGTTTCTGCATCCGATGATTCATATTCATTCCGCTTCCTTTTCATACCACCATGAACACCCACGGGATGGTTAGATGATATAGGCGAAAAGGCCCACGAGTTGTGCCGAGTTCGGAAGCGAATCACATAATCAGACGGGTCGAGCTGATACTTGGAGCATAGTGTGCGAAGAATATTGATTCTTTCACCTGAGTATCGAATCGTTCCGAGCAGGAATTGCAAGTTCGTTAGACCAAGAAACGCCGATGATGAGTTTCCATCATTTCCAATCCATGACCTCCCATAGTTGGCGCCGTATCGCATGAGTTGCATTGCGATTTGTCTTTCCTCGGAATCATTCGAGAGCAGCAATTCTATGCCACCCTTGAGGGAGAATATCAGCTGTAGCAGTTTCATTATTGCCCTGAATGACTCCCGATCATCCACGATAAGATCGACCACACTATACCGTGATAAGTCTTCGGGGAGCTCCAGCGGTTTCTCGGCGATCTGGTTCATTCTTAGTCGGTATATTTGGTAAAAGAGCTTCCAGAGTGACCCTATGAATTTGGCAGCTGAAACTGCACCATCATAGGAGCCCAAAGAGGCACCAAGCGCTAAGGCTTGTAGTTGTTCCACTGAGATTCTCGAGTCATGCATCGTGGATCGTTCTCGTCGAACAGTGCCGTAGTAACGAAGACTTGCCAGTGGCAAAGACCAATATACTCCATCTGCACGCGGGCCAGTTTGAGGAGCGATTGCAATGGTGACTATTCCACCTTCTTTGACCAGCCGGTCTTTCTGAAATATCTCCTTGGTACTTGATGTGAGTATAACCAGGTCTGGATAGAGATGCCACGAGGTCAAGGCAAGCATGATTCCCCCGTCTGTGATTCTTTGGGGTTGCCCTTTGATCAGGCTTTCCATCGCAATCAAGGCGCTGTTGAAATTATACAGAACACTGTCATAGCTGTTTGGCTTTGTAGATGGCCGATCATCCGAAGGATCTTGGTCCTTTACTGCCACTGAACGGTTGTTGACGATCAATTGAACTTGGATCTGCTCTTTCTTCTTCGCTTGGTCTGCAATTTGTAACCACGCCCGTGCACTGGAATCCCAGCTTGCTAATAGCGCTTCATCAACATCATGGGCGGCAGCTAATTGCGCCAAGTAGTTATCCACAATCTCAGATGACTGAGCTTGTTTTCTGATGATTGCCTGGCGATGAGTGACAATTTCTTTCCAAACCCCCGTTGCCTCTTGATGAGTCCAGATGCGGGCCAGAAAACAGGCAAGGAGATGAATGCGAAGCACAGACCTTCCACTCGTTGCACTAGCCCATATTGTCGTGCTATCAATGCCTAGATGAGTGCCAAAGAACCCGTTTACAATATTCTTCGGCTGGTGTAATCTTTGGGAAGTCTCCTGGGCAATTTCACTAGCACGAGTCCCATAAGCCTCCAATAAGACAGGCACGTCTGGCAGAACATCGTCAAATAACACACCCAGGCGTCGGGCCAGAATATGAAATGAACCATCTTCTGCGGACTGTCGTCGGGCTTGAGAAAGCTGTCTTCCCACGGGTTGGAGTTCGGCAGGCGCTTTGACTTTGACCAATGAAAAATCAAAGTTCAGATGGGCCAGAGCAATGTTAGGCTCGGCAACGGCATGTAGTGGAGTTGCCACTACGTTCTGGATGTAACCTGCCATTCTGTGTCACGAATTACAGCAGAATAGAAAGTGGAATGGAAGGAGGCCCTTTCATATTCGTTTGTGAAGCGCCATGCAGCCTTGTGGTTTACTCTATTAGGCTTGGAGGGAGGGCGGAGGCGGGGCTTAGCGTGACGATCCCTCATTGCGTTGCTCGGAAGCCTCTAGGTGAACTGCAAGGCACAGTATTGACATCCTCAACCTATAAATGGAGGGCCGAGAAATTTCCTGTGTTCACCCAGCCTCTGCTTAACATCTGCGTCACAGCTAGCCCCTAGCATATACTACTTTTCCTGAAAACATCAATAATGGTAGACGGTCGGAACTACACTAGAGTGCACGCTAATGCATGTGTAATCACTCGATGAATGTCTGACTTCGGCCCAACTAAAGTGCATAATTGTGCACTTGATCGAGTATTGAATAGCAACACCATAATGCACGCTCCATCAGAAGGTGAGTAAAGTTGGCAGTAGAAAAGCCAACACCTTTCGCCTTCCTGGACTTCGACTTTGACACCAGCTATGCCTGGCTTTTCATCTCAATACAACAACTGCACATGAAAGACCCGACAAGATGGGAATAGTCCCTCGCAGTCAAGGATGCCAAGGTAGGGTATTGCTAGACCGAGAATAAACTCATACACACACTCACTAGCCACTCAGGTTCTACACTTGATCACCTGCTCATAGTGTAACGGAAAGGTGCAGACCGCCTTGGAGGAACTCAAGGACACCTACAGGATGCATTGAGAAACGTCTACGGTGTAACTTGATACTACCAATGGGCATAAGGCGTGGTTCCTGAAGATATATATAAGTATCATTGTCATCAATGAAGGCTGGGACAGACCCACATAAATTCCATCTAACCCGATTTCTCCATATGAGCTCTGCACAAATTTCCTTTAATTAGTGGTAAAAAAACAGAGCTAGAGGCCTTTGACTAGTCTCGCAAACCATGGCTTTTCGGTGCTCGAATCCCAGAGGTGACGTTAAAAGCCGGAGCAAGTTATGCACAACTGCTATACAGCTGACTCATCCGCACAACTCCGCTATCGGACATTCCAGCGCATCGCATCGCATCGCATCGCATCAACCTTATCATCACATCCAAGCTCCAAACCGCCGCCGCCGCGCTGGCTTGCCAAGCACCATCACTATACCCTCCCTACCACCACACCCTACAATACACACTCCCATCCGCCCAAAATGCAAGGCTTCAGTACGTCCGCTCCCCTCCCCTCCCCATCCCCCAAACCATCTACATCAATTACTAACCCCCACCAGACATGGGACGCTACGTCCCCCCGGACCTCGAAGGCCTAACCACGGGCAACAAACTCCACAACAAACACCCACTCGGCTCCCGCGCACGCAACCTACAATCCACGGGCGCACTAACCGTCCGCTTCGAGATGCCCTTCGCGATCTGGTGCACGACATGCCAACCACACGAAACCATCATCGGGCAGGGGGTCCGCTTCAACGCGGAGAAAAAGAAAATCGGGAATTACTACAGCACGCCCATCTACAGTTTCCGAATGAAGCACGGCGCCTGTGGCGGGTGGATCGAGATACACACGGACCCGAAGAACACGGAGTATGTGGTTATTTCCGGGGCACGGAGGAGGGATTACGGGGTTGATGAGGAGGGGAGGAAAGTGGGGGAGATAATCACCGGGGATGATAAAGGGAAGATGGATGCGTTGGAGAGGTTAGAGGGGAAGGTGGTGGATAAGAAGCGCGGAGAGGAGGAACGGGATCGGATTTTGGAGTTGCAGAGGAGACAGGCGAGGGATTGGGAGGATCCGTATGAGAAGAGTCGGAGGATTAGGAGGGTATTTCGGGCGGAGAGAAAGGGTTTGGAGAGGAAGGAGGAGGAGAAGGAGAAGTTGAAGGATAAGTTGAGTTTGGGGATTGAGGTGGTCGATGAGATTGAGAGTGATCGGGTAAGGGCGGGGATGGTGGATTTTGGGGAGACCGGGAGTGGGGTGGATGGACGGAAGGCGAGGATGAAGCCGTTGTTTGGGGAGGAGGCGCGTGTTGATGGGGGAAAGAAGGAAGGGAAGAGGATGAAGGCTAAGGAGGTGCTTGAGGATCGGAAGGCTGCTTTTCGGAGTGAGTTGAGGGGAAATACAAGGGCTGCTGTGGATCCGTTTTTGAGCAGTGATTCCGGTGCCTGGAGGCCTGAGGTGAAGAGGAGGAAGATTGTCTCCGGGAGTAAGGCGGATGATGGGAAGGAGAGTGGTGAGACTGGCTCAGAGGTGGAGAAGAGTGTTGGGGAGACGGAAGAGACACCCCGTCAGACGCTTGGGTTGGTGAGCTATGCGTCGGATTCGGAGTGAGTGTGTGTCTGGTGGTTCTTTGCATCTCTACGAGGCGTTGCGTTGGTCTTATAAACGAATGATACCCCGGGGTTTGGAGTTATGGCATAGAAGGCGTCGACAATTTACGATTCACTTATCGTATGCAATTGATATTATGCAAGGGTATAAGTACAGATAAAGATCGATCAAGCAGAAGTACTAGGTCATTTAGCCCAGGGTGCCTTGGTCGTTATGTCCCCTTGGGGGTCAGCAGCACCAGCAGCCGGCCCTGGAGCTGCATTTGCCCATGGAGCCCTCGTCGGGGCCATTGGGCCGGACGGTACCCGAGAGGTGTCGGGCAGAGTTGGACCTCTGGTCGGGCCTCGTGCTGTTGCCCAGGGTGCAGCAGTTCCGCTGGTGGGAGGGACAGCTTGCGATGTGGCCCATGGGGCTTTGGTTCCTGGTCCGGAAACTTGGGGGGCTTCGGTTTGTCGAGGCTGTGGCGCAGATGACGTGTGGACGGTAGATGGCTGGGGTATGGCGTTTGGATCGCGGTCCCAGCTGAACAAAGAGCCGAAAGGGAAGTGCTGTACGACGGGAAATTTAGATAGCACTTCCGCGTTGTACATTTTGATCATGCCCTGTCGGCAGTTAGTGTACGACTTTACCACTCCGTCTGTGCCACAAATACCTTGTTGATCTTGGCCCAGCCGGTCTTGATGCCAGAGATATCGTAGAGCATTGGGCTATGTTCCCAGAACGGGCCCTTCTTCACATCGTAGATGAAGCCAATGGCAGAGAAGTAAAGGTTTCCACGTCGTTCCCGTTCCACAACATTCACCTTAGCAACACCCGTCGGGTCAGGCGCATCCGGCAAAGAACCCTCTTCTGGCACTCGATCTGTTTCCGATATAGCTGGAGCAAACTGCGCTGAGCCGAGGATATAGGGAATGAAAGAGTGATCATCCAGTCCCCACACGCCGTGGGAACCGGCCGGTTCCAAGGTATATGTTTTGATAATTGTCCGCACTAGCTCAAGGTACCTAGCAATCATCAGTATGAATTCAAACAGAGGCTAGAGATACTCACGGTTGAATGACGCCTAAGACAATGGCTCTCTCCTCGACACCAAAAGTGCTCTGCGGGAATCCGTGCAACTTCCAAAGTCCAGCCAAAAACGCCAGAAAGCTCAATTCATGGCCAGTACCATAGTCTAGACGTTGAGGACTCCCCCAGCTTCCCAAGAAGTATGCCTTGAGCTCTGCTGCCGCCGTAGGCCCCTCGGGGTCTGCTGATTTCCGATTGAGGACCTCTGGAGAGAGACACTCCTCCAGGAGGCTGGAGACACGACTTTCAACAATCTCGTACCATCTGCGGAAACTGATATTTCCGAATCTACGGGGTCCCTTATCGGGGGGAGCTTCCTCGAGAATTGCTTCTAGCTTAGAGAGCAGCTGCTGAAGTTGGCGAACCGGTGCGGAGTATTCCACAGCATCAGAATTCAAGGGCCAAGTCTGAACGCGTCCATCCTCTAGCTTGGCAGGAAACATTGACCGATTTAGCTGGAGGAGGAATGTCATAATGTCCACATAAGCTTTAGAACACAAGAATTCGGAGACATCGCTGTGCTCGTGGATGCGTTTGGTGGGCGCGGCGAACGTGTGCCCCACCGCGGGGTCGAGGGTGGGCAACACACGGACTGAAGGGACGTCCGCGGCCATAGTGTCGCTAAGTGTGTGCGAAAATAATTGGATAGATGGTATTCAAATGAGTGTTGAAGCAGACGGAAAGAAAAGGGAAACGAAGGATGGTGGGGAGAAGATGGAGGAAGGTTGGCTGGCAATCTGGTAGCGGGGCCTTATCGATAAGGCGGGCAAGTGATGACGCCCGCCGATCACGGGAAGCACCTCGCGTTCCAGCTTCCCACCAACCAGCTCCTTCGCCGCCGTCCCTGATCCCCGACTGGCTTGACAGGTCCACTCATTGTTTTCTGTTTGCTGGGGGAGCGGGTATGCTTTACTTTGCTTCTGTTCCTTGAATTTAATGGGTGTTCAAGATGTCGGACTCACCGCGTTCTGTGCAGCGGAGGAGGAAGCGCGATTCCACCCTGCAGGCGGTCGACCTCTTGAATGGCCTCATGGGTAACATACAAAACCCTCCGTCTCGGGCAAATCGACCCGGTCCCGCCACGCCGCATCCCTCGCGTCGGCTCACGTACGCTGGCAAGAGAGATGCTGCGGACATGAATGATGGTTTTGGTCTATTCCCTCGGACTGTCCCCCCGAAGCCCAGATACGCCCACGAAACTGAAGTGGTCACTCCGCGTCGGTCATTAAGGTTCTCGGAACCCGTGCCTGGTGGATCCACTCGGTATGAAAGCGATCAAATGCTGCAGCCTCCTGGAAGCCCAGAATTGGAGCACGAGTCTGGCGATCAGTCAGATGAGCCAGGTGAGGAGCAATCTACAAAACAGGCCGAAGACGGTTTCGGGGATGACACTCATGTAATTTCCCCACACACAAGTACTAAGACTGAAACCGAAGACTACTCTTTAAGCGACGCTGAACATGATGATGAAGACGATGATATCTCATCCCAGAGTGACCAAGAGATGCTTGATGGCGAAGATCTGGCATCAGAAGTAGAACTTTTCTCGAATATTGATGAGCGTACCCAGCCATCTATCGACCGGCCTAGCTCATCGCCATCCTCCAGCCATGAGACTCCTGGTCGTAAACTCAAGACACAACCTGTCAGGAACATAGCAGCTTCTGCACCAATCTCAACCGAATTAATTGAAAATACGAGCAGCGAACAGTGGAAAGATGCACCAGAACAGCCCGCCAATAGGCGAGACTCCAGCCGCAGTGATGCTTCCTCGGCCAGGCGATTACCCACAATTGCGGTTGAGATAACTACAGCAACGCCTTTATCATCTAAGGCTTCAGCAACGGGGGATCACCAAATGGGCGGATCTTTGAGGGATGACAAAATGCGTATACCAGACCAAGAAGTCAAGGATGCCGGCGCCACACAGGACGAAGACCCGCCATACCAACCTTCAGAGGCGTCCTCGTCATCGGTGCCTTCTCCCGAGCCTACCTCATCCGAGGATGACTTTCAGCATCATTCTGCGGAAGCAAGTCCGCAGGTCTCAGACCCACCGCGGCAATCCACGAAACGAAGACACTCAATTACGAGCTCACAAGGTACGACCGGAAATAGGGAGATACAGCCCGGACGACAAACTACCGGAGTTTGTCAGCAGGCCAATTCCCGGGTTGTCAGAAAGAGTCCAGCTGAGGGCACCCAGCACTCCCATGGCGCAAACCATGATGGGGCGCAGCATGCTACGGAACCTGCCCAAGACAACTTTGATGAGCGTAGCCATAGGCCTGAACGCCCGGAGGATAGTGCGTGGTTCAAGGAAGCCTCTGAACTCGACGGCCAGCGCTCCAATTGGAACAAGCTTGTCCAGAGCATGCATCCTCGGAACATAGCTTCCAATGTCAACCTAATTGACTTTGACTTTGAGTCGCTGAAGCGTGAATTGTCATCCCTAATCCAAGTCTACAAAGATATTATCGAGAACTTGGCATCTGACACTGGGCCGTCAGACTATGACGTGCGTAACTGCAGCGCGTCGCTGGACCAGGTTGACAAACAAGGACGCCGTCACCTAGAAGAGGCCTACACACTCTCGACTCAAGGGGATGGAGCGAAAGGCGGAGCACTGGTGGAAGTGTTCGACGCCCAGATGATCTCGCTGTTAGTGCGGCTGGTTCTCGTCTGCTTTCAAGCCTACTCCATGGATCACCGACTCTTCCCGGAAGCATACGGGCATCTCCAGCATGCCATGAGAGTACTGCTCCGGCGGTGTGATCAGATCCGCGGTCTTGTCCGAGGACATTATGTGGCGTGCCGGGCCGTCAGCCCGGGGTTGCGTCTGCCCCTGCAGCGGCTCCTCGACTCGTTAGAAAATGGTCGCCTGCAGAAGCGCCACCAACGGGAAGATGTGGAGGCTGACAGGCACGCGAAGGCGCCGAAAAAATCGACTCCGAAGGGTCAGTCCAGACCCCCGAACCTGACACATCAACCACGGACTTGGACGAAAGACGAGGAACTCGCTCTTATCGAGGGCTTGCAACAGTTCCAGGGTAAGTGCTCCTACTTGGAAAAAGAGAAGTCGGCGGCACGACATGCTCACTGGATACATCTAGGCCCGGACCGCTACCGTCAAATCTGTGAGTTCTACCAAGATGGCATGGGCCAACGCGGGGAGAGGGAGGTGCGCAAACAAAGCGAGAGACTGTATTACCAAATGCTCCCGATAATCCGGGAAATGGCGCGGACGGGAGAAGAACAATGGGATTGGGGGTGGTTGCTGAATGTGGTTGAGTGATGAGGGGAAAATATATTTATTTATTTTGGCTGCCGTAATGATGTCTTTGAGCGCAGTCGTGTCATATACCCCGAGTTTTTGTGTGATTTCTCCCATTCTTAGTATTAGGTATCAGTCTTGGCCATTACTGCCCGGGTACTCTTATTGCATGATTGAAAGTGGGATGTGATTGTTCATTCTAGTCCCTGGACGGAACCATGGAACCAACAACGGGCATTGTTTATCCTACGGACGGTTTAGGGGGGGCAGGGGGACAACACGCGGAAACCCCAGCAATGACAACCATGGGATGAACCCAGTTGGGGGTGACGCCAACCGTGGCCAGCAGGAAGTACTAGTAAGGAGGCAGCGTTGTTGTGGTCTGAACGCGAGACGGACTCGATGGTAGATTCGATAGACCCGAGATAGTGAGTGGGAATCAACTGACTGACCCGCCAGAGTGTCTAGAAACAAACGAAGAAGTTGTTGACCTCCTGACCGCCGACCGCCCTTCCCATGCCTGAGGCCAATCAGGCATTCTTCCCAGCTTCTTTCCCTTCGTTCCGCCTTTCCCTCCCCCTCCTCAGCTCCTCCTCCTGTTCGACTCTCTTCCCTTTTCCCTCCCAAAATTTACTAGAGAGAACTTACTACTACTACTACTTTACTCCTCTTTCTCCTCTTCCTCTCCTCTTCTTTCCCCCCCTCCTTCCTCCTCCCATCTTCTCGTCGTGTCTCTCTTACTATCTTACCTCTCTGTATTTTGTTTCCCTCTTGCTTCTTCTTCTCTTTTTCTTGTCTACTTACTTGTTGTAATTCTTTAATCCCCATCCCCGCTAACCCCCTTTTCTAATCCCGCCCGTTGGTTTTCTGGTTCCCTCCCGGCAGTTCCTGGTGAGTAACTACTGACCCCAACTGTTTTGATCTGCACCTCTCCGGGGTCCAGCAAGAACCATGCCACCGTGCCTCTCTGCTCCCCTCCCTGCCCACCCTTCGAGTTGTCCACCTCCCAAGCTGCCTGCAATTATTTTCTGCATCATCCTCTGCCATTGAGACTCCCCAGCTGCCCTGTGTTGCGTGATCCTCCCCGTTGCGCCGTGGTCTGCGGAGTTGCCAGAAAAAAAAGGAGACCCGCCTCGGCTATTCCGTCGCAGCTTCTCTCTACGGGGCCAACTTTCAGAAAGTGCTTTTTTCCCTCGTCAGGAGACCCTGTTTACATCTTCTGGCCCCCTTTTCCTGTTACTCATTATCTTGCATGATTGCAATAAATTTATTGTTCTTGCACCGACAGTTCCCCGCCCCCTCCATCTTGGGGATCTTGCATACATCTTTACTTCTGCTGGTCGGATCAGCTAACGTGGACGCTCCCAATTCGTTAGACTGCCTCGTTAAGTTTTGACAACGCTGAACGCTGCGAACCTTCCGCCCTCCTGCACACCAATCTCAGACGAACTCCTTCTCCACAGCATGGCGTCCACAGAGGAACCTGTCACCCCCGTTGCTCCTGCGGAGGTGGAGCCGGAGATCGCGCCCCCTGCCACTCCGGTTGATTCGACCATCCTCTCGGGGAGCGAGGAGCCCGTCACGAGCCCGGATGTCTCCAAGGACAAGGAGAACGTCAAGGCCTCTCCGGTCAAGAAAAGTCCCTCCTCCACGACCAGCACTCGGCGTCCCTTGTCCGGAACGACCACCACGAAGCGTCCCACCTCCATGTCCGGTCCTTCCAGAACTACCACTTCGACCACACGCCCCGCCGCGACCAACGGCAGCACCCTGAACAAGCCTCCGACCCGGCCCGCAACTACCACCACGGTCCGCAGGCCCCTGAGCACTACCACCACCACCACAGCCGGCCATCGGTCGCGCGCCTCGGTCAGCAGTTCCGCAGACGAAAAGTCCCACCGGTCGGTAGCCAGCTCGGGAGATGAGAAACGTGGCATCTCCAGCACAGCAGCCAAGCGCATGTCGCTGGTTGGTACCTCGGCCACGAGAGCCCCCGTCAAGCCCACTACGTCCACTCTGGACCGACGTTCCAGCATTGCGGGCTCGACTACGGCGGAGAAGAGAACATCTACCACTCGCCCGAGCACGGCCTCCACGGTGCGGCCCTTGACCAAGCCGGCTACCACCACCTCGACTTCCCGTCCGACCACTTCCTCCTCCGCCACCGCCACTCGTACCACCACCAGACCCACGTCGACGGTGACGAGGCCGGCGACGACCGCCTCCAAGAGGTTGAGCACCGCGCCCAAGGGTGCCGAGGAAGACTCGGAGAAGTTGCAGTCGCTTCAGACCAAGCTGGCGGAGAGCGAAGCCACGGTGACCAGCCTCAAGGCGGATCTGGACGCTGTCAACCTCAAACTGACCGAGCTGTCTCTCGCCCCGAACGATTCCTCCGAGAATGTTGATGAGGCCACCAAGGCGCTCCGGGAACAGCATACCGCCGAACTTGAACAGCTGACCGCGGTCCATCAGGAGCAGCTGCAGGCGTTGCGTGCCCAGTTGGAGGATGTCGAGGCGAAGCACAAGGAGCTGGAGGAGAAGTCCGTCAAGGAGTTGGACGACGCCGCCCAGTCCGCTGCGGCTCAAGGTGATGACCAGACTGCTGCGGCCCTGGAGGAACTGAAGCAGTCGCACCAAGCCCAACTGGAAGCGCTGGAGAAGGATCTTGCCGAGCAGAAGGCAGCAGCTGCCGGATATGCCGAGCAAGTCGACTCCTTGAAGGCCGAGCTTGAGGTGCAGAAGGGCCAGCTGACCGAGGCTAGTGCCAATCTGGACAAGACCCTTGCGAAACTGGAAGATCTCCAGCGCGAGCTCAATGGACGTGATCAGGTGGTCGAAAATCTGCACATGGAGATGGACCGGTTGGACCAGGCCAAGCAGCAGGAGATCCGGGCCGCAGAGGAGGCTGCCAAGCATGCCATCTTAGCCCTGGAGGACAAGGTGACATCGCTCGAAAGCCAGCTTGCCGCTGCGGGTTCTGCGACCAGCGAAGGCAACGAAGAGACGGCCGCTCGCTTGGCCGAGAAAGACCAGGAGATTGCCGACCTCAAGGACGCGTTGGAGAAGGCGCACGTGGAACTTGAGCAGGGCCGCCAGGACGCGGAAGCCCAGATCGCAGAGAAGACCAAGGAGCTGGAGGCCGCCCATGAGGCTGCTGTTGCTCAGCTCAAGGCCGAGCATGAGGAGGCCCTGGCTACCGCTATTGAGGGCAAGGTTGGCGACAAGGTCAAGGAGCTTGAAGCGGCTCATGAGGCTGCAATTGCAGAACTGAAAGCCAGCCATGAGCAAGCCCTCGCTGCGGCCGCTGAGAGTGGACTGGGCGACAAGGTTAAGGAGCTGGAAGGTGCCCACGAGGCCGCCATTGCTCAGCTTAAGGCTGAACATGAACAGGCACTGACTGCGGCGATCGAAAGCAAGGTTGGCGAGAAGCAGAAGGAGCTTGAAGCCGCTCACGAGGCCACGATTGCGGATCTCAAGGCCAGTCACGAACAAGCACTTTCTGCGGCCGCTGAGAACGGGCTTGGCGACAAGGTCAAGGAACTCGAAGCATCTCACGAGGCCGCAATTGCTCAACTAAAGGCGACTCATGAGGAGGCGCTGGCTGCTGCTGCGGCAGCTCACGCACAGGAACTTGCCGCTGCCAAGGAGGCCGCTGAGTCCGCTGGAACCTCTCACGCCCAGCAACTCGACGAACTCCGTGCGAAGCTTGAAGAGGCCGAGTCTGCTGCTGCAGAGGACAAGGAAGAGTTGATTGCCGAGCTGGATGCCGCCCATCAAGCGGAGATGCATGCTCTGCACCAGCGACTGGAGGCTACCGAACAAAACCTCGCGGAGGCCCGCCAAGCTCTGGAAAACGGCAACAGCTCTGCTCAGGATGTTGCCATCCAGGAGATCGAGTCGCTGAAGGAGAAGGTCGGTGCTCTGGAGTCCCAGCTCTCCACCGGACAGGGCGAGATCAAGTCTCTTCAAGACGAGATCCAGAGCAAGCAAGGGCAGGCGGAGGCGCTGCAGCAGAGCCTGGACGCCTTTGAGGATAAGACCAAGGCCAAGGATGCTGAGCAGGAAAGTCAACTCAGGTCCTTGGAGGAGAAGGCCAAGGAAGCCGCTGTGGTGGCCGAGCAGCACGCACAGGCGCTCGAATCCCTGAAGGCTGAGCACGCTGTCGCTCTCGAGAATGTCAAGACCACTGCCACGGGTTCCCACGAGCAGGCGCTTGGCGAGCTGCAGGCCAAGTACGAGGCGTCCATGTCCACCCTTCGCAACCTGGAGTCCAAGCATGCTGAGCATGTTGAGTCTCTTGAGGCCGAGCTCCGGTCCGCCCTTCAGCGCCATGCCCAGGAGATTGCGGAGCACACCGAGACCCGTGCTAAGGAAATCGCCGAACTTCAGCAGCAGCATGAAGAGGCCAAGGCCCAGTTCCAGGCTGAACTGCAATCCCTTCAGACGTCTCGGTCCGCTGAAACTGATGCTGAGCACAGCAAGGCGATCGAACAGCTCCTTACCATTCAGGAGGAGAAGCTTTCTGGTCTCCGGGCTGACCTGGAGGCCACCAACCAGGCTAAGATCGAGGAGCTTCAGAAGACTCACGATGCTGCCCTTGCGGAGGTCCACGCCCAGCTGGCCGAAGCTCACGCCGCCGCTCAAGATGTTTCGGTCCTTGAGAGTCTGAAGCTGACCATTGCGGACCTGGAGAAGAAGCTGAACGAAGCGGAGCAGTCTGCTGCGGAGTCTAAGGAGCTGGCTGGCAAGCACAACGCCGATCTCTCTTCCATCCTTACCGAGAAGAACGAGTTGGAGCAGCAGCACCAGGCCGTGAGCAGCCGGGTGGCCGAGCTCGAACAGTCCCTTGCTGCTTCGGAGAGCGCCAAGTCGGAACTGGAAGCTGTTCTGCAACAACTTGCCGCGTCCAAGGACGAATTGTCGAATTTGAAGAGCCAGCACGAGACCCTGTCTGGTGAACTGCAGGCGTGCAAGACGGAGAACCGTGCCATGGAAGAGAAGCTGGAGCAAGGCGAGCGCGATCTGAACAGCCAGATTGACAAGAACATGTCTCTCCTCAACCAGCTGGGCGAGGTGGACTCGTCGATTGCGGCCAACCGCAAGCGGGTGCGCGAGCTGGAGGCCGAAGTGGCGGCATTGAAGGCCGAGAAGGATACGCAGGGCGGATCGGTCGGACTGGAGGGTAGCCGCTGGGCGGGCGAGAAGGAGGAGGCCGCGGAAGGTGAGGATCTTGGCTCATCCATCCAGGGAACGGTGGGACTGCCCCGTTTAACTTCGTCCTCCACTACAGGACTTCCCCAATTTCATCCCTTTACCTGACAACGGCCCGTTCCCTGACCCGGCATGGTTACTGACTGGCATGGTTTCTGGTAGATGGCAAGCATTCAGGAGCAGCTTAAGCATATCCGGACGTCCAACGATGACTGGTACGACGAACACCGACGGTAAGACCCCTGACCCTACTTTCCCAGTCCCAGCTGACTGACATATGTGTCTCAGAATCCTAGGCGAACTGGCGGAAATGTCGCGCCGGGCCACGCCTAACCCACCCAGTCAGTCGACGACGCCGCAGCCGGAGAAGGCGAGCAGTGCGTCGGAGCAGGGTGCGGATGAGGGATCCTCGTGATGGAATGTTGCATGACCAGTGGTGAGGCTATGAGAAGAGAGAGGGGACGAAGATTTTCCTTTGTCGCGGCATTTTTCCTTTGTTGTATCGGCATAGGCTGTATGTAATAAGATGCTCGGGATACCCCTGTGTGCGCGTTTCTTGTGATTGCAACCGACGGGTGCATCGACATCCCTTGCGGCCATTTCTGGGGATCCCATTGGGCTAGCGACGTTGCACGAATTTATTGATTGATTCTTGTCTTATGCAGTGCAGCGTGGAATAAGTCTAATTGTAGTCGGGGTTGGCAGCCTTGCTGGTTCGGCGACGCATGCGCGTCCACCCCACCCGGAGTGCAGTCCACCACGCATGTCGCTGCTGCTGCTGCTGCTGCTGCTGATCCTCGTGGTGCTCCTGCTTCTCCTGCTTCCCACGCTGGGGCTGTCTCGCCGCCCGACGCGACTGTTCATATCGAGCAGGCGTGAGGATCCTCGCGGGAGGAGACATTCGGAGCGGTACATCATCGCCATCACTGCCACTATTCCCATTGCCCTCTTCATCCTCCGATTCCCGTAACCAATGTAGAATCTCCCTCTGATCATCATTGCCAGGAATCGCCCTCTCCTCCTGCTCCCCTTCTTTTCCCTTTTCCTCCGTTTCCTTTATACCCTCCATACAACGCCCCTGTCTTCCCTCCTTCTCCTCTTTAATCACAACCTCCTTGACCGGCTGACATCCCTTTCCCGTTTCCCCTTCCTGATACAAATAACTCTCCTCCGTCAACCCCGCCGTAAACGCCTCGCAGTACTCCGCATACGAACTCGTGAGCTGCTCCTGCGAGACCGTCAGCGGCGGGATCTGCGCTTCGGATGAGCTCGCCGATGACGAGTACGTCGACGAAGATTCCTCGATCGTCTTCGATCGCGGCGATAGATTGAACAGAGTGCTGAAGTTGAGACTTATCGGCGACAGCGGGGAAAGGGGCGAGCGAGATCGGATTTTACTTCTTGTTGATGTTGGGCTTGTGGGTGGAGGTGTTGTTGGATTTGTTGTTGTATCTGCTGGATGGGTTGGTGTGTTTGTAGTTGTGTTCGCGTCTGTGTTTATAGATGTAAGTAGGGAAATGGGTGTATGTTCATCATTGGGAGATATAGTTCTGGGTTTGGTTTTGGATCGTGAGGATCGGCGTGGGAGGGTTACGCGTCTGTATAGACGTGATGTGGTTGTGGTTGTGGTGGTGGTGGTGGGTTTGGGGGTAGGTCTGCGGAGTGGTTTTGGTCGTGGGGAGGAGTTGGTGGAGGGACGGGATGAGGTTGAGAAGGTGAGCCAGCGGCGGAGGGTGGTAGTCTTAGTCTTGGTTTTGGTGGTGGTGTTGGTGGTGGTGGTGGGATTCTCTTCTCCAGGTTGACAAGCGAAGGTGACGGTGGCCATTGTTGTGATTGTGATAGTATCAATAGTAAGTATCGTTTGCTTGATAGAATAACTAATTATGTGCTGTGTTGAAAGCACGAAGACATAAAAGAAAGAAGGCAATAGGTAGTATCAAGGGATAAAGAAGAAAGGAAAGAAAGAAAGAAAGATAAAATGTGGTAGTCAGTTGAGATTTCATCCAAGGAGTCACGCCCAGTCAGCCACCAAGCAAAACACAAAGCAACAAATACCAAGACTCCTAGTATTTGCACCTCGTGATATTAGCCAATATTGAGTTGCTGCACCTTCCACAGTATTCCCAGTGGCTAGGATGGGGAGTCTAGAACTGGGTTGATCTCCCGGCAGGGATGATCACAGATGCCTAAATCAAGGGAAACCGGGCATGATAAAAGCAAGAGTATCACCACCACCTTGCTTCGATCCGGCCAATGGGAGGTGCTGGTATGCTGCAGTTTGTCTTGGTTTCATTCGTCCCGCTCACCCACTCCTTTATTTGCATGTGCAGGGCATGGTTAATAACTTAACCATCTCACATGCAGAAGGCAGTTCAACGGTGGATGAGTGTGGATGGAAGTGGTACTGGCGCTGCGTTTGTGCTACGGCGGTTCATATACCGGCATACTGTTGTAGGCTAGGCTCGCGTGGCGGGTGGCGGTGATACTATTGTATGATTGTGTTGTGCGGTGAAGATAAAATCTAATTTGTTAAGGTAAGACAAACAGAGATAAAATCAAGGTTAAACATTTACAGGGATATCTATTGCCTATTGTCACTTGTATCATAAGATAGTAAGTAGTATACATACACATGACCAATGAAATTATTCGGACACTCCATCGCGTCCCAACCCCCAGCGACCCACTTCACGCATGGCTTCGTCGCCGCCTTCGACAAGTCGGCCATCCGCGTTGGCGGGATGGGCGCTGCCCAGCACGCCCGCCACGCAGTTCCAGCCGTTCCGCCCACCGCCCCAGCGCAGCACTTCATTCTTGTACCGCTCGCCGGCTTGTCGGTCCACTGCCGCCTTGCCCTGCTGGAACACGTCCTCCCACAGCTTGTTGGCGATCGCCCGGTCGAAGATGTAGCTGTAGTAGGTTGCGCCGTAGCCGTGCAGATGGCCGAAGAAGCCCTGCCAGGAGGTCGGAGGCTTAGTATCGGTTGGGTCGGGGAGGGTGCAGTGCTCGGCAGAGACCTGGTGGAACACCGCGGTGCTGTCGATGGAAGTGGCCTGGCCGGCAGGGAGGGAGTGGTAGGCCTGGTCGACCAGCGCCATCAGGATCTGCGACTCGTTCTCCATCGCGCCGTAGATCGATCCGTGCGCCGTGCGGTCCTTCTCCATGTGCTGCATCATGCTCTCGGACAGAGGGGCGTTCGTCTCCCAGTGACGGGCGTACAATGCCAGCACTTCAGGAGCGGTCGCGAACCGTTCCATCAGCACGGACGGCAGCTCGGCGAAGTCAGTCGCGCATCTCGTTCCCGAGATGGACTGCAGCCGCGTCTGTCCTAGGATGGAGTGCAGCGCATGGCCCATTTCGTGAAACAGAGTACGCACACTGTGCTCGCTGAGCAGGGACGGGCGGCCCGTCCCTGTCGCAGGCGGCTCGGGGAAGTCGCACACCAGCGCGATTGTGGGCAGCTGGCGGAGCGTCTTGGCGTCCCGGTCAACGGCCGTCGCCATGCCGTCGTTGGGGTGAGCGGAGGCATCCATCGTGGTGGCGCACTCGGCCACCTCCTCCGCGGAGATCTCACGTGCGCACCGCAGGGTGTAGTGGGCCGGGTTCGGGTGCTTGTTGGGGCGGGAGAACAGGTCACAGTAGATGACCGCAATGTGGCGGTCCGCCTCGTCGACCACGTCCAATCGGCGCACATCCGAGTTCCAGGTCTCTCCGGCAGCCGTTTCCTGGGGCACCAGCCGAACGCCGTATAGCCGGTCGAACAGCCGCGACAGTCCCTGCATGACCGTTCCCAGGGAGAAGAACTCGGGCACCGCGCTGAGCTCCCGCGACCGGCGCGACTGCGAGTACTGCAGCACCCGTTGGTGCACATAGTAGGCGTGGTCCCACGGTTGCAAGCGGCCGGCGGATCCCTTCATCCTCTGCAGCTGCGCCAGCTCTTCCTGCACGTAGGGCCGGTTACTACCCACCAGCGAGGTCAGGAAGTTGGACACCGCCTCAGGGGACTTGGCCATCTTGTCGCTCAGGGTCATGTGAGCGAAGCTGTCGTAGCCCGAGAGTTGAGCCAGCTCGGCGCGCTTGGCCAGCAGCTGCTCGAGCCGCTGAATCTGGCGGGCGCTGGACGTGCGCGTAGCCAAGTAGACCTCCCGCCGCACGCCCTCGTCGTGGACGGACCGCAGCGCCAGGCGCGGGATCAGGCCCATGCTGGGCACGGAGGCTGTCCGGTTCCACCGCTTGATCTGCTGCACGAGGATGGGGTCGAGGCCGCGCAGGCTGTTGGCGCTCACGGTCACGTGCGACTTGGCCGGCTCGGCCGCGTTGACAAAGGTATTTCCCAGTTGGCTGATGTCATTGGACAGGTTGACGAAACGCTGTCGCGCATGCGGGGGCATGTGAATGGCCGAGTTGGAAAAGTCCTTGATGAGGATCTGGGCGACGATCTTCTCCTCGTCGGACCAACGGGCCGTAACCTCGGGATTGGCGGCGGCCTTCTTCAGCTGGTCGTTGAGACCGGTGGTGGTGTTGAGCACGTTCATATACTCGAACATGAGGGCGTACGCCTGCGTCGCGGCCTCCTGCACACGCGGATCGGGATGGATGACTCGGATAAAGTCCGATAGGTCGATGACTCGACAGAGCAGGTCGCTGAGGCGATCGAGATCGCGGGCCATGCTCTGGTAATCCTCCAGCGTTGTACCGGCCAGCACCTTGGCCACGATGGCCTGGCACTTCTGCAGGGTGGTGGTCGCAAAGACGCGGAAACCATCGGGACTGGTCAGGTACTGATTCTGGACCAGACCGGTGGGTTTGAGGTGGGCAGCACTGCGCTGGCTGAATTCGCGCCAAAACGGCTGCGAGTCGAAGACGCGGCGCAGGGTGTCGTCATCAGACTTCTTTTGGGCATCGTTCTTACTCGGAAGGTAATCGAAGGCTGTGCGATGAGTCGCCGGCGAGGCGGCCGTCTCGAGCGAGCGACGGGCCTGCAGCAGACAGGTCCTGCAAGTCCACGGCCGACGCCGGAGTGGGAGCAGCAGAGAAGCTCCCATGATGGCGTTCAGGGGGAGGCAACGGGAGAGGAAGTCGACATGGAGATTATACCATGGAGGAGTAGTAAAAGAAATAGTATTAAGGACACCAAATGGTGCAATTAAGAGGGACTGGGAGGAGGGGAATAAAAAGCCAGAAGACGGAGAGGAGAAAGAGGGAGAGAGAAGCGGACGATGACGGAGGCTCGAGCCGCAAAGCCGCCAAACTCACGAAAAAAAAGGCTTGGCGGCCGACCTCAGGCCGTCATTCCATCTTGAACCTCCAACTTAGCCTCTCTCTCTTCCACCTCCCTCCCTCACTTCCTCCCTCCATTGGCCTCTCCCATCATGTCTTTCCGGCCAATGCTGAAGCAGGTAAATACCTCAGCTCCTGCGTCTTCAGTCTGCAATGTGAAAATTCCGCTAACTCCCTCCAGCGGGCTGTGGCCCCCATCGCGGCCACTCTTCTGGCTGGCGGTCTCGCCCTCTATCCCCGGCAAACGGCCTTTGCAGAGGAGCCTCGCGATATTGTACGTGCTCGGAAATTGCCCACTTTCTCGATACGACTCGTATCCTAACTTGCCATCGCGTCCAGAAAAAACCCATCTACGATGACTTCCCGACCGAGATCCCGGCCGTCTCCAAGCCCGTCGTCTCTCCGGCCCCGACCACCACCCCGGCGACTTCGGTGTCCACTCCCTTCTCCTCTCCCTCTTCCCCTACTCCCACCGACATCTTGACCGCTCAGGTGCGTCAGGCCCGCCTCTTCCTGTACGAGAACTCCCTGGCCGTCGAGACCAAGTTCAACAACTTCCTGTCGCGTGCCCTGCACATCGAGAACGCCTTCACCAACACCGTCGCCTCCCTGGCCCCGTCCCCCGAGTCCGGCGAACGCCTGCTCCCCGGCGGAGTCTACGTCGTCGTGGCCGCCATGGCCGGTTCCATCGTGTCGCGGAACCGCGGTATCCTGCTGCGCACGGCGTCCCCGCTGGCCTTCGGTACCGTGGCCGCCTGGACCCTGCTGCCCGTGACCATGCGCAACGTGTCGGACCTGGTCTGGGAGTACGAGAAGCGGGTTCCGGCTGTGGCGGACACGCATCTGCAGGTGCGCGAGAAGGCCGAGCACCTGTGGTACACGGGGATTGCACACAGTGGCATGGCGCGGGCCATGATGGAGGAGAAGATCGGAGATGTGCGGAAGAAGTTGGAGGAGGTGGTGAGCAAGGGACACTAAATTAGCCACTTGGCGAGTGTTTAGAATGGGTTGACTTGATCTAGTTCTTGCATATGTACTTTAAGTAGACGAATGAGCGTTTACTATGCAGTTATTACGGGGTGTTGACAGAGTAAAGTAGAACACTGTTTCCACTGCACAATGTATCGTTCCTTATATTCATACCAATATCAGTATTATGTGTGACATTCGCCGAGTCTATCAGATTATTATGAGCACTGTTCAACATAAATTTATATTACGCCAAGAGAAGGCTAGTATACTAGTAGTAGTAAGTGCTATATGGATCGTCATGACATATTTTGATAGCCTTAGTACTATTATCTGCATTGACATAAAACATCACTCGTAACCCATCAACTCATCACAACATAGCCCATACCATGATTACTATCCCATCAAAAATACCCAATACCCATCATCGTACATCTACACACTCTCCGCTCTACTCTCCTGCTCCACCTCCACCTTATCCACCCACATCTCTCCCCTTCCAAGTTCCTTCTTTCCTCCAAGCATCATCATTCCACACCTAGAGGAACAACATTAGCACTCTCCTCAACAGCATCGAAAACAAAAAGCAACACTTACAGAACCGATGCACCAATCCACCCAACCCACCCCAACACCACCCCCGCAACGGCCCTCCCATCATCCCGATAAACCAACTGCTTCTCGCCCAACCCCTCATCTAAATAAACAGTAACATGCGGGCCCACGTCCCCAAAGGACATTTTTCTCGTAGCCAGGATGATAGTAAACGCGAGGAGACTTGTCGTCAGGAGGAGTGTTGCGAGGCACGTAAGTCCCTTTTGGATCCATGAGGGATTGCCGCCTTTGGACTTGGTGATTCTAGGGAAGAGGAAGAAGATAGTGATGAATGTAGCTGAGGTGAGGATCGTCGTGAAGAGGTGGTAGGAGGTTGTTGCTAGGATGGCGGTATCGTGGACGATGGCTTTGGGGACGAGGGATGTTGCGGTGTGCGCGAGGTGGAGGTAGGTGGTTAGGGTGTAGGTTGTTAGGGAGAAGGAGACGAGTAGCAGGAGGATGGTGAGGGTGGAAGTAATTGTAATTGGGAGGTGGGGATTGGACATGGTGGGTGTGTGTGGGTTGATGTAATGGATGGGTATGGATGGATGGGGGTGGTTGGGTGTAGTAACTGAGGGGATGATGGGCTGATATTTATCTAGGATGGGTTACTACTACTTGGGTTGGATGGGATGGTGGAGGTGGTAGTGAGCTATGCATGTTGGATTTTATTAGTGGTTGATCAGGGTCCTGTCAGGACCGGTGCACCAGTTGGAGCTTTCGGTGTTGGATGGTGGATAAGTAGGAAGAAGATGGCTGATCTGGAGGCAAGAGGCTAGTATGTTTTGAGGGGGAGTTTGCGAGTATCCGAGATGCTTCGGCGTGTGATTGGCCAATAACCCGTCTAGAGGTATAATGCCGGACTGGTGGGAGGGGATAACATGGGGTGGTTGCTGTCTTATCGATATTTTATTTTGTTTTCCATGAGTAAGATGTTTGCTGTGCATTAGCTTACTGTGGTAGATATCGAACAAGATGGTTGGTTGGTCGGTCGTTTGTCAAGATAATCACGCTGGCACCCACCGCAACTGCACCTCTCGGAGCTCCCTCACTTGCAGCGTCAACTTGGATATCGAGTCATCCATCTGCTGCAGAAGTTTTCCTTCCTGCATCGGCTCGCACCGCGCATGTCGGAACAGGGTCGCCATCGTCCCGACAAACTCCACCTCCGACATCTTCATGCCCGGACATATTCTGGGCCCTGCCGACCACGGGATGAACGTGCCCTTCGCCGGTGTCACCACTTGACCGGCGTCGTCGAGCCACCGCGTGGGCCGGAACTCATTCACGTCCGATCCCCAGATGTTCGGGTCCCTGTGGATGCTCTGCTGCGAGACGAACACGTTTATCGGGGGTGTCAGCACGTGTGTGCCGTCAGAATCGGCAATCTGCTGTGTCGTGGCCACGCAGCGTGTGGAGTGGAGGACAGGTGTGAAGAGACGGAGGGTTTCGAACTGACGGAGTTAGCACGTATCCTTCAGTGTCCTGTAAGCATCACGTACCATGACAGCAAGCACCCGCGGGCACTGGGAGAACGTTTCATATCCCCAAGAGGAAGTATTCGCGTCCAGTTGGGACAACTCCTCCCGCACCCAGTCCTGCCACTGCGGATACTGTGCTAGAAACATGACAGCGTATCCCATGGTGTTCGCTGTTGTGTCGAAGCCAGCTGCAGTAAACACCCACAGGTTGCCACTGATCTCCGCCTCAGACAGGGACAGCTTCGAAGGATCCTCCTCACCACGGTCCGCAAACCGCACCAGCATGTCTAGCAAATTGTGACGCGTCTTAGACACCTCACTCGATTTAGCGTTTCGTTCCTCATCTAAGATTTCCTTGATATACTCCGGAACCTTCCCCATCTGGCGCCCCAGTTGGCGCAGAGACTGGGGCATAAAAGGCAACATTTTCAGAGAATTCGGGATCAACACCGCCTCCACGAACCGGTCCGTAACCATGGCAATCGTCTTGAAGTACGAGACTCTGGGGCCTTTCCAGTCCTCTCCCAGGGTCTCAACGAAGTCCGGTGACCATGTTTGGTTCTGCCCGTAACCGGCTTGGCCGAGGACATTGATGGCGATGCTGCGCAGCCCGGTCAAGGTGTCACCACCGGGATGCTGCAGAAGATACTCGAGCATAGCGCGCGCCTGACGACAGGACTCTCCCCACACCTCGCCCATGATGGTTTCGTTGAGTTGAGGAGCGATGATGCGCCTCTGACGGGTCCAGTCTTCGCCGTTGGACTGAATTAATGTTGGTCCGAAGACGCCCATGAACTTGGCTACGACGTCGGGCTGGATGAAGTCTTTGCGGCGCTGCAAGACGGTTGCGCCGACGGTTGGGTCAGCTATCCTTCAGGGGGGGTCAGAATAACAGCAGAGTAAATGTATCTAGTCTGGTGAACTTACCATAATGAGCACTCATCAGGCGATACAATGGCGAAAACCTTCCCATATCGGCGATGCATGGCATTCTTGTGGCGAAACTCCCACCCATGGATGTGGATATCAACATGTTCGTGGAGCCATGTGGGAAGGTAGCGCTTCAGCTGCACTTGAAAGGTTGGGCCCACGATCTGCCACAACGTATGCTGAGTGAATAAAGGGGTTATGACTAGGGGATATCCGCTGCGGCGACCGATGATGTAAAAGCGGACAAAGGAGAGGAGTTTGTAGAGGAGATAGATTCCCACCAGGATAGCGAGGGCGGTGCGCAGGCTGATGTCCGCCATTGTCGATCGGACTGACGGCGCAGGTAGCCGCAGAAGAAGGGATAATGCTAGTAAGACACGATGATAGTTCTGGAAGGGTCAGCGCATTTCGGCGGCGGATGAGTCGCGAGATTGACAGCTGGGCTACTTATATGGAGGGATCAGAGGCGGTAAAAGTCAAAGGTGAGCGTGTCAGCACTAAGCTGTCTGGTGGGAATCCTGGCGTGGTTCCTGTAGTGGGATGGGTCGGATTAGACTTACATTAGAGGTAAGTCCATGGGAGAGAATCCAGATCACTCTTTCATTAGGGGAACACGGTCACCGGCGTATAGATAGATAGTATGTAGTAAGTAGTCAGTACGTAGTAGTGAGTACTTACTAGGAATGGCTGTGGAGGGTCAATTGGGGATGGGGCATTATTATTGTTAGTGGGCTGGTTCTGCGATCGGGTAGTTCTCCACCTCGACCAGTCTTGTACTAAACTTAATCAGGTATCATATCCAGGACTTTTAGCATACCCTGCCATCATAAATGATCAAAAGGAGAAGAATCAACTGATAGAGAAATTGCTTCTCAACCACCGATTCCACGATGACAGCTGGATCGGCTGCGATTGGGCCACCTCTCACTGGCGGCAACAGCACTGCCTTCATCCCCCCACCACAGCCTTGCGTGTATTCCTGGCTTACCATCTTCATCCATCCTTCTCTGATCCTGCATCCTTTTCATCTCGCTTGATGCCGTCTATGTATCGTCACTTATCTGGCAGCTCGGTTCCACTATGACGACCGCTCTCACCAAAGCCGCGAGACTGAAACCGGAAGTCCGCTTGGGACAGGCCATCTCCGAATTCCAAGCCGACTGCTCCTCGCTGGAGAAGGCGACGCTGCGATCATATCAGGCTGTTGGAATCCCGCCAGGTATCCGTGATGTGATGCAGTTGACTGCGGAGATCAACCGATCGGCTGGCCTCCAAGGACGATGTTTCGGATCACGGCTAACCAACATTCTCCAGGCGGTACAGGAGTTCGCTGCGCTTGGAGACATCGTCCTCGGCGCCTCGCAGAGCCTCCTAGCCTGTGGCATCTGGGCATTGGTACGAATGTCACTTCTGGTAAGCATGCTGCAGCACGTATGTCACTCGGCGGAAGCCTCTGATGAGGTTCTCAGTCCATCGTCAAGTACTCGGCCTACTTTGAACAGCTATCAGCCATGCTCATGGCCGTGGGCCGCTCTGCACCTCGTTATCAACTAATGGGCGCCGTCTATCCAAAGTCACAACGGCTCCGAACATCAATGCTGGAATACTTCATCACCGTCGTGCAGCTATGTCATCATGTCATAAAGCTGAGTCGGAAGACAGCCTTCGGCCAGTGGGCTTCGACTATGACAACTCCCCTGAAGGGCTACCAATCTGACCTTGAGCTCTGGGCGGCCGCCATCAAAGAAGAAGTGAATTTACTTATGGTTCAGCAATTATCCCTGGAAGCCGAGGATAATTCATGGTTCAGGTCTCAAGTCACTAAACGCTTTGAATCCCAATCGTACGCAAGAAAGCTGAAAGCACGCCAGCGCGTACTGGATGCTTGTTCTACGTATGACTATGAACAAGACTGGAAGCGGATCCGCAAGCTCGGGACCACCACTATGCTGGAGACCTCGGCTGTGTACGCGAATTGGAAAGCTCAACAATCTCCACAAGGGCTACAATCGCGTACACTCGTGTGTTCAGGCAAGCTAGGATCGGGAAAGTCCGTCATTCTCGCAAATATGGTGGATGACCTCAACTTGGACGTGGGAAGGAAGCCAGTAGTGGCGTACTTCTTCTGCCAACATGACTCGACGCAAAGCCTGGGCCCGAAAACAGTAATAGGGTCCTTAGCGCGACAACTGTTGCAATCAGAAAATGACCTCGATGTTGCGCGTGATTTCTTGGGAGACAAGCGTTCTCTCGAGGTTGACGGGATTCTAAGTTTACTAAAGCATCTACTGCCGACGCAGTTCGAGGCCGTTTTCATTCTTGATGGCTTGATGCACTGCGATGCGGAAGCGCGACAGGTCATCTTGACATCTTTACAGGAGATCCAGAACCTGATCAAGCTGTCATTGTGCGTGTCTGTCAGGCCGGAGCCCGCCGACTCTCTGCAGGAACTAAAACAGCTCTCGAACCAGCAGTTTCTTCCCGTTGAAGATAATAAACCCGACATTGATGCTTTCATCAACGCCGAATTAGAGAGATGTCTCGAATCTGGAAAGCTTGTAATAAACGACCCCGCCCTTATTCTCGAGATTCGGGATAGTCTCTCTCAAGGAGCCCAGGGAATGTTCCTGTGGGCGGCTCTGCAAATAGAAGCCCTGTGTCTCGAGAGAACAGACGCAGATATGCGAGAGGCAATTGCCAGTTTACCTAGAGATCTCTCGGCCTTATACACTATGATACTAAAAAGATCTAGACTCTCCGACGTCACATATCAATCCAAGATTCTGGATCTGGTTGCGATCGCGTGCAGGCCACTGACCACAGAGGAAATGAGAGAAGCCCTCAGTGTCGTTCCCTGGGAGACGACCTGGGACCCCGCGAGGAGATTGAATGACATCCATGCAACATTGGGCTGCTGTGGGAGTCTGCTTACTGTAGACGAAGAAAGCTCAAGTATTCGAGTGGTGCATCATAGTGTGAAAACATTTATATTTGACCACACCGGAGAAGGGTTTGATGTGAATCGCGCAAATCAAACCCTAGCGGGGATCATCGTCGCCTACCTGAATTATGATGTGTTCTCCAGGCAGTTGTCGACAGTCAAGGTACCTAAAATCAGCTCCAGCTCAGTCACAGCGGCAGTGGTCAACTCGACCGTTCCCGCTCGTCGCCAATCCCAAAGCTTTGCATTGAAGCTGTTGAGACTGAAGAAGAGCAAGGATACGGACGTTGGCTACAGTCTATTGCAATACCTGCAAGCCTCCAGGGCAAGTGACACCGTGCCCTGGGCCCTTTACCAATATGCAGTGGCATGGTGGCAGGAGCATATTTGGTATCTTGACCTCGATTTACCTAACCTACAGAAGCTCCTGATCAACTTATTGGAGGTTCATGAATATGACAAATCGGACTCCAATGGCCAAACGCCGTTGTCACATGCCTCTCAGCGCGGGTGTCTGGCTCTCGTTAACTGGCTCCTCGCCCGTGGTGCTCGCCACACCGTCGACGTTTCTGGATATTCACCGCTATCTTGGGCCATCAATGGGAGACATCTGGCTGTGATCGACACCCTCTTGAAGAGTGAAGCCGTGGATCCGAGTGTAGTAGATCGGTCAGGGGAGACGCCTCTCATGTCTGTCATAATGATGAGAGATCTCGAGGTGCTCAATTGCTTTTGTGATCGTGGGGCTCGGATTGATTGGAACCAAACAGGTTCCAACGGATATACGCCTCTTATGACCGCTACGCTTATCAACTTTGTGGAAGCAATACTGGTGCTCTTAAAACGCTTGGGGCCACATATCCTCACCCAGTCTCCAGATGGAGACACGGCCCTTCATCTCGCTGCTCGTAAGGGCTACGCGGAGGCCTTCAACTTCATCCTTGTACAAGCGATGGTAAAGCAGACGTTTTCTAAACCCCTGTTAGTTACCAACAGAAATGGAGAGACGCCATTATGGCTAGCGGCCGCACACGGGCACCTGGAAATTGTCCGGTCAATCTTCCAATATCAGGACTTTGACCTGGACGTGCCTGACACTGGTGGGGAAACACCATTCTGGGTTGCGGCCTCGAACGGCCACACCGAGATTGTCAGGTATCTTGCGAACTCGGGTCGTGTGAATGTCAACCATGTAAACGAAGCTGGCCTTTCTGCACTGTGGGCAGCGGTGTTCAACGGCCACGAAGACGTAGTTCAAGCTATGATTATCATGAAAAGCCTAGACCCGAACCATAGCGAATCTGGAGCGGGCACCCCGCTGGAAGCAGCAATACGTGTTAGAGATGAGAGGATGGTCAGGTTACTGGTTGGAACCGCAAGGACAGAGGTCGACCAGCCAATCCAGCATGGCAAGACGCCCCTGCAGCTAGCAGCCGAAAAAGGATGCGAGGAGATTGTGGCAATTCTCGTCTCAACCCGTCGGATCATTCATAATAGGAGGGGCCATCAAGGCGTCACACCATTGTGGACAGCTGCAGACTGTGGTCACAGTGGCGTTGTCAGGGTCCTAGCCGATACAAAAGGGGTCAATCTGAACTGCCCAGGCATGTATGGCAGTACAGCGCTCTGGGCCGCGGCGTCCAAAGGACATGTGGAAGTAGTCCAGATCCTGATCTCTACCGGCCAGGTCAGACTCAACAGCAAGGGTCTGAACGGCACAACGCCACTGTGGGCCGCTGCGGACAATGGCCATACTGAGGTTTTCAACATCCTAGCAAGCACTGATGGGGTCGATGTGGACTGTCCCGACGATAAAGGAATTACGCCACTCTGGAGCGCTGCATCGAACGGCTATTATCACATTGTTCAGTCGCTGGTAAATACTGGCCGAGTGGCTATTAATAGCGTGGCTGCCAATGGCACAACACCCCTATGGGCGGCCGCTGAGAATGGACATGACGACGTCGTCAGAACCCTCATCGATGTCGGTGTGAACTTGAATTGTACCGACATTGTGTCTCATTCTCGCGCAAAGCAGACCCCTCTGTGGATTGCCTCCTGCAATGGGCACACTGGCGTTGTGGAGATGCTGGTAGCATGTCCTGGCGTTGAGCTCGATCGGCGCGATGAAGAGGGGTACACCCCGCTGGGGATTGCGGCGAAGATGGGCCATGCGAGTGTCGTTGCTATCCTGTCCAGTATTCGAGGGGTGAAGCTGTCTCAAGTGGATAGAAACCGACAAAGTGCCTTGGAGCTCGCACGGCAGTACGGCCATGAAGACGTGGTGAATGTGCTCGAGGCACGTAGACCACGCATAAGTGTTGGGCCAACCCCTCGCTTATTTGACCGGGGAAGAATTGCTGTATGGTCAACCTTGAAGACTACAGATCGATCATCGATCGCTGTGACTGAATGTCAAGATGAACGTCACCATATATGATCAGTCCATTAAACGGCCAGAAATGACCAGAAATGGCGGGCTTGCTCACACATTGATCACGCACGTCTGTATTTTTCAGGGGCCAAGCTGCTATCTAGGTCTCAGACAAAGTCGGCATAGGATGGATACAGTTCAGCTCCTCCCGTTACCGCATTGGATAGGTGGTATCAACACTGGCGTACATGGCCTCGACGTACGGAGCTGTGTTCCACAAGTCGCTAACATGATCTGTATATCACAGTGTCTTGGCAGTAATGCATAGGAACCAAAACATGCATAGATGTTCACCTGAAGCATATAGGTTAAATCACCTGAAAGGGCTATATAGTGATTGTGCATCACGTGGTGCATAAGTTATTATGCATTTCCCGCAGCAGTACTTCTGGAACACATGTCCGGCAATGCAGTAGACATGGTAGTCAAGATGACATATGATCGTGACTGAGTTTTGGAAAGCCTAGAAAAAGCAAACGTTCCCTCTACGCCATGAAAGTAACATGACAGTTAGAGCCCCTCTTGTCGATTCAGCCAACGATTCGACGAGGTCGATTACAGTTGCACGACGCCTGATCAGTCAGCTAAAGCCAGTGTATTCAACAAGGTCCATATCACAGACTGACGTCCAGGCAACAGAGCGATGCCAGAAGGCAATACTATCAATCCAGATTCTCCGTCTCAAAGGGCGCTCGCGTCGGCCCTGCAAAGAAATACCCCCAACTTGGGAAATGCCGGGTATTTCCCAACATCTCGGCCCGGGCAAGTTGGTATAGGATACCAGGACATGAAGGGAAACAGTTATGCTGGGTATGCCGGTAGTGTGAATGGGGTCCCTGGCGTCGGAGGCCAGAATTCGGGGATTGCATCATCATGTAGTTGATGAGGTATGATTCTCGTTGTGAGCAACAAACCAAGCTAAGGACATCATTGGCCATACTAGGGAACCCCTCTAGATTCGATATTTCTTAAAGAACTATGGAGATTGCAAGTTCGGTTTAATGTCCGTTTGTGAGATGTCTCTTTCTATGTGATTATGTTGGATTTCATGTCTTCTGATATTGTGTTCCATGCTCTAAGCCGCTCAGTGAGCTAAAGGCGGTGCCAAGTCACGTCTGAGGCGGAATGGAAAAGTGGCTAAATTTCGCTCCAGGAATGTAACATTCTGAGAGTAGTATCTCAATTTCTAGGGGTTAAAGAAAGAATGCATAAATGGGCCTATTAGGCTATCATAAGAACCGAACTTCATGACTACTGTACACGGATAACCTCTTGACCCTAGTCTATTCGGCAGCCGCTGGCGCCGGACTGCCCGAGCTAGGCGGTGACCGCACCCCAGCCTTGGGCGGAGGCGGTAGCGGCGTTCCCCTGCGGGACGGCGCGAAGTCTTGCTCTTTGCTCTTCTGCTCTCCCTCCGCAAAGTAGTCATCAAACGACACTGCAGCAGCTGATCCTGTATGACGCGTCTTATGCCGCCGACCCGCAGACGAATGACTAGCTGGCGACGCTGCCAGATTTCTGGGAGGTCCCGACAACGGCGGAGGAGAGGTCATGTTAGCCGGGACCAGGAAATGCCCAGACGGCGGGGGGCCCTGACCCAGAGCTTCCACTACCGGCGCGGATGAGCCATCGTCCCGCGTCTCGAAGACCACCTCTCCTGGACCTTCTACTTCCTCGCCCAGGCCGACCGGTAACCGGTGTAGTGCTCCAAAGCCCAATTCTGCGCCAAGAGCTCCCTCACCTCCCCAGCCCCGTGTAGGCACCAGCTCGACCTCGCGCACCACATCAAACTCGCTGTTGTATACCCATAGGACTAGTGTGCGGTTCAGGTGGTCTTCGACAAGCTCGCCAAGTGCCGATTCCCCACGTAATGTCCCGCTTGGAGTGCCGATAATGTAGTCGGAGTGTGGAAGGAGGCCTGCGCGGTAGGCGGGACTGAGCGGAGAGGGGATCGACAGGACGTGCCAGATGTTTTGGGTGGAGGAGAGGGGGGCGAGTTGGAGCGCCAGGCCCAGATCGGGGTTGGATGCGGGGACGGGGATGGAGACGGTGTGTGTTTTTTGACCCTTCACAACGGTATTAGTAGATTTAACCGGAGGGCATTGGAATGTGTTTGTACCTTGGCGCTCCAGACTTCAAAGGTCACGCTGGATCCGGCGCAGTTGCGCACTTCCGTGGCGAAGAGGTTGGGGTCGGGATCCTCCTGGTAGCTAGTTAGTCGAACCCGCGCATGTCAAGAGATCTGCCTGTAGAGTGAAGTTTCTTACTATTAACCGCCCATTAATCCCGACAATGAAATCGAACCACGGCTCTAGAGGGAGCTCCGCATCCTTGTTGCGAAGGACCTGGAATCCAAACGAGTTGTCGCTGGTGCTTTGAGCCCGCGCCTGCCGGGTAGGCTCGGCATCTAGGCCAATAAACCGATTTAGAGCCCCGAACATGTCTGCTGCGAGGGAGGGGGTATGTGTTTGTGGGGGGGGGAGAGGATGGGGGTATTGGGCAGTGCGGAGGAAAGCAGATGCGCAACGTGGAGAGCTGCCCGGCGCTGCAAACATTGCAAACACTGGTTATCGCTTATCGCGATGGCTGATATCGTCGCGATGCGACGGCTCTCCGCCTTTAGCTTCAGTCCCTGTTCAACTGTCTTTTTATATTTCATCATGGCTCGAGACCCTACCGTGGAGGTTCCTCCGGAGGAAGTACATCATTATAATGATATCGGCGAGGTGCCCTGGGATATTCAGAAGCAAGACCATCATCCCCCGTCTATACGTTGCGGAACTGAAATCGACTAACACTGCGCAACAGCTACTGGGCGCAACGCTACAAGATCTTTTCGAAGTATGATGAGGGTGTCTGGCTGACCGATGATGCCTGGTTTGGGGTAACACCTGAGCCAGTAGCCAAGTAGGTATTCCATCACCCACTCACAGGATCCGGGTAGCTAATACACCACGGCAGCAAAATAGCAGAACACATGGCGCAGTCCGCTCCCGCAGGACGCAGCATCCTAGTAGATGCATTCGCCGGCGCGGGTGGCAACTCCATCGCTTTCGCGCTGTCTGGTAGATGGAAGCGTGTCTACGCCATCGAGAAGAACCCTGCTGTCCTGCAGTGCGCCAAACACAACGCCAAGATATATGGCGTCGCAGACAAGATCACCTGGTTTGAGGGAGATTGTTTCGAAATCATCAAGAATCAGCTGAAGGACTTGGCGCCGTATAGTGTCGTGTTTGCAAGTCCGCCGTGGGGTGGTATGTGCCCAAACTATTCCCTTAACCTTTTAGGTATCTTGGCAGCAAGCTGATCCATTATAGGCCCCGGGTATCGCTCCGACACGGTGTTTAATCTGAGTACTATGGAGCCGTACTCCCTCGGAAAACTTTACAAAGAGTATTCTCTGTTCACAGAACACATAGTTCTCTACCTTCCTCGGACATCAGACGTCAAGCAAATGGCCAAGGTTGTCAAGGAGGGCCAAAAGTCAGTGGTGATGCATTACTGCATGGAAGGTGCTAGCAAGGCGTTGTGTGTTTATTATGGGGGCTTTAATCTCGAATGATTCCGCTCAAAATCTCTTCATTCTCTCTCTGTCCCGGTCTGTTCCTTTTTTAAGTGGCATTTCGAACGTTATCTGGAAGTGACCAGACGCATCAAGTGTACAATAGCGGTTCTAGTATCAAGAGAATACCCGATGATTCTTCTGTTTCCGCCACTATGCCCTCCCCGATTAGGTTAATATAATACTATGTGTTTCAGTTCTTTCATCACCACCACAGCAGATCCATAGCCCACTGCACCTGGACTCCTGTAAACGTTATATATTACTTGAAATATAAATGCAGCATGTTGAACATATTGTCCCTGATGCCGGTCGGTGATATAATCATTCTTAAACACCTCACTTCACCGTTCTGCTGCCTTGTTTGTGTAAAGAGAAAGATGGTCCTCACTCTTTAACCAATGCCGAGCTGCTAGGTGAACCGGATGATGTGATATTATGGGTTTGTGCTCCAGGCCGGATAGTGATGAATAAGTAGGATTTGGGTAGCCCAGAGGCTTCAGCTATATCCATTCTCGACGCCGGTGGCTGTGGAAGAAATGATCCCCGTATACTTTGTTGGCTTAGAAGGTGGATCGAGCTTCTCGAGTTGGTGGAACAGGGTAAGCCAAGTCAGGGCTATTGGAGTGCAAGAATGCTCGTAGCGTCCATGGGCTCGGAATTCCTCGCTCGGTAGCCCCACAAAATCTTCCTCCTGCTTGCGGAGAAGCATTAGATCATCATATATTTATATCTCGTTTTCGTTCATATAAGCTGCAGATTGAGTGATAGCCAGTGGAAGGAACGTAAGTTGGCTGACAAGATAGGCCGCAGCATCTCTTTCTTGGACTAGATCAGATTGGATCAGGGATGTTTCCAAAGGTACAACTTCGGCCTTTTCGTCAAGCTTGTGCAAATGTATCATATCAAGCGGTGCGAGCCTCACGGCTAACTTCCGGTTCCGAGTGGTAAAGTGAATGTGACCGTGCCAGCTAGACGGAAGGAGATCCGTTAGGCTTGACGCTATACTACTATCTGTCATTCACATCCACATATCGTCAGCGCCATCGAAGATTCATAGCCATCTCTCGTTTGCCTGACAAAAGTAAACATATATCTATTCCTTCAATTCACATATCGCTCAGTTAATAGGATCCCAAGCTGTTGCGCAATAGTTGTACATGCCTGTTCAATGGCTTCAGGACTTGTGCGAGGTATCCAGAATATTGAACTTTCGATATCATGTTCGCGCATGTGATAAGCCAGTTTAGGGCCAACTGTGTTTTACCGATGCCCCCCAGTCCTGTGACGGCGAGTCGACCTGGTCCGTGGGGCGTCGACAGTAGTTTCCACAGTCTGTCGATCTCGCCTTTGCGGCCCGTAAAGCGTGTGTTTTTTCCAAAAGGAATCATGAAGTGGGGTGGGAACTCTCAAAAAGGAAATCTTCAATGCTCTGATGATCCCACCTTTCTTCCAGTTGCTTAGTGCCTTGAGATAAACTGAAAATTTGGAATGTAGCTCAACCGCAGCAGAGAGTTCTTTCAAGTGATTCAGGAGGGTCCGAATCTCCCGATTGGCTCTTCCAGGTGTGTTATTGATAGAATGTTCTCCACCGAACTCATATCTATTCAGGCTGTCACTGACGACAACGTCGCCAAGAGGAATCTCCTAGCAATTCAATGGTTTCGGAGCGCCTCCGCATACACCGACAACTAGAGCAAGCTCGGTGCTCGTGTAGAAGATTCGTAGGCTTGAGACGACGCTCGCTGCACTAGTAATTCCCAGTATTCTGGCATATAGCAGAGCGCGACATTGTGCTTGCCGACTCTTCCATTAACGCACGAATTTGAGTCCCCTTGCTGCTTACCATAGTATCTGCACAGTCGGTCATAGGTTTCATCGAAAGCCGCCTCGACGGCGTCTGCCTCCAGAGGAAGAGCGCAGATGACCTCGATTGTGAATTGGTAGCGACTATTGGGCCGCATTTCGGCCCCGGAGCGGAACAAGGATCTACGAAGGTTCAGCGATCCCAAAATCTAAACCCATATTAAGATTCTCACTTTGGGCGGCTAGCGATGGTCTATTCAGGCGGTGTTAGATAGGAGACTGCGACCTCAGCCTCGTTGTTACATCCGCCAACCACAAGCCAGCAGTAGGCGCCGCAAGAGAGGGGTCAAACAAATATACTTTCTCATGCATGGCTTAGCCATCGGCGTTCTTCCACTGGCTGGACCTAGATTCTCACCAACTGAGCCATAATTGGGTCTTTATATAGTCCACAGTCATCTATTGTTAGATGTTGAGACATTCACTGCAGCCAGGCAGCTGTCAGCTGACCCTTCGCCTTGACATTAGATATTGTTGCTATCATCTATGAACTTTGAATTACCATAGCTTTGGGGGAGTAATAACTCGTATAAAGGGTCAAAGAGGCGTGATGTGGAATTAATTACAGATAGTCAGCCTCGCGGGTAGCTGCATTTCGTAGGATGATCGACAACATCCGTTCTCAGTTGGCATTGCCTACTGTCTGATGTCAGAACAAGCCTTCGTAGTAAGTTGCAACAAAGTGTAATTCTTACCAGATCCCTTTCTGGTGGCATGAAAAGTGTCTGTACATTGTAGTTAAACCAAGTAACATGACTCTTTGACTGCCGCGTGTAAGTGAATGCTCGTCCAACAAACCTGGTCTCCATGAGCGATAATAGGATATAGCCATCAGGGTTCAGTATGTGCTACTGCGGGCTAATGCAGCTGGCTTGGCGGTGGTGGGACCGCGTTTCTTTGTCTGTTCCTTGCAAATTGTTTGCTGACTGCCAACTAAGATGAACTATCCGCATCACACAAACCAATCAATTCCCATAGCTATTTTGGTATTATACTACGGTCAAGCAACGCCGGAATCTCCTCTTACGACCTTCCGTAGCTGCTCTGGCCTTGCTGACCTGGTCAGCTTAGAGTGAGATGAAAGATTAAATACCTCCATCAGCCCTGCACCCTTCTATCGATTGTCAGTAGCACGGCTTCCCCATCTTCACTACTCCATTGTAGTTCAATGTCCCTTTTGCGATCTCACGTTGTCTTTAATTCCCTAACACTTGTCATGCCTGACTCTTACGATTACATCATTGTCGGTGGAGGTCTGACGGGCTGTGCTTTGGCTGGTCGGCTGGCTGAGAAAGACAAGTCATTACAGATCTTGATCATTGAAGCCGCACCCAACGTCGTCGATCATCCTCTCACCAGTACCCCATTGGCATGCTTTGGCGCTCATCACTCGCCTTTGGATTGGGACTACACCACGGTGCCACAGAAGCATCTCAACAATCGTGAATGCTACAACGCAGCAGGGAAGGCTCTGGGTGGAGGCACAGCGATAAACTACGGCACCTGGACCCGTGGTAACGCTGCCGACTACAATCTCTGGGCAAAGCTGGTCGGGGACTCTAGCTGGAGCTACGAGGGTCTACTTCCTTACTTCAAGCGCGTCGAGACGCATTACGATCCTAATGTCGACACGACAATTCACGGCACCAGCGGCCCCATCACCAACACGATTGTCGCACTCACCAGCCCGGAACGGAAATATCCTTTGAAAGAACCAGTCCGCTCTGCATGGGAACGTATTGGCGTCAAATTCAACCCAGATGCGAACGCTGGAAGCCCGCTGGGTCTAGCTCACTTTGGAGAGAACTGGCGTGAAGGACAGCGTCAGCTTGCCAGTGAGGCATATGGATTGTCTCGGCGTCAAGGAATCTCCATTGTCACTGATACATTGGTGGCAAAGGTAATTTTCAAGGAGCAAGATGCTCAACAGGTCGCGGCAGGAGTCCAATTGGTCGAAGGAGAAGAATACCATGCCAGAAGAGAGGTGATCATTTCTGCTGGAACATACCGTACCCCTCAGCTACTCATGCTCTCTGGAATTGGGCCCGCAGAAGAGCTGGCAAAACACAGCATCCCACAACTTGTGAACTCTCCAGAAGTGGGTCGAAACTTCCATGATCACATGTGTTTCCCCCAATGGTGGAAACTGCGTCACCCCGAACAAGGTCTCTCTATGGGGACGCCCCTTTGGAACAGTCCCGCATATGGCATGGGGGTACCTTATGACTGGAACGTGACGCTGCAGACGCCTGCAGAGGAACTGATCAAAGCATTTCAAGCAGACGACGGGCAAATCCCGCCCAATGATCATCCATATCTTGACACGGGCTTTGCGCACTCTGAGGTTCTGGTTATCTACGCACCGATGAGTCGCGCTGTGACTGGCTTTGAAACAGCCATGGATGGTACACACATAAGCACGGCGGTTCTTTTGATGGCTCCGACAGCACGAGGCCAGATCACTCTGGCCGATGCAGATCCGGCCAGTTCACCTCTCATTGATCCCAACTACTGTTCCAAGGAAGTAGACCGAGCCATTCTACGAGACGGGATCCGGAGAGTGGCCAGGCTTGTACTGGACACGCCGGAGGGTCAAGACATGGTGGAGCACGAAGTGACCAGACTCGGCAATGAACCTATGAGACTCGATTCCACTGACGAGGAAATCGACAAAAACATCAGAAATGGTGCAATTACATTCTTCCATCCAGGTGGCTCGGCATCCATGGGCAAGGTAGTGGATACTCAACTGCGGGTGAAGGGCGTGAAGGGACTGCGTGTTGCGGATGCTAGTGTCCTGCCTGTACCTCTTGCGGCGCATTATCAGGCTGTCCTCTACGCAGTGGCGGAGAAGGCAGCGGATCTACTCTTATACTAGCATGTAGGGTGATTAAGATCACTAGATCCAGATTTTAGCCAAAGAATATTTGGTTCGCAGTGATTTATTTTGGAACCGGATTGTAGTTCACTGCAATTTCCAAAAATCCTGAGTATTGGAAAATAGACCTTCAAGGTAGTAGCTGCGACATAGCGACCCTTTTACATCACTTCACGTACAGATTGTTGCAATTTAGTCAGACTCACGGTGTACTTGGTTACATTCCTCGCAGCTGACAAAAAACTTCCATCTACGACCTTCAGGGGCCTAAATTGTCCGGAACACATGATCATTCACGATCGGGGAGATCCCGAGATATCGAGGGTCAGCCTCAATGGTGAAGGGGCTAGACTCAACTGCACGACAGTGCTACTTAATATTCACCTGTTAGCAAAGTAATGCTGTGCGGCAGCTTCCATATTTAGAAACGATGAACAAGAAAACTTATGATGGTTATAGAATCAAACCGAAGCAGACATCTCGGGAATTTATATCACCACATATTTCCAACCCAGCACCGGGATTGCAAAACAAGCCATGTGCCGCTAATTCCAAAGGCAATACCAAATGAATCCCCGCAGCCCCTGGAAAGGAAGGAAATAGAAGCTGATTACGGGGATTCTATGGATTGTTTAGAAAGCGGTTGACTAACTTCCATGTGGCTCCCTGACAAATAAAACAGTGGAAGTAAGCTTCAGAATACTTTAATGAGAGTGGGAGGGGACCGGCATATCCTCTCATTGGAACTTCTTGGTTGCCGCTCCGGAAAGCCGGAAATGGATTTAGAATCACGTCGGCAGTAGCGCTTTGAAATCGGCTTGCCGTTGACATACACAGACACGCCCCCATTTCGGCCCGCGACATGTCCGAGGCGCGGAATTAGAGAGACTTGGAATTGTAATCCTTGGTAAAAAATTAATCAGTCCATTACAAATCCATTGTTCAGGGCCCCGTCCTTTCGGGTTGGCTGTTGATAACCAGAGTATCCACATTGAAATGGAGCTTCCCGCGTGGCGAGACCCAAAGACCCTTGGATCCAGCTGTTTCATAATCATGACCGATCACTGACATTTGCTGAACTGAAGGGACTCTGGCTAAGAATATGGCACTGAGAGAATCTAACGACTGCGCAACGAGCGGGTCAAGGTCTTGGGTGGCTGAACCCCTTTAAGGGCCTTTTCTAGAAGTCTTCCTATGGATGGTCGGCATATCGTCCGCTTCGGTGCCTGTATAAAGAGACAGGGTCTTGTCTCCGATTGTACTGTTGGTCATCAATTGAGTTTCCGGCAAGACAGAGAAGAACTATAGCCTCTCGCATCTACCACCACGATGCTTTTCTCCTCTCTTGCTCTCGCGGCCTTCTCGTTAGGCGTGACGGCCAAAAGTCACGCTAACTCCCCTGCTCACTATGACTTTGTCATCGTCGGTGGAGGCACCAGTGGTTTGGTTGTCGCCAATAGGCTCTCAGAACTGAGCCATGTCACCGTGGCTGTCATCGAGGCTGGAGAATCAGCATTGAACAACTTCAATGTGTCTAATGTCATGGGCTACAGCACGGCATTCGGGACGGAGGTCGACTGGGCCTACCAAACCGAGAACCAGACATATGCAGGTGGTCTGCAGCAGACCATCCGTGCTGGAAAGGCACTTGGTGGCACGAGCACAATCAATGGTGAGTCGTGGTTACCTCCCCAGACAACCTCGGAATGCTTTCGTACTGACTGAGCGTCCCACAATAGGAATGTCCTATACTCGTGCCCAAGACGTGCAAATTGACAATTGGGAAGTTCTCGGCAACGACGGCTGGAATTGGAAGAGTCTATTCCAATATTATAAAAAGTCGGAAGGCTTCCAGGTGCCCACCAAGGACCAAATCGCCCACGGTGCCAGCTATAACGCCAGCTATCATGGTCTGAACGGCCCTCTGAAGGTCGGCTGGCCTAACTCCATGACCAACAGCAGTGTCTTTCCCGTCCTTCAACAAACCTTTGAGAAATTGGGCGTCCAGTACAACCCCGACTCGGAAGGCGGCAAGATGGTCGGATTCACGGTCCACCCCGACACTCTGGACCGGGAGATGAATGTTCGCGAAGATGCTGCCAGGGCTTACTATTGGCCATATGAAGCCCGCTCGAACCTGAAGATTATCTCAAATACCCGTGCGAACAAGGTCATCTGGGCCAACACCACCCAGGGAGAGGCTGTTGCCGTCGGCATCGAGGTTACTAACGCCTATGGCACGGAAACCATCTACGCTGACAAGGAGGTCATTTTGTCGGCTGGCGCCCTTCGATCCCCTGCCATTCTCGAGCTGTCCGGTATCGGAAACCCCGATGTCCTCAACAAGCACAATATTCCCGTCAAGGTCAACATCACCACCGTCGGCGAGAACCTACAGGATCAGACCAACAACGCCCTCTCCTGGGAAGGTGTCGACACCCTCACCGGCTTAGCAACCTTCTCCGTCCTGCCATCTGTGAATCAGCTCTACGGCGATAATGTCACTGCCTTGGCTTCCTACGTTAAGTCCCAGCTTGCTAGTTATGCTAAGACTGTCGCTAGCGCCTCGAATGGCGCTGTCAAGGAAGCCAATCTCGTGGAGGCTTTTGAGCGCCAGTACGATCTGATTTTCAACTCCCAGGTCCCCTATACGGAGGTGGTCTTCGCCCCCAGCGGGAACTCGTTCGCCGTTGAATACTGGCCTCTCCTCCCCTTCTCCCGCGGCAGCGTCCACATTCAATCGGCGAACGCCTCCGACTATCCTGCCATCAACCCCAACTACTTCATGTTTGACCAAGACGCCGAGGCCCAGGTCACAGTGGCACAATACATTCGGAAGGCATTGAGTACGGCACCCCTAAACAGCCTTGTCGGCGAGGAAATTTCTCCCGGCCTCGACGTGCTTCCAGCTAGTGCATCCAGCGCCACTTGGACCAAGTGGGTTAAGAAAAACTGTAAGTCTCTTTCCGTTTCTCAAGTTAACTACCTGCAGCATAATCGTTAACCTGCCCAATCAATTCAGACCGAACCAACTACCACCCCGTTGGCACCACCAGCATGCTTCCCCGCGAGAAGGGTGGTGTTGTCAGCCCCGAACTCAAGGTCTATGGTACCAAGAATGTTCGTGTGGTTGATGCTTCAGTCCTGCCATTCCAGCTTTGCGGTCACTTGACCAGCACGCTGTATGCTGTAGCTGAGAGGGCTTCCGATCTGATCAAGGAAAGCTACTAGGTTCCAGGTGCTTACCAGCGCGCTAACTAGGCATTTTCGATCATCTGTCAAACTGGCATGAACAACAGAGTTGTGTCAATGCACAACTGCAACAGAACTGAAGTATGTCCGTTTACGGGCGAAGTCTATTCTGACAGTACGGTCCGGCTTGGGAAGATGATAGGCGCAAGGATGCAACTATTAAAGGGGAATTAGATTCTCAAATGCGGATGCTAGTGTCTGTGTGTCTATTGCAGCGCATTGTCAAGCCTTCTTGTGTGCTGCCACGGAGGAAGCGGCTGATTGTATTTTATATTAGAATTGTATTAGAACGGTGTAACACGTCACCCAAGATCAGTAATAAAGTCCATATCAATGAACATTAGATCTCTTATTCAGTAGTTAAGAAAAGTTATTCTTAGCATAGATGCTTCACACTCCGTGCAACCTCCCGTTTCCGCTCATCGTCTATCACTTTCTGATCCATTCCTTTTCCGTCCATCCAACCGCTATGGGGATTCATCTATCCAGCCAGCCACATCTATATAATAAGTATAACCAAGTAATTCTGATGATAAGGAGCTCGGAAAACCTTGCTTCTGTTACAAGTATCCTTGGACACCTGTGCAATTCCCAGACCAAATCTCCAGATCCTACCAGATACCGCAAAGTCCTTGTAGTTGTATGTCTATCGCAGATTAACTGGCTACAGATGTCTGGCACCACCTTCGCAACTGAAAATCAAAAAGAAGTAACAGTGCATGGATATGTGATCTCAACAAAATCAGTCTTATATATAAAGTACTAATTATTGCCTTCCTTAATCATCTTCACCGCTATTCCCCAAGTAGGACGGATAAGCAGTGAATATAAATTTCTATTGAACTATTACAGTGAGTCTAAATATTCTAGAGCAAAACATGGTCTGCAGTTCATCCTTTCATATGCCGTGGTGTGGTTACTCTCCAAGATTCATACTTGCTTAGTATAGTGGTATTTTTTGGTTACAATTATGTTCCTGCAATCTGGCAGACATCTTTGTCGATCTTTTTCTGTTCTTACATGATTCCATGCAACTATATCATCGATACGGTTATTGGTCAGTCCACTTCCTTGATGTCATGCCCGCATACAGATGTGGGGCATCACCGCCCGGGGCTAAAAGGCTGTCATATTTAGCTTAGCCAATGTATTGATATAATATAATCTAATTTCATATGGAGGTTTAGTGTCACAGAACGGTTCCGGCTACGCGTTCCGGGTACTTTCCGCTGCACCGTTGGCAAGAGGACTACGATGTACAGCTAATGGCTGCACACTGCGTAGGAAGATGCTCAAGATCAGGATTCAGGCAGGGACGATGACATTCACACTCTGATACCTCTAGCGTGGACAGTATAGAAGGACTCACCCGATCCCCAACAACTTTGCGAGCCCCTCCGCCGCATGTTTCCCCAATCCCTCCAGATTCCCCATCCCCATCATCTCTAATACAGTAATATCAAATCCGAACGCCTGTCTCCACCAGCTGCGCATCTCCACACCCACCAAGGAGTCCATGCCCAGCTGCGACAGCGGCAGCGAAGTATTCAAGTCCTCACCCGTCTTGAGCAAGAAGTTGAATAGCTTATTCCCGATTTCCCTTGCTAGCAGACTAGCGCTTTCCCCGGCCTTCAATATATACGGGTCAGTTTTCGCCCGGGCAAGGAAGGCCTGCAGAGTGTCGCGGTCGGAACTGACATCGTGTACGGCGGCCTTCGCGACGGAATTATGGTATAGCGCCATACGCCGATCCTTTCTCCAGAATACGCGGCTCTCGGGACTACTGAGGGGGACGGATGTGCCAAGGCCAAGGATGAAGTTATTCTTATCTACGAATCCCAGGCTGTCGTTGACATTATGGGCCTCATTGGGATTCACGGAGAAAGAGATCGTAGCCAATACGGCATCGAGAAGCTCGGATTCGGTGAGGTGGTGCGCCCCCGTCTGCTTCAGGCGCTGGAGCAAGCCGTCGTCCTGGGACACGTAGCCAATGTCCTGGACCGCACCGATATCGACCGCGGAGGCGGCCAACCCCAGGCTGGTCCGGTACTGGACGAAGGCATCCAGGAAGGTGTTTGCTCCAGCGTAGTTGGCCTGGCCAGGTTGGCCCAGCACGCCGGACGTGGACGAGAAGAGTACGAAGAAGTCGAGGGTGATCCCGGCGGCCTGGGTGGCATTGTGGAGATGCCATGTTCCTTGGATTTTGGGCCCAACCGCGGTGTCCCATTCGGCCAGGGTCATGTGGGGGAACGCTTGGTCTCGGAGGACCATGGACAGTTGGAGGATGCCTTTCAGGTTGGGGGCTTGCTGGATGGCTCGTGTTACATCAGCTTCGCTGGTGACGCTGCCTTGGACGAGTCGAACGCCGCATCCCATGCTCTCGAGCTCCTGGACGAAGTCGTTGTCGTCCGGACCCCGGCCCGCGCTCCGGGAAAGGAAGACCAGACGGCGGGCCTTGTGCTCCACGAGACGCCGCGATACGGCGCGTCCAAGACCACCGAGACCGCCGATTAGGAGGTAGGATGCGTTGCTGTCCAAGTCGAGGCTCGGGGCAGTTCTCACTAATGTCGGGTCGATCTTGGGGCTGCCATCAGCGTTTCGCAGGAGGATGACCAGTTTTCCGAGATGGGTGCCTTGTTGCATGTGTCGGAACGCATCCTCCATAGCCGTGGCATCGAACATCGTGATGGGCCTTATTGGTGTAATATGACCGGCCCGGAAGTACGTGATGATCAATTCGAGGAGTCTGTTTTTCATGGAAAGCCAGTCAGTCCAGTCAGCGTGTCCGGGATGATTGCTATATCAGGGCCTCAACGTACCGCTTGCACTCCGATGGCCGCTTGTCCCGCAGCAGGTCCAGGTAAAAGCAGGAATACGTACGGCCGCCCAGAAAGTGGCCCATGTCGAGCCGAGCGGCCCCCAGCATGTCGCGCTTGCCAATGTCCACCATCTTCCCGAACTCGGCGAGGCATCGCCAGGTCGCGTGCAACAGCTCGCCGGAGAGGGAGTTCAGGGCCAGGTCGACCCCCTGCCCCTAGGTTTCACGCATCACTCCTTCCACAAAGCTCGAGTCGTGGGAGTTGAAGATGCGATTTTTCGGCAAGCCAAATGTTTCCATCAGGTATCGTACCTTCTCCTCACTGCCTACCGTGGCATAGATGGTGGCCCCTGTCATCCGGGCCAGCTGGATGGCGGCGATTCCTACACCACCGCATGCACTGTGGATTAGGATCGACTTGTCTGGGAGTCAGCATTGCGGCCCCTCTGGCCTGGTATGGATGGGGCGGGGCTTACCTGTCCTTCCTGCAATCCACCGAGATCGAACATCGAGTAGATGGCGGTAGCAAACACGACCGGCATGGTTGCTGCGTCTTCGAAGGAGAGATCCGAGGGAATCTTCGCACAGAGCTTCTCGGAGGCAATGGCATGGGTCGCGAAAGCCCCATCTTCCCGCAGCATGACCCGGTCTCCGGGACACAGCCGCTTGACGTCGGGGCCCACATGGCGAACGACTCCGCTGGCTTCGACGCCCAGGCCATTGTCAGGGAACGGAACCACAGCCAACGCGCCCAACACATCCTAGCGGAGGAGGTTAGTAGCCCATCAGGCATGCATGGCGGAGAGGGACCCGTTCTTACCTTGAAGTTCAGGCCGGCGGCGTAGATCTCCACCTCGACTTCGTCCCCAGTCAGGGGTCTTCCTTTTGAAGCCCTCCAGTGCAGGGAACTTAGGCGGCTGGGCTTCTCCATGTCGAGGGCCACCCAGTCGTCTGGCTTGGTTGCTATGACGAGGTCCTCCTTGAGCGAAAAGGGGTAAATCCGTCCCACAAAGACGGTCCCGCCCACAATGGCATACTCATAATCCGGATTCAACGATTCGTCCCTCGCTCGGGTATGAAATTTGGCATAGACGTCGATGATTTTGTCCAGCGACGAACGAATGTCATCCACTTCACACGTCGCAAAGTCCACCAGCATCTCCGAGCGCATGGAGCGTGCTGCGCCGATGACCTGGGCAAACCGGGGGTCGGGGCATTGGACTTGGGACAGATGGGTGATCCACAGCAGACCCTTCTCCCCGACGGTATTCAGGAGGTGCTGGAAGGCCCGGAAACGAGCCGCATCAATGTCTTCAAAGAACGGGCGAGTGCAGTCGAGGAGGGAGATGATATCCTGGGACTGAGGCAGTTCGTCTCCCAGCCGAAATGTCTGCACCTCGTAGCCTCGGCTGTTAAGCTGCCGCGACAAGGATTCCGCATAGCTGTCGTCACGGGGGTCACAAAGCAGACTGACGGGCTTTTTCTGGTTAGTCCCATCATCGACCCGCGGCTTGGCCACCATGATGGCGTTCAGCTGATGCGGCTGCTCGCCGTCAAGTACCACGGCATCCAAGCCGGCGAAGCCGGCGCCTTTCAGCTCCAACTCCCAGCGGGCCGGGGACACACACGGCTCGTCCGGTCTTCCATCTGGCCCGCCGTACCACCAGCCCGCTAGCGTGCCAAAGATGAAGTTATGCCACTTGGAGGGGGAGTTCAGCTCGTGAAGGAGCAGTCGCCCGTTCGGGTCGAGAAGCTTGTGGACATTCCGGAGGGTTTCCCCGAGGTAGTTGGTCGCATGCAGAACATTGGTCGCAAGAATCAGATCGTACTTCTCCCCATCGAATCCCTGGTCGGACGGGTCTTTGCTGATGTCCAGGATGCGATACTCGATGTTGCTCTCGCCACTGAACCGCTCCTTGGCGGTCACAAAGAAGCCCGAGGAAATATCTGTGTAGGTGTACTTGGAGAAAAGGGAGGGTGTGCCACCGGAGCCAGTCGAGCCGGGCAGGCGTAGCAGCTTCAGGATGCTCGCTGTCGTCGCGCCCGTGCCGGCTCCAATCTCCAGGATCCGCAGGTTGGGCTTGGTATGGGCCAGGTGTTGGATAAACTGGGACCTATCACACGCGTCGGTGACAACATAGAGCTTATATAGGGTGTCATCCGCGAGAAGGATATCGAGGGCTTCTGTTTCCCCGGCGAAGAGCGCCGCGATGTTGGTGGCCACTTTCTGGAGCCCAATGGCGCAGTCCACGACGGGCGTCTCGGACAGATGTTGCACCAGTCGTTCGATCCTCTCCACAAGTGCATCATCCTCGAGGGTGAGGAAAGTGGACCATCTTTCGTCCAGCCGCATTGCTTCCACCTGGCGATTGATCCAGTCGCGATACAGGGGCATATGCGCCACCCGCGTGCGAGCATCTTCGATGCGCCGACTGCCGTAGATCATACCTAGCCGAGCCAGCTCGTCCAAAGCCGGTGTGTACAGATGCCGAGGAAACGACGGCTTGATCAGCGTAGTGGCGTCCAAGAAGTCAATATGCGGTCCCCATGTCAGGCGGGCGGTGGTTTCAAGACTGTCGGCTTTTCCTGCCTCGCCGGCCTCTTCGAGAGGCGAAAGCTTCAAGCCTTCCATGTGCATGACAATGACACCATCTGCGATGCATTGCTGGACCTGCCCGATCACTTCCCCGGTGCCTTTGACATACGTGGCCGAGGCCGACACCTGCAAGTCATCGACCCTGGTGGGGCTTTGCCGGACGATCACCCGGTCGATCTTGGTGGGCACTCGTCGGTATGCCTTGGCATCCACTGTGCCCAGGAGGCCAGCAAGAGGAGCCGCCTGAATGCAGGCGTCGATGAGACTGGGATGGAGGTGATAGTACTTTTCGTCTCCCGCTTGGTCGGTGGTCACCTTTGCTCTCGCCAACGTCTCCCCCGTGCCCGTTTCAATATCGGTCAGGCGCTTGAACATCGGCCCGAAGTTCAAGCCCGCGCGGTCCAGGAGGTCGTAGTACTTCTTGGCTTGCAACTTCCGCGGCAGGGAACTCCTCAGGGCTGCCGTCCGCGTATGCCTCTCCTCCGCCGCCGTCCCCGAGGCCTGGCCAGTGCAGTGCCTGGTCCACGTCTGGCCGTTGTACGAGGCGATAGTAAATTCCCACCATTGGCTATCCAGCGAATCGGTCAGCCGATGAGGGTGGAAGGTCGTCACCACCTCGGTGGGCGTTCCCTCGCGCAGCACCAGGGCCGAGCTAATCACCACGCCTCGCAAGGTGTAGCTCTCTTGTGATCCAGTGATCTGTCGGATCGCCTCTCCGACCATTGACAGATAGCCCGCACATGGGAGAATGATATCCACCTCCACCTTGTGATCCCGCAGCCAGTCAGAGTCCTCAACCCGCATCATGTTTCGCCAGCTCGGTTCCAGGTCGGTGCCGAGCAGCTGACGATCGCCGAGAAGTGGATGGCTGGGGAACTGGCGGAATCTCCAGTCGCGGGAGATGCGGGATTCGCGCCAGTAGTCGACCCCATGGTCCCAGGGGTACCGAGGCAACCCGGGCAGACTGGATCCGGAGGGGTAGAGAGCATTCAGATTGACCGGGACATTCAGCTGGAACAGCTTTCCCAGCGCTGTCAGGAACGACTCCACGCAATTCTCTCCGCGGCTCATCGCCGCGATGTAGGGGCCCGGGTTCGCAGACGCCCGAGTGCTCAGTATCTGTCTCACGGGCCCTGCGAGCGCGGCGTGTGGTCCGATCTCCAGAAAGGCGACATTATCGACATGGTCCAGAAGCTCAGAGACGGCGGCCCGGAAAAGCACGGGGGATTCCAGGTTGCGTTGCCAGTAGGCCGCGTCCAGACACAGATCCTGTTCCTGCTTGCCAGTGACGCTGGAAAAGAACGGCTTCCCGGGTCGCTTTCCAACCAGGTCGCGGCCGATGGTAGCTGAGTAGTTGTGTCCGACCTCGCGCATGTGGTAGGAATGATAGGCCTTGTCGACTTTGAGCAGCCGAGCCGTCACCGTGGGATGCTCCTTTTTGATCCGCGCAACCACGGCTTGCACCTCCTCGGCGTCTCCGGAGAGAGTGACGCTCTTGAGGGAATTTTCGCAGGCGACCACCACGGTGGGAGGCGAGAGGAAGCTCTGGACCTCCTCCCACCCCAGCCCGATGGCCGCCATGGCGCCAGGGCGGGTTTGCCCCGCGGCGGCCAGCCCTCGCTGCCAGGCCGCGATGATGGCCTCCCGCGCGGTCAAGGCACCCGCCGCGTAGGCAGCCCCAATCTCCCCGCTACTGTGGCCGACCACCGCCGCAGGGGTGACTCCGACTGCGGCGAAGAGATCCACCAAGCCGATTTGGACGGCTGTGCACAGGGGCTGCGAGAGCTCGGCTGTCTGGACCCGGGACGTCAGGGCTGGCTTGAGGAGCTCTTCCTCCAATCGCCACTCGGGACCATTCGGGGCCGATTTCAGGTATTTGTCCAGCACCCGGATGGTGTTTTGAAACGAGAAGTCGGAACGTAGGAGGAGGTCCCGTCCCATGCGCGCCCATTGGGCGCCTTGCCCGGTGAAGACCATGACGAGGCTGGGCGCGGAGCTGGGCACCTTTCGGCCGGGCGATGGGGTGCCGATTCGGTCTGGACCAGCGATTAGGAAGGTTCGATGCGGGAGATGCTCTCGACGGGTGGCCAGGGTGTAGGCCAGATCGCGCAGCTGGTCCTGGTGTTGCGGGACCCAGTCCTCGAAGGTCGCGGTCATCCGCTGCAGCGATCCGGCCGCGCTGGCGGAGAGAAGCAGCAGCTGGGGGCCGGCGAGGAAATTGTCCGGGGTCGGGCTGGGGATCTGGAAGCTGCGGGCCGAGTCGAGGATGAGATGCGCGTTGGATCCTCCAACGCCAAACGAGTTGATGCTGACCCGCTCCCATCGCGATTCGGGCCACGGGATTGGCTCGAGAGGCACCGTCAGTTTGCAGGCCTCGAATGGAATCTTCGGGTTGGGAGCGGTGAATTTGATGTTGGGGGGGATGATGCGATGCTCCAGGGCGAGGACGCCCTTGATCAGGGATGTCAGCCCGGATGCACCCTCAGAATGGCCCAAGTTCGGCTTGACCGATCCGATGTACACGCCGGCTTCCCCAAAGACCCGCGCAACAGCCTGCACTTCGACCGGGTCGCCTGTCGGGGTGCCCGTGCCGTGGCACTCAACGAAGGCTGTCTCGGCCATGTTCGTGATGCCAGCAGCCTGGTACGCTTTCCGGATCAGAGCCTCCTGGCTGTCAGTGCTGGGGTGGGAGATGCCGGATGTTTTCCCGTCGCTGTTGGACATGACGGACCGGATCACCGCCCGGATGGGATTCCCGTCGCGAAGGGCTGCGGCCAGAGGCTTGACGAACACAGCGGTGATGGCTTCGCCTCTTGCGTAGCCGTTCGCATCGGCCGAGAAGGTCTTGCAAGACCCGTCGGGCGACAGTACCCCCTTCTCGGTCATGAACGCCGTTGTGGCTGGCGCAAAGATCAAGCTCGACCCCCCGACGATAGCGGCGTCGCAGTCGCCTCGTTGGAGGGCCAGACAGGCTTCATTCAGCCCGACTAGCGCAGACGAGCACGCAGTGCGGATGGTCATACTGTGCAATGTCAGTAATCCTATCCTCTTTGGGGGGAGAGAAGGAGGAGAAGAAGAAGGCATCACATACCTGGGCCCGCGCAAGTCCATTTCATACGAAACCCGATTTGACAGCATGAAGTCACTATATCCATCGACCCGGTTCATACCATTCTGCTGGGGGTCTTTGTTTTGCAACTCCAGCCAGTCCTCCCCGTAACAGCCCATGTAGCAACCAATGGGCCGGGCACGGAAGTTGACTTCCCCCGCATCGTCGAAGCACTCTCTCACCACCTCCAGCATCTGGCGCTGCTGGGGATCGGCGGCCTCCAGCTCGGCCCGACTGAGCGAGAAGCGGGACGCATCCAGCGCACCGAGCTTAATGCTCTCGTCGAGGAAATAGCCGTACTCGGTCACCACCGTGCCTGGCCGCTTGGATGGGGAGTGGAAGGCCGATACATTGTACCGAGACTCGGGGACCCGGGACCGCGCATCGCCCTTGGCTATCAAGAAGTCCCAGAGGTCTTGCGGGCTCCCCAATCCACCAGGAAGACGAAGGGCCATACCACATATCGCGATGGGGGAGAATGCCGTAGTGGCATCATCACTTTGACCCCCGGGGTTAGGCACTGGGCCAGAAGGACCACTTTCTCGGGAGGGCATTGTGAACAATAAAGATAAAAAGGCTGACTTCTATAATGTTGAATTTCTGGCCCTGAAAACGTGAAGCCTGCGTTGCGAGAGACGAAACTTTATATGGCCGGCCGATGGCATTGTTCCCTTGCTAACTTTCTCTGGTTCTGAGATAGATGTCATGATCGAAAGCCGTCAGGCTTATCCTCTCCCCCTCCCTACTCACGTCATCTTCCATGAGTCTAAGCCTGATTGTATTGTGCCCCAATGGCCGTTGATAGCTCATATTTATTCATATCAGTCGTAAGTCCCCATTCCTTCCTGTAATCCAGACGTTTGTACATTACAAAGAAAAAGGGGACCAATGAAGAGGTAGACACCTGTAGTATACTGTAAAAAACGGGCCGCAGTGGTGCATGGTGCACCAGGAAACCGTGCTTATCATGTTTCCCCGCAGAAGATGGTCGAAGTTAATGCTGCATGGCTGCCGTAAGATTTTGGTGTCGAGTATGATCTAGACTGCCGCCCCTCCCCCTAACCGGACTCCTTGTCCGTGCCTTTAGAGTAATTTCCTGTCCAAAAGAAGTAGTTGAGATGTCACTACTCATTCGCCCCCTCCCTTCCTGCACTTACACTATACCTCCGGCGCAGTCTGACTGTATTTGAATCCCACGCGATAGGATGACCGAGAGCTGCGAGCTGCGTAGCCGATCCTACACAAGGGATAACGCAATGCCGCGGTCTGACTGTAGGAACATCCTTATCGGGGATTCCGGGTTGACACCACAAAGGCAGCCCCAGATACCACGGGTGTTGATATAGCCCACTCAGCCAGCCCCCTAGAAGGCCTTGAGCATGTGCTTTCCCCTCCCCGTCAATATTGTGGTTCCTGCCGTAATACCTTCTACGCACTCACACCATGTCTGATTCATTCATTGTTGAATGGGCGAGAGCCCAACAGCCCAAGGCCCCCAGCATGAAGAATGCCTCAGTCTTCTACCGGAACCTGGAAGAGGAGCTCGACGTGCGCCGAGCCCAGCACGGCTGCATCATGCTGCACACCAAGGAGCAAACCTCCATGGTGGACTTTTCCTCTACCGATATCCTCGGGCTGAGCACCTCGGGCTCCGTCCGCAAAGGCTACCTGGACGAGCTGGCCCAACACCCCGATTTCAAGCTCAGCAGCCACGGCTCACGTCTGACCGACGGCAACTCCAGATACCTGGAAGACGTCGAGCGTGAGCTGGCTGCATTTCACGGCGCCGAGGCTGCGTTGATTGTCAACACGGGGAGCCTGGGCAATGCTGCCATTTTCTCCGTGATTCCACGCCCCGGCGATGCCATTGTGTATGATGAGCTCATTCACGCCAGTGTGCACGATGGTATGAAGGACAGCTTGGCCCTGTGTCGCAAGCCCTTCCGCCACAATGATGCCGAATCGCTGTATGATGCCCTGGTGGCCGTCCAGGAGTCGCAGCCCCAAATCCGCAACGGCACCCGATCGGTTTTGGTGGCGGTTGAGTCGGTCTATAGCATGGACGGGGATATCTGCCCGCTCCAGGAGCTGATTGAAACAGCCAAGGAGGTGTTTCCGGACGGCAATGTTCAATTTGTCATTGACGAGGCGCACAGCACCGGGGTGATTGGGCCCAACGGGGCTGGGTTGGTGAGCGCCCTGGGGCTGGAAAGCGAAGTGGCGATCCGACTGCATACGTTTGGGAAGGCGCTGGCTGCGACCGGAGGTAAGACACGATTGAACCGGTGTTGCTGAAGGATACACTGACTTGACTCGGTAGCCGTGATCCTATGCAACGAGACCGTGCGCACAATGCTGATCAACTACGCCCGCAGCATCATGTTCTCCGTGGCGCCGTCCTTCCCCATGCTGGCCTCGATTCGCGCTACATACCAGCTCCTGCGCAGTGGCGAGACACAAGAGGTATGATGTGGCTCCCTATTCTACCGAAAGCTTGAGCTGACACGGTAGCAGGCCCAGGACCGCGTCCAGGAGATCGTGAAATTCTTCCTGGAGACCATGACCTCCAATCCGATCTGGAGCAAAGCCAGCGACACCGGGCTTCTCCGTCTTCCCACGTACGAAGACGCGGATGTCCAACCATTCCTCACCCAAATCATCCAGCTACGGACGCGCACCAAGCACAACTTCTACCTTGCGTTCCACCTGCAACGGGCCGGGTTCTCGGTTTTCCCTATCTCGTATCCGGTGGTGCCCAAGGGGACGGAACGCGTTCGGATCATCTTCCATGCGTCGAACACGGACGCGGAGGTGAAAGCCCTGGTTGCTGCGATTGCGGAATGGGCCCAGGAGATGTTGGGGATTGAGAGTAGCGGGGATCGAACGAGGGTGCCAGCTGCGGCGCGGCATGTGTATGCGTTGATTGCCCAGGCTAATCTGAATGGGAGCGAGTAGATGGGTGTAAATAGTCCGAGGACTCTCGCATAGAAAGAAAGTACTCAGGCCTTGATCTGGCAGTTCTGAAATTCCCTCTAAGACCCATCATTTTAACCCGTTCGCCATATTTCCCGAGTAGGAGAGGGGAGGTAAAAAACAAGCCAACCCTAAATTGCTTATCTAGCTAAGAATTCTTGTCCCGTCTTGGGGTGGGGGGCGGCAGTGGCACGACCCTCGGATCTCTCGTTAGTCGTGATGGATTGGCCGATGCAGGGATCCTGACAAGGGATCCACTCCGACCCCGACCCCGATGAAGCCTGCAGGGGACTCTCTCCCCTACACGAGTATTTGAGTCGCAGTATGTCCGACTGGCGGTTGTCATTTTTGGGGTGTTACGGTGCTCTACGCGAATCACGACCATGGATAATCCTGCGGACGAGAAGACGGCGTCGGAAGGACAATCCGCCATGGATCTGTCCACCGAAGAGAAAGGATCAGAGGAACAGTCTCCCCCCGAGATGAAATCCAAGAAGCCGCTCTCCTTCCATCTGGCCTTCGTGGGGCTGCTGTTCATGGTGTTCATCGTGTCGCTGGACACGACCACCCTGGCGGTGGCCATCCCCATCATCGCCCGCGATCTCGGAGGCACGACCCTGGAGTCCTTCTGGGCCAGCACCTGCTTTATGCTGGCCGTGTCGGTCGTGCAGCCCCTGTACTTGAGCAGCTCGGACGTGCTGGGGCGGAAGATCCCGCTGCACACCGCATACTTTCTTTTCGTCGTCGGCTCGCTCGTCTTCGCCCTGGCCCCGAACATGGCCACTGTTATCGTCGGCCGCACCATCCAAGGGCTCGGGGGCAGCGGCCTTGACGTGCTGAACGAGATCATCACCGCTGACATGACCACTATGAAAGAGCGCCCCACGTATCTCGGCCTATTGGCTATCCCCATGGCCGCCGGCGCCCTGCTCGGTCCTATTGTCGGCTCACTCTTCACTCAGTACGTGACCTGGCGCTGGATCGGCTGGATTAACCTGCCCCTCATCGGCGCCAGCTTCATTCTCACCTTCTTCTTCCTGCGCCTGCGCCCTGTTGAAGGCACATTCCTCCAGAAACTCGGTCTTATGGACCTGCTCGGCATGGCCCTGTTCGTGGCCGGCTGCGCCGCCTTCGTCCTCCCGCTCAGCTGGGCCGGGGCTCTCTATCCCTGGGGCTCCTGGCGGACCCTTCTCCCACTGATCCTCGGCCTGGTCGTCCTGGCCCTCTTCGTCGTCTTCGAGCGTGTTCCCGCGCAGCCTGTTCTGCCTTACCGGCTGTTCAAATCCGCCACCGCCATCACCACCTTTCTGGGTGGCTTCCTCCACGGCCTTGTCACCTACACCCTCAACACCTACCTCCCGCTCTTCTACCAAGCCGCCTTTTACGAAACCCCTCTGCACGCCTCCGTTACTCTACTCCCCATGAACGTCATGTCCCTGTTCTTCAGCTGCGTCTCCCCAATCTCCGTCAGTTACCTCCGCAAATACCGCGTGAACATCTGGACGGGCTGGGTGTTCCTCACGCTCGGTACTGGACTCCTCCACATCATCACCCCCGCCTCATCCGTGCACTTGCGCACGGGTCTCCCCATCGTGGTCTCCCTGGGAGTCGGCGTTCTTTTTACTGTTCTTGTCCTCCCGGTGCAAGCCAGCGTCGCCAGCGTCGACGACACGGGGTTTGCCGTCGGCTTATTGGTCTTTTTCCGGTTACTGGGCGGGTTAGTCGGTCTAGCGATCGGGTCGACAGTGTTTAGCAGTGTTTTCGCAAAGTCGATCAAGGCGTTGGGAACCCTGCCTAGTAGCCTGGCCACGCTGGAGAACAGTCAGGCCGCGGTGGGGTTTATTCCTCAGTTGAGGGATCTGAGGGGGCAGGTGGGGAAGGAGGTCTTGGATCAGGTGACAGGTGTGTATAGCCATTCGTTTCATGTCATCTGGATTGTCTTGATTGTCTTTGCGGGAATGGGCCTGGTGGCGTCATGTTTTACGAAGGAGGTGAGTATGGAGAAGGAGGAGTTGGGCAGGCAGCGGTTTGAGGAGTAATCTATGCAATCCTTCGTTACCGCTAGTCGAGGGATCGGGAACCCATACCCTTTAGTTGAGGGAATTGGTTCCATGGCACTCTATTGGTGCTCTACTGTGACTCGGACTGGAAGGATCAGGGTAGGAGTTGGGGTGAAGAATGACCGAAATGCACTCCTACTTAGGGTTAGCACGACACACGAATATAGTAGCCTAATAGATAACCAGGTGCATGGCAATTGGTCAAAAATAAAAACCATTAGACTAAAATAGTGCCACGCTTACCTCCTAGTCAGCTCCCATTTCCGTTCTGATTCAGTCTCATGCATGGACATCTCACCTGCATCTGGCCATCTCCACCCCGACCCCGACCCCGACCCCAACTCTGCAAGTCCGTCACCAAAAGTCTCGCCTCCCTCTCCTCACTCCGACCTTTTCCATCCCACACACACACACACACACACACACACACACACACACACACACACACACACACACACACACACACACACACACACACACACACACACACACGCCATGTCGCTACTGCGTTCCAACGGGGTGCCTAGCTCCTGCGAGCCATGCCGCAAATCCAAGATTCGATGCGACCACTCCGTCCCTTGCGGCCGATGCCGGCGCAGACGCAAGCCGGCCCTGTGCGTGTACCAACCGGCCCCGATGTCCAAGCATCCGAACAGGACGGATCGCAGCTCCACCGACTCCATTTCGTGCGGCAGTGGCAGCAACATTACTGCCAGTGCCAGTCTCAGCAGTGCCTGGACAAGCCCGCTGCCTCCTCCCTCACTGGTCACTCCGCCCCTGCCCCCTGGCCATCTCCGTGACCGCTACCTTGCCGACTCGAGTCACCGCGGCACCTCGACCCCCAGCACCGGCGTCTTCGGGCCCACCAGCTACCTGTCTGTGCTGCGCGACGACATCGACGATGGCTCTTCCAGCATAGCCCTCTTTGCCAAATCCCTGCAACAAAACACCAGCGCCATCATCGACGACAGCCAGATCCAGCTCGGTGCCGAGCTGCTCCTCATCCTGCTCGATGATTTTGCCCTATACGAACACATGGCCACGGCACGGTTCGATCACTGCCAAGGCGATCTATTCTGCCCACCTGCCCTGCGTCTAATCCTGTCTTCCATCCGAACAATGCTCCACGAGGCCATCACCGAGCCCGCCAACCCGCTCCCTTCTCTACTTACCCTCTCCCGAAGCATTTTTACCGCCTCCTCCAAACCTTTAGTCGTAGACCCCGCCATCACCCCCACAGAATATTTCTCCTGTATGCCGAACCGCTGGGAGATTATAGGGCTAGTCTTTGCGGTAATTGGCTCCAGCGCATGTCTCCTCCCGCAACACGATCTGGCTGCGTATTCCCCCCCGCACCGTCCCCCACTTGACAGAAAGGGTCTCGCAGCTGTCTGTGTGTCAGCGAGTGAAATCTGTCTTCGCTTTTTTGACTACACCGGTGTCATTTCTGAACAGCTGTGTTGGGTGACACTGGAACATGCTTCGCTTCTTACCCTGCTTTATGGGGATTACGGTACCCCTTCCCTTCCCTTCCCAATTTCCTAGTATCCTCTTCCTAAATAGCCTCTCTCCCTATCTTACGTCCCTACCAATGCTAACAAAGAACAGACTACCGCCCCTACAAATCACTCTCTGCACTCATAACCCTCCTCTTCACCCTGGGCTACCACCACCGCGATACCACATCCAAACTCCCTTTCTTCCGCGCGGAACACCGCAAACGCCTCGTCGTCGCCACCTACGCCATGGACAAAGGGCTTTCCACATTCTTAGGTCGTCCACCCCGTATGATCCGTCGGTATATCACCATCGACCCGCCACTGGACATAGCCTTCACAGATATCATAGCCTCGCCAGAAGTTCTCGACGCCGCGATGACCCGCCTAGATAGCAATGGCTGGAACGCGGACGGGGCGTATACACGAGGATCATACGCGAGAGCATGCTTCATGATGGGGGTTGTAAGGGAGGCAGTACTGGAAGTTTCTCTGGATTCGAATATCGGGGAAGGAGAGGAGGTAGGGTTGGAGGAAAAGATTGCGTGAGATGCCTTTCCCCCCGCTCCCTTTCCCTCAAACTACCTTTTTCATTATCTTCTTTCAGGGATGACTTGCAGAGAACTGATGGGAAATAATAATCAGAGACATATCCACCCTCGCCACAAAAACCCGTCTTTCCCTCCCCTCATCGCTGTACCGCGTCAGCACGCCCTCGGACTTCGACCGCTGCCCCGAAACAGCCAAAGTTTGTCTCTTTCTGCACATGGACTCACTGTATAATGAGTTCATTCTCCAGCGGATATTAGTCCAGCGGACGGGCGCCAGCACAGAGAAATTGATTGCTGTTGCGCACGAGCTGCTGGATAATTTGTTGTTGTTGATTGCCAATCGCGCTGTCGGTGGGGGAGATGGGAATTCTGTGGTTTGGATTGTATGTTTCCCTTTCTCCTCCTTCTTCTTCTTCGTCTCCTCCCATATTATTCCCCTGTGTTCTATTTATCTATTTCTTTCTTTCTTTCTTTCTTCCCATTTCCTACGGGGTTGTACATTCTGAACTGAAGGTAAAGGAATTTTAACCAAAAAGAATTCAGATCTCCTCCCTCGGCCTCCCCCCTGCCGGCGTCCTGGCTATCGAACTACTGCATCAATTCCAGAACCCCGATTCCCATTTTCAGTCAGCAGGGGGCTTTCCCCGCTCGGAAATCATCCAAAATCTGAGCCGCTTTGCTGCGGATCTTGAATATGTGGTGCCGAGACAGGCGGGGAACTATGATGTTTGTCAGCAGGCGAGGTCAGTGATTAGGCATATCCTTGATCGGGTTTTGGGTGGAAGGGGGCCGGATGCGGAGGCGGGGGAGGAGGTGGAGGATGGGAATGGGAGGGGGGATGTGGGAGGGGGAGGACCAGGGCCAGGGTTTGTGGCAGGTGATTGGATGTCGTGGGATTTTAATGCCTGGATGGATGAGGATTCGGATTTGGTCAGGTGGTTGCATAGTTTTGAGTAGTTTGTATCTTCTAGTAAATGGGTTGGAGTTGGGACTTGAGTAAGAGTGGGATGGGATACGATGAGGTGAAGGGAAGAGAAAGAAATGAAGAAAGGCCGTGTATATAGTCTATAGATAACCAGTTGAGATGCAGAATCGGATAAGACTTGTAATTAAGGGTATAGTGTATGTTATGGCTTTGAGCTCAACTCACTCTTATCACATTTTACATGTTCACTAAAGCGCAGGAAATGTTTTCAGCGGCCTACAATAGGTTCAAGGAGGACTTCGAGAAGAAGAAGCAAAGGGGACAAAACCCATGGTGTCACAGGGATATCACATTAGCGGCAACTGATCTAGCTGAGACATTTGCAGCGCTTGGAGGTACAGACTACGAGGCTCCGGTCTTGGAATACTAGAGATGGGCGTTGTACAACCTAGACAAGTACGGCGACGCCCAGTTCCAGAATATTGCTCGTGTGCAAGTCAAGCAGAGAAATCTATCAAGGCAGAAGAAGAATTTTGAGGAGGAAGAGTGGTTGATTTTGGGTGCTTATAAGCACTTCCCTTCTTACAATTCTAGTGAAGGGGATGAGGAAGAATTTTATGAAGCCGCAACAGAATTGCATGGCTCTCTCGATTGGTGGGAATCCGTACTGCGATTCGCAGAACCATTACAAGTTTAGCAGCACCATGGTCGAAAGATCTGCGATGACGACCCCAAGGCATTGGTCCGAGCAGCGAATATTGGCTTGGGAAATGTCGCTGGAGAACGCCCCCCGCTTTCTCTACAGGCTGCCTTGCTTCTTGGTGAGATTTGCTCGACAGACAATCGCTCCGGTACTTGTGAGGGAGAAACCCAACTTGAAGATGTTGTGGGACGGTGTGGCGACTTTTTACCGCACGGCTCACTGATGACAATCAAGGCTATGGATTTGTTGATCAATCACTGGGCCAGGATTAACACTAAGCAGACTGAATGTGAGAACATGATAAAAGAGAGATGAGAGGCACTCAAGAGCGGATACGGTGTTGACACAACCATTGCGATCATGCAAATAACAGATCCCGGACTAGAAAACCGCAGTTGGAAAATTCCGGTTCCTGACTACGATAATGATGGCTTCAGATACGGCCAAAGCAGCCACTTGGTAGGACATCCTAGTTTGTTAGTTGTAAATAGAATTCACAATACTATCAATTTAGTCATAGCCCACTCGAGGTGTACATGAATAAGTCCATGGGTGGAGATTCAGGTTGAGGTTGCCTTATATTACACACGATTTCAGTACTAAGGTTGGTCACCTGAATCCTCCCTCACTTAAGAATATGTATTCTTACTAGCCATGCACAGTCGTTTAAACCCTCATAATGACCTCAGGCTTGCTTACCCAGCAGAGGATCATAGGAATAGCGCCACAGTTTGCAGCAGCATTACTGAATTGGGTATCCAGTTTGTTTATATAATGGATGATTCGTAGTAGTAGGACTCCAAACTAGTGGCAGTAGAGGGCGAGCTGCGTGAAGTTGTTTTGAGGGCTTCTCTTACCGCACTAACCCAGTTCAGGCTAGTGCATCTCGTGACACGAACCGTTTCCAAAACAGCCGGGGTGTTGCGTGACTGGTCTTAGCAGCCAGCCGGAATCTCCGACGGGAGCGAGGGAGAGACAGCATTGCTTGTCCGGGTCTCGGCCATCAGAGGTCAAGCTCGTCGAGCTATCCTTTTCATCGCGTTTGACCCGTTCAAGTCTCTGGTAGACGAGGTCGTCTCGATGCCATCTCACAAGCGCGCCCTTTTTACCTCACCTCACATTCACCAACCGATGCTCCGTCTCTTCACTACCCTGTCTCCCGGGCGCTGATATCAACTGTCTTTCCCAGCTCATCTCTCACCTTACCCTCCATCTCACACGTTATCAAAATGCCTCACGCAACAGAGCCCCCCGCACCCGACGCGGAGGATACCGCCTTTGAGAATGTGATGCGACAGATGAACGGCCCCTTCGGGGAAGGCGACATGTCGTTTGACTTCCTCTCCCGCGACTTGGAACCCGGTGAAAAGGCAGACGACGCGGTAGACTACGAAGATTTCGATGACGACGAGCTACCCGAAGAAGAAGAGCGAACCGGGCCGCCCGCTGACAACGGGGTTGGGGATCACGAAGACGACGCAGATAAAGGCTTGTTTGAAGCGGAGGAGGATGATCTTTTCGGTGGCCACGAGGAGGAAACTCAGCAACCACCGCGTGATGAACTGGACGACCTATTCGGCGATGGCCCCTCTTCTCCCCCAGCAGACCATGCCGACCCAACACGAGATTTGTTCTTCGAGGAGGAGGGAGAGGGCGAGAAGCCAACAGTGGCTCCCGAGCCTGTCGAACCTGCGCCCGCGCAACCCGAACCCATGCCGATGGACGAAGACGAGGACGAACCTATGCAGGAAGACGAGGCGTTGAGTCCGACCGCGGAGGATATGGATCCAGCTTCTCTTCGCGCCTGGAAGCTCCAACAGGCTCTGTTCGCTATGTCGTCTTATGGTCCGGAAAACGTGCCTGCGCCGCCAGAGAATGTCGAGGAGCTGTTGCAGTCGTTATTCCCCATGTTCGATAAGAATGCTCTTCCGCGTTTCCTTGAGTTGATTCCCCACAAGAAGGCCTTCTTTGTTGGAAAGCAGCCCCTCAAGCCCCCGAAGCCGGTCATCCCTAACAAAGTGAACATCGAATTGGCTCACGACCAAGAGCGATCGTTCAAGTCTGGAGGCCAGACGCTTAAACGTTCGCTGGAGTCGGAGCATTCTGGCGTGGTTCCTGTCTTGGAGGCGGCCCAAGAGGAGGAACAGGAGATCAAGGAAGAGTTTGATCAGGACACGGATACGGAGGAGGTGCTTCCTGGGGGGATTACCCATCATGACCTTCGCGTTGTCTGCGCCGACTGGGATGTGAGGGATGACTTCTCCATTCTGGATGTTGAGGAGGCGGAGGTCAAGGAGGCGGATGTTGACATGGAAGACGACTGGCTTCTCGAAACCACCCGCCCGGCGAAGAAACGGAAACTTGGAAGAGATCCGCTTGAAATTGTCGCCTTGTCCCATATCGATGTACCAGTGATTGATGACCCGCAACAAGCCACTTCCCGCATCGCTCAAAAGGTCACAGTTGACATGAACGATCCTCATATTCTCCTTGACGAGCGAGGCGCAGAGGCTGCGGCGCAGAAGCCAAAGGCGCTGGGTGCTCTCAAGCGTGACGAGTTGGATGCCAGTGTCACAAAACGCCTGACTTCGCGCTACAACATCTCGAATGATCAGGCATACGATATGCTTAAGCAGAACCACCAGAACAAGGTTCGGAGTACCCTGGGCAACGTTACCCTGGAGCACAGTATGCCTGCCCTGCGTCTGCAATGGCCTTACTACAAGACCGAGCTGTCCAAGGCCGAGGCGCGTTCCTACCATCGCCCTGCTCTCTCTTTCCGGCCTGGACAGACCTGTTGGTTCAAGAACCCGGCTTATATCAAACGAAAGCACCAAAAGGGCAAGGACGTCAAGCAACTCTACGATTCTACAAAATCCCTCTCTTTGGCTGACAACTCCAACGTTCTGCTGGTGGAATACTCCGAAGAGGTTCCACTTGTGCTGTCTAATTTCGGTATGTCAAATCGGATCATCAACTACTATCGGAGAAAGAGCATGGAAGACCCCACTCGCCCCAAGGCCGAAATTGGCGAAACCGCGGTTCTTCTCCCCCAGGACAAGAGCCCCTTCTCGATCTTCGGACACGTGGATCCTGGCGAGGTGACTCCGGCCATTTCTAATTCCATGTATCGTGCCCCATTGTTTGTGCACGAAGCCAAGAAGACCGACTTTTTGATCGTGCGTAGCAGTACTGGCTCTGGTGGCAGCGATTATTACATCCGTAACATAGAAAACCTCTATGTTGCCGGTCAGCAGTTCCCGTCGGTGGACATCCCTGGACCCCATTCGCGAAAGGTCACAACGGTGGCCAAGAACCGGATGAAGATGCTGGTATACCGCCTGTTGAAAAAGAGCCCAGACCTTCGGCTCTCTATCAGTGACGTCACCGCGCACATCCCAGGAACTAGCGATATGCAAAATCGACAGAAAGTCAAGGATTTCCTCCAGCACGACAAAGACTCCAAGTACTGGGTGCCAATGGAACCTGTGCCGGAGCAGGACGTGATTCGATCGTGGGTCCAACCCGAGGACGTTTGTCTGCTGGAATCTATGCAGGTCGGCCAGCAACATCTGCACGACACTGGTTTCGGCAATGATGCTGAGAAAACCGGCAACGAAGGCGAGAAAAAGGAACGGGAAGACGAAGACAGAGATAACGATGAGGAGGGAGAGAGCTTCGAGCAACAAATGGCACCTTGGAAGGCAACCCGCAATTTCCTTCTCGCATCGCAGGGCAAAGCAATGCTCAAGCTACACGGAGAAGGTGACCCTACAGGACGTGGCGAAGGCTTCAGTTTTATCAAGACGTCGATGAAGGGCGGCTTCAAGGCGGTTGGCGAGAGTGTGGAAGATAAGCTCGATGCCCAGCGGCTCAAGGAGCTTGGAGGCCACAGTTACAATGTTGCCCGGCAGCAGAAGTCATATGAAACGTCCATCCGACGCATCTGGGATTCCCAGAAGGCGTCTCTGTCTTCAACAGTCGAACACTCCGACGATGAGAGCGACATTGACCGCGAAGAAGAGGAGGAGTTCGGCAAGCCTACTCCGCGATCCGAGGCTCCCACTCCGGCTCCTTTCCGCCGTGACGACGAGACAATGAGTCAGTTCAGCAGAATGAGCATGCCCGCCGACCAGAAAGGAAAGGTTCTGCGTATTATGCGGACGTTCAGGGATGAGAAGGGCGAGCTCTACCAGAAGGAACATATGGTCTGGGATCCCCGGGTCATCCGCCACTACATCCAGCATCGGCATCGGGTCGAGGCACTCACCACCAAGTAAGCGCACCCCATTCACCTCTAACATCTATCAAACTAACCAACCTTCCCAGACTTGAATCACTTCAGCCAACGGGAGACAAGGAGATCGACGCTCGTAACAAGAAGCTGTACGTCCAATATCTATCAACCACTAACATCCTCCTCCACCCCCTACACCCTTCCCCAAAGACCAACTCACAATCTAACCCCCCACAGCCTGGAAGCCGAACTCAGCCGTCTCAACCGCAACAAAGAACGACGCTTCGCCCGCGAGAAGCAGAAGGGCGCAGCCCGCGCATCTGCAGGAGACTCCCCCGCCGATGGCGGCAAATCCGCCGGGACGCAACGGAAGTGTGCCAACTGCGGTCAAGTCGGCCACATCAAGACAAACAAAAAGTGCGTATGCCATAAACCAGGTCCCTCCTTTGGATTTCCAAACAACCCTTCAGATTTCGATCTCCCCTTCTTTACCAATCCGTAGTCCTTTCCAAGGATCCCGTACTGTCAGGTTCGGCTTCATAATCTCCTGGTGCTAGCCCTTCTCAGCCCAGGTCGAGGTCCCGCCGACTATTATGGCCCGAAAGACAGAGGACTATCCCCCTTACCCTACCCTATACCTCCCTCTATTTCCCATACCCCCTTACCCTCAACTTACCAGCAGTTCCTCCCATTCCCCACACTGCAAGGATTGATCTTTTCATGCAACACATGCATTTGACACAAAAGCGCAAACAAAACACAAATCATACAAAGAACAACAACAAAAAAAGACACAAAGAAAGAAAGAAGCAGCGCGCTAACCAACTTCCACCGTTTTCTTCTCGCTCACAGACTCTGTCCTCTTCTCAACGGTACCATGAAACCCGAAGACCGCGTCACCGATTCCGCCTTCGCGATGGGCGCTCCGCCTGCGCTGTGATCCACTCAAAACACATTACTCCCGCGAAAGACCATTCCGCCGCCTTTACGATCTATCTATCCTATCCTCCTTCTTCCTCTTCCCCCTTTGGCTGCCACCATCTGCAATAAGTACACGTACGCAGGGGCAACACCTCTCGCTGTACCCCTTTAATTCGTATCTTACTACTCTTCCCCCCTCTCTCGTGATACCCTACCTTTTTCTCGATGTCAGCACGCCTACATATCGACTCACGCCTGCATCTCTTTTCGCTGGTATACCTGATTTTCGCCATTTCAAGGTAAACCCAATGCTTCGATATATGTGGGTGTTAGAATTACTGCTTCATTTTTCAAGTTCATACTTCTTTATTTTGCATCTCCTCTTTGCAGTATTGCATTGGGTGGATTATTGAGGGTCACTTCTGACAGACTGAAACTTACAACTGGAGTTTTAAGGCGAGGGGGCCGGATGGTTGGATGTGTTCTATGATGTCTGAGTTATGAAAAATGGAAGATACCTTGCTGTTTCTTTTCTAAGAATAATCATTGGCACTCGGCTTTGCAGTGAATGATACCACGTGCATCTGTCTTGCGAGATAATCGATAGTATGTCATAGCCAGACAAGTGTGTTCCGTATGGATAGAAAAGTAAGACTGTGTTAACAATGAGAGACAAGGATAGGTCGCTCAGAATACATGTTGCGTTAAGACAAGGTACACAAAGATCAAAAAGAGAGTCAAGCAGCTGCTCTCTATCCGTACAAGTCCGATAGATGGCCACGCGCCAGCAGTCCTCGTCCGCGATCTGGGGCCAATGCCATCGCAACGGCATGGGGTCGACGATAGGTATATCCCAGGAATGCACCCCTCTTGCGCATCTCCAGGACCGTCATGCGTAGTTTGCGGTCTCGCAGCAACTTGTCCCGGGGTCGCTTCTTATCTCTCCCCTTGCGGCGGTTCTTCGGCGGCAGTTTGCTTGCGGGACTCAGCAGGCTATCGATCTCCTGATACTGGGGTGGGTCTCCCCTATCCTGGTGGCACTCGCCTCGCTCACCTGCTTCGCTGGAGCGTTCAGCATGCTCTGCGTCTGAGGCCGCAGAGACCTCGTCGTGACCATGCTCATATCCCGCGTCATCGAAGTACCGGGTGTCCTCCCAGCCTTTGACTTTGGGGATGAACGGGGGCATTGACTGGTGGATTTCATTCCAGTTGATACAACTAAAAAAAGGATGGTTCTTAATGTCTGTAGCGTCGTTGGGATAGACATAGAATCCGCGGTAGGTTTTATTGCGAGGGTCCATGTTGTAGAGGGGATGCTTGGCTGCCAGGCGAAATGTGACCGAGTCATTCACGCGATACTTGCTGGAGGACAGGCGGTGTTCCTTCTCCTGGAGAAGTTGGTTTATCAGGTCGATTGCTTCAGCGGAGATGAGCTTATCGGGTGGCCGGTTCGGAAAATGTAGGGTCTGGAGATGATGCTTCAAGTACTCAGTCATGCCTCGCCTGCACATAACAAACGACGAGGTGCTTACATGGATTTTCAACTTCGTCTTCTGGCGATCATCCGAAGCAAAAGGAGTGAAGCCATACAAGCACTGGTGCTGAGATCAATATCTGTAACCTCCATAGCTATCGGGAATGTCTTACCTCGTACAGGATAATGCCAATACTCCACCAGTCGCATCGCCCGTCGTACAGCTCTCCGCGAACCACTTCAGGCGCCATATACTGGTTCGTTCCTACAATGCTCCCAGCTAACCGCCGTTTCTGGGTTCGGTCGCGCCATCCCAAGAGGCCAGCAGTGGGGGGTGTCCACTCGGAGTCATTGACCGGTTCTGGATCCAGCGCACTGGGAGACTCCGCGATGCGTTTCGCCTCGCTCTGATCGAGGGCATCACCATCTACCCGGATCCCAAGCCGCTTGAGGAGAGTGTGGCGGTGATCATTGTAGTAGACCTGATCGTGTGCCCAGTGCCCATCAAAGGCCAGACCAAAGTCCGAGATCTTCAGGTGGCCAGAGGCTGAGATGAGAAAGTTGTCCGGCTTGACATCACGATGGATCCAGCACAGTCGATGAGCCTCTTCAATGCAGAGGATCATCTCAGCAATGTACCATCGCGCAATTGCCTCGGGCAAGACGTTTCGACGCATCAGCAGGCCAAGAAAATCACCGCCCACCATATAGTCCATGATGAGGTAAAGGTGATTTCGATCCTGGAAACTAGCGATCAAGGGTACAACCCAGCGAGACTTGGCCGATGCCACCAGGAAGTCTCTTTCGGCTCGCAAGTGACCTTCCTGGCTGTTGCGGATCATCGCCGACTTGCGAATGACTTTCATCGCGAAGACATCCTTCTTCACGCCAGTCATAATCTTACGTCGGTTGCTCTTCGCTCCGTCACTTAGAGACCGGAGGGAATCCAGCGCATGTGATTGAGTGTTTATGGCTTCATTCTTCCAGCGCAAGAGCTTGTCTTCTGAATCGCCATCTGAGCTTGTCTCCTCTGCTTTCCTTTCCTTCACGAGGCGTACGACCCCAAAGCTGCCCCGGCCAAGCACTTTGATGACCTCAAACCCAGCTAGGGACACAGTGGTATCATGGTTACCGCCACCATGGGATCGACTCTTGAGGATGCGACATTGGCGGAGGTAATGGTGCTCCTGGGTGATCCAGTTCGCCCAGATTCGAGCTCGTTCTTCGGGGCTCAGTGGCAATCCATACATATATTGTTCCAACTCCTGACGACGCTGTGAGCGAGGATCTGTTCCGCAAAATACGGAGTTAAAGTAGGTCTCGAAGAAAACCTTGGCATTTGCAGCAGCTTCGACTGTCACAATCGACGGCGATGTTCCTGACACTTCGGTCGAGCTGGAAGCTTCTTCTGCCGATTGAGGTGGGAGAGAAGTATATGGTGAAGCTTTGGCTGAATCGCCCAGGGCTTGTTTCGAAACCCGTGAAGGGTCCTCGGAAGTGGGAGGTGTCGACCGTGTGCCCAGCGGAGATACACTACTTATGGGAGATATCGATGGATTTGAGCTGTCGTTAGGGCTCTCACTTGGTCTGCTTGGGCCTGGCGAGGAAGCTGGGAAATGCACGGGTGTTATGTTAAGCGGCGAACGAAGGTGCGAGCGACGGATGACAGTGGGATTACCAAATGTCGTGGAGAGTTTCGTCGACACCAAACTAGTCAAGACAGCAGGCGTTGACTTGCTTCGTTTCACCGCGGCCACTGAACTGCTCTGTAGTTCACGCGTCTCTGACTTCCGTAGCTGATCAGCAGCCACGAATTGTTCTGGAGAGACGGCCTGCCTCGGAGTTTCAGATGCCATGGATGTCTCGGGCATCGGAGTAGTACAGCTGTGGGTGATGCAAGTTAGCAGGGGGCCCCCATGTCCTTGCTCTTCTTCCATAGCGGTACTGCTAGATGGAGCTCGGTTGTCGGCTGGGAGTGAATGAAAAGACTGTGATGGGTTGCTATCGCTTGAGGGTTTCTGCTGAACAGGCATCTCCCGCGTGGTCATTGTTTTCAGCGCTAGACACCTAGTTAGCCCTGTGAGTGTCTATGTCACCATAATCCACAGCCCTACCACCACTAGGGCCTCGAAGGCCCAGTAAAGAAAGGATCCTGGAGCTCCGTTGCTTAATGCGATCCCGGATGCTGTTGCTCTTTCGTTGGACTGCCTGAGATTCCGCATCGGCTGAGACGGTTGAGGCGCTCCCGTAGAGTTCCATAGTAGTCTCTACGATGAGGTCCGTGTGTGGTGGGTTTCCACAGGGCGTGGTCGACATGGGCTCAAGCATGGAATGGACAATCATTACGGTGGACGATCAAGGGACCGAGTAAGTCGGACCCAGTGGATAATCATGCGCTCCCTGGAGAGGGCTGATATGAGACCCTAAAGAGAGTGGTATGAATGAGAGAATGGGAAAGTGTACAGCGATGGGAATCCCCACTAGAGCAACTTTGGAAGCAGATGCTGCATGTGTCGGTGTACGGACAGACGAGACTGATGATGGTGAAAGATACTACAAGGCAGAGTGTGGTGCAGTTGGCCACGTCCACAGCAGGCACGACGGGGCAGGGACAACGCACACCCAGGGCAGGAACGGAAGAATTAGTGCTACAACCTCTACAGATATACTAATGAGCAAGAACGGCCGAGTAAGAACGGCCTCCGAATGAATCAAACCAAACACTTTTTATTAGACAAAGATAGTTGGATGGCTTGCAATATCCTCATCCCTGCCAATATGCATCGGAAGGCTGTGCAAGAGAAAAACAAGTCGGATATCACAGGACTGATGTTAGATTGAACGAACCCCCAAACACCGGTGAAGCAAACCCAAATGGAGTAACAGACACATGCAGTTAGATGTTAGTAGGGGGACTCAAATCTATTTGATCTCGAGCAGCTTAACGTCGAAGATCAGCTTGGAGTTGGCGGGAATGCCGGGGAGAGCACGCTTGCCGTAGGCGAGGTGAGGGGGGATGCTGATGCGGCGCTCACCACCGACAGCCATGCCGGCGACACCGATGTCCCAACCCTTGATGACCTCGCCCTTGCCGAGCTTGAAGGTGAAAGGCTTGCCCTTCTTGTTGGCTGCACATATAGTTAGCACCTATTTATTGTCTTCGGAAGCATATAGAACTCAGGACTTACCATCGAAGACCTTGCCATCTTCGAGCTTGCCGATGTAGCGCATGGCAACGGTGTTACCGGCCTTGGCGGCGACACCCTGACCAAGCTTCTTGTCGTCAATCTTGACACCCTTGACCTCCTTGACACCGAGGGTGCCGGTGGTCTTCTCAGCGGGCTTCTGCTGGGTGGAGCCAGTAGGGCCCTGCTCAAGGTTCTTGGCGAACTGGACCTTCTTGGCCTCCTTGCCCTCCTTGGCTTCCTTCTTCTCCTCAACGGGGGCGGCCTCGCCGTTGTTCTTCTTCAGCTTCTTCTGCTGTTTCTTGCTGAGGGCGGGCTCGGGCTTGGCCTCCTCGGGCTCAGCAGCGCGCTTGCCCTTACCCTTGGTCTCCTTGGACTCGACGAGCTTGGGAGCCTCCTCCTCCTCGCTGTCGACCTCGGTGATACGGGGGTTCTCCAGGTCGTCGAGGTCGTCGCTCTCATCATCCTCACCAATCAGGTCCTCCATGTCGAGCTCATCCTCATCGGGAGAAAGGTCGTAGTCCTCCTCATCGGAGTCCTCGTCGTCGTGATCATGGTGGTGGTCGTCGGCGGGCATGACATAGTTACCGGTCAGGTAGATGGTGTGGGTACCGGTAACCTTGAAGAAGACGGGCTCCTCCTCGTTGACAACGATGTCGAGAGGCTGCTGGCAGTTCTACAAGGGGTGTTAGCGCACATACTCGCATGAAGAGATTTTCAAGCATCGCATACCTTCTCGGGGTCCAGGGTACAGATGACAGTCTCGTCGAGCTCAAGACCCTCATCGGACTCGCCATCAGACTCCTCGTCGTCGTTGGCGGGGGCCTTGCCCTTGATCAGCTTGGAGATAGCGGCCTTGAGGTCGAACTCGCCCTCCTCATCATCATCATCCTCCTCTTCGTCATCCTCATCCATGGCATCCTCGAGCTCCTTGCGAGCGGCAGCCAGCTTGAGCTTGCGGGCCTTCTCCTTGTCGCTGGGACCACCGTTGACCTCCTCGTCGTCCTCGGAATCCTCATCCTCATCGTCCTCCCAGTCCTCATCATCATCATCCTCGCCCTGGAGGTCGAGACCAGGGGGAGCGCGCACAAGCTTCAGGGTAGCACGGGGGCGCTTGTTGGAGTCGAAACCGTCCTCGTACTCGGGAGCCTCATCGGGATCAATGGCAGCCATGCTGACACGGAACTGTCGCAAACGATTAGAAACAGGCATACAATGGCTTCAATGGGAGTGATTTCAGCTACTGACCATGGCAGAGAACTCAGGGACAGCGGGGATCAGAGCACCATTGGCGGGGACGCGCAGGGCGTAGACGGCAACGGGAGTAACACCGGACATCTTGACAAGAGATTATACAGATGCGAACAAGATAAGAATAGAAGAAAAAGAAGAAGAAAAAATCAGACCAACGAATGGATGGTCAAGAAATGATGCAAGGGAAAGAAGGAAAGATCGTCTACCCGTAAAAGCGTGGTAAGGACGAGGAAGAGCAAGTGAAGGGGAGAGGAAGAGGAAGAAGAAGGGAAAAGTTTTGATGCTGGCAAACCTGCCGCCGCTTCGATGGCAACCGTTTCCCGCTGCTCTATTTTTTTTCTGCTACTGACTTTTTCTCGCAGCCAATCAGAAGCAGATAAAAGGCGGATCTGCCGTTGCTCACCGCTGTGGATCCTGCCACGTCACGTGGGTGCAAAGCTCACCGCCTTGTACATCACATGATGAGCTGGTTTCCTGTTTGGGAGCCGAACATTCCAGTCACTTTCGATGGACATCAATCAAAGTCAGGAACGTGTAGCAGACCCCATTGGTTCCTGCACGTTGCCGATCCACTCAGATCCAATGCCAGTTAGTAAGTAACCTTCCAGTGATCTGGAATTGCCAGCGGTGACCGCTTCAAGGCCGCTTTCATCTCAATATGCCACTCCTGTTCCTAGCCATGAACCCTGTAAATATGAACACCGCTCTATCACTCCTCTAGATGCAACTACTCCATCATGTATGTATCAATTTTATATATTCTGAATCCATTGTGTACTGGATGTATAGCAGCCTTTACCTTAAGTTTGATGACTATCACCTATAACCCACTCGTACTAGTGCTTCTCCTACTGTTTTTATATATATCTGGGCTGGTATAACCCTTGGCGGATTGTAGTGTTATTCTGTCAAATATAACTGCGAGCTTTGTCTACGCCCAGCAGCAGCAGCACTGGTACTATAGTAGTAATAAACTGCTGGGACACATAACTCTCCGTCGCCTGACTAGCTGGAATTTATATATCATCATTGGTCTAGCGGTTAGTGCTTCGACACTAACTCTAGTAATGAAAGGATCACACCCTTGTAGCTGGCTGGAGAGAGTGTGTTAAAATAGACTTCAGTCCCAGTTATATTGTGTACTATTCACTCTCGTTCAATCCTACTACTAAAACAGGTCTCGAGATATTGCATCTACCTCGAGCTTAACCCAAGTCATAATTTCAGGTTTAATAAAACAATATCATCTCAAAATAGCCAACGCCAACAAACACAACAGAAAGTCACATCTAATCAGCCAAAAAGACCATCTATCCAACATAGACCACTCAAACCCACGCAACCTCCCTGAACCACTCCACCATCTTGCCCACCAGTCCCCGCTCCAACCCTTCCACACTCAACCCCCTCAACCCCTCAGCCCTCTCCCTCGCCTTCTCCGTGACAAACTCCAATCCCCTAAATGGCTTCGCACTTCCATACTTCCCCTCCCAGAACCCCACCAACTTAACAGGCGGGTTCCTCTCTGGGTCCGCCACATCCCTAACCCGCTTAATCCACTCCGCGAACTCCATATCCTCGAATTCCAACCCGGCCGCCCTTAGAGCAGGAAGCAAATCCTTTGTCCAATGGAAGTTGTACGGGTTTAAGATGTTATACACTTCCACATCATCCACCCCCTTCTTCCTTTCCAGCCCTTGCTCCTCCTTGTGAAGAGTAATATCCATCACAGCTGCAGCAACAACATCAACCGGCACCCACCGCATCCTCTCATCCAACCTCGGCAACGCCCCCACTGTAACCGCCGCCCGAAGCATCAGCGGAATCGCCTCCGTGGCATTCCACACTCCGTGCTTCGTATCGCCGATGATCTGCCCGATACGGAGGACTCGCGCATCAAGGTAGGGCGTGGCGTTGGCACAGATATGTTCTGCGATGAGCTTAGATTGGGCATAACCCATTGATTGTGCAGCGGTGAGGGACTCAGGGAGGGTTTCGGGGATGGGGGAGACGGTGCTGTTGACGACGCTGCTGACGGAGGAGCAGAAGTTGAAGGTTGCGGGCTCGGGGCGCTGGGCTTTCAGGGCTAGAGAGAGGAGATTGTGTAGGGTGGGGAGGGTGTCTTGTGCCAAGCTGCTGAGCTGGAGGTTGAAGTTGACGGGCCAGGCGCAGTGGATGATGTCGGTGGTTTCGTTGAGGAGGGTGTTGTAGGATTCCTCGGGGAGGGAGAGAGTTGGATGGGATAGGGTTGGGGCGGGGAGGGCGATGAGCTTGGCTTTCGAGGAAGAAGGGAGGGGGCTGTAGATGTGCCGGGTGTGTAGGGCATCGTGGAGGCGCTTGTAGGCTTCAATTGGGGACGAGGCGCGGATGAGGCAGTAGACTTTATTCACGGAAGGGTTCTGTGCGAGTTGGTGCGCGATGTGGCTGCCTAGGGAGCCAGTGGCACCGGTGAGGACCTACAATATTTAGCTGTGTGTACTGGCCTGGATGTTGAGGGATACTCACAACATAACGACCAGGAAGCTCATTAGAATGGGGAACGTGTCGTTCAAAGTGGCTGAATTGGGAGATGAGAGCGCGCATTTGTTCATGGATTGGCTGAGAATCTGGGAGGGCTTCTCCGGACTGCACAGCGGCTAGATAACGGGCGAGCACGGAAATAGTGGGCTGCTCGAAGGCAATGTTAAGTCCCAGTTGATAGCCCTTGGTGTCCAAGTTCTGGACGAGTATGGAACGCAGCTGACTGGCCTGCAGAGAGTCCATGCCCAGGGAGAAGAAATCGGCATCGTCGGTCAGCAGATTGGAATCCTTGAGGGGCAGAATCTGGAGAAGCTGCTTCTTGAGGAAGTCCCTCAGCTCAGGCTCAGACAGAACCAGCGTGCCAGTCATGGCGTCCACAGCGGCGTAAACCTCTTCAATCAGCGGCTGGAAGTTCTTGTAGAATGCTTGCCGGATGATGGTGCCCTTATCAGTCCGAGGATAGGGAGTGTCCGCAGGCAACACTCGAACCATGTTCTTTGAGAGCTGTCCGAACGCTGGTAGTGCCTCGTGAGCCTTCTCAACAGCTGGCCAAATACTGTCAATGATATCCTCATCGGAGAGTGACTCGGTGCCAGGGGCACGGATGACAGCCAGCCCGATGTGGGCTTTGCCTGCTCCAAATGCAATGGCTTCGGCAACAGTGCTGCGCTGTCGGACTCGTCCTTCCAGGTCAAGTGGGTTGACCTTCTCTCCGTTGTATAGAACGATCGTATCATCTAGCCGAGCATAGTACTTGTATGCTTCCATAGTGGGATGCTTGACAAACAGGTCCTTGGTGGCGTACGAGCCGTCTGGTCGGTTGGTCATGACCTTGGAAGGCCAGCCGTCCAGACACACGAGCTCAAATACACCCGGGAAGCGTTCTTCGAATCGCAAAAACTTCTTGACGGTGTCAGATGGACGGAGCCAGTCCCATCCCTTGTCGTCACGAGGCCTGGTCGACATCATGAGCTGGCCGGTCTCAGTTCTGTATATATATTAGTAGAATACCAAAATGCTTTTGAGAATCCACTTACGATCCATAGTGGCTGATGAGATGAACATCATTTTCGACCAGCAAGTTACCCAGAGAGTCCGGGCATGCGGAGCCTCCAAACATGACAGCCTTTAGCTTAGCCAGAGCGGATATTCCCTCTCGTGTCTCAGCCAACAGTTTCAGCGCATAGGGAACACCGTAGAAAACTTCAAACGAATTGGACCCCATGATCTCGAGCAAGTACTGCCTTGTCAATGGGAGATTGGCATTATACAGGTGCAGCTGTTTGCTAGCGTGAATCGTCCGGAACAGACAACTGATTCCATGGTTGTGATAAAGTGGCAGAGTGACAAACCCAGACATGTTCATGTGTCCAGAGTAGTTCTTCAGCGCAGCAGATTGGGTATGAAAGATAGGTTTTGGAAGTCCGGTCGATCCACTGGAGTGTATAATCCATGCAATGTGCTTGGACTCAATCTTCGGATCGAGATGCGGGACCAGATTCGTGTCGACATCTTCCGTGATGGGATAGTGATAGTTTTCCTCAGTTGGAATCTCATCAATGACTAGCTCAGGTACTCGCTTCTTGATTTCCTCGGCGGTGTCTCGGAAGGAGCTGTGAATGAAAACATGTCGAGATCCGATTCTCTCCAGCAGGGAGACATACGCATCTATGGAGATCCTGGTCGATAAGAGCAGTCCACTGTGACTCAATTTGGCCAGTGAAAGCAGCATCACCAGGTAGTTGAGATCTGAAGGTCCCAGTAAAGCGATGACTTTGGGAGTTTCAGCTGACGACTTCCGAGGCGGAATGCGGTCTGATAGCACCTTGGAGACGCGGAATGCGAAGACATCCAGTTGCTGCAGTGGATAGTTCACATATTCGATGCCGGTCCGCGGGTAAGAAATGATGGGTTGTGCGGCTCCAAGTGATGCACGCTGACGAACGAGCTCGTCAATGGTCGAGGGTTCGTAAGATTCTAAAGGAAGAATATGATCGCCTTTAGACAGAGGCTCTTGTAGCGTGGGTGGTTGTGGTGCGATTGTGGAGAGCATCTTGGGTGTTTGGAGGGCGTTGTTGCATATAGAAGCAGCTTGTAGGCAGGCACCGTCTGAAGCAACTCAGCTTGATAGATGAAGAGGCACCAGGCTTTAAAGTAGTTCCAGTACACCATCGTTCAATGAAGACCATGTCCGATGCCGTGATGGAGGGCTCGGGAAAGCTAGCGCAGTTCGGATATTTATCCGACAACGGTCTCTGCCCGAACATCACCGGAGACAATGCATGCAGCAAACGCCCTACTATATCGAAATTTGAATATTATTTAAATTATGACAATGCATACTTAAGGTGAAAGATAACAGGTCAGTCTGATCTGCTCGACTTTCAGGACTACGGTCACAATTTGAGTGACTTGAGATGGCATTTCGGGTAGAATCTGCACGACGGTATACATCGGCCGAAGAACAACTTTTCCGAGAGGTTATAGCCAGACACTTCTGGAATCGTAGGCGAATCATGGGTTATCAAGATGGATACATAGAAGATGCAATGGAGGAGAAGTTTCCGAGATCAAACGAAGCATAGTGAAGAAAGAATCAGGGCAAATGCGGGGTTTGAGCTGATCATGAAGATCCACCGCGGATTCCTCTCCGGGAGTCATTTGCCACTATCCCACTGGCTACGGATGCAAGTCCTGCCCTGGCCAGATATTTGGGTTTGATATCCGCTGTATACTAACCGACTTTGACGGAAAAATCCTGTTAGGCGCGTAATGGCACCGGCAATTTAGAAAGACGGCTCTGCTCTAACCACAGGGAATTACCATATTGAATAGTCAGCAATAAGGGCGTAAATTGGAATGGTGCTAACTTGTATGGCGCCTAGAAAATAATTCATAGTCTTCGACATACTGGCAACCCAAGTACACGCTATTGATTGACATTTATTGACCCCAGAGCCACAGAGTGAATGAGAAACATGAGGGATCGTGGAAAAGCTAGAATAGGGAGTTGTTACCGTATAGAAAACAGTTGAGATGAACGAAGGCACGAAGGTATTGAAGCTCTATTTCAACATTCGTTAGGTCGATAAAACAGCGCAGGCCACTATTGAGCCTCAGAGTAGCTAGGATTCACTGGCTTCCACTACTCCCGTATTAACAGGAAGGTCACATGCCTGGGATTGCATCTTAGTCTGCTTATTGAAAGGAAATTTGGGAACGTTCGGCTGCATTCCTCTATTCGAGTCAAAGTGTATGAGAGGAATGCTATACTTAACGCGACCCCTTGGACAGCGGGTCTTGAGGACCCCATATTATTACGTACAATGATTTTGCAGAGGTGAGGACGAGGGACTCGGATATGCTGGGCTGCCGAGTAACCTGGAAATTATTCGCCGATGGACCGTGACACAGAACTCATCTATGCTTTGGGTTCGGTCATTCCGACAATGGACATACCTGCTTTCACTGGACAAGGCATCCTTTGCATCGATGGTTGCACCATAAGGTAATCAGATGCAGATTAAGTTTATAGATCCTTGCTAGAACAAGACCTAGAAAGAAAAATGCTTGTAGCTAAAGCTTAGAAAAGCCAAATATTTTACCTCCATGCTACTTTCTATAGGTGCAAGTGGTGATTGGCTTCTCTGTGATCCTACTATGTATTTCTCTCACGGGATATATCTTTCAATACAACCTCTAGCCACCCCACGGAAGGGCAAGACACTAGTCCTTGCCATGAATCAATTCCTAAGCCTCTGTAACGTGAGATGTGAGTCTTGGATGCTGTGAAATGCTCGTATCTGCATCTACCCAGGCAGCATCTATACCATGTCGCGCGTCTCCGCTTGACTAGGCAACCTCCGACGGAGATCTACATCATGACTTACCTCTCTGCTTAAAGAATGCAGTCAGTTTGACACAATGGCTGCAATTGTAGTCATATATCGTCGTCAACTCTGGTCAAAGCACCCTTGGATCCCTGCCTCTTTCCAAGACTTGGTGGCCACCGGCGGGTATATAGTCGAGGAGGTTCTCTCCTTCATTTATGCTCTCGAGATCATCGCATCATTCTTATCCAAGCACATTTTCAATTCATCATCTTTCATACACTTAGTTTAACTCCAGCATATCCTCAACATGCTTTGGGAAAAGCCAGGTGGCGGTGAGCCAGCCCAAACTACATGGGACCTCAAGGAGCCCTTGACGGTCAAATGGTCCCACGTCTCGTGCGTACCGGCCTCGAACTCATTTCTCTGCAGTAGCTGACTGCAAACAGCGGAGAGGAGAACAAGGCGTTCTGCATCTACCTCACCAACCGTGTTGACTACCCCCCTGTAACCGAGCTGGTCCTGCGCTACGCGGTCATGGGCCGAGATGAGGTTACTATTCCTCCATCAGGACCAATGGAAATCCCTATCAAGTGTGTTATGCCTACTCTAAGTGATTTGTAAGGGAAATGCTAATCTTTTCTCCTAGTTGCAACTACCGTCTCTGGGCTAGTGCTTGTGGAGATCCTGAGACTATCTACGCTGAAACGGAGCTGTTCTGCATTGATATTAGGCACAATGGTGATCTGTAGTTGATGCGCGAGCTAGCACAGTGACTGCAGTGTGCATGAATACTATCATTTAATTTATGCTGAGTAGTTGACGGGTTTCGTGTTTGCCATACGGCAATCACATTTAAGTGTCTAGTATTGTTGACCCTCAAGCTACGATTGCTAGAATGCATTGATGCTATTGCCGAATCTTCGACCGAACAATCTTGTAGATGGTGGATAACCATAACACAAGTCGATTTGTCATATTAGCGATGCAGTATTTTTCTCTAGGTTGGGCCAAAATTTCGGCCGAACCCTCGGTCCAAGAAGCTATATAGATCAGCTCTCTCCGGCACCGACGAGCTCAACAAACACAACTTCAATTCAAACAAAACAAAGGACTTTTGAGTCTAGAGTTTAGTTCTCTTCTTTATTCATTATTCATAATGGTCAAAATTGCAATTGCTGGTGGCTCTGGCGGTAGGTCTTTCCCGCTGTGCCTGCTCTGGTCAGATGTATTACTGACGTTCAACCAGGTGTTGGCCGAGAGGTCATCGACGCACTCATTGCTGCGAATAAGCATGAGATCATTGTCCTTACCAGAAAGGTTGGCTATCTCATCATATTCGTAGCCAATGGGATATTGTGACATTAACCAGCCCCTGCAGGATGCCTCAGCCAATAATCTTATTCAAGGCATCACTTGGGTAAAGGCCGACTACAGCGACATCACCCAATTAACCAAAGTTCTGCAAGGAGTGCACACTGTTCTCTCCTTCGTCACCGCGCAGGATGATCCCGCAAGCACCGTTCAGAAGAACCTCATCGATGCCGCTGTGCAGGCCGGAGTGAAGCGCTTCGCGCCGAGTGAATGGGCCTCGTGAGAATTCTGCATCCTGGTTCTACCATCATCCAAACACTGACCTAGTACAGGTCCGGCTTAGATTACCTGGACTGGTACGCTTACAAAGGCGAGACGCGCCGATATCTCCAAGAGCTGAACAAGGAAAGAAAGGTACGCTCAGTCAACATTATACTGGGCGAAATAGCTAACAGTAAATAAGGTCCTCGAGTATACTCTCTTCCAACCCGGCGTGTTCGTCAATTATCTGACCCATCCACATCAATCGGCCCGCCACCTGCCCACGATCGGAACTCCCTTTGATTTTGCCAACCGCCGAATGATCTTGGTGGATGGGGACGATAAGGCCCGTCTCACCTGGACGGCTGTTCAGGACCTTGCTGGAGTTGTAGCTAGAGCTGTCGACTACGAGGGCGAGTGGCCGGTGGTTGGGGGTATCCAGGGTGCTAATATCTCCGTTGGCCAACTCATCGCTTTGGGAGAGAAGGTTCGCGGTGAGTTTATAATCTCTCAGGCTATGCCATATAAATTGTATTTTGACTATTTCTCTCTAGGTGGGCTGCCCTTCACAATCGAACGGGTGAAGGCGCAGGACCTTGAAGCCGGAACGTGGGAAACCTCATGGACACCAACAGTGGATCACGCTTCCATTCCGCCCGAGCAGGCGGCAGTGGCTTCAAAGTATATGACCAGTCGAATTATTTTGGCGGCTGATGCTGGCTCCTATCTAGTCTCCGATGAATGGAACCGTCTACTGCCTGACTTCAAATTTACAGCCATCGAGGAGTTCTTGGCTGAGGCGTGGAAGGGAAAGGCTTGAGTATGCGGTCGGGAAGGCTGATACGGATACGCAGGTAGAAGGTTATATTTAGCTTAGTGGATATAAGGCGCCTTTAGAGACAATATTTACGCCATAGCGTATTGTACTAGGGCTGATGTGAGCATGGCGTTGTTCCGCCGAATTCGGGCGAACCCATTTCCTTAGCCCGAGATCGTGCCGCAGACCATCGCTCTTCCAAATCAAATCCCTTCACCCTTGAATCGAGGATACACTAGACCTATTTGCCAATGATTGAGATAGACCAGGAGGAGGGTCCCCAGACAAAGCGGAGAAAAGTCCGCAAGGGCACGCGAAGTTGCTGGGAGTGTAAGCGGCGCAAGGTCCGGTGCATCTTCAGCCCCTCCACCGGTACTATCTGCGATAACTGCAGACGACGGGGATCTACATGCATCAGTCAGGAGCTCCCAGACAGCCCAATATTTACAAGCAATGACTCGGTTGATGCTCGACTCGACCGAGTGGAGAGGTTCCTCGCACAGCTGGTTAGCCCGGGCGCTACCCAAGCTGTATCTTCCGAAGATCATTCCGAAACTCCACCGACTTCTGGGACGTTAGACAATCATACGGAATCTAATCAAGAAGAACATGTGAGTACAGTCCTGACATATACATTCTAATTACCTAGAGCTGAGGTTCCAGTAGCCGTTACCAGTTAACAGCATCACCACCGGCCAATATGTATGCATAAATCGCGACCTTCTCGAGGCATGGCCCAGCCAGAGGGATCTGAACCATATCTACACCCTCCCTGTTGGAATATCAACGTACATGAGCTATGGAATCTGCGCCCCTAACTTTACCTCCACAAACCATGACCTACCATCATCCAAAGAAATGCTCCAACTACCTCCACCGACCTCCCACCCCGTCCTAATCGCCCGCAAACTACTCACTCTGGGAATCTTCCTCCAAGGCATTCCCCCATCCTCCATCCAAGCCCTAGCCGACCTATCCATCTCCCACCACGACATCATGTCCCGCGCCGTCACCCGCGCCACCAGACTAGTAACGACCAACGACGGACTCACCCCTTCCATCGAAGGCGTGCAATGCATCATGCTCGAAGCCCAATACCAGAACTTTCTCGGAAACCTGCATCAAGCATGGCTAGCTACTCGTAGAGCCACTGCGATCGCTCAAATGCTATCTCTCCACCGTGGACTCCCACCATCATCCCTAAAGACTCTCGACCCAGCCACCCGCAACACCCTAAACCCAGACTACCTGTGCTTCCGCCTCGTCGAAATGGACCATTACCTCTCCCTGATGCTCGGCCTCCCGCCCACCTCCCTTGAGGCACGGTATCTCTCCCCAAAAGCCCTAGAGACATGCACGCCGCAAGACCGCATGCACCGCATACACTGCATCGTGGCAGGACGCATACTCCACCGCACAGACGGCGACATCAATAACCTCTCCCTCACCCAGGATATTGACTCCATGCTCCAAAACGCAGCTGCTCAAATGCCTCCCCAGTGGTGGCTCATCCCAGACCTATTACCCAGCCATACTCCCAAAGACACCATCCACAACACCCTCCGTCTTACTCACCACTTCACGCACTACCAACTCCTCCTCCGCCTGCACCTTCCCTACATGCTCCGCTCATCCCAAGATACTACGGTGTACGACCAAAGCAAACTCACCATCATAACCGTAAGTCGCGAAATTCTCTCCCGATATATCGCTTTCCGCACCTCGGATCCAGCGCAGTATTACTGCCGTGGGGTGGATTTCATTGCTTTTGTAGCGACTACAGTGCTGTGTATTGCGCACATAGATTCCCCCAGCAATATGCAACACGGGAAGGGAGCAATAGCCACCTTCCTCGCGCATAGCCGACCTAGTGATCGCGGGATGATGGAGCGGACACTTTCGATTATTGAGGATATGGCGGGCTCGGGGTCAGGGACGGATGAGATTGCGGGGAAGCTGGCAGGTATAATGAGACATTTGTTGGGGGTGGAGGAGAGTGCTGCTGGGGGTGTTGGGTATGTGGCTAGGGAGGGGGATGAGGATAAGAAGGGAGGAGGAGGGGAGTATGAAGGGAGGGTTGGGGATGGAGGGAGTAGTTTGCATGTTTATATCCCGTATTATGGGACGATTGGCTTTGAGAGGAGTGAGGAGAACGACATAGGGGAAGGTGATGGTGGTGGTGGTGGTGGTGAAGGGTGGGATTTGCAGGGTGTCGATGTGGCGCTGTTTAACAGTTTGTTCCGGGATATGGCGGTTCCTGATATTGGGGAGGAGAGGTGGGAGGAGTGGGTTGGTGGGTAGGAGATATATAGGTTATCAGCATCTCTAGTTCCCACATGTTCCCTCCACTATGACCCCATCATGATATGCTTTTTAATGCATCTCATATGCTCATATGCCCCTAACTAATCCCCCCGGGAGATCAAACAGCATTCCACATATCCCACCCCGAAACAAGGGTACTAACCACCATCCCAATCCCCACCCCCAACTGGCCCATTTCAATCCATCCCAGAAAGGTCCCAGGAATGAGCATATCACATGCATCAACGCACAGCATTTTCTTCAGAAGCGAGAAGCGGTTGATAGAGGGTGCTTGCTTCTTCTCATCCTTCATCTTAGACGCAGAGGACGCCGAAGAAAAGAGTATATCATTAGCAGCTCCCAGTATAGAGAACCCCAGCGCATAGAACCAGAACTTATTCGCTTCTGTTAATATGGCTGCATTATATGGGTTTGGATAGATGGATGTTGCGTGTAACTTGCATGTCACTTTAGTATCATTGTATGTCTTGGAATATGAAGGGAAGGGAGCACATACGAGAGTCAAGTCCTCCAACAGGAAATAACATCCAAAGCAGGACCATTTACTTATTTCGATTACCGTCTTGATGATATTGCCTTGAGCAGAGGAGGTACTCCCAAGCAAGGCAAATGCCCGATTGAAGCAGTCGATGAAGTTGAAGAACCGGAGGAAGCGTCTCGCTGTTTAGGGTATTATTCAATACTTGTTTGATGCAAATGATGGATGTGGGGTATTCCCAATTGATTCGGACTATTGGAGGGAAACTAACTCAACGCAAACTGTGTCTTGGCGATGTTGAACCGCGAAATGGACTCATTTTCCAGAGTGGGTATTTGCAGGGCCAGCACACAGACGGATTGGACGAGGCGGAGGGTCTTTTCGAGACCTGGGGTGGTTCGCGTGAAGCGGTATAAATGGTCTAGCATTCTGATTTCTTTCTATTGCTTTGAGGAGGTATATGTCTGGGGATATGTAGTCTATTGTAGATGTGTTATTTGGCGGTGGGTAGAGACGCGGTTTAAGTAGAAATTAGTCTACCTGCCAAGGGGCTGGCTAGCGGGTACGCGATATCGGCTCGGTATCCGCTTATCTATCATATTCAACCCCATCACATTCACAACGAGGATGATATACGTGACATATCACTTCCGAATGCAACAATGTTCAACGCTAATCTATACATCTACAGCAATCACCGACCTCCCGCAATATCCTGTCCCAGCCGGTATCCTCCGACCTTCTCCCACTCAACCTTCTGCCGTGTGATCGGCAACTGTCTCCGCAGCCCCTTGAATACCCCCTCTGCCGTGCTAACAAACGCCCGGTTCAACTCCTCCTGGTAATCCCGTTCCGCCGCGGCGATTCGCGAAATGATGGCGCTCGCATCCACGGATTGCACCGAAAGGTTCACCGGCTTGGTAGTGTTGAGGGCCACGTTGCCGTCTTCATAGTAGTGCACATCGACCTTGATCTGGCCGGAGATGGTGGTCGAAGAGGAGTTCACGGGGAGGGTGTAGATGGCGCGGAAGCGACCGTTCCTGTCCCATATTAGTAATTCCTCGTCGAGATACAATGTGGGAGGTATACCAGAAGTTATTAGGCGAGTAGCGGTTAGCAACGAGGACAATGGCCACGGCAGTGTCATCCTCGATGGGGTACACGCCGTAACTGCAGGTGCGGTAGTGTTCGGTGGCGTGTGCGGAGAGGGACTTAAGGAGAGATTTGCTGCGACGTGTTAGCATCACGGCCCAACATTGAATCAAATATGAGGGAAAGGAGCGTACATCAAATCTGCATTCTGCGACTCCAGAACGTACGACTGTGCTGCCGATGCTTCCTACTCCTGGTCAACCCCTTGTCCTCCCAATGTCTTATGTCCACCCACCTGCGTGACATGATCCACCTCGAACGACGTCTGACTTTCCACATCGAAGTACCGGTTTCCCTCAAGCTTGTTGTATTCGCTGATCAGAACCTATAGGAGGTCAGGACGGTCGGTCGACTCCATTATTAGAAAGATAGCCGCCTACCTCCTGGCTTGCGCCGGGGAGCTTCACGGTTGCCAGCTGTGTCTCATTGTAGCGCTCAAAGGCGGGTGCGAGGGAGGGGATAATGTCGGGACCGTCGGAGGTGAGAGCCTTGACGTCTGCAGAGCTGCTTAGTATGGACTGGGTGAGGGGTACGATGCGGGTGGCAACGATCGGGATAGATAGGTGGAAGTGGATTGCATACCTGCGACGACATCTGCGAGCTAAGAGATGCTGTTAGCTATGTTCGGGGTCATGCAGGTATAGGAGCATGAGGGGGTAGCTGCCTACCTCACCGGGCGGGGCACCCTCGATGAAGGAGGATGCGAGTTCGATAGTGGAAGCCATGGATGTTATGGAACGTACTCAGCTGCCAGAGTTGAGTATGCGGAAGATCAAAAGTAATCTAGTCAGACTCAAGCAAAAAGAATAGAGGGGCAGTGGATGCTGGATGAGCAGACGGAGCTCCAATGTCAACACGGAGTTAGCGCGACTCCCGCCGAGGCCGCACGTGGCCCCTGACCTGCGGCTATCCGCATATCGTCTCTATTATGTTACCATATCTCTATCAGACACCGTAATCACTTCAGTATGCAAAATAGGATTTATTAATATTAGTTACGATGCAGTTAAGCTATGTCCCAAGTAAAGTACCAATCAATGCAAAATTAACGCCGAACTCAACCGAACCCGCTAATAGCATTGAATCCATAGTCGATGTCGGAGAATGCTGTAATTTTATAATGTAAACCGGCTCAGCCAGCCTACTCAATGCTCATATTCATGAACCCATCACTGGTTTCATTCATTCCCTGCAGCCCCACTCGCTTCAGGGTTCCGGTATGGTTGTTGCCATTGCGTGGCCCATTGTCGGTGGCAGGCCGGTCTGGGAACAGCGAGCCAAGGTTGGACCTCGGTGGTCCCCAAATGCTGGGACTCGTGTCTTTGACCACTGGTGAATTAGGCATGACCGGGCTGCTCTGTGCGCTCATGCTCGGGGACACCGCTCGCCGCTTGAAGAGGTTCGGATCGAAATCATCATCCCGACGGCGTTTCCTCCTGAACTCACCCACAAACCCAGCCGGAGCACCCTGGGATGCTTCACTTCGCGAGCCAGGTCGCTCGCTAGGCTTAGCAAACTCTGTAGTCGACCCTACTGTGGTAGATGGTGTAATATCCATAGCAAGGTCATCTTCCGAAACAGACGAGGCTCCCTGTCGGCGTTGGGGCGGAGGCGGCGTGCGGTAGCGCTCGTCAAACGAATTCCAGAACTCGACCCCTCCTGAATTTCTATTGGCCTGGTCGATGAACCTTGGTTCGTCCGGCGTCGTTAGTCCGGCTTTTGGAGGGATCTCCTCTGGGGTTTGCCCGTGACCAACAGGGGTGGATGTATCAAGAGCCGACAGATCACCTAATGGTGATTTCGCTTCAACGTCGGGTTCGTTCTCTTTTACTTGTCGAATTACTTCCGCTTCTCGCTTGGCCTCGCTATCGATCGGGGCAGACTCCTCCATCAATGCCGCCCGGATACGCGCAAAGGTCTTTGTTTTTGGCTAAACGAGGTCAGCTGTGTTCTATCCATTCGGACTAGAGTACTTACCAGTAAGCTCCCACGACGGGTAACGGCCCGTCGTATTACCCCCAAAGGCCCGCCCTCGGAGTTCGATGTGCTTGGGCTCTGCCCACGCGCAGTGCGGTTCTCACCCTCGTCGCTGACATCCGACAGGCGCAAATCCCGCGTACCCAAGCTGAGACTGGCCCGTCGGGGACCTGCGCCAAAGTATCCTCCATTCTGTCCTTCGATACTCTTCATCACGGGTGGCGAAAGAGGGCCCGGACTCTGCTTGGAGCTGCCGCTAGCACTGCTGGAGCTGTGCCTGCTTCGTCCCTTGCGGAAACGAGCCCGTTGGAAGCTCATCAGACTCGCGGCTGCTTGTGAGTAGCCGCCCATCCACTCGTTTCCCGGGCTGGACACGTTCCCCACAGCAAACGGACTCATCCCACCTCCCAACCGCTTCGCCTGGGGTGTATTGGTGATCATCATGTCGTCGCGGTCGCCAATCATGGGTTCGTCATCCTCCTCACTGCTGCTTGTATCAGATTCCATCATGTTGACGCTGGATACGGAGCTCGAAATTGTGGCCTTGTCGGCGGGGTTCGAGGTGGAGAACTGGAGGCCGGATACTGAAGCTGGCGAGCCACGCCGCTGCGGGATATTTACACCGCGCCCGCCAACGGTCGGGGAGGAGTCCGGGGACGCTTCTGCAAGGGTCGAGTGATGGAGATTGGTGCAAGCTCGTGAAAAGTCCAGGCCACGGGAACGACGGGGCAGCACGGAGCCCGGCGAGCCGTAGATGGCCGAGGAGTCTAGCTTCGGGGAAAGCGGGGCACGATTGGATAAGGATAACGGTCCGGAAGATCTGGCAGAGAGGTTCAACGAGAGACTCTGCATGGACGGCCGCTGGGGCGTTTCGGGGGTCGAGGAGAGGGAGGAGTCATCTTTGCTGGGCGGGCGGAATTCATCGTGATTGATCGGCATGGCGGAAACTGGTTTTCCCGCATCGCTCAGCGAGCGAGTATTCGGTGAAGGGCGTAATGGAGGCCCAAGTGTAGGTGTGTTCTTGTCACCGGCATGGTCGGGATCGGTGCCTGAACTGGTTTGTCCGGTCCGCTGCGACAGTTGTTCGCTGAGCCGGCTCGCGAATGGGATAGCCCTGCTATGGGATAGAGTTGAAGGGGTGGTGGACGACGTCATGTTCGCAACTGAGACCACTTTTTACACGTGTCACGGTGGCAGTTGTGCGTATCAGACCGCATAGAACATGGTGAGGTTCTCACGAATGTCTCCCGGGGCGGCTAGTTCAGATGGTAGGCTTCTCGATAAGTGAGGGTTAGCTCGGTCAGGAGAGTGTGGCGTGGACAAAACGTGGAATGACAGTGCTAGATATGGCCTGGATGGATGAGAAACAGAGATAAACATCAGTACATGATGGAGAGGTCAAGCAGAGCGCCAGACGCGGTTGAGGCCATCCGCACGCCCATGCCTGCCTCAGGTTGGCCAATCCTCCGCCAGTCCGGTGACGCCCTTGACGTCCTGCCCGCCACTTCCGGCCAATCATACGCTTCCTGCCCCGCCTCTAGGCTCGCCCTATGATTGGTACGCGGACCCTGATCGTCTCGATGCCTGAGGCCTTAGACACAAGATAGTACTACTACCACCCACTAAGTACCAACGGGCTAAGCAGTCTAGCGTAGAGCTAATATCGGCATTCAATAGCAAGCTTACGATTGGGCCCTGGGGTACATTCGCTCTATCGACAACCCCGTATCCGACACTCACACATCGCCTTCAATTCTGCCGCAGCCATAAGCGGTCAATAGGGCGGTAAAGAAGTATACAGAATGCCGACTCATTGTTTTTGGAGCTGTTAGAAATTATATCCGCTTATATCCGTCTATTTCCGCAGTTTTTTCTGCGAGGTCGACAAGGTTCTGCCGCTTTGACGGTCAATTGAGCGGTCAGATTGGGCATTATATGGTCTAACAGCGATCTTACATGCCAGTTCCTGGGACTTTGTTCTCGCGGTTAACGAGTCTGGAATTCAGGGTTTGTATTTATGATGCGTTCCACCCCCTCATGTATGATTGGTGGAACTCAATGTAAAGAATCCGTGTGTCTATACCGATGAAAGCGTTGGATCTATCGGGTGGTAGTTCTTATACTACCATCTACCGCATATACAGGAAAGCTATCCGAGTCTCGGTATTTGTTAGCCACCTCCTGCATGTATCAACAAATCCAGTCTAGCGCCAACAGATCTCTTTATTTGTGTAACTTACACACCTCACCTGGTGAAAAGTACAATACTGGTAGTTATGACCTTGTAAATTGCACTTTCATCGCCAACCTAAACAGGATGGATGGTCAATTTCCACCTAGTAACTACATAATGTAATTCGTCTCGGCTCGGATAAGCCATGTTTAGTTACATCCCCAACCCCGCCATTTCGTACGATCCTGGTTTTTCGATTGTAGATGCTATTTCTTACCCCCGCTTTGTCTGACGCAGAGAATCTCATCAAAAGCCCTTTTCCGAGACCATAACTATCGGAATTGCTACGCCTTGCATTTTGCACAATTTTCTTAGACTGAATTATTACCCGGAACTAATCTTCTCATACAAGACACTTCAAACCGATCGCACCTCCTCAAACTCCCTTTGCCAATTATGGACCCCCGAGTAGGCGTAGGCGTCTTCGTCATCAACCACAAGGGACAATTAGTTCTTGGTCAGCGCAAAAGCAGTCACGGCGCTGGTAAGTAATACCCTCACTAGAGTCGATTCATTCAGTTTGGTCATATCATTGGTACACACTTAACCTCAATCTCATTACTTACACCATTACACAGGTACCTGGGCCCTACCCGGCGGCCATCTCGAATTCAATGAGTCCTTCGAAGACTGCGCGGCACGTGAAGTATTAGAAGAGACAGGCCTCAATGTGCGCGACATCCTATTCCTCACGGCGACCAATGATATCATGAAAGATGAGGGGAAGCACTATGTCACTGTTTTTGTGGCATGTACGGTTGTAGGAGATGATGCGCAGCCGGAGGTTAGTGATGTAGCACCTACTTGCTATTCTTTCTTGTACAAAAAGAGAATGCGTGCATACACCGTCAGCTAATCATTCCTTCCAGGTATTGGAACCGCAAAAGTGTGAGCAGTGGAAGTGGGTGACCTGGGAAGAAGTCTCCTCGTATCATAACGATCCAACATCCAGCCACAAATTGTTTATACCGTTGGTCAATCTGCTCGAACAGAGACCGGGATTTCATCCTGTTAGACGAGGATGATCTCAATTCGCTTTGTGTCCAAGAACCCTTTATCATGTGTACTACTTAGCGGCTATTGAATACGAAACTGCACTTAATCGCGGCTACAAGGTCGGTCTTTTCTCTCTATACTTAGTCTTGACTTCCGCTCCTCATGCCATCTGTTTCCATACCAGTATTCAGTAAGAACAGAAGGAGACATGACCAAGCTGATTCCACCCCAAAGCCGTAGGATGGCCTATCCTGCGCCCACCCCTTGGATGAGGGGCTCAAGAGTTCATGGATTGCAGCTGTGGCTGGTCATGACCTCTGGCCTGTCACGTCTTGCTAACAGATTTCCCGATCTGGCAATAGAAGAGGTGGCACAATTGATTGGTGCGACGTTGGAAGGTGTCAGATGGTATCCTGATGTGATTGGAGATCTGAGGTTGCTGCGCACGCCGGCCCGTGTTGCAGGGGATGCCTGCAACTGTTTGGTGGTATCATCGCGGCGATAAATAGTGAGCATTGCACTGCTACAACTAAAGGGACAAAGAAGTTAGGGAATTTGGAACGATGAATTAACGACTAACTTTCAAACTCAAGTTGAGGCATCCAAAAGAATCTTGCATGCTGATTTCAACAAAGACCTGATCCGAGACGAATCATAATAAGAACCATTATAACAAACCCTTAACTCCAGTTGACCTTGCCTGGTCTCCATAGAAATGAAGATCGAAGAATTAGCCGGAAGAGTAATAGCCCAATAATCCGCCAGCTCGATCTCGCCATATGAAGCCCGGATATAAGGCGACAAGTCCCCCATATTACTGATGATAAACGTGGACATCACGTCGTTCACGACATCGGTGTCCATGTCGGCCAAGACGTTTGTCATAATTGGCGTGTAGGACGTCATATTTTTCTTGTATGCAGAATAGCATTCCATCAATGCTTTAGACGTTTGTGGAAAGTCGTGAATGTCAATCTGGATCGGCCACAGTCCAAAGCGCATTGCAGCTGCATCACTACCCAATTCAGGTGGCCCTTGGCACTGTCCTCGGAGGCTTGAAACGAGAAACGTGTTATGCTGGACTCCATCAGGTAGATTGCCTTGCTCTTTGGCAGCTAGAGCGATGGCAGCGTGGCCAAATGGAGTAAGTGTGAGGCCTAGATTGCGCGCTCCGGCAATGATGGTTTCTGTCTCTTTGACCGAGAATCGGTGTCTTTCAAACCCATGATACGACTCCCGCTGCGATGTTTCGGGCTCAGTTGCTAGGCCTAAGGTTTTTGACGCTTTGGGCTGCTTCTTTGGGATCAACCCTCGGTGATTCTCAACCCATGATTGTGTGAGCCGGGGGATCGCAGCTGCATCCCACGTCTCAAGTGGCAGGTTCTTGACCTCTTCCCCTGGTTCCCATCGGATGATATTCATGGTAGGACGCGATAGCTCATGTAGGAAATCATGGTACCACATGGTAACCCCATGGCCATCTGAATGACAGTGTGAAAGCTTTAACATGAACTCGTTGCGATCTTTGAGATGAAGCAGTATGGGAAGTTCTACTGGACCCAAGCTATTTAGCACATCTTCGGTCCGTTTTGGGGTTGAATCCACGGACAGGAAGGTTTTCTCGGTCCAGGCCCCCAATTCCTTGCCATATGGCACATTGTATACCCAGTTTCCGCCGACCACATAGCTTGCCATCAACGGATGCTTGTATCGTAGATTCTGCCAGGCTAGTCGCCCCCTTTTGGTCAGCTCCTCCGCAGTGAGGTGGGTTCGAACTTTGACAGCAGCAGCGATGTCGTATGTCCGGCGACCAGGAGGATGGCTGATGGCAAGTTGTCTCATTAGAGCCTCCATGCCATCAAGGGGCCTGGTGTACTGCGTTTCAGATACTCTTCCCCATGTTTTGGGGACTGCTGTAGAGTAGGAAGTTCGATTAATAGTTGATGGGGTGAATATTATTCTACATAACAAGGTAGTCAGATTAGCCAATCATGATTCATCTCCTGGTGTAGAGGGGTGCCATGGCCATTAGGCAATCGTAAAATGCTGGAGATTGATATGGATTGTACCTTGGAATACTACGTGATAAAAAGGTATGTAAGCAGCCGATATCCCCGGAACGAAAGGTATGTAGCATTTTGTAGTCTCAGCTACCAAGAGGTGCGAAGCTAGAAGTGAATACCGTTCCTAAACTGACTCCACTTGATATGAGCTCTACTCGAAATGAACAACAAACATTGATTTGATCTTGCACATGGAACGCAAGAACGCAATAGGCCTCGGTTCAGACTCAATGTGTACGAACCACGGGTCGACAGGAGTTAGAATATATAGCTTACTGACAGCGGGGGAAAGGCATTATTGAAGTACATTATGATATATCGGTGGCCACTCAGAATGCGTACACTCTACTGGAAGTCAGGCTCAAAGCCCCATGACCATTTTACATGCACTCACATAAGATAGGAAGTCCATTATTAGAGACAACAAGATCGAACGGACATTCTTGACTGCCCTTCTCATCCCACATTCCAAAGATGGTGACACAACATAACAGGATTCTTTCCCTCTCCAGCGGACAACTCAGCGTTTAACTTAAATTCAACCATTTATCAACGAATGTGTGCGGCCGTCAGTAAGGAAATTGCAGAGAAGTGAATACTTAATCCTGAGTTAAGATTGTCTTCAAACAATTCTTGAAAGCAAGGACAAACTCTTCATGCCGTGGAGGGAACTTCGACGTTACTTAAAGCAGCGGAGATACGTAATTCGACTAAGCTCCAATGTAGTGGAGAAATGCTGAATTAATACCATCCGATGCCGCTCTGAAAACGAAACTCCTTGCATGAAACTTGCCCACAGTACCCGTTCTAGTGCCGATGCGAAAACGCATGATATAATGTTGTTCTGTTAGAACATCGATGCGTTATTTGATACGCCCCTGTTTCTCATTATGCAGTGGCGGGTATCCTTCCGATAGCATCCGGTAAGAGTCTGCTCAGAAACAAGTTTCCACGATGATTGGCGTCGCAGCTCCTTGAGTATGAATATTGACTGAGAGTGTCGATGCGAGCGTCCAAATCCACGTGACTGGGAATACGACTTCCCATCCTCTTGCCTGGACATATGACGTTATACCGGTCAATGTTAAGGACAGCGACTATCGTTTACTGTGAGAAAGGTACATGGGATTCAAATGCATGTATATCTAGTCCGTATCTGAAGAATAGAAACCCATGATAAGAAGCTTAGAGCCATGACGTTGATGAAGGTAGAATACTTTGCTGTCCACTTCGCGGCTACCCACGCAAGCAATGCGATATAGGCTACAAGGCTTTCTTTCCTATCCAGCCTCTTTTTAGGCACTCAAGAAGATGTTATGTTACAACCCTTCTTTGATGGTAGCCTGGTCTACCTACGCGGGGTCTATGCTACAGAGACAACACCCATGTCGTTTCGTTGGTATAGGTCAGATAGGCTGAATTGTATGGATATCGTAATTGCTGCTGTTTGAATAGGCGTAGTTAGCTGACCTCATCAATTTCAGGAGATAGAACTTACGTGAGTTACTAGATCAATATGAGGCTAACAAGGCTATAGTCTTGTGTTTGCTATTCTAGACTCCTGCTATCGAATCACAAGCCTTGGTGGCGGCTCACGCCCAACCAGCGCTTGGGATTCAGCCCAGTAACCAATGACCGCACAGCTACAGCGGCAGCCTTACCTTTGCCCCAAACAACATAAGATCAGCTCCCATTGACATATAAAGTTAGCACCGCAGTGTGACTGAGCCTTTTATAGTCACGGGCTATGAGCCTAACTCCATGTTCGCTTGTTCCTGTGATCTGCTGCCGTCCAGGCAACATCTGACGCTCAGTTTCTCAATTTCCTGTCGACATATTCCCTTTCGCATCGCTAGATCCTCATTTACTTCTCTTCCAGTATCTATTGTCGATTGTTTCTCATATGGACTCTGTGGGGATTGAGGAGTTTCGCATTGACGAGGATGTTGTTAGCTCAATCTTACAACTGAGCAATGATGAGCTCGAAGGGTTGACAACACTCTATGGGGATTCCCCTGACGATGCAGACATTGAGCTGTTTATTTTCACTTGCTTTCTTTTGTTCAAAAGAACTGATTCTCCCCGGCGGGCTGAGCTGGCCATCAGAAAGGCTCAGAAATGGGCTGCTTCTACACCACCGGACCATAGCCAGTGGAGGCGGCGTCTTGCAATGATGAGATCAATCAGGAGCAGTGTAAACATTAGCTGGCCCTTGATATACGGAGATAAGGAATTAGAATCGGATGTTCTGCACATACTTTACAGCGGAGCTCGGTATAGACTGACTGGATCGATTGAAGACCTTAATGATACCATCAATTTTATAGGGTCTCTCTTAAGCCGAACGCCTCCAATACCAAGACTGAAGGGCATGATCGACTTAGCCCATTGGCTGGCTCAACGGTTTGAGAAGGATCGGCAGACTTATTTGGATGACCTAAAGGCTGCGATACGCTTGGTTCGTTCTGTTGCATCCGCGGAAGGGGTGGACTATTTCCAACGTGCCAAACTGCTTGTTCGAGCCAGTGAATGGACGTCTACGCAATATGAATGCGATCATGACCCGAGCACCCTTGACAAGTCCATTGAAATCCACCGTCATGCATTATCTATTGCAACTCAGTATGATAACCTTTGCATTCATTTATTTATGGGACTTTCAGCTGCGCTGATTCAGCGAGCTTCGAAACGAAGACAGCCTGCAGACCTCCAGGAAGCAACTGCAACACTTACAGGGTTGCTGGAAAAGCCCTCGCTTGATTGCAAAAATCGATTTGGTGTTCTGAATAGCTTGGGTCTTGCTATGATAAGCCATTTCGCGAACTCTGGAGATATCCAATACCTGGGTCGTTCTATTGAGTACTTTGAGGAATCACTCGACCTTGCCTCATTCAACAACTTTCCCAGCATTGCTCCCATTGTAAACCTTGTTCAAACTCTCCAGTCACTCACAGAGAGCTTGGAAAAGCCATTCTACAAGGATTACATCGATAAGGCAACTGGAATTCTTGAAGTCGCATTGCCAAACCTTGCCTGGAAAGAATTCCCATATGGCACTCTGCTCCATCCAGCAACCCTGCTCAATGATCACTTCAACAAAACTAATAGACTTGAATATCTTGATCGAGCTTGCAAATTAACCCGGTTGGCTAGCTCTACAGCGCCATTTGGTCCTGAGAGGGCTCAATGTCTGTGCATACTAGCGCAACGACTCCGTCTCTACTTTCGCCACACCAGCAGTAACGGGTACTTAAACGAGGCAATCCTTACTGCAGAACGAGCTGTTGAAATGACACCAACAGATCACCAGCAAAAATCTCACTTTATGTCTGATTTAGGGGGCCTACTCTTAGAGCGTTGGCAGACATCGAATAGTAGCGAAGACATCTTCAATGGAAGCAAAGTGCTAAAAGAAGCATCACGACTCCTGCCATCTACCGACCCCAACTGGCCCACCATAATGGAAAACACTGCTACAGCTAATAATTTCTTGTTTAAACGCACGGGCAATATCAAGTATTTGAATTGCGCTATCGATACACTCGAAAAGATATTATCAAATCACACGACTGGACAATCAGATATCTATCTATACACTTGCTTCAATTTAGCAAATTTGCTTTGCATACGGGCCCACAACAAGTGTAGAGCAGATGAAGAGGTGGACTTGTCTTCGTGGCCGTGGACTATGGATTTGCGTGAAGGTGAAAGACCCTTATCTAATGCATCCACAACGGATGTTGACCGTGCACTTCATCTCGTGAACACCGCCCTGCTATCAATTGACACCACTCACCCTGAATGGGGAAGCTCCCACAAACTCCTCGGCCATATCTACCTACACAGGTATAATATTATTCGGAGGGCTCCCGACCTTGGCCGTGAGGCATTTTCTGAGCTTAATTCTGCAATCAACGTCCAAGAGATAGCCGTGCGTTATTTACCGTCTACGCATTCGTTGCGACTAGACTTGTTGGCTGAGCATTCCGCAACATTGCTCATTCGACACGAGATTACGCATGATTCTAGTGATTTTCAAAAGGCAATTCGTTGCTGCAGAGAAGCAGTTAAAGCTCGTGAAGGCAGTCCCCGAATTCGAATAGAAATGGCCCAGGTCTTAGGAGCATTGCTTCTCAAGTCCACTTCGCATGAGGAAGCATTTCAAGTACTGGAGGAAGCAGTCGGGTTGATACCCATGGCCTGTCCAAGGTCTTCCAGTAGCTATGACAAGCAAAGTTTTCTTAGCTCGTGCTTTGCCATAGCTTCTCAGTCTGCTGCAACGGCTTTGCACACCGGCAAATCTGCATCCTATGCCCTGAAAGTGCTAGAAAAAAGTCGTGGTGTTGTAGCAGGATCCTTCCTAGATGCCCGGACCGATCTCTCTGAGCTCAGGCGTAAGCATCCGGAGCTCGCTAGAAAGTTCGAAGCACTAGCGGAGAAACTCAATCGAGATCCAGATTTGAGTGAGGGTTTTCGACTATCCAATGCAGAGAACAACGTTTTATCGCAGGATACAAGCAAATTGAACCGGAGAATTTACATGCAGCAAGACTTCAACCGGCTTGTTGAGACAATACGAAGCGAGACCGGATTGTCAAACTTCCTTCTCCCTCCGAGCGAGGAAGAGATGATGGATGCAGCTTGTCAGGGAGCGATCGTGATGATCAATGTCGGTACGCGTTCTGATGCAATAGTCATCGAGAAGCATCGAATCAGTTCTATCAGCCTACCTTATCTGTCCATGGAAGTTGTGGATCGCATCGCTGGGGAGTTTACTAAATCAAACTCTTACGTCCTGCATACATCTTCTTTCCTTCCTTCGGTGCTTGAGTGGCTATGGGTTGTCCTTGCTCGTCCTGTCTTGGATTATCTGGGATACCTACACCCCCCAGAGCAGGGACAACCGTGGCCGCACATTTGGTGGATCCCTACCTGGAGATTGGTTTACTTTCCTATCCATGCTGCGGGGATTCATAACAAGAACACTGACGAGACAGTGCTGGACAGAGTAGTGTCATCCTATGCGTCCTCAGTCAGGTCACTCATCCACAGTCGTCAAGGAGCTCTCCCAGAGACACCCTCCAGCACCACAAAGCCACAACAAGCGCTTCTTATCTCCATGCCCGAAACACCTAAACAATCCTCCCTCCCGTTCGCCGTCAACGAAATCACCACCATCAATCCCCTTGTCCAAGAGATAGGTCTGACACCCACACACCGCGAAGGCGGAAACACAAACGAGGTTCTGCAATTAATGAAAAGCAGCACCATCCTCCACTTCGCAGGCCACGGAATGTCCCACGCCAGCGATCCCACTCAAAGCTGTCTTTTAACTCAAGACTGGTTCACCAACCCCTTGACAGTCGAAAAGCTCAGACAAGAGAACTTACAAGACACATCTCCGTTCCTCGCCTATCTCTCATCCTGCTCTACCGGAGCAAACAAAAACCTCAAGCTCGCTGACGAGACTATCCACCTTGTCAATGCTTGTCAGCTGGCGGGGTTTCGACATGCCATTGGGGCGCTCTGGGAAGTGTCGGATCAGCATTGTGTCGAGGTAGCGAAAGGTGTGTATGAGACTTTGAAGGAGGAGGGGCTGACCGATGAGGCTGTGGCTAGGGGGCTGCATAGGGCTACTCGGAGGGTGCGTGATAGTTGTCGGGATTTTACGATGAGGAAACATGCGAGCACGGGGATGAAAGCCAAGGAGGAGGAGGAGGACAATATAGATAAACGGTTAGGCTCTTTGGAACGAGAATTCAGAGCGTTGGGAATTGATGCGAAATTGGGCGTGAATGGCTTGGAAAGAGATATAGAGCCTGCCGAGGATAGCCCTGGTTTTGAGATACATGCTGCTTCGTTTCTCTGGGTTCCGTACTTTCATCACGGTGCTTAAATTTGTTCTGTGATTATTGCTACTTCGCCCTTATCCGAGCGAAATGTTTTTTTTTATATGAATATTAAGGTGGATCATTCGTCAATATATACTGTCAAGACATCTCATTAAGGCCTGATCCTTCGCCACTTATACTGCCTACATAGCCTTTCCTCATTACCACCACCACCAACACTATCTTGAGAGTCTGGTCAGATTCAACACATACACAATCTATATTGTCCCTGTCCCTTCATCTTGAGGTATACTACGCATGATGACCTCCAATGTCTGTGTGCTGGCTCGCTGCCACGCTGGCAAGTATTCATGGAGGGAGCTGATAGTTATTAGACTCTCACACATAAAGACGGACACTACAGCATAATCCAAGGCATTGAATCCTGTTTTAATCACTGTTGAGTAATGAAAACTGTCAAAACCGTTGCATACCTATCACGATAACCAGTTAGCCTCACCCCTGATATCACGAAGGTTGGGGGCATTATATGGAATACATACGCCGCACCAGCCACAAGCACCTCAACAGTCTTCGCACGAGTCCCAATCAGCAGAAAGCCGATAAATAACGTAGTCGAAGCCGTAATCACTATCAACCGCGACAGCATGCTCTCGAGATAGTTGCACGCAATTACTGGCCCTATGATAAATATAATGGCTAACAGGCCTAAAAGTCCTCGGGCAATGTGGACCACGAGGCTATCTCGGGGTATGTAGACCATGGGGTCCCTAGATAATGCTTCACATCGGCTCTTGGCATTTATTAGTGTACCAGTTAACATTGCCTAGGTCAAAAGTGCTAGACAACGGTTATATAGCAGCGGACTAACCTTGTATGATCTGCTAAATAATCTGATAAGTTTGTCTTCCACCCACCCTTCCAGGTACATTGTCGTTCCATCTTCCGATGAGAACAAAGTCATCAAGTCATCTTCGTGTTGTAGAAATCCTGTCTCGCTGCGAGCTATACATGGATTCCCAGCGATCCAGTTCTGTAGTGCTGAAGCTGGACGGGCTCTTGCTTCCTCTAGTTTCAGTATTTCGGTGTTTCTTTTTATAGTTGCATCTAATCAGGCTGGTTTAAGCATTGGACTCGTCATGACGCTACATATATATATTGTTTTTGCTTAAACATACCATATTCACGCAAAGCCACATCAATAGCAGACAGAACCTTCTGTCGCTCCACATTCCGATCACGGCGGCAACTAGCTAGAAAGGATAGAGTCTCTTCGTTCCGGTCGAGATCGTTAAGCTTTTCTTCTAGGACAGCCAGTCGGTCTTGTTTGATGAGAAGATCCCGTGTTCGGAGGGATGAAAATCTCCGATAGACTTGGAAAGATGGGTGCGAGCTCATGAATGTGGAAAATCGGGGATAGCCTGCCGGTATATCCTCGACTGGAGGTTCAGGTCAATATCTCGCTACTTAAATGGATGGTGCTGGGTATGTGCGGCGGTTGATGTGGAACTAAATAAGCCTACTTTTCTCCACTTCCTTTACACTTCCAGCTTCGATGTCATGATCTGTATCATTCTTCGCTCGGTAGAATAATCTCTGTACAGACTCCATGCTTGTCGTAGGACTGTGTGAAGGTCCAGTATGAATTAAGCATAGAGGCGCAGCGCAGTATGCAACTGTTGCACTAAATGAGCTTCATAGATTAAGAATCTAGTGAGCCTCAGAAGCTGTGGATATTATAGCGCAGAACAAAATTAATTCGCGGTATGCCGAAGAGATGGATGAGAGGAAAGCAGATGGTGGCAGTGCAAAATGAGGCTGGACGAAAGTGGGGTTTGTTAGGCAGCGGTGCAGGGGATTAGCCTCCGTCGAAGTTAATAAGGCTGTTGAGGGTACCCAGCATTCAGGGTTCGGTTTTGAACTTCTCTTCCTCTGAACTCAGGTCTACTTTCATAGGACCAATCGCTGTTTCCAAGGTAAGTAAATACTGTTACGGTGTTGCGTGGTGTTGGCCAGCTAACACCTTTAAAGTTCAATAGCAATGACCACGCCCATCAGGGTCACGGAGACCCCCGAAAAGTACAGAGTTTAATGACTTCCGATCAGGGTGACTGATGCTAATTCAAGAAACTTTGATAGGGAAAGTAGCAGCCATCTATCATTCTCGAATGATGAGAATGAGGGACGGGCCTTTGTTGCCTCGTACTCGCAGGTAGATCTACCATGATAGGCTCCTCGTTGTTCCTTGCACTGATGGAGAACCATAGAGACCGAAATTTGCCCCATGGGACAAAGTCATGCTGGTCGTACGTGGCTCCAATGGAACAGATGCCCTGGCTGGTCCATACTACATAGAGACTGTGGTTCCACCCAATAAATACACATTGTGCGATGAACAGGGGAAATCAGTTCGGCGCGGTATTTCCGTAGAAGAGCATGAAGTGAGGGTATTTGGAAAGTAGATGAACAATGCAGCGGTGTAGTCTACCAAGATTCTCTTTCTTCTGTAAAGAAGTAAAGCTCCCCGAGCTCCATGTCACATTTCTCCTGCTCCCGACCTTTATAGGGATTCGAAAGATGCCCATCTAACTATTGGGTTGTAGAGAGATTTCTTGTCTTTTGCCAGATAGCGTAGCAGTCTAAGTGTGGCAGGGGTTCCGTCCCTAAAAAGCACACCTAGGGAGCGGCTCTGACAAAACAGACTCAACTACTGCTCAATTAGATAAGGAATAGCGGAATCAGTATTTATATGATTGGTCAGTTTGGTGGTCAGAACCAAGTACTAATAGTACTTATCAGAGCCACGGGTGAGCGTGTTGTTTTGGGCAACTCGGGCCGAAAGGTTCAGGGAAGCAGGAGTGGCTTTATGACCTATTAATCAGTTACAGAATGTGCTGACAGAGTCAGCCACACCGCACAAAGTCGTTTTAGCCTGAACGTATGATTTACGCTTCATCATTGAACAAGGGTACAATTTAGGTCACGTGGCAGTCTCAGGTCCCGCTCCAGTCCTGCTGACTTTCGATAGTTTTCAAGTCAGCTTGATGCTATTCACCATTATTCAAAATGAATTCATCGTCCGATACCGCAGGTTTTCAGATAATTGGTGCTAGGAAGCAGCTTTATGTTGTGCCACCTTGGCACACGCATCATACTTCTGAAGAGAGTTGCACTGTGCTTTACCTTGTTTCCTCCCCACTACCAAGCGACGTTTCTTCCGTTGTGTTTAACATCACAACTCGCAATCAAGGATGGCACAGTAACCCACGAGATGGTATTTGGTCCTGGTTTGAGGTCTCCATTCTGAGCTCGTGGCAGCAGAATGCTATGCCTAAGTTGGATGATTTGATGAAGCCGACCTATGTCCAGCCATGTCCCGATGATTTTGGAGAATATTTGCAAGAGCAGGGACTATACTTCAAGGAGATACCTTCCAAGATAGCTGCTTCAAGCTCAGGGATTAGCATATCACTCTCTGATACAAGCATGCGTCGAAGTTGGGTGGAAATGGTGCACATCTATGGGAAGGACGACAACGCAAAGGGGGGCTCGTTTCTCCCGATCCTTGAGGAAGGCGATCGATTGGTGATTTGGGCACGGACAAAGGTATGGACTTTGGTGCAGAATCGCAGTATTCAAGATTGTGCTAATGTAGTGATAGTTCGCTGGATGGGTTAATTACATCGATCAGGCTTGTATCCTGATATCAACCAGCGTAAGTGTCAATAACATATTGGAACTTGAATAACGCATATAAGTGCTGAACAGCTAGCAGCCAATTCCCCTGTCATGGACTGTGAAGCAAGATTTGCTACTTCCCTCAAACCAGGTGAAGGGACTGATCACAGGGACCAATAGCATGACTAATGTCGACCTTATAAAGTTTGTGAGTGACTTAATAAAATTGCGACATCCTCAGCCCATCACAAGGCGCAGTGTTCAGAGTGATAGCACCCGCAGCCAGGCGGTTATTAACCATCCAGACGTGGAGGGGGAATCAGTAAGAAGAAAACATACCTCTTCCGACCAGACACCAAAGCGAGATGAGCCAGACAGGTCCTCCCAGCAACAAGATGAACAGATCTCTCATTTAGAATCTGTTTTGTCACATATGTGTTCAGATGATTCTCGTAAGCCCGACGTACTTTCAAGCCTTGGTTTTGGCTACATGTTTCGCTACAAGAGGAGTTCGAAAAAGGAAGATATCGAAAAATCACTCGATTTGCATCGACTAGCAATGGAACAAGAACCTGAAAATCGGGAGTTTCGCGCACGTTTTGTGCTAGCCTTGCTCGATCGATATTCCGGTTTTCATGATTCCGCAGATATCGATCTAGCCATCGTCGAGCTGGAAAAGACCATCCCTCTTCCTCTGGACTTCCCTCAACGGCAAGGGTACTTGGAAAGTTTCGCGAACGCGTATAGATCTCGTCATAGAGACACAGGCAATGAGGGTGACATACAGAGATTGATCCAGCTGTATAAGGAAATTGAAACTACCTTTCCGGACGATTCCGTTGAAAAGGCCATATATACAGGTCAGCGGATGAAGTATGACGAGACTGTCAGTATCGAGGAGCGTGATATAGCACTGAGACAGATGGAAGATGCTCTGATTCCCACTCCAGCCCATCTTCAGCAATATCAGGTGTTACTCAGACTGCTTTCCAAGCAATACTACGCACGATGGGAGCTGACGGGCGATAGCAAAGATCTCGAACTGGCGATTTCTAAGGCCAAAGACCATGTCTCGGCTTTGCCTGAGAATGATGTTAGTGTGTCGTCGGCGGCGGTATATGAGTTTCTTGGTCACTTGCTTAGGAAGAAGGGGCTCAGAAGTGAGAATACTGCGGAGTTGATGGCCGCTTGCGAGCAGATGGAAAAGGCGTTGGATGCAGCTCCGCCCAACAGCATTTATCGAGATCTGATGGTCATCAAGAGGGCCGAATATCTGGCCATGTTGCCATTTGAATCCAAAAGAAGAGAAGCTTTGTTAAGGACTGCCGTCGAGAAATGTGACTACTTACACACAACCTGGTTCAACCGCTTGAGCAATCCCGCAAAGAGCAGTCTTCTAATGTTCATCAGTTGGCACTATTATAACTTATACGTATTCACCAAGCATCCGGCCGATCTCGAGCAAGCCCTTCAGTATGTGGAAGGGAAATCAGACCTGGAAAGTATAGAAGGAGGTGTGGATAAGACATTACTTCGCTGGAAAGGGGAGATGTGGCTGGTAAAGGCGAATGAAACACGGGTCACTGACGGTACAGCAACCCGCAGGGGCATGCAGTATCTCCTACAAAGCTCTGCCTCGGACAGCTCTCTGCCGAGGGAGCGTGTGTTAAGCGCTGAGAGCATCATTCGTCGAGCGAACCGCACAGGGAGCTGGGAATTGGCGTCAAAGGCTGCCGATCAGATCTTCCCTCTACTTCCCCTGATCACCAGCCGTGATCTGAGCAATGAGGACAAGATCTACACGTTGCAAGACATCTCCACTATTGCCAGCAATGCGTGTGCTGCCATTCTCATGTTCAGGCCACCTATGGAGGCACTTCTGAAACTGGAGGTCGGTCGAGGAATCGTGATGGGAGACCTGATTAACAATTCCAGTGACCTTTCAGGCCTTCATCAGGCACATCCGGACCTAGCTCAGGAATACGAAAGGCTGCGTCTCCAAGCCTTCCACAGTCTGAAGCACGAAAAATGGGAGACAGGACAGACCCAGCTACTAAATGAGCGCCGGATAGTCTTCCAGCAGCTGCAGCAGTGTGAGCGACAAATTCGCGCGAAAGCCGGCTTCGAAGGATTTCTCCATCCCATGAACATCCGACAGATGGTCGACTGCGCTCGAGAGGGCCCGATTATAGTTGTCAATATCACATGCACCAGTTCCGATGCAATATTTGTTCTCTCTCCAACCATTATCGGTCACCATAGACTGAATAGCATGATTACTCGGGCGGTGGACAAGTTTCGCGAATATCTTATGAGACACGCGATGACTGAGCTTTATGGTGATCCCTGGAGCTACGAAAAAGACCCCGGGGCAAGGGACCTGGACAGTGACTTACCTCGGGAGGCATATGACAATAACCTCCTCTCCTGGCTGTGGTATACCTGCGTGAAGCCAATACTGACCTCTCTAGCCTCTGATGGCCATATCTCCAGCGGAGAAGAGAAGAGCCGAGTCTGGTGGATCGGCACTGGGGCAGCTGCTGGGCTCCCTTTCCATGCCGCCGGAGACTATAGCCAAAGTCAGGAAAATAAAGGTGAGAGCTGCCTCGACCATGTAATCTCTTCGTACACGCCGACCATCAAGGCCCTCCATGCGGTGCGCGCAAAGGCGGCGGCGCAACAAGCATCGCGCCGGGTGAAAGAGAGACCGTCGCTTCTTGTCGCAACCATGCCGGATACACCCGGCTATGGTGCGCTGCACGGCGTCCGTCGCGAGGCACAGGGTATCAGCGACGCCGTCGGCCAATCCATGGAGGTCAAGCAATTGATTAGTCCCTCTACAGACGAGGTCCTTTCTCAACTGCAGGACTGCGATCTCGTGCACTTCGCCTGCCACGGGCACTCCGACCCTGGCAACCCGGCTAACAGCCATCTTCTTCTACAAAAGCATAGTGATACTGGCATGGTTGTTGACAAGCTTACTGTCTCCAAGCTTCTCGACACCCAGACGATATCGCGGGCGTGGATCGCCTATCTGTCCGCTTGCTCCACGGCTGAGATCCGTGATAGAAGGCTACTGGATGAGGGGCTGCACATCACCAGTGGCTTTCTAATGGCGGGCTTCACGCACGTCATTGGATCCCTGTGGCCGGCTGAAGATGAGGTTTGTGTGCATATGGCCACGTACTTCTACAAGGCGCTGATTACGCGGTATGCGACGGCGACTGATCTGAATCGCGCGGTGGCGGAGGCAGTCCACGATGCAACGCTGCAGATCAGGCGACAGTACTGGCACAGTCCGTTGTCTTGGGCTTTGTATACGCATGTGGGGGCGTAGTGAGTGTGTGGTGTATGGAAGCGGTTGCGGGTATCATCTTAGAACTCGGATGGGTCCTATACATACAATGTTAAGCTCGATACAGCTGTCTTACAATCGGGAGTGCTCAGAAGTCGCTCAATTATAAGAGAGTTGTTTGCTTATGCTATGGTAGCATCTAACACATATGACCCACAAGGTGTTGAAAATAGGGCTTTCCGTCCGCTCAGCCGTGCTCGGTTCATCTATTCAACACGGCGACCGGACATTGTGTCTCTTTTGAAGCTACTATTGTATAGGAGCCCCATACTAAGCCATAGGGTGAGTGTGGCTGGCTTGAGTAATGTTGTTGGGAGCTCGGATGAGCAGGGGGGGCAGTAGATGGGTGAATGATTGATCCTGGTCGTAGTTTATAGTTACTATGACAAGGGGTGAACTGAACTATTGTCTGAGGAACCAACCCAAAAGATGCCAAATCCATACATACCGACTAGGCAATTCCCTGAAAGCATTCAACTTGCTTTTTTTCGTTTCCGCCTCTCGTTCATCTATACTAACTAGTAGTAGTAAGTAGTAGCGACGCTGTTTTCCGGCCAATCAACATGATCAAACTGCTAGCCAAATCAGCCGGCGCTTATCTCCACCTTCAGCCTCGCAATAGTGCCTTCATTTCCCAGCCCCTCTCGCCCACATTCTTCTGCTCTTCTCAAAGCGTCTCACTTATCGCTGGTGGCACTTGGTCAAACTCTCTTCGACTTATGAACCACCAACCATAGGGCCTCTTCCATGCTACGCAAACCAGAGATTGAAATGTCACAAAAGCGTGCGCTGCTAATCGGTAGCCCACTGGGGCTGCAAGGTCCTATTCACGATGTGAACGCCATGGAAGAGCTTCTTCAAGAATTAGGCTTTCGCATAATCCGATGTTGTGGTGAAGAGGCCACCCAAGCTGGTATCCGAGGAGCATGGCGTCGGCTTATCAACGAGTGTGAGGCCAACGATGCGGTGGTTATATACTATTCTGGACATGGGAATTTGATCAACGCCTCGGGATTCGTGGGGCCTGGTCCGCCAGCATGTTACCAGTCCCTATGTCCGATGGATTATGGCCAAGGACCGGTCGACGATTTTCGCGGCATTCTTGATTTTGAAATCACTTTTCTCGTCCGACAAACGACCCAGAAGACGGAGAATGTCACTGTCATCTTTGATTGTTGCCATTCCGCACACATCACCCGCGCCCCGACTGTGCAATCAGAATCGGGCGTTCAAGCGATAGCGAGGAGCCTTCCGCGGATGGCCTACGATATCACGAGCTATGTTCGGTCTTTGCAAGAGGGATCCGGCCGTGTCGAAGACAGCTTCCTTGTGAGCCAGGATAATCCCCATGCGGTCCGCATCTTCGCTGCGGAGGTGGACGAAAAGGCATTTGAATACAGAAAAGAGGATGGGAGCTGGACTGGAGCTATGACGGAGGCGCTTATTCAAGAGATTCGGCAACTTCAGGGACGCGGCGCTTCGTGGCGAACCACCATCGTGAAGGTGCGCCAGCAGGTTCAGCGTAGGTTCAAACAGCGGCCTCAGTCGCATGGCCCCGATCAGCGTCTTTTCTTCTCCACGGATATGACCCCGGCCAATATTTTGCATCTCAAAATCCAAGAAGGGAGGGCAATTGTAGGAGGAGGCTCAGTTGTCGGAGTGCGTCGCGGTGACGTCTATACGATTCAACCTTTTGGGGATGAGTGCATAAATGATGAACGATGCCTTGGCACTGGGACAGTGGTAGGATTGTCTGGCTTCCAGGCTTTGCTGAGCCTTGATCTCTCCCCCGGGTGTTCTATTCCACAGGAGGGAGCACTGGCCTTTACAAAAGCCGAAGAAGGCCTTTCCAATCCGAGTGTCCTGGAACTCTACAACAGATTTGCCGATGGCCCCACTATGAGGCTTACCAATGGAACCTTTTCGCTTCGATTCGCGGATGCTCATAGTAGCGAAGACGTCTCACCCCAAGCTTCAGCCAATTGCGTCCTGTCTGATGGCTCAATCATGCTCTTCACAGCAGATGATATCTTGATTGCCAAATGCAATTACACGACTGAAGGGATACTATCTACAATGGTTGCAGCGGGACAATTAGCCAAGGCGCAGCGACTTCTATATCTTCGCTGTGAGGAGTCAGAAGAGCAACTGGACCACAGGCTGCAGGTTACCCTCAGCAGGCAAGGCTCAACGGAAGGGGAGGCAGTCTCCATTGAAGGCGTAGGCATCCAGGAAGGTAAATTTCTACAAATCAAGCTAGAGAATCTCGGTTCAGAGAGGGTTTATGTGGCGGTATTTGACATTAACGTTGCTGGAAAGATCACATTGCTTACCAAGGCAACTCCGTGCGGGAAGCCGATGTCAAGCAGAATGAAGTCGACACTGGGGACTAACTGGCTGGATCAGCGTGGTTTGGGGGTTCATTGGCCTGCGGGGGTGGCCCGAGAGAGGCCTATCCCTGAACATCTGGTGGTTGTAGTGGCTGATAATGAGGTTGACCTTAGAGCGCTTGAGACAGCAGAGAACATCCTCAAGCTACGCGATGTCCAGCGCGCACCGGAGATTCCTCATATTTGCTGGGATGTACTTCACGTTGGGTTTAAGCTCTTGCCCACGTCTGCTGCTGAATGCGTGGATGGGGCTGCACCTGCCTAATCCTGTCGGCCACGATTGATCAGTAGATACACAATATAGCTACCACATATTTGCGTCAAGGATTATTCTACCCACGAAGCACTGATTTTAGCCGTCCGGCTCCCATGATTTACAAGGCTATGCACACCCCCTGGGTTTTACCTTTCCATCCACTCAATGATGAGTGGCGTCTCAGTGCACTACGTGAGGCGTCCAATAAGGTGGCAGAGAGCCGACGATCCCAGTGGTTGATGCCTGCTGCACGACGAGGCTGAGGCTGAGGAACGCTTATGAGTGAGGTATATAAGGGACGTCCAGCCGACAGGCAAAAACCCCAGAGCCCTCCAACTCCTCTTTTGAAAACTCTTCAATCTACTACTCAACTGCGAGTGCCAAACATTGTCTCTGGCTTATACGACCAGAAAATAGGTTTTCATCAACCATGGCATCTCCTACGAATCCGAGGAATTTCAGCCCACACGGCAGCCGATCGCAGATGATGCAAGTACCACCGCCCAATTGTCGCATGACTTCAAGCCCATGGACAGCAATGTACCTTGTCTCACCTCCCCTTCCCCGCGGAGTCACTGCTGTCCAGTTTAACATCACGAGTCATGACCAGGGTTGGTGCAGTAACCCAAGTGATGGCATCTGGTCTTGGTTTGATGTATCCATCTTGGGCTCCTTGCGAGAGGATGAAATTCCCGCCTTCTCAGACTTGTCGGATCCTTCATACCTCAAGCCCAAACCCGACGATTTCGGCCAAGTTTTGCAGGACCGGGGTTTGTATTTCAAGGACATCCACAGAGAAAATCAAGCCACGCCGGGCATTACGAAGCCAGTGACGAAGAATAAGATAAACAGGTCCTGGAAACAGCAAGTTATTACTTGGAGACTGGAAGATGGTGGTGAGGAAGCTAGCTTCCTGTCCATTCTTGAAGAAGGCGATCGTTTAGTCATATGGGCGCGCGCACAAGTATGTCTGCAATAGTTATCGTCAACTATAACAGGTGCTGATTATGCTTTGTCAGTTCGCTGGATGGATTAATTTTGTCAAAGAAGTCGAAATAATGGTATCAATTGACGAGGTGAGCCGACTCGGGTCAGTTGCGCTGAACATGTTACACTATCTGACACCAGTCGATGTAGACAACTCCGGCAGTGCAGGACCTTGCACAGCCTGCTCTTCCCCTTCCTGCAAGTGCTAATGATTCTGGTACCTTCCATAAGGAAACAACTATTCCTTGTCATGCCCATGGGGCCAAGGGCGGGCCTTCTCATAATGAAGTTGACAATGATATCTTCGGAGTGTCACAGTCCTTTCATTCAAACCTTGATGACAAACGGTATCTCGATCGACTGAACCAACAGCTGACGCAATATGAAGCGGTCCTTGATGATCTTCCCGTTGACCATGCCACTAGGCCAAATGTCCTTGATTTGATTGGACTTCTGCTAGAGTTCCGTCACAGCCTGACCGGGAGCATAGCTGACATTGGGAGATCAATCGCTTACCTGCAGCTCGCCGTGCTACTCAGGCCAGACGAGCCAACGTTTCGTCAAAACTACGTGAGGGCTCTCGGCGACAGGGGTAAACGCGCCTCACATGGGTCCGATCTCAATGTTGCCAGCGATGAATTAAAGAGTGCTCTGGCATCTCCTCATTGGAGTGAATTACAACGGATGGATTTGGCACATATACTAATACCGGCCTACCTCATGCGTCACGAAAACACACAGGACAAAAGGGATCTGGAAAGGGCATGTGATATTATACATGAGCTAAATGGCATCTCTCGGATTGACCCCTACACAGAAGCCAAATATCTGGATTCACAGCAGCTCTTAACGAGCATGCGGCACGGTGATTTAGGTAGGAGCTTAAAGAGTATGGGACATGACATAAAACAGGAAGAGTTGCTCCAGCGAGAACACCTTGACATGGTCATCTCAACGACAGAGAAGGCGCTACTTAATATTCCTCAGAATGACCCAAGACATGCCGACCTTTCGGAGTTGCTGACTCTACGATATTATAGGCTCTACTGTCACACAAGCGAGCTGAACCACCTTGACTCTGCGATCTCGCACGCTGAGAATGCTTTATCGCTTTCTCATTCAAAAACTCCTTCAGCTACATTGAGCCCAAGGATGCATTTGACTATCTGCCGCATGGACAGATGGTACAGAAAGCATGATATTGCAGATCTTCATGAGGCAGCGTCACATAATTGGGCGGCTATATGTGCTGCTCCTCCATTTGATGTACTACGAACAACTCTGCTTGTTAACGCTTGCAAAATTTTGGACGCTCAATACTCTGTGACTAAGAACATAGACTTCCTGGAGATCGGAATAGCGAGGCTAGAAAGTCTAAGGAATGATTTTTCGGAACGCCTCCATGGGGGCTTCAAATTCTACTATTTCTATGGACTTGGGAAGCTGTACGAAACGAAGTTTGGTGTGACAAGAACACTCCAAGATATGGAGCAAACTATTAACCTGGTTGAAAGAGCTGTTGCTTCAATCCCAAAAGGGACTCCGCCAAAAGCAGAAATGACTCTCAAACTTGGAAGCCTTTACCTGTCGAAACATGTTCTGACGAAGAACATTGAAGACGTCCGTACAGGATATACACAACTGGCGGAATCCTGCGTCGCGTCCGATGCGTCACCTTTGACGCGAGTGCGGGGCGCTAGTGAGATAATTCATATCTTACTCATACTGGTCAATGGAAGGATGCATGCTATTTTGCTGAGTGGTTTCTTCCCTCACTCGCCCATGCCAGTGGCCGCGAAGTAGAGAGGGATGATCAGATTTACATCAACCGACAAGTCAGGGGCTTGGGGAGTCTGATATTTACTGCAATTTGTCGTCTGGGCTTCCCAGTCCAAGCGGTCTTGAAACTGGAGTTCGCACGAGGCCGCATTATGGGCCACTTGATTGACGCGCAGAGTGATATTTCTAGCTTGAAAACTGTCGAGCCCAAGCTGGCTGAAGAATATGAATCTCTTCGTCGCAGAGCATTCAACAACTCTTTGGATTCAGCATATCAAGACATGCAGCAATCCCAAAGCCGGCACGATTATTTCAGAGATTTGGAAGAATGCGAAAAGAGGATTCGCCAAGTTACAGGTTTCCAAGATTTTCTCCAGCCTTTGGATTGGACGGACCTGCCAGGGATTGTACAAGCAGGACCTATTGTTATCGTCAATTCGACGTGTGTCAGCACCGATGCCATTCTCATTACGCATCTTGGAGCTAGAACTTTGAATTTACCAGATATGGCTACCAAGGCTCCGCCAGAATATCGACAGCTCTATTCAAGATATGGACATACTCAAGCCGGTGATGGATGTCATTTGGATGTGAGAGACATAGAGTGTGAATTGTCACCAGAAGACCTTACCCACGAATTACTATCGTGGCTGTGGTACACCTGCGTCAAGTTGTGCTTAGACGCATTAGCGTCAGATGGTGTCCTAGCCTCCGGGGATAAACTGTCCCGAGTTTGGTGGATCGGAGCCGGCATAGCCAGTGCCCTGCCCTTTCACGCGGCCGGGGACTACAGTAATGGGTTACCGAATAATGGAGACAGCTGTCTTGATCGAGTTATCTCGTCCTATACCCCGACAATCAAAGCACTATGCAATGCCCGCCAGCGAGCATCCGAGGCATTACCACGGACACACGACACATCTTCTTTACTAGCTGTGACCATGCCTGAAACTCCGGGACATGACGCACTTTACGGCGTTCGCCAGGAAATAAAAGGTATCATCCAATCAGCCGGACATGCATTACAAATCAAGGAGATGCAAGGCCCCTCGACTGCGGACGTTCTGTCTCACCTCGAGAACAACACCACTGAGATGATCCACTTTGCTTGCCATGGGTACTCCGACCCAGTCAATCCACTAGACAGCCACCTCGTTTTACAGAAACATGGACAGCAGGAAGGAGACCCCTCCAGCACGGTACTAGTACCCGATCAGCTCAAATTGTCTGCACTCCTAGACACAAAGACTATCTCCCGAGCATGTATAGCCTACCTATCCGCCTGTTCGACGGCAGAGGGAAAGGATCAATCGTTGAGAGACGAAGCCCTCAGCATAGCCAATGGGTTTTTGGTTGCTGGATTCTCTCATGTCATTGGTTCTCTTTGGGCTGCTGATGATGAGGTATGTGTTGATATGGCTGCTTCGTTCTATAAGGCGTTGGTTTCTAGGCGCGTGGCTGCAGACTCGGGAGATTTTAATCGGGCTGTGGCTGAGGCGGTTCGTGATGCTACGTTGGAGACTCGGAGGAAGTATGCACATAATCCGGCGGCTTGGGCTTTGTATGTGCACATGGGAGCTTGAGTTGATATCAGCGTAGTTATCCGTACTAGGAATAGGAGCTGGTTTTGGACCAATATAATTGATAGAATATAGTATTACGAGAAGGTCAGACATGTTATTTTAGGGCGTACTTCTTTCATTCATGAGAGACATCTGGGCGTCTTTATGTCATTACGGGTAAAGACATAATATAAATAATGTGAATATGTCCAATTTATCAATCTGAGTCCAAGTCACTATACATTGAAGCCAAACAAAGTCCCAAAACCAGTATACCTAATCCTACAAGAACATTCAAATCATATAGTCATTTAAGCGCTCAAAACAAAGCGCTGTGTCCTCATTTTCCTGCCCACCGCACTTGCATAGCATATGTTAGCGATATCCCGCACATCCAACACTTTCTCGTTTTGCCACCAGCGCACCTCAAGCCAAACTCATCGCCGTGCTTATCGGCGCAACATACCACTCCCAATCATTACATCCCGCAATACTATCATCCGCTGCATCCACCGGCGACCCCTTGAGCATATCACTATCCCGGGCCTGCCAAATCTTGACAATGACGGCTCTCGTCCTCGCCACATTCGACACACTTGATTCCGCCATAGCCGCCAACGCACGCAACACCAGAGGCCGACCATATACCACGCTCTCGCCGGTATCATCACGCCAGACTTCGTCGTGAAGCGGGTCCAATTCAACGGCCGCTACGAACACAGGCCAGGTCATACTGACGAGGGAGCCGGAGTCGAGCAGGTCAGAGACTAGACGCAGGATGCGTCGGACATAGTTAATTACCAGTGGTGTGGAGGGAGATGCGCCATATAGTGCGCAGTGAAGGTATAGCACGGCTGCTAAACGTTTCAGTTCGGCGGCGGAGCGAAGACTTCCGTCGTCGGTGTCGTTGTCGTCGTCGGTTGTTTCTTGAACAAGGTTCTCGAGTCTGCGGCCAAGAGAGGCGGCACGGTGGGAGAACGCTTTGCGGGCAGCATCGGAGGTGAGTTGGCGCCTGGTGCGGCTCATTTCTGTAATTGAGGAGAGGATGGAGACAAGTTCGGGGCTGCAGCCCATCCAGAGGTCGATGTGGCGGTTGTTTTCTTGCCAGTAGTCGGATCCGAAGAGGACTTCTTCGCCGCAGGCGGTGCGGCCCATGACGTCTTGAAAGGCGAAGAAGAGCTCGGCGAAGGCTGAGACGGGGTCGAGAGATTGACGGGGTCGGGAGGAAGTTAGTTGTTGTTGCTGCCGGCGGATGCGGATCAATTCTTTGGCGCCTTTTAAGTGGATGGTCCAGCGTTGGTCGCAGTTGTCGACGATTTCGTAGAGACATAACATCATCATGATCGCTAGGACCTCGGGGTCTGCGGAGCAGAGGAGGGAGCCTTCGGTTGAAAGACGGTGGCGAAGGCCTCGTAGGGCTTCTGATTTGAGGCGGAGGCCGATGACACTGTAGGTTGAGTCGAAGCGTGACCAGTGACATGCTCCAAGAGCCTGAATGGCTTTGAATAGGATTGGAGATGCGGACATGCAGAAGGGGAGGATGATGGAAGCAAAAGGGGAGGATAGCTTCGAGCTAGCGGTGGTCCGGGGACAAACTTGCTGGAGATAGTAATCAAAGAGGAGACCCTGATTGGAGTCTGAGAGACTGGGGAACATCGATAAAGGCGGGGTCAGGTGCGGAGAGACAAGTGGGACAGGCGAGCAGTAGTCGGAAGTCTCACGTATCGAGAATGGAGACGACAACGATGAGGGTGATAAAGACCACTCTGGATTCTCATCTAGCAAGTCATCCAGCGCCGGGTTCTTGCCCTTGTCCCGGACGACAAGAGCATTCAACTCATCACAGGCAACATTAACCTCATAAGGCTGTTCAAAAGTCGAAACCCCACTATTGACGAAGCCCCACGACTCGATAAGGGGAATAGGACACCATTCCTGATCGCGAAGGAGGAACGAAGCCGAAGACTTTCCAGGAGGAGGAGGAAGTCCGCCGGCAGCCCGAGCCTTACTCCAAACGCCGGCTCTACCAAAAGCCAAGCCGCGGCTAACGAACTCGGACTCCCACTTGAGAACGAGTTGGGTCGAGCATACTAGGCCCTTCTCAAGGCACCTGGTGCAGATCGGTTTCTTCAGATCGCAGCGGACTCGACTGGCGCGGCATTCTTTACAGCCACTGCGGCTTCGGGTCTTGACCGGACCCACGCGGTCTGCAGCCTTCTTGCGCGGCATCCGACTAAGGGGAGGGGCGTCTTTACATGGCCGGGCAAAGTTCCAGGAGATCAAAGGGGGGATGAAACCTTCTGGCTCCGGGTTGCAGGAGCGAAAGAGCAGCGAAACTCCTCGCTCGGAGGGAGACGTGCACTTTCGGCTTCGAGACCACCACCACCCGTGGCGAAGTCACAGCGGATCCCCGAACGGTGAACCCAAGAGGGGCAACGGTGGGCTTGAGGAGATCCCTGTAGTGCGCACTGGGATTGGCCTGGCGAGCTGAGCGGATAAGAGCTGCCGTGGCTTAATCTGAAGGCGCTGCGAGGCTTATCGACACTATGACTAGTGACTTTAGATAGTTGGCTATCACAATCCCCGAGGGGATCAGGGCGCTGATAATGTTGACTAATGCCTGACTACGCACTGGGGTAATTCCGATAACAAGGGACATCTATTTTTCCGTTCCGATGGCAGCTTAGATTTCCGGAAATCAAGAATCATTACACTCTTAGTGCTAAATAACGCGGCTTTTCTTCCATCAAATGGCCTGCTGGCCCAATGGTAAGGCGCTTGACTACGGATCAAGAGATTGCAGGTTCGAGTCCTGCGTAGGTCATTGGTTATTCTTTCTATCAAGCCCGGGTGGTCTAGTGGTATGATTCTCGCTTAGGGATACAAACCCAAGCATAACTGCGAGAGGTCCCGCGTTCGATCCGCGGCTCGGGCCTTGAAAAGGAAAACCATCTTTTTTTGTGTTTTTTTTTTGTGGGTGGTAGGGCTGGTGCAGTGCTGCTAATCACTCTGGTTGGCGACACTGAAGTGTGACTGAAGATATATATATAAGCACTCCGTACTGGAAGAAGCGTAGAAAGGTTATCGATCTTAGTTTCTTCATATCTTTTATGATATAGTAAGTTTGCATAGAGGATACAGCCTAGATCCTAGGCGATGAAGATATGCATAGCATCGAGCAACATATATGCAGGCTCAACCGGGCTATAACAGAATCAATCGATCAACCCAACGCTTCGAAAAAGCCATGCATCCCTCCATGGTTACCATACAACATCTCACATGACCCAACTTAATTACCCATCATACACTCGTCAGCCTCTGGTCGAGATCTGATCTGCTCTTCGTAGCCCTCAAGACCATGTCGCCGGTCCAAAGGTCTGATTTCCCTTCAGCTCCAGCCACGGCGTGCCCTTGCTATCCACCGTCCCACTATTGACCGTGTTACCCCACCAGTTGAAGGTAATTCCCGGGAATGTCAGCGCGAAGAAGATCACTATGGCTCCGACGGCAACCCCTGAATCCAGTGCTGCAGACAGCACGTAGTTGTACTTAGCCCACCAGTGCGGCTTGCGACCTTTGATGATCTGTAATTGGTTAGAGTGTCGCTCTGGGTCGTAATGTTAAATGAGAGATGACTCACCTTGTTGAAAATAAGACTGACTACAAACGCTGTGGAGTAGTTGATACCCGTCTACCGCTATCAGTTAGCATAGAGAAACACTCTTGACAAAGGGGGTAATCCGTACAGCAGGAGGCAAGTTGCCCGTGCCAGCGAAGAAAATCGGCCAGTGGATGGCATCCAGGAACCGGGACTTCGGGAATTTCTTGCGCAAGGCAAAGGTGATAATAGGAAGCAACGCTCCGATCCAGAAAAAGTGCAGAAGACCGGAATATATCTTTCCGATATTGTATAGCCTGGTGGGTCCAATAGCTGTAGCATCGTCAGTGAGATCCTAGTGCAGGCCAAGAGGAGCGACGGAGGCCATACCTCCCCAAAGAACGGCACTATTATAGTTGACCCGACCCTGCGGGCAAGTAAAGTTGTCCGATTGGTCATCCGAGCACACGTCTTGCACATTTCCAAGCATCCAGAGCAGGACCCCGTCTGTCCAGGTCAGCGGTCAGCAGCCAAAAAAGCGGATATACAGCCGTCACTCACTCTGCGTCAATGTCCCCAGGATGCAGGCAATCAGCTGGGCAACGAACAGAGTCCGTCGAGGAATCTTCATGTACATTCCAAGCTGGATATCATGCATTAGTACAGACGCTTCTTTATCAGGTTCGCACAATCCACCAACCTTCATGTCTGCGCCGTAATACATGGCTTGACTTAGCCCAGTGTATGCATAAAACTATCGTTTCTGTCAATGAAGACTTCGCAGATGAGATGTCTTAACATGGAATCCCACCTTGAATATCAAAAGAACGAGCGGCTTCCCTTTCAGCAGATAGCCGGATACGATCTCTCCCAGAACGGTCAGACAGTTGCTGTTAAGGTTTGCCACAGCATATACTGTTCCAACTGGGATGACATAAATGGCAGCCAGGGCCAACGTGATAAACAATCCCCAGAACGGAAGCCCCGTATGCCAGACATACTGTGTCATGATCGCAAGCGCAACGATAATAACCTTTACTGTTAGCTTGTTCAAATTAGAAGGAAGTAATGCTCACAGTCAAGGCACCGTACCACCACCACGGTACGTCAGGATACTGAGAAAGCAGCCTGGCGTGAATATCTTTTTTGCTCTCCCCTCGAAACGTTTTGATGATATCTTTCGTATGGTAGAGTAGTACGTGCGTAATCAAACAAGTCAGGACTGCAAATCCTACTCCGTAACTCAAGGAGAAGGTTACCGGCAAGAAAAGGGGGCTATACGCTTTATACTTGTCCTCATCGAAGACTCCTTCGCTGTTCAAGATGCGACTCGAGTCGTAGACACTTCCCGTATTGTCATATGCATCGGAGCTTGTGAGTGGGAGATATGCTGTGTACCACGTGTTGGTATAGTAAAGGATTGGGGCCGCCACAGCATATATCAAAAACCAGCCGGCAAAGACATTGGCCTGTGCCCAGTACGGGATGGTCAAGGGTGATGTGTTATACGCAATCTGGCTCCAATCGAACGTCGTGGGCATATATCCCAGACCCGTGGTCATACCAAAGAGGTTGTTGACGACCTTATTGTCTAGATATCATGTTAACTGAGAATGCCTTTTTGTGGGACAACGTATATCTCAACATACTAGGAGCTGCCCAGCAAATGAAGGCAAAAGTACTGAGACCAGTAAAAATATAGCCAGGGAACCAATACCAGCAGAAGCTTCCAATGCAAACGAACAGGAAGAACCGATATCGCGAGATCTTCCAGCCGTCTGCAATGGGGTTTGCACCACTGTGCAGTGTCTGAAAGAGGGCTGCGTTTGCCAGTGTAGAAGGCCAAATCTAAGCGAAGCTGGTTTAGTGTAGAGCTTCCCCAAAGTTTGTCTGCCAAGGCTTACCATCTGAGGCGGCTCGATGATGTATCTGTATGACAAGCCAGCAAGCCCAAGACCAAACAACTGCATTGACAGAGATAGCAGGATCTGATATCCTACAGGCGTTGACATCTTGAGATACACCTTTTGTGCCTGAATGATAGCACTTGCCTATCGCATATGTCAGTAATCGTTATTCAACTGAGCCCTTTCCTAGCTGACAGGAGCTTACCCAAGACTGGTTGAAGCTGAGATTAGACATGATCGTAATCACAGCGTGCTCCTTGATATTGAAGTGGTGATCCGGGTTTATGTCCAAGTCCCAGCGCCCAAACAAGCGCACCTTCATGATGGGCAGGGCTTTGGCAAAGAAACATCCCACAGGGTAACTAAGAAGCTGCGCCACCAACGAAGTAATTGTCACACTGGGATACCGCATAGAAAAGAACTGATTGACGCCTGTGCCAAGCTTTGAAGAATGTCAGTGTCTTGATACGATTACATGTCTCCTGGGTACCCACGAGCGTGAAGACAACTCCCAGAAACCACATTCGAAATGTGTTGACGGGCAAAGTAGGGTCATCCGTGTTCGGCACATTGGCTCGCACTTCCAGGTAAGGAGAATTGTCCGATTCGATGGTATACTCAACATTGCTGCTTTCGCCAAGGGCAATGTCTAGGGCGTCTGCAGTGGCCACGGGCTTCTTAAAAATACCATCGTTGTGGAGCGTAGGATCCCCCGCATATTCCTCGACATCTGCATCATGCGAGGTCTCTGATATATAACGAGCCATGGCACGTGCTATCAGGTACTTATAAACTGCCTATTCCCTCCAAGAACAAAAGTCAAAGGGGTTAAGACACTGCTCCCGATGCCAAAGGGAAGTATAGCACCACAACCAACAGCGGCTATCTCCCCCTTTTTATAAAGGGATACTGCCGGCTTGGCTTCTCCCGGCATATCATATCAGCGGACTTCATGTCGCTGTGTAGATAGGGCCAGAGTGCAGCGAAGAGATACGGCATTCAGTGTCCGCATTCTAGGCTTGTCCCAGTAGGACAGCCTGTATGAGTGCAGAGGCACAAGACCCGGCCCATGGTGAAGTGAAGAAGTAGATATGCGGCAACGACTGTTATTGGACCCATGATAAGCTCAAAGCAAGCCACAAGACGGTTTATGGGTGGGGGAATATTTAGGTAAGGTCCAAGCGAACGAATAGCCGGAATGCACCTAGTGGCTAATGCTTTGTTACGGCAAGCCCAAGTTCTGGTCATCCAGGTGCTATCCCGCATTTAGGCTAATGCAGCCCTCTGTCCATCCGCCAGTATCGTAGCATTATTTCGTGGCGATGATTCGACATCGCAACTACCGGGAGGGAGGGGGCTCTCGGTCTCGCTCCGCACATCCTTTCGGATTGGTTGGCCGACGTCGGCGGAAGGCGGGCCATCCAAGCACGCAAAGATAAAGCTAGTAGTATTGCAGCTTGAGCTTTGGTGCGCCAGGATAAGACTCGTTGGACAGTGCACGCGGGGGGGAGGGTTTGTGTTTGTCGGGCCCATAGGGTAACCGGGCGGTCGCTACCGGTCGATAACAACCGCGTGGACCTTCCTGCCTATCGGTGGGTAAGAGAAGCCCGACATCTGATGATTTATGGCCCTGGCGGTCACCATTGTAGTACTGTAGTATAAAGGGCCACGTCTCGTATATCATTTACAGGATCCTCCGATCCCATCAACGAATTGCTTCAGTTGGAACACTGCCCAGGTCAAGAGCCATTCAATTGGTGCGGCATTGCGAATTCTTTCTTTCACCACCCCCTCTACCATCGTTGGCCGCGTCCAACAACACTTCACAATGGCAATCACCAAGTCTTCCTCCATTTTGATTGTTGGTGCAGGCACCTGGGGCTGCTCGACTGCCCTGCACCTGGCTCGCAGAGGCTACACCAATGTGACAGTCTTGGATCCCTACCCTGTCCCCTCCGCTATTTCCGCAGGAAACGACGTCAACAAAGTCATATCCTCTGGCCAATATAGCAACAGAAAAGATGAGATTGAGGTGAACGAGATTCTAGGGGAACAAGCCTTCCAAGGATGGAAGAATGACCCTCTCTTCCAGCCATACTACCACGATGTCGGCCTGCTCATGTCGGCGTGCACATCAGCTGGCCTGGACCGCCTTGGTGTCCGAGTAAGGCCCGAAGCCGACCCGAACTTGGTGGAGATGTCGCGGCCAGATCAATTCCGTGATCTTGCCCCTGCTGTGCTCAAGGGAGATTTCCCGGGCTGGAAGGGTTACTTCCTTCGCTCTGGTGCCGGCTGGGCTCATGCCCGAAATGCTCTTGTCGCTGCCGCCAAGGAAGCACAGAGGCTCGGTGTCAAGTTCGTTGCTGGTTCGCCTGCAGGCAGGGTCATCACCTTGATTTTCGAAAACAACGATGTGAAGGGTGCCGTAACTGCTGATGGCAAAATCTGGCGCGCGGAACAGACAATCCTGTGTGCTGGTGCAAGTGCAGGACAATTCTTAGACTTCAAGGACCAGCTGCGCCCAACTGCCTGGACGCTCGTGCACATCGCTCTGAAGCCCGAGGAGCGCGCACTCTACAAGGACATGCCTGTCATCTTCAATATCGAAAAGGGCTTCTTCTTTGAGCCGGATGAGGAGCGCGGGGAGATCAAAATCTGCGATGAACATCCAGGATACACAAACATGGTCCGGTCACAAGATGGCAAGCTTCAAAGTCTTCCGTTCGAGAAAACACAAGTGCCCTTGGAGTCCGAGAAGAGGGTCCGCGCACTTCTCAGAGAAACTGTGCCTCAATTGGCAGATCGTCCGTTCAGCTTCGCGAGAATTTGCTGGTGTGCAGACACCGCTAACCGCGAATTCATCATTGACCGTCACCCACAGCACAAATCACTGATTCTGGGATGCGGTGCTTCTGGCCGAGGTAAGACGTCATGGCCCTGACCGAGATGCGTTTCCGCTACTAACCCGCACCTTTAAAATAGGCTACAAATACCTACCATCCATCGGAAGTCTCATTGTTGATGCCATGGAGGGCAAAGTCCCTCAGAAGGTCCACGATCTCATCAAGTGGAGCCCAGAAATTGCTTCTGATAGAAACTGGAGCGACACTTTGGGACGGTTTGGAGGGCCCAACAGAGTGATGGACTTCCACGATGTCAAGGAATGGACCAATGTACAGCATAGGGACATTTCCAAGTTGTAAGAATAAGTATGAGTAATTTAATATCCAAAATTATCAGCATTGAGCGGACAATACAAGTAATTGGCTACTATGAAAGCGAGCGTCCAAAGTAACGGTACATCGATAACACGAAAATCTAGGGTATCACAGAAATGAACAGGGGATGTTGAAAATGTGGCAAATGGTATCTACCCCTTAAGAGGATGCAGACTCCGCAAGTTGATAGGATTCCCGAGCATCCCATTGACGCGCAACAGATGCTGAGCCCGGCAGTTGCTGTTCCTCATCACCAGGCAGTTTGGAGAATCCATCTGGGCCGATGATATCGTCTCTGCCATAGGGGCAGTCGCACTTGATTGACCGAAGGGCCGGATAATATCGTCGGTACGAGAAATAAGCTACCGTCAACCCAAGCAGCGATCCACAAGTAACATCGTACACATCGTGACGGTAGTCGTCCAGACGAGAAATGGCAATTAACAGAGCGCCGAGGAGCGGAACAAAAGCCACAAGGCAGCGACAGAGGTCGGTCCTCGGTCTGAAGACGTGCATCTGACCGGAGAGGAATCTGGAAAAAAATCAGCGTGCTTTCTCTGAGCTCTCGCGGCATTGAAGCTTACAATGACATATAACCGAGTCCACCAAATGAGAAGCTACTGTGGCCACTGGGAAAACTCCTCCATCCTTCTTGTAGGATGTGCTCGTTGGTTTGAGTGCACACCGTCCATGAGACCAACAAATCCTTGGGGGTACCCTTCCTTGGTAAACAGCGAGAAATCAAATCAGGGCGAGGTCGCCCAGCGGCGTTCTTTATGATATCGGTGATAAGGCTCGTTAGCATAAGCGCGATGAGGAAGCCCAGCAAGGTCACTTGGACCTTGTGAGGGTATGGACGGAACACAGCTGCCCAGGCGAGGAGGACAAGAAACGGAATGACCCCAGCATAGACGATAGACCAAACTAAGAATCAATAGTAAGCAACAAGGAAAGTTGACGGTGACGGGGCAGGGTGCAGCATCTCACCAACGGGAACTCTCTCCACGACAGCGAAGGGATACTGGATACTTTTATTGTCGAGAGAGAACATGCGATGAAAGGGGGTCGCAAATATCTGAATCTACATGAAATATTCCAATTAGTGTATGAGCCAATCGAGAGGCAGGTCTGAAGACGTACCAGTATCCAAGCCCCTACAATGCACGCCAGCGCGACAGCGTCGACGACCGGGTACGAGCGCTGATACAAGCGGGACATGGTGCCAGTTGCTTCTCTCACTGGAGAGCGGGGGCTTGCTGAGCCAGCAGCAAGTCCACTGCGAGGCATTTTGTAGCGCTTAGTTATAATTTACTGCGCTCATGAGAAGCCAGAAGGGATTCGCCGTTTGGCTGGATAGAGAGTTGGTAAGTTGTTGCCCAGCGGAGGCCGTAGTTGATGGTGAACAAGAGCAAGTGGCCGCCTGGCATGAGCACGGGCCAACAACACCGGACATCTCCGCATTGCACCGACTTGCCTGTCCACATTCTTTCCTGCACTCACCTCTGATCTCGTGTCCATCGCGTGCTACCAACTACCCACAGTCAACTATCGCACTACAATTCTTCAGATCCGCGAGAATACCATGGCCGACGCCGCACAGCAACGGACGCTCGCGACTGCCTTTGCCCCGCCGCCTCCGCTATGGAAACACTTCACGCCCGATAATCTGAAGAGACTCGAGGAGATCAAGAAGGAGGCATCCAAAGGCGAGGATGGGAAACCGCAGAAGAAGAAGTGGTCGCCTGCCGAATTGCGCGCTCTCGATCTACCACCAGAGCTTCGGCTTCTCGTGCCACCAGCGATCCCTGACACCGGCCATTACAGCGTGTTCGGAGAGCTTCAGAACGTAAGTCTTCGATTATTCTGCCACTGTGGCTCTGCTGCTCACACATCACCACAGCTTTCGACAGCTTTACCGTCCCTGAAAGATCAAGGCATTACCCAGCTATACCCTTCCTCCTCCCCGGCAGATACCGACCGTCAACCTCCCTCAGAGCCTTCGCGGCCGCTCAACCACGCATACTACCTCCTCAAGATCAGCAAATCTCTTCTTTTAAACTTTCTCGAATTTGTCGGCGTTCTATCAGTATCCCCGGAGCAGTTTGAATCCAAAGTCGAGGACTTGCGCAACCTCTTCATCAACGCACATCATCTCCTCAACTTGTACAGACCACACCAGGCTAGGGAATCCCTGATCATGATGATGGAAGAGCAATTGAGTCGAACCAAGGAAGAAATTCAGCAGATGGACAAACTGAAAGCCGAGATCACGGGTGTTCTAGAGCGGCTGGAAGCAGATGGCATCGCTGCGCAGTCACGTCCCCAGCAGACCAATGAGGACGGCAAAAAGGATTCTGAAACCAGTCAAAAGACCATCGAAGATGCACAATTAGTGTGGGATCTCCTGGATGGGAAGATTGAGGGTTGATCGAATGCCGATAGCCTCGCGATTGTCCGATAACAACCCACAAAAGAAGCAGTTAGCTCCTGCTACGAACCTCCGATTGTATAGCACAGATGCAGATCGACACCATAACATCTTGGTGGGAATACGACCAGATTGCGAAAATATTAACGAACTATACATCTCTACTGTCGCGACCAATCCTGGACAGAGATCCTTCAACAAGCAACAGGGATCGGGCCAAATCCAGGCAGATACGGTCCACTGCTACCATTACCCAAGCATTCAAACACAACATACGCGATTCACAACGGGCACCATGGACTAGAAAGCATCCACCTTTCGATACCCATAAATTCCGCACTGCGGTCGGGAACAACATGGTTCCGCGATGATCACGTGCCGCGCTAACGGCGCGCGTTTAAATTCCCACCAAATTTTCTCCCGCAACTCTTCTTCAGTTCTACAACAACGAAGATTCGACATGGCCAAGCTGGTCTTTTGAGGACTGGGCAATATTAGAAAGCTTAATGATGCTTCAAAATTTGCTTGAGCTTCAAGACTAGCTCTTGGCTTAAATGCCATGCCCAATTTTAAATTCAATTGGTAAGTCGAGCAATATGTCTCCTAATTTGGCTTATATGATGATTTGCGTATATCTTTGTTTCAACCCCATCTGAAAGTACAAATTGTACTCTTTGATTATAACTGCGCATATAATATCTGAAATAAGCTCAATTGCTTTTATTGCTTTGCTTGCAATCACGAAAGAATGAATGAACTGTCTTGCTGACTTTGTTCAAGATCTAGGTCTTCAATTTATTTCTATTATGATAGTTAAGATCAATATAATATATTCGTTGAAAAATATTTTTCTTCAGTAGACATGCGTTAAAAGGCCTTCATGCAATCTAGACGATGTACCCATCTACCGAATAATCCGTAGCATCCCTAATGTTGAATCCCTTCTAGACGCCCTGGAAAGTCATCCCTTTCAAACACAACCAACAAACGCCAAGTCTTCTAACCTGTATATACCTTGTACCCGTCCCATAGAGCGCAAATAATACCAAATAAGAAACCATCCTTAACCAGAACGCTCATACCACGCTTTTTCAATCGCACAGCTAGCCAGTCTATACAACTCAGACACATAATCAGCAATCATCTTGATATGCACGATCTCATTGACCGAGGACGGTTGGCGCAGGAAGATCCTTTCCAGCATGCTCATTGCCGTTTTGAGCAGGCCAAGATCTTTGGTGGCCTGGGGATCGGAGGGGTTTTGAAGGATGTTGCAGAATATGGCTAGAAGGGCGGACATGGGGTAGAAAATGAGGGTCCTGAGTTACGTTGTTAGTGAAGGAGATTGTTGATGGGACGTGGGTGAAGACACGTACCAGAATGTACCGTCAATCAGGACGTGTTCTGATGCTTGGAGATAGAGTAGTGTTGAACGACTGGCTTCGACGGACAGAGCTAAGCTGGAGTTTACGCCATGCATGATCCCACCTTCTTCTTTGGACCAGTCCCTGCATCTGCCACTGGCTTGGTGGATGATTGTCATGCAGAGATGATAGTTTAGTCGTAATATGACTGAATGCATGTTGGCATTCGGGTCGGGGGTCTCTTTGACGAAGGATAATGTAGGTCGCCATGCTAGAGGTATCGACAGTCTCCATTTCTCGAGCTCGTCGTCCAGTTCGCGAATTTCCTTCAAAATCTCGGCGTCCGTTTTCTTCAGACCTTTAAAAGAGTAAAGGGCGTTGTAGGCTCGAGCCTTGATTATACTCAGGCGGATATCCACTGGATAGACTGGATCTTCTGGCATGTCTTCTGGAGGTATCTGCCGACAGTCGATCGGGAATTTGAATAGATTCTCGCTATAAGTGGCCGGTATTGTCAAGTCGCAGTTTTCTTCCGTGAAGAGCTGGGGCTGTCCAGTCCGGAGAGACACATCCTTTTCGATGGTGTAACCAAGCCAGAAGAGATATCGAATTTGTCTCTGCGATCTCATGGCAATCTCGTTTTGCGGCGTCTCCGGGTCTTCTGTCATTGAACTAGTAGTGTGTCCACCCAATAAGAATACCATGCGTGCTGCAATCGAACCGTAGTAGCTGGCTGACTGTAAGTTGCCGGTTACAAGCTCGAAGAGTGCCTACCAATGGCGTCAGCGCACGAGAACGCATCTGGAGCTACTAAGGAACAGTGGATGTGGTCTTTGTATAAAGAATAAAACAACCCACATCGGTGGGCAAAGACCCCACAGCGGGCTTAGAGGATCCGGACTCACCATCATGGATACCACCTGCAGTCCCTCCACCGAGGCAGACTCTTGCAAAACCTGGGGCACCAGGCATTGTGTTCTCGTGAAATAGGCCTCACTGTTGAGAGGGGCAAATTTTCGAAATTCAGTCTCAAACTCAAGAGGTGGTACTAAAGAGATAAACGCAGCAAAGGCAAGCACACATGCCCTAGTGCTCACTTTCCCATAAGGAAGCCTCGTTCGTGGTTGCTGATAAGCATTTTCGATAGTTTCTTTGAACAGAACGGGGTCCACAACTGGAAATATACGCCTGACAAACGATATGCAGAACAGTCTGAAGTATGTGTCTATGAGGGTTCGATCAGGCAGCTCGAATGCGCTTTCGGGATGGGGGTTCATCACCAGCGCATTGGATGCTAACGCCCGCTGTCTTTCCCATGGTGGCTTGTTAGATGTGACTAATTTGCTGAGCGAGATGTTCTGTCCAGTCCGTGACTGAACCCATTGCTTGCCCTCTGGGAGTAACAAGGGGATGCCCGTGAACAAGTTGATGCATCCTAACTCACGACCTGCGAAATGCAGAGGCACCGAAGAAGAACCTGACTTCTCATTGAAGGTCGACGATTCTCTCGAAAAGTCGTGAGTGTAACTCGAAGGATGCGATTCTATAGGGGACTCATGATGATTCACACTAGGTGGTGTTGCAGAAGGAGCTGCGTATGTTAGTAGATGGAGATTAGGCGTTAAACCAGCATACTGACTGGGCTCTTTCAGAAGGTTTTCCGTAAGGAACTTTTCTATACGCTCAATACGCTCCGCCAACCCAGTCGTCTCTTTCTCTCTATGATCGTATACACCGTCAGAATATAGCCCAGCGATTGTATTCTTCAATCAGAGGCTTAAGCCATACCCTTTTGCATCAGTCTTGGCTTTCCGCTTCCGAGTAATGACCCTATTGAAGGTGCACGGGATGTCATGATGGCTGCACCAATTACACTGAGGCACGGCGGCATCACATTTTATCTACAGATGGTCAGAAAGTGACTCTGAAGCACGTCCAGAGAGCAAAACCGACCTTTCTTTTGTAACATGAATCGCAGGCCCTTGAAATACGCTTCCTATGTTTCTGGGGGTCCTCTTCCGACCTGTCAGCAGGTGTCGGAGATTGATACATGTTATACAGCGTTTGGAGGGACCATATATGCTGTAATTCAGTAGTCTTCAAAGGTGATAGGAAAATAGCAAGGAGAAGGGAAGCTGACGGATGTGCTGAAGGCGAAAAGCTTCCGACCCGCTGACAAAGATGCAGCTGTGGGCCTGCTGTTGCCGGTTAGTCAGCGGAGATAAGGAGGGTCCAGAACACGCTCTTCCGACTAAGGCATAGCAACCAGTAACTAATCTACTCAACGATGCGGATTTCATTTCATGGCACTCATAAATTCGTAAGTCCTAACTAAATAGTGATGTTATACACAAGAATTGAACTGCACTGGATCTACCAGTAGACCAATGCAATATTCACAGGCAACATTAGGCCTCAATCACGGCCTGCTCCTCCTCTCGCAACAGATCAGCCTCGATAGCACGTCTACGAGCTTGTTCAGCTTCGCTCGAGTTATCCTTGAAGACCTGATCCATCTGTTCCAGAGACTTGCCCTTTGTTTCAGGGACAAAGAAGAGTGTCCATACGAAGGCCAGTGAACAGAAGACTGCAAAGAATACGTAAGCACCGTATCCGGTATCTTCAACAAGCGGCGGCGTGATCAACCCCTATCAAATATTTCTATTAGAATTGCGCACTATCTGGCTGTTGTCTCCGGGTGAACTCACAATAATAAAATTGTTCAGCCAGTTGGAGCAGGTTGAGAGGGCCACACCCTTGGCACGGAGAGAAGAAGGAAAGACCTCTGCGATGAGAGTTAGACACGAGTGGTATTCCGCCGTTCATTAGGGTTAGATACTTACCAGCTGGCAGCGCCCATCCTACTGGACCCCATGAGCCACCAAATGCGACCATGTACACAAGTAGAAGAGCGACACTGGCCCAACCCTGGGCGCGGTGCGCGGGCCAGTTGTCGGAGTAGAGGCTGACCAAGATGGCCACGATAATGTGGCAAATTGCCATAATAGCTACACCCCAGAGCAGAAGAGCCCGTCGACCGAATTTATCCATGGTTGAAATACTGGTGATCACACCCACCAACTGTCCCACGTTCACAATACCCGACATCAGGAGTTGCATGCTGTAGTCTAATCCCATAGTCTCGAACAGTGTAGGTGCATAGTAAATGAGGGCATTGATTCCAACGAACTATCCCGGAGGTGTTAGTTGCTTTCCGGGATATATTGGGGCATTTCGCTACTCACCTGTTGGAAGAACATCATCATGACACCAATGTGCGTCCTCCGCCAGCAACCCTTCTTGAAGCAATCGGCCCAGCATGCCAGATCCAACAAGATTGCGTTCTTGAGTCCACCACCTTGCAGATTGGGGTGCTTTTCTACGTTGAGTTCCTGATGGAATCGGACCTCTGCTTTGATGTCCAGAAGCTCCTGTCTGACGCGCTTATCGGATGGAGGCAATTGACGCAACTTCGACAAACTCTGGAGAGCCTCCTCTACCCTTCCTTTCGCGACAAGCCATCTTGGAGAGAAAGGCAATACGATGACACCCGCCATCAAGATGAAGCCCGGGATCAACTGCAGCAGGAAGGGAAGGCGCCATGCCCACTCTCCAGACATATACCTAGTGCCGTAGGTGATCCAGTATGCAATGACAATTCCGAGAACAATAAACAACTCTTCCATCACTAGAAGCGTACCGCGACACTCGGGAGGACCTATTAAAAATACAGGTCAGCTGACGCTCATTGTACAAGTCATGAAACCAGTTCGGTATGAAACAGTCACAATACTCACTGATTTCCGAGATGTACAAGGGAGCCACCATGGACAACATTCCAATTCCCACTCCACCAATCAGTCGTGCGACAGTCAACATGGCATAGTCAACCGCTGCTGTCTGCAGTACTGAACCCACCGTGAAGATACAGACTGCAACAATGATTGAATAACGACGAGAGATTTTGTCCGCTATCCAACCTTGGTTCATAGCGCCGAGGAATGCTCCTAACTCGATCATTGCCGTCATGAGACCTTTCCAGAAGCCTGAGTTCACCTCGGGGAAACGTTCCAAGAATTGGTCCATGACTAGAATGACCGAGACTACGCCTTGATCGTACCCAAACGTGAGACCTCCTAGTGTCGAGCAAGCGGCACACATGAGGACGAAGGGGTTTGCTATAAGACCCCTGATGCCTGGGGGGCCATAGGGTTCCCTTTCGGGGAGAGGGTCCTCTGCATGGTGAGCAGTGCCCCCTTGGATGGATGAACGACCATCCGGGGACAGCTCCTTTGCAGGATCGATGGGCTTCTTATCCATCATGTGAGGGTAAAGAGGGATAAGAAAAGGAAATTGAGGACTGATTTAAGGAGAAGGAAGGGGTATAGGCCCAACTTGGTCACACAGGCGATGCCTCTTGTCGTTATTGTGATGGCACGTGAGTTGATTTACCAAGAAAGCAGAAGGGAAGACCCGAGTTACACCGCAGCTTATATAGATGCATCAATTGACTACAGATAGCCCGGCCAGCCAACCAGAAGGAACCAGATGCCCAAGGAAGTCAAGAGGCCGAGAAGCGACATGATTCGCAGTGGACAGAACGGTAGGATTCGGACGATTCCATAGCCATGAAGCAGAAGGGGGGAGAAGAAAAGAACCCTAAGCTGCGATCTGCAGGCCAATGTCGAATCGTGGTGTCTGGGTGAAAGTGGGCCGGCGGGCGGAGACCGTCAGGGAAGCGCGAGGTGGAGGTGGTGAGGCCAAACTGTGGTCCGGTTTAGCGTATCGCAGTCACCCTGGCTCGAATCCACTAGAAAGGCGCAGGCGTGGGATGGAACTACATGGAAAGCCGGTTTGCTCCTTAGAGAGCAAAATATTCATGGAAGTCAAGCGATATATAGTCAATTTGACAAGCTCATCAAGACTTAACCTTGCTTGTCATTCTTGATACTCTGTGCCTTTAGATATTCGTTTGGTTTCCCGATTGAGGAAAGCAAGACATCCCGTGACGGCAACACGTGCGGGCATCACCATCTCCCATTCCGGCCAGATGAGCGGATTGACGAAAGTCTCACAGTCTCGCCCAGTCTCACCCAGTCTTTAGTGTCGGAGTAAAGCCGTCCAGCCTGGGGATCAATTGTCTGCCAACACTATTCTTACTATGGTGGTACAAGCCCCAGGATTACCTTTACGATGGTTCCGCATCCGCATGGCTACAGGCCCGCTATTAAACGCATGGTCGAATAAGCTGGACGCATGAGATTCCCCCAATATATGCTTGATAAGACACCCCATGTCCTCGTCATCGTACATTCAGCAGCCGTGGATCATAGAATGGCATCTTCATGGATGATGCCTCTTCAGTCCGCCAATCACAAGGTTTTCTGGGATGTCCGAAAGCGGGTGCAGGAGGTGCCGCAGAAGCTACATCATCTTAAACGGCGGATGCGGCAATCGAAGCGGAAGCCATCAGGTCGAAAGCCGATCGGCGGTATTTGATATTAGATGGGCCAAACCAAGGGAAGCAAGCCTATGCAGCCGTGTAGTTTACCGGAAGAAGATACTCCCAGTAATAGCTTGACTTGACTTTGAGACATTCGAGCCCAAAACCCAAAATGCGCGCTACCTGAGTTAGGAGGATAGGTATAATGGAGTGACATTATCAAGTCGGTCATTCCGGCCATCCAGCGGTCGTGATCATGAGAGATCGATGCCTGAAGGGGAGTCCCGTGATGATAAACGGCTCCAACACACCCATCGGTGCCTTAGTAACTTAAGTAACTTAGTAACGTTACGGCGAAAGGGCAGCTGCCCCTCCGTCGGGCGGGCGTGACGCTCTCCAAAAGAGTCACTCCCCTTCAGTATCTTCATTCCTTCTTTTTCTCCCTTTCGCAGCCCACCAGCTTTTCATTTAGCCTCCCGTATATCTTCATAACCAGCAGCTGTATCTCTCCCCACGGGGATTTAAACTTCACCATTAGCTCCTGGCAAATCGGCCCAGGATCCAGTTCCCGTTCTCCTCTTTTTCCCCACCTGGAACCTCGACTCAAACGCCGACCGTCTGCTTCGGTCGACCACCGGTCCTCGTCCTACCTTCCATCCGCATCCTTACTTCTCCCCTCCGAACGGCATTTTGTTTTTGGCCACCGGTCCGCAGTTGCGACTGAGATCCCGGTTTGCTGCACAGTTTGTTGTCCTCCATCCCCGACGTCCTGGCGTTGCTAACAGGTTGTTGCGCAACCGGTCTCCAGGGAAAGAAGGAAAACTCAGCAACAACGACGGATTCCAGTTTCCGACATCAACGTCATTCCACAGTTCCCCTACCCCAGAGCCGCTTTCTGTGACCCCCCGAGTCTCCAACCGTTCCCCGCAACTAGCCGCAATCGCGAGTAATCCGAAATTATGGGCTCGTTTATGGAGGATCTCTGGTCTAGCATCTTTACCCCGGGTCCCACCCCCTCCCTCCTCATAGCGACCAACGTCACCTTCGCCGCCCTCCAGGCTCTCCTCTTCGCCCTCCTGCTAGCCACCTATAGCATCCACTTTTTTGTTTTGTCTATCTTGTCTGGCGCCCTATGGTGGTCCATCAACTGGTTCGCTCAGGAGCTGAGGCAGGTGCAAGCTCAGGAAGCGGAGAAAAAGAAACAATCGGAGGAGGAGCCTGCAGAGAGCCAAGCCAAGTCAGACGGCAGTCGGAAAACCCCGGCGACTCTCGACAGTGCCGGGAGTGATACGGAAACAGAGCTTCTGACGGAGCACAAGGGTGCTGCTGCCACCGCTTCCGCTCCTCGGTCCCTCGCCGCATCGGCAACTCTTCGGCCACCTGAGGAACAAGGCGAAATTCGGAAGCGTCTGAGCGTTAGCGGCGAGAGCTCCGGTTACCAAAGTACCGATAGCGAGTGGGAGAAGGTAGATGACGGTAAGGCGGCCTAGACGTACACGGGATTGGATCATCATTGTCAGGGATTGTTAGTATACCAACCTAGGGGCCCGTGTGACCCAACTTATTTCATGACCATCCTGCGTCGGGCAATACGGCTTCGTCGCCATACGCCACCCCCGTCTGTGTCCCATATAGATGTCAGAGAGGCATTCTGTTTACTGCACCGGCAAGATACCCTATAGATGACTGATACATGCCGCGCAATGGAATGAATTGTAGACCTGTTACTTGATACTTTGATGGCCGTAGAGCAATACAAGATATTATGACCTGGTTAGTAGCCGCAATGCTTTCTTGCTTCCACCATGACTTCTAGCAGCAAAGTACCGCGGCAAAGTGATAAGCCCAGTCTTGCATATAGTCCGGATATCCCTTTGCCCGCTCGGAACAAGAGAGGTGGGCATTGTTACTATCTCATGCAGAGTTTTGACCCCCGCTTTCAAGCTGCAAGGATGGAAACTCCGCCTGAGCACTATGGGATTGACCAATCTAGAAATGCTCTTGAATATGACAGATACTACCTGAGTTCTGTGTGCTACTGAGAAAAGTACTCGACTCCTGTTTGGTCTATCATCTGACTAGGAGAGTGTACGCCATGGCCTTCTCCCTCCACCCACACCTAGATTTGAGCATATGTGGATGCCTTTCTACATGTGAAAATTGTTGTGTATGCTCGAATGATCTGTTTTGGGCTTTTTTCTCCTTCTCAGGTTGCACCGTTTAAGTATTGTACAATACTCTTTAAGAAGTTATTGGAATTGCTAGCACCTACTTAGTTGGGATATATTTTTCTACCGCATACTGAATCAAAACAGATGGCGGCATCAACAATGTCTGCCACACAATGAAACACAACAGCTAAGCTCGAATTTCTGACTATATTTAGCATGAACTAAATTTGGACTCTATGCTTGCGAAAGTCAGTCAAGATAGCTCAACATACTGAAGCTGCTCTATGCAAAGCATCTTTGATTGCACATTTCCTCTTTCGGAACTCTTATCGATAAGCACGCTGATCAGATGACTAATCGCGCTATCCATGATTGTGCCAAACGCCTGCATCAACAAACACCCCTCAAGCCATAGCATCTTGGTAAAGGAGTGCTCTCAGACGCGACCCATAAGAATCAATGATGGATTGAGCTATAATTGAACCGCCAAAATGCCATCCACAACCACTGCCATCCACACCAGCCGCCGACGCGTCTTCAACTCCGTCCTCCCTTCCGCGTCCCTAGAAGATTTCCCATCCGCAGGCCTCGCAATCGGACCTACAACCTCCACTCTCTTTCCGACATTCTCCTCCGGGACGAAAACCCGCGATAGCAGCTCGCAGTTCCGATCTTCAGTGACGTCAGATAAAACCGACATAGATGAGCCATGGATGGACCAAGCGACACTGGATCGCGCCTGGCAGGTTGCGACAACCTTTCTTGCCATACCGGACTGCGGGTTCGACATACTCTACCGATATGAAGATATAGGAGAGGCGAAATTCTTGCGATTGACGAATCGCGATAAGAAGCCTTCGCGGGAGGTGATTGAGGCGTTTGAGTACTTGATGAAGCCTTTTACAATGGGATTGGACGTGGCGGAGGATATGGCGCAAAGGAACATACTGGATTGGTATGCGTATGAGATGCGGAGGCACTTTTTGAAGAATTTTAGGGGCGGGCTGTATAAGGTAGGATGCAAATCTGGGGTTCTTCAAATTATGTGCGTGGTGCTGATCGTGGAGTGTACAGCTTCTAAATTATCCTCACAAAGAAAGGTTGCTACATAAGATCGTGGACTGCTTGCAGTTGGCAAGGAGGTTATACTTTTCGCACTTGATGGAATATCTGCTGCCGCTTCTGGATACTCCCGATCAGGAGCCTATGTTCGTTAAGCTCCGGACGTCCTTCCACATGATGGTGGCTTATGCGTTGCCGTGGTCGTTGAGGTCCACGTTGCTGACTCATGTGATCACTACGGAGGCACTGGTTATCCTCGGAATTGATAAGCTGGGTGAGGAGAGAGATGCGGACGAGTCAGGGAGCGTTGATGACATGGAGGTCGATCGGCAATTCTCGGTCTCGTACCAGGACTGGCGAAATGAGCCCTCTGTGGATGCCAGAATGATGCTGATGGCCGGAGAGGATGCGCGTGTCAGTGCGTCTCGAGAGATCCTCCTGGTGCTCTTTGATGGGCTACAGATGGTTGGGATGGGCGGCGATAAGGCGCAGAAGGTCTTTGCTAGTGTCATGGACACCATGCTGAGCGAGTTCATTCGAGCGGCATACACCGGGCAATGGGGAGGGCCGTCACTAGTCGTCCAGCATTTACGGCACTGGATTGAGAATGTTTTCGCGCGGCTGGTCGTGCAAGTCCTAGCAATTATCAACACCCCCGAATCTGGTGTGAGGGAACCGGATAGTCTCGATGTGAATCTGAGTGACGTGGAGAAGTGGCAGGAAATCGGAATTTCTCGCCTCGGGGCTCTCCGGGCAGGCGAACTCTTTGATATCATTGTTGAGTGGCCTGCGAGCAGTGGAGCTATCGAAGATTTACGACACTTTACTACATATCCAGCAGCGCGGTCCCACCTGACGCACTCTTTTATTGCCGTTCTCAATCAACGATTGCTGCACCCAGGTGCTTCTACTGTCGAAATTCTGCAGGTGTATATCTCCATTATACGAGCATTCAACCTGCTAGATCCTAAGGGGGTGCTTCTGGATCGGATTGCTCGGCCCATTCGCAGATATCTTCGCGACCGCGACGACACAGTCAAGGTCATCGTTGGCGGACTCTTGTCTGACCCGGCCGATGCTGATGGACAAACTGCTTCACACACGGATACACTGGTGGAGTTGTCAGCTGAATTGACCAAAGCACACCAGAATTCGCTGCGAGCTGATAGTGGGGAGCTCGACTGGGATGACATGAACTGGGTACCCGATCCGGTCGACGCGGCACCAGACTATCGGAAGTCGAAAACTTCCGACGTTATTGGAAGCCTTATCAGTCTGTTCGAGTCCAAGGAGATGTTCGTCAAGGAGATGCAGAACATGCTGGGCGAGCGACTACTACAGAAGCGCGCCGACTTTGACCAGGAGATGTCCGTTCTGGAACTTCTCAAGGTGCGCTTTGGCGACAATGCCTTGCAAGCCTGCGAAGTCATGCTGCGGGACATTTTCGACTCCCGTCGCGTTGACGCTGTTATACGCAATGATCAAGGATTGAGCGGGAAGCGCAAGGCCGCGCCACTGCCAGTTACTCCTGATGGTAGACGAGCGCCAGAGGACGAGGAAGACATGCCAGAGCTTCACGCCAAGATCCTGTCCCACTTCTTCTGGCCTGAGATTCAAGGGCTGGAATTTAATGTTCCAGAGGAGATTTCTTCGCTCCAGCAGCGATACGCGCAAGGATTCGGATCGCTCAAGCAGTCGCGCAAGCTCACCTGGCTGAATGGACTCGGACAGGTCACTGTCGAGCTAGATCTCGAGGATCGTGTGTTCATGGACGAGGTTACCACCTGGCAAGCTACGGTGATCTACGCCTTCAATTCTGAGTCGGATGAGGCCGTGACCAGGACAACGGACGAACTCGCCGGTGAACTTGGGATGTCGACTGCACTCGTGCGAAGCGCATGTCTCTTCTGGGTGAGCAAGCGCATTCTAATCGAAACACAGCGGGATACATTCCGAGTCCTGGAAGTTCTTCCGAGCGAGGAGGGAGATGCATCAGGCGGAGAGCCCGGGTTACCTGGCGCAGGCGATGCGGAGGATCAGTCTGCAGAAACAGCACAAGCAGCAGCCGAGGCAGATGCGGCCGCGGCAGCAGCAGCGAAGGAAACGGCCGAAGCGGCGGCGATGGAGAAGATGAATCTCTATTGGCAATTCATTGTGGGCATGTTGACCAACCAGGGCGCAATGCCACTGCAACGGATCGTGATGATGCTAAAGATTGCCGTTCCGGGGGGATTCCCGTATAGCAACGAGGAGCTGCGAGAGTTCCTGGCCGGGATGGTGTCCAAAGGCAAGCTGGAAATTATCAGCGGAGGCAACTACAAAATTGTGCAGTGAACCCCCTATTATATCTACCGATAGAAGAGGCAAAACTTGTATGAATTACGATTAATGAGGCACATGAGGTATAACATAATTCGAATAACTAATTTAACATGGTATTGAAGCTAAACGTACACATTACAGACATGAATATCATTGAATCATTTTGTCCCGTTCACTCAGCATCCAAGGGAGCCACCGGGGCCTGATCATCAACCTGGATACCGCCTCTCTTCTTCTCATTGCTATCCCAGAACGGCAGCTTCCATCCGCCCTCGCTCTCCGGCGTAGCCAACCACAGCCGCATGAGATGGCGTCTGGGCGTAGGGGGAGCGTGATCAACATAGGCCGTGCGTGCATGCAGCACATGAGAGTTGGCCAGGAACTGAATATCGCCGACTTCAAGGACCATGTGCAGTTTAACGCGGTTGCAAGTCGCCTCAAGGACCTCGAGGGCTTCGACCTGAGCAGCCGAAAGCGGAGGGATGATTCCAGCGTCGGAGAAGCGAGTGAGGGATCGCACATAGTAGGGGTCCCATCTGCGAATAGCGTCAGCACAGCCCTCCATCAACATCAAAACAATTCAAGGCAATAAACACATACTTGGTATAAACCCGAGGATTCTCCCCACGCTCCAGATACACAACACTCGTCTTGATATACTCCTCCTGTCCCGTGCTGGTCTCGCCCTTCCGGTCGAAGTACCAGATGGGTTCCGTCAGAGTCTTGAGCACATCCGGGCGCTCCTTCGCCAGGACATTATAGACGTTGTGAGAGGAGCACAGGTCGGACTCGCCGCCCTCCTTGGCGCGGTGGATGCAAAGCAATCCAACGATGTCGGAGTCGTCTGCGTGGAAGAATTGTCTACACAATTAGCTTTTCCCATCACTGCCAACGAGAAAATAAACGAGTGAAGTGATAACCCACCTAGCATTCGTGCGATAAATGCGCACCGAATCAATCTGCGTCGGATCCTCACCCAGGTCCTTCACATGACCGAGAACATGGCCCCTGCTGTTCTGGCTAACAAAGTACCCGAGGTACGTGCCGAGACCCATGTACGCGACAGCAGACTTGTGGTTTCCCCATTTCTCAACGGGAAAGCCCTTGAAGAGGATGAATCCCTTGCCATCGAGGAGGTCGGCGCGGAGTTCGTGGAGGCGGGCGGCTAGGTTGGGGAGGGGGAAGTTGCTCTGCTGTCATCAATACCCTGCTACCACCGACCAAAACCAATAAGGCTGGTAAGTAAGTGGCATACCTTGCTAATACCAGTCATGGGAATCTTCGCATCCAAAAACGCATCCGCAGCCGCGGACAGCTCCTCGATCTCCTCGGCCGTGAACCGATGCGTCCATTTCTCTGGGTTGTTGCTATAATCCTCGGGCTTCCAGACCGTGGGGCCAGTGATCTCCTTGGGGAATTTATCGAAGGGATGGATATGTTCGTAGAGGGGAGGGTGTTGACCAGTGGTTTTCAGACCGTCGGGGAAGACGTCCAGGGGAATACTGGCGGGTTGTTGTTGAGTAAGAGCCATGGTGATGGGGTCAATAGATGAATAGTAAAATCTTATCAATCAGTAATCACTGCAATCAAAGAAGCAGTTGATTAAGCCAGTAGTAGTGTAGATAGTAGTGCAGAAAAAAGAAACCACTACCAGCAGGGTCGACACCAGTAGTATTTATATACCCCTCATTCCAGATTCATCCTTTCCCCCTCCTCCCTCGCATCATCATCATCCCACTACCGTGCAAACCAAAACCCCTGGCGAACGCGCCGAGCCCAACTAGCAGTTCGGAACGATAAGCGATGTAACAATCAGTGGAGGGGAATTGCGTGCGCCAGGTGCAAGACAGGCGATACGTTGAAAGTAAACGTGGCATATGCGAGTTCTCATAGGAGGAGTGCGCCGCGGGCGTCGGCGATCACGAATGTTGATTTGCCGATGGCGCAATCCCGGCGGTGATGTTGTGATGTGTGAGCGGGAAGAGCTTGTGATTATTATTATGCTAGCAAATTTGTTTCTTAAGGGTTCTGGAGTGGGAGTGTAGTGGTAGGAGCTTTAGCGACAATTTGTTGTAGTTGTTGATGGTATAGTGGTTTGTAGTTGAGGTTGTATGTATCGATCTTAGTCCTATCGTCTCTTACTATTAGGAAGATGGTGGATGGTGGATGGCTAGAACACCGAGGGTCGGGTATGAGGGATGATCAGCGGAGAAGTGCCGGTGGAAACGGTAGTAATGCTTGCTATCTTCTCGGGCGAGAGATGGATCTTATGTTTCTCATTTATTGGTGTTTCGAGATGATGGAGTCATGATGGATAGGGTGGATGGGGATGGAGATGAGGGCATGTGTTTCCCGATCGGGGTAGTAGGGTCTTCTTCTGTCATGGGGGATGGTATTTGATTACTATTACGTATACACTGCATAAGGTGACTGTGCGTGAGTATTGAGAAATGGTTCTGCAAGTTGCTCGGGGAAACAACTCGAATGGATTCATGCAATTCATGATCACATGTAGATTGAAGATGGGGTTATTTATTTTTGTCTACAGGGCCGGTTCAGTTGCTCCGCATCAGTGACTGCGAGGAGAGACAGCCGGAATAATTCCGCCAACATCGAACGTGAAGCAGGAGTCTGTAAAACCTAGAATTATTGTAACTTGTCGAGGGGTTTAGGTTTCAGCGTATATATAGTTAGTCGCAACCTTGACGAAGGAGAAAATGCTAGAGCAGAGAGAGACAAATAACAAGTTCTATAACCTAGCTACAGTTGATATCAATTATGATTTTGCTTTATTTACCATATTGCAGCACAGCCTATCACAACAACAGGTTGTGTAGTGTAATGGTCATCACTCTGGATTCTGATTCCAGCAATCCCGGTTCGATCCCGGGCACGACCTTTTTGTGTTCCTTTAACACAGAGATGCTCTGGGAGTCTCTCTTGTTTTTGCTTTTTGTTAACCCTTTTCTTTTGAATACTCATGTCGTTTACAGTAGTCGTAGAGGAGCCTGGTATATGAACGACAATTCACCATCTAATCTCCCGCACCAACGAAGTATTTGGCTCAGCGGCCACAGACACCCGATTCTGCCACTTCCTCCAAGGCGGTAAAAAGAAGTACAAAATCCCGACTCGTCTTTTTCGGAGCTGTTCAAAAGTATATCCGCCTATAGCCGCTTATATCCGCAATTTTCTCTGCGAGGTCGAGGAGGTTCTGCCGCTTGTGGCGGTCAAAGGAGCGGCCAGGCCAGGCAGTACCTTGCTCCGCATGACGTTGAGGGGCATGCCTGCCACCAAGTACCACTCCTTAATTCAATCCAAAGACATCTGGATATCATACCTTCTAGATGAAATGCCTGTGATGCTCTTCGTACATACCGTGCACACTCCGCGGTCAGAGCTTCAATAACCATATATCTACCCTATATGAATTCCAACTTCCTCTATCCCAGCCCACTCAACTAGTAGCTACCAACTTACCCGTGCCACGACCCGGCCGATGGCGGACGTCCTGCGACGAAGAGGAATATACCACACTCATTGGATACATCCGCTCTCGCAGGGTTAGTATGCCCTTCTACTAGGCTCTTATTTCTCATGATATTTACCCGGCTTGTTAAACAACTCCCAAAGCCCTAGGAATAGCATACAGACAAACCTCCCTGGAAACCCTATCTGCAAAGGCGGGAGTAGCGTATAGTTATACAGTAGATTTCGCGGGTACGTCTATCAAGCGAAGGGTGAGTTGATTCCTTCCTAACCCTTACAGTCGGGGTAGTAAGTCATTGGTCAAATCTAAAATAACATTGGTCTGGATTGATAGTATCCCCGTGTCGTTGAAGGGAGGATTCAGTGAGTATATCACCGACTACTATATACAAAAATCTCATGTTTGACAAGTAGTATCGACCTAGTACTGACGCATGGCTTAGAGGCACAACCCCCCACCTCTCAAGCAAAGACAAGGCCGACGGCAAGAAAGTCGTGACTGTGGGATTCCATGCCCCTAATGGAACGAGATACTTGTCCATCCACGCGCATGGCGACGGCACTTGGAAAGAGTTTCTTTCGAGGGCAGGGAAGGCCGTTTCGCGCAAGGATAGCTTCCAGCGGAGATTGAATAGACCCTGTTAGTTAGAGGGGGGAGGAGTCGAGGTATTGTGTGGTAGTTACTGTGCTTTCAACAGCTGTTGATCGATTTTTAGCGTCATAGTATTCATTGGTGATATGGTTTCTTGTTTGCTTTACCCGCACTTGGACCTATTTTTGTTCATGCCATGTGGGAGCTTACATGTGTCTCTTAGTATATGAAGGTAATCGATAAATGATTCTAATATGATCCTAACGTGTACAATGATTTCCTATCATGATGGATTTACCTCTCAATTGGAGTCATCAGCAGTAGCAGTACCGCACAGGCAACTTCTATGTATTACTGTAGACTTTCAACTCTACTCCAAACGAAGCAACAATCACCGCGTGGCACACAGCCAGGATCTATAAAAAGTAGACTTTGCTATAAGTTCTACTAAGTTCCGGAATATACCCCCGGACCATAGAAATCACCATGCCACTCTTAAGGACTATCGGCAAGGCTAGTAGTATTGACGCGTAGCGGACCATATCCGCAGCAGGAGATAAACTGACTAGGAACACTATTGAAAACCTGATTAAGGTTGTACTTTGACTTTCGGTGTCATAAATGGTGGCTGAATGAGGCGTTAAGGTTATCGATGCGTCGGTACTTGAATCAGGATGATGATTGTGACATGGTTATCGTTTAATGCTGATGGAATGATAATTCGAGGTCGCCTCTCTATCCATCTCAATCTATAACCTGTTTAATTGCGATACTTTTCTTTCTTTTCTATCAAAACAGCGCAGGTAGAATCGATTTCGCTGCGGTATGAGGATATAGCGGAAAACCCCAACATAGCATGAACTTGCTCGGCTCCAACGTATTATTATTTCACTCACAATGACCCCTTGTCCCTTCTATAAGAAAGTCCGAATTGAAAGACCCACAATTCAAGTCATTCTGACCTCCCTCAACCCAATCCGCAATAACCTCCCCGAATCGGCGAGCTTCAACCCTAAAGCGGCGCCCGCATCTCGATCACCTACCGAAACAGGCAACTCGATCCCCCGGGCTGGTCCAGGGTTCCACCCAATTTCTCGCCTTATCAAAGTTCCAACTGTTTAGATAATAGATTTGGTATCAGGCATGCATTTTACCCCTCACCACTCTCACACCAAACCCCCTCAACAAGCCTATAACACACTACACACACGCGAGACAATATGAGAACCCAGAAACACCTCCACATCGCCGTTCTGGATACGGACGCTCCGGTTCCGAACGTCTACTACGCTCGCGGTCTTTATAGTACCCAATTTCGCAAGCTTCTTCGCGCTGCTGCGGGGCGGATCGCAGAAGACGAAGGACGAGATGAAGATATTGAAATCCACACCACGGCGTTTGATACGCTTGGTGGTCAGTTGCCGTCGCTGGCTAGTTTGAGTACGCAGCCTACTACCCTTGTGACCAAGGCTGGAGAGGTGATCAATCCGCTGGCTTTGCCTATCACCGGAATCTTGATTACGGGATCAGTGGCGTCCACGTATGGTGCAGAGTACCAGTCATGGGTTGCACCATTGCTGGGGTTTATTACTACTGTATATGAACAGTATCCTCATGTGCGGATCTTTGGAAGTTGTTTTGGCCATCAGGCGCTTGCAGACGCCTTGCTTGCTGGATCTGCTTCGGCCAATGAGGTCAAGGTGGGATGTTGTCCCTATGGGAAAGAGGCAGGCCTGGCGCAAGTCGAACTCACAGAGGGATTTGTGGATGCCTTTCCCTGCTTGAGGGGAAAACGCACGTTGAGGCTGCAGATGATTCATGGGGATTGGGTGACGGTTGACTCGTCACCTGAGAAAGCGCTTCCCTCGCCTTGGATGAACATCGGGGGGACAAAGCCTTGTCCTATTCAGGGCTTGTATTGCCCTGGGCGTGTTCTGTCCTATCAAGGGCACTTTGAATTCGACTCGTTTGTCAACAGAGAGACGTGTGTTGACTTTGGCGGGAGGTTGGGTTGGCCGAAAGAGCTTATCGAGCAGTATGTGACAGCAATTGGTGATGTAGACGGGAATGGGGATGACTCCAAGCTAGCCGCAGAGGTGCTGGTGAGATTCTTTGCGGGAGAAGATGATGCGCATAGCAAGGAAGGCTTGGACAAGGCACGGGGTGAACAGAGTGTGGGAGTAGGCAAACTAATTGGAAGTCTGGTGGAGCAGTTGATAGGTGGGAACTGGTGGTCCAGCAGGGCATAAGAAAAGGGCATAGATATCCTGACTCCCAAGGATGATGAACGATACCATCTATTCAATTCAAAACTACACCAATGTTCAATATATTCGTAAATGCGACCCATGTAAATCATCCAAAGACATAAACCAAAAATGTCATGATCGAAAACACCAATGCCACCATGTAGTATATATACCCGCCCAGCGTTGTTGTATACCTACCAAACACCCAAAATCCCGGATTTTCATAAGATTGTCCTTATCATGGCATGTGAGAATCATGGTCGGGCCAGCCCTTCAATAACTCGTTCCGAGATATAAACAGTCAAGGGCGACATCATATACTCATCGACCACTGGGTGATGCTCGTGTGCCTGGCTCATGTCATTGCTCCATAATTTTGAGTAACCGTGCACCCTCAAAGCCATTAATCGTAACATCCGTAAAACATAAAATTTCTGTCAGAAGACCTCCAGAGTACGCTTCAATCTGGAGACCCCAAAGGTGAGGCATATATTCACCTGAAGTCGAGCTGGAAAGCTTTCCATTTCCCACCTACAGTGCGGCAGCGAGGGCAGCCTCGGGGACTGGGATAGCTTGTCGGTCCATGCGACATCGCGCTGCCCGGACTCGACGTCACATTCCTAAAGGATGCGGGCGGACTGCTGATGAACAATCCGACACACTCTCGGCACACGCCGCAAATGCACTCTGTGCAGGCATAGCATTCATTCAGAGCCCATGGGCGTTTGCAACTGGCGCAATAGATTTGAATCTCTCTGTTGCGGTATGATGCAGGGGTGGGGTTTGAAAACCGATGATGCTGGCGTTGGGATGCAGAAGAAGGATACATGTTCAATACTGGGCTAGACTCGTTGTTCGAGGTGCTCATATGACTCGAAAATGCATAAGTTTTCCCTGATGCCGTCGATGCCGAATCTAGCGAGGATTCAATGGAAGGGAATGGTTCCAAATCACTGTCACGACTGCGTGCGGTATCAAACGGGGGCGGAGTCAGAGATTTATGCAGCGGTGACGCCGCATAGGCATGAGGTGGGAAAGGCCGATGAGAGGTCGGTGGCGGCAGTCCTGGTGAGGGTTGAAAAGCCGGGGGTAACGAAGACCGGTGATTGCCGACCGAAGGCGCCGAAGTGATATTGGAGATCAACGGGGGCATCGTAGGCGACCGACCAACCTGTGGCTGAGATTAGCACATGTCTGAGCCTAGACTGCGAAAAAAAGCAGGCACCTACATCCGAATTATGATCGTCATCCGCCTCCGTGGCCGAGGTAGCAGCTTCAATCAAATCTTCCCAGCGCTTGCCTTGAGCCCATGCTGCAGTCTGTGGTTCTGCAGATAGCGCCTTGCGATCGCCCAGACTAGGGCGTCGACCGTATTCCTTCGATCTGGTCCGCTCGTGCTTCGGTTTTCTAGCTCTAGAAATGGATGACTTGCGAGGGCGGGGAAGCTTGTCTCGATGCTGAATGGGAGGCAGAGTGGAAGAGCGACCGGGCGGGGAGTGCGTCAGAATGGACGGGAGAAGCTCGCGAGGACGAGGGGACGAGAATGGAGGCAGCGATGCCTCCTGCTTGAAATGCTCCCGAAGGGAAGGCAATTCAACCGATCGCAGGCGGTCTCGGTCGTTGTCCGAGTGAGTCTCCTAGCGCACCAGTTAGGCAATCTCGCTTTTCTACTGCTCACAAAGTAGTCTAGCATACCATGTCCGTATCCCAATCGGATGCTAGACGGTTATGGTGCAATTGAGCCAATGCGACGGCGGCGGTTGCTGCCGCGGGGTGAGTCTCGTCGATGCCCCGCGGGGTTGCCGGCGAGCTAGCGTCAGCAACGTAGATATCTCGATCAGCGACTTCTATAGCCAGTCAGTCGACGTTCAGTGAGCCACACATTCCAGCCATGATGACCGACCATTGCGTCGCCGAGATGGAGCTTGAGTTGAAGGAGATAGATGGGCCCGCTGGTCTGGAGGGGTGGTCACCATCAAGATGAAGCTCTCCTCGGTCGCCGGGAGCTTCGGAATGTAGTGGTTCGGGTGGGCTCTCCGGATGTGCTCCTGCATGGAGCGATAACGCTTCTCCTGAAGGGCAGAAAGAACATGTTAACCACGAGCATCATGTTTGAACAGTAATGCGACAGCTGGTAATATTTTTTTTTTCTCTTCAGCCTGCGCCGCACTGGTCCTCGCACAGAGGCGCAGGGTGCTTGCTGACCATTGCATGAGAGTGGGGCTCGGATCGATAGCGGGCGGGAAGAACAAGCAGGAGGGCAGCTGAGAGGGGGAAAAGGCGAGAGCTGAAAGAGTACTCACACCCAGACATCTTTTGCGGCAATTGGAGCCATCATTATTCTTCAACGGACACACCACTTCATTGTTGACGTCGGTGACCGAAAAAGAGCTGGTTAGCGATGCTCGCGGCGGCATGGTCTGCATGGATCCGTCCTGGCGGGGTGGATTGGAGGGTCAAGCCAGTGAGCCAGCACAAGCACAAGCACACAAGCAAGCTTGAATGGGAGCACTGAACTAGATAGATCAAGGTCAATTCGATGTGGCACCGTCAGCCCTCCCAACGCATGCTCCAAATGTACAGCGCAAGAAGGTGAGGCTATAGAAAGAATGAGGAGTATGTAAAGGTATTTGAAGAGGCGAAAAGATGAGGAAGAGAAAGATCGGGGAAGAGGTGAATCCGTGGTCGAGAAAGCTAAACGGCAAGTAATAGAGTGTATGAGTAATATGGAGATAAATCCACCCTAGTTATTGCTGTCCAGGCTGAGCTATTCTTTTTCGGAGCCAGTTGCGGTACTATCAATGTAGTAAGACTGTAGTGTACTCCGAAGCAGCAGCAGTAGCAGCAGCAGCAGTACTACTAGTAGTAAGTAGTATTCAAAAGCACGTCCGGCGTAGTGGCAGGAAACTAAAGCATCACAATCGAGGAATCGGTCAGGTCCAGGAAGGGGGAGGGGGGGGAGGAGGAAGGTCAAGGAGCTAGGCCGAGTACAGGTCTTGTCCAGCCAAGCTAGTCTGGGAATAGGCTAGTGGCCTCGAAAAAAAGAAAATTGACAGCCAAAGGATTGGGGGATGGCAAGGACCCACTAGGCAAAAAAGAGAAATCTGACCTAAAAAATAAAAAAAGGTGGGCAAAAAAGAGAGAAAAAGTGAAAAAAGGCGACCAGCAGGCGACTGTCTGGAGGGGAAAAACGAGAAAAAGGAGGGTGGGAATGGTAATCCACTTACAAATTACATGACTTTACATACAATACCAGGAAAAAGTCAAAGAAGGAAGAAAGAAGAGAAAAAAAAAAAAAAGTGGGAAGATTTAGTCCGAAGCACTCCGACCGCGTGGCTTGTCCCATGTAGCTTGGACTGGCTAGGATGATCGGAGGATCCAGGATTAATGAACAATCCAGAAAACGTCCTCGTGCATCAGTAAATGGACTTGTAGGTCTCGAGGCGCTGGGATAAGGTATCACGGAGCACTGGATCGGGTGACACGATAAGCATACTACTAGAGCCCGTACCGCGGATGAGAGGCGAAAAATGAGGGAAGCTCACGGGCAAGATAACGGACATCCGATGAGAGAGCTCTTTGGCGGGGAGATTGTAGGCTGTAGCAACTCCAGATATTGGCTGGCTTGTTAGCTACACATGTACCAATAAGTTAACACTAGACTGCTACTACTCCGTACATGGAGCTACGGCGATAGCTTGTTAGCCAAGCAGCAGGAAAAAGTCTTTCATGCCATTCTCATCCGATCAATCCCTATGAGGCATTATCATCCTGGTGGTGATACAGCATGTGCTCTTTTTCGGTATTACGATTTCGTACCGCGGCGGTATCTGATGCCGATTGCGCCTATCGATAAAGTGTGGGACAGCGCGATATCCGCACACATGAATTTCGGTCCTCGCTTCGTCGCGAACATTACTCTTTTTGTAGAGTATAGTTTTGCTGGAAAAGATCCTAATCAGACTCCTGTTCTTCACTGCTCCTGTAGCACTATATATCTCCGTATGCCTGAACAGTCTGCTTCATACAGTGAGGCACTGAGTCGAAGGCTTCGGATGCGGATTAACTCTGCTGATAAGTCTGTGACACTTACACTCCACTGAAGCTCAGAGCCGGGTCAAGCTTACATTACCATACCGGAGCCAAAGGAGGGGTGGCATGGGGAAGGGGCACTTCCTTCCTAGTTGGGATGACGGACACCTCCGTAGCTCAGTCAAGGTTATAAGTCAAGTACATGGCAACTCGGCAAGGACTTCCAGCGGTCATCCTATATGATCCGTGCGATTCATGTCCGAGTTTGAAAAGGGCAAACAGCTTGAACTTTGACGGGGCCTTGGTCGACCGAGACTTCCGTGCCTCAGACAGATGCAGGTTGGCTGGCTAAGCTGGTCAAATACCATACATACATACTTACATACATACGTAAATACATACGGTATGGTAACCGTGACCAGCGCTTCGGGAATGCCGGTGGAACCCCTCCATTCTTGAGGGGGTTGCGACAGCTTGCAGCAGCATAATTAGCATTGACTACGGATGAATGGGGGTTGGCCTTGATGGACGATGACTGATACAACTACTTTTGTAGATGGTCACATTGCTCGCAGGTAGTCAATTTAGGCAATGCCAATGGGCTATTCTGGAATCACGTGGTGAGTGAACAACTGGGCATCCGGCCATGTGCGACTTACCCCTCATTCATCTGGCGTTCATCTTCCACCACCACCAAACCACCAGCTCTCCCCAGCTCCCGGTTGAGCTTCCATGCAACCCAAGCACGAGAGCTCCCAGCTGGAGCTTTCCAGTGGAAAGGGCCTAAGACCAAAGCAGCTAGGCCACTAGTGGCAAGTCCAATTTAGTTTAGCTCGACGCCACTCCAGTTCCTTATTCCCGTCTGAGTGGGGCTCTCGAAACGGGTGTACCTTAGCAGGCGATGGCCGAGGAGAAATTTTTCCATCTTCTCGAAACAAGTGGCCACCGCTGATTCCATGGGAGGCTGGGGCAAATCGCTGGCTAACTCGTATGTCTGGACTCTGGAAATCCCCCGATGCTGATGGTTATGCGGAATTCCGCTCCCCGAGAAGGGAAAGAAAAATTCTGTTTTTTAAAAAAAAGGGGTAACCACGACGCCTCTGGGAAAGACCCCCATGACCTGGTGATTTCAAGGGACCAGTCCAACGGCGGAGGAAAGTGGTGCCTCGGATTCACACTATCGCAGGCCGCCGGTGTGGAGGGGTTGATGCCCAAGTTGTCCTTAAGCGAAACTGGTTGCCGTGAATTCCCGCGCTTAGCTGGAGTGCGCACAAGGGAGAGGGGAAGCTCCGTCCTTGTTTAAATCCTGACCCGTTGACCGTGCTGTCTTTGACCCTCAATGGATACTAATCTAATGGTCAAAGTAGTGATACTTTGTCGGGGCAAAGAAAGTCTATGCACCTGCACACGCGGCTAAGAGGTTCTAGCTCTGCGACATGAGGGGACGGCCCTGCTGTAGCCTGCTTAGCTTCGGTTCGACACCTACGGACTTCAGCCGGTATGGTTGAATGCTTCCCCCCAGCCGCTAGTCTTGCAGAGGAATGTTCACGACCATCCATGGCTCTAATTCGATATGCAAGGAATAATGCCTGTTCTCTGACCAGGTCTATAATCCACATGGTTGCCATTGGTCTTTCTTTACCAAAATCCTCACCGACAGAGAGTTGGCCTGGAAAAAGTTTCGCATTCCGTGCGGAGAAAATTCTATTATTGGAAAAATGAACCTCCAATGGCCCGCCAGTCAGAGCGTGCGGTTGACCCTTGGAGATTTACTATCGCACGAGTCAAGGCTTACTGTGATGTGCGGCCATACTTGGTAATTAGTGTGTCGCTGACCATGACTATGGCCGAGCGGGACTTGATATGAACTTGATTATCTGTTGTAGCACAGGTAGAGCTGACAATAACATTGACAGTGCTATTGTTTTTCTGATCCCTTGCATTCATCCAGCCAATACCACAGCCAAGATGTTCATGCAGGAAGATAGGTACATCGTACTCCTCGCATGGGACCATGCATCGTTCCAACAGGAAGAGGTTCCCAAGCCGCGGTCTCTGGAGGAGCCGCCTGCATTGGTGGCGCCAAAAATTGCACATCGAAGCAGCATCAGTTCTGCCGGCAGCTGGTCACTTTCCTTTATGGGCATATTGCAGTGCGCAAAGCATCATGATTGGATGATTTGCCAGCAGGGGATGATGCACGGTACCCAATTAGAGGCCGGCTGATGGGCAACTGGATCGTCCAATCAAACATTGATTGTCCATTGCTTACTCACCCCCCACTTCGGCACGTTCTGCTTTCCACTGCCGTTACAAATATTACCGTACGGTAACTAAGCATTGCCCCCCACGGATGTTTGCCTGGTCCGGTTCGCTTTGCTTTGCTAGCCACTGTCCAGCCTCCCATACTTCCTCTCGTGGGATTTCCCCCCCTTCAAATTTCTCAACACTGGCTTTGGGGATGGATATTCATCCGTGGAAATCAAAGTGCCACAATCGAGATCCGATTCGGGAAGTATCTGGGGTATCTACGGAGTAGAATCCCGTATATCTGATTGTTCAACCGATGAAGGTCAACGGTCATCGGCAAACCGTGATATGTGCTATTCCACCAGCGTTATCTTGATCGTTTATCAGTCGCAGTCGCACTGCATCACGCCAACTGCAGAGTATACATCGACATATTGCAAGACTGCGGATCACAATTCTAGAAACACTGGCCCATCAGCCGAATTACCTTATACTCTACATATCCGACCATACTAGATCTAGACAATGACAATATCCCATCGCTACAATAGCACGTACATCGGACTGATGCACCTCATCCCTGTATCCGAGACAGACAAGGAAGAAGAAATATGTGCTAGCCGTGCCGCAAGAAAGCTTGTATAGCGGTGGCCGTTGAACTGCGGAGCGCACCAACCATCGGATATGGCATGTCACACAACCACCGACTGTAGTCCGCAGATGAGGTGCAGCAACCTCACCACAATGCAGCATAAACCCTCATATAAGCTACCAACTAGCTCCGATCACTTGCAAGCTTGTTTCCCGCTGCCGCTTATAACATCACCCAGCAGCACCACTCTACAGCATCATGGAACAGCCCATCGGCTACGGCGCCCAGCAGTGCCGTATATCCGTGTCCGATGCCCCACGGGGATCAGCCAGACAGCATCCGATGGAGTCTGAGGTCACTGTCGCCCTGGTACCGACGTGCCTCACCAACATCCGACTCTCCGCCGCCACGCATCTCAGCAATGACATCGTTCGAAACAAGCTATCTGTAGCCTCTAGCCTTAGTAGATAAAAGAGAGAGGGAGCCCTGACCGCTGCTAACTTCCCCATCACTTCAATTCCCACCTCAAACCATCATTGAACCCTCTACCCCATATTACACCGCACATAATGTCCCCCTCCAAGAAAGACTTCCACGTCGCCATCATTGGCGGCGGCATAGCAGGCGTCACGCTAGCCATTGCGCTCCACCACCGCAACATTCCCCTAACCATCTACGAGCAAGCGCACGAATTCGGCGAAGTAGGCGCCGGCGTCTCCTTCAGCCCCAACGCCGTTCAAGCCATGAAATACTGCCACGAGGGCATCCACAACGCATTTGAGAAAGTCTGCACGCGAAACCTCTGGCCCACCAAGCAAAAAGTCTGGTTCGACTATCTGGACGGATACAACCACAAGGAAAGCCCCCAAAACGGCCGCCAAAACATCGAATTCACCATCTCCAACAGTCTCGGCCAGAACGGCGTCCACCGTGCGCATTTCCTCGACGAACTGATCAAGCTGGTACCCAAGGAGATCTCTCGCTTCAACAAGCGACTAGAAGATATTCACGAGCGGATCAGCGATGGCAAGCTGATCATGAAGTTCGCCGATGGATCCGAGGATGTTGCGGACTTGGTCATCGGATGTGATGGGATCAAGTCCCAGGTACGCCAGATCATCGTCGGTGCGGATCATCCTTCTGCGAAGCCGTCGTATACTCACAAGTATGCGTATCGCGGTCTGGTGCCGATGGATAAGGCGGTTGAGGCGATTGGAGAGGAATTGGCTTCGAATTCTTGCATGCATGTAAGTAGCCCATTTATATTCACCTTTATGGTCTGGAGAATCCATACTAACGGTGTTAATAGATGGGCCCCGGCGGCCACATGCTCACCTTCCCCGTGAACGGCGGTAAAACACTTAACATCGTCGCGTTCCACACCACCACCGACGAATGGGCCGAGTATCCCAGACTCACCCGCCAGGGTACCCGCGACGAGGTCCTCCGCGACTTTGCTGGCTATGGACCTAACGTGACCAATTTGCTTAAGTTGACTGATCCTCAGCTCAGCGTGGTATGCATTTATCCCCTTCTACCTTTACGGCCCCACCACTTTCTTTCAAATACTGATGAGTATACAGTGGGCCATCTTCGACCTAGGCGACCACCCGGTCCCAACATTCTACAAAGGCCGCGTCGGCATTTCGGGCGACGCCGCGCACGCCACCTCGCCGCATCACGGTGCCGGCGCGGGCTTCTGTATCGAGGATACAGCTGTGCTGGCAACACTGCTGGAGGACGAGCGGGTGCAGACGCACAAGGACCTTCAGGCCGTGTTGGCTGCGTTTGACGAGAACCGTCGCGAGCGGTCTCAGTGGCTGGTGCAGAGTAGTCGGTTCATTGGTGATTGCTATGAGTGGAGGGCTGATGGGGTGGGGAGCGACTTCAAGAAGATCGAGGAGGCGATCAATTATCGCAATGGAGTTATTGCGAATGTAGATGTTGGGAAGATGTGTGAGGAGGCGAAGGGGGTGTTCGGGAGGAAGATTGAGAAGGCTTCGTTGTGAGTAGACTTCAGGGAGGAGAGCTTGTACGCTGATAGATAGAGGTTTTTGTTGGGATTTTGGTTTCTAGCGAGATATATTATTTTTTTGGTTTGGGTTTATAGATTAATGCATCTGAGCGATTGAGATTGGATACTTTGTGCTTTCAGTGGTGATTGACGTAAAGGGCTTGTAATAGTTGTGATAATGGTCATGAGAGATGAATGGTAATAGATATGTAGCACTAAGCGTCCATTGGTTTCACTGCATGGATGCCTTATGCGGCCTTATCCCACAATTAGAAATGCTATCTGATGTTGACAGCTACAAGCCATTGTAGCTTCAGGCAAATATCCAGCCTCAAGGGCTTCCCAAGATACAGAAGTAATAAATTACAACCTCCTATAGATCCAAATTTCCCAATATGATGAAGTATGAACAAGCGCCATTTTGAGAATGACATCATGCTCCGTTTCCTAGCAGACAATCGACCGGGGTATCAAGAAATAAGTATAGAATCGTTCGATATGTTGTGGTGTCTACAGAAATGAAATGTTAGCATAAACCTCTCACATGAAATCCAGGACCTCCCGTCCTAAATGTGATGAGGACATACCCGCATTATACACAGAACCATCTCTTATAAAGCAGTCATGTTATGTTTCTTTGCAGAGAATCGCATCCTCTGACTTTATGTCCGACGTCGATTGCTCATTTTGAATCCCCTCCGACCTCAAAGACACCAACCACTCCCAAACATATGACCAGGGATTCATCAGACTCTCAATCGGACTGTAGGGCGATAACGCGGGGTCGTAGAAATGTGTTGCCATGATGATAGTTTCTTCTTTCACAACCAAATTCAAGTCTTTGATAAAAAATCAATCGTTATTAGCGAAGAAAAGGAGTCAAAAGAGAAATGCGAAGCAACCTCATTCTTCAACCAGGGACAGCTTCAGCAACAAACAGTGCAAATGATGAGCATGATGGCGTGCCTCCACCGCTCATTGGTTCCCCGCATTTCCCAGTGCTGGGCGGTGGGTAACTGGCATGTTTGTTCTCCAATGAGGAGAAGATTGCAAACAGTGCAATTACATCTTACTAATGTTTGGTGTGTTTGGAATGTTTGGCTGCTGTTCGGCTCGGGGTTACGGCCGAGAGCCCCGAATTTGGGGGCTTGAATTTGGGACTTCGGATGTGACCGCCTTGTGGGCTTCCGATGTGGTTCTTGGTTGTGGGTGAGTGTTGGTTCCGATGGATGGCTGGGGCGAGGTGTTAGGAAACGGGGATCAGGGTTGATAGTGGGTTAGTTTCATGGTTGGGGATGTAATGAGTACATAGTATCTGTTCTCGTTCGTTTCCTGATCGATGTGTCTAGTGGGGTAATGTTGTTATGATGATGAAAGATTAATGCTTTGCGTTGTTGGGGGCTATCGGATATATGCTTAGGGGGCGGGGATGGGGAGACTGTTATGCCGCTTATAGTGACTACAGCACTCCAGAGTGAAAGTCAAAATGAGACTTTCGATTATCATTAGACAAGGCAAATATGCCATTTTTTGTAAAACTACCAGCTGCAGCTTCACATAGCTTTCTAAGTGTAAAATCGCTCTCGCCTCCCTGGCAGTTTTTGCGATGAGCATACCCGAGATACAGAATGTGGAGACAGCCGGAGCAGTGGGTCTACTGGTTATCATCTACCCCAGGTCTTGGCTCAGTTGGTTAACTTGACTAGACAACTGCCAGCTTATGATGACTTTGGAATCGTGAGCTTGCAGTCGAGCTGCGTAAGCAGGAAGAAAAGAACATCATATAGTTCTGATGGGTAGAAGAAGCCTTCAGACGGTAGAACTCTACCGGAGGGTTCATCAGAGGAGGTCGACATATTGTTGCTAGCAATGCTGTCACGACCCATCACAAGTGACATTTCAGACTGAAGATGAGATAAAGGGAAATGGAAAGGAACAAAAAGTGCTACCTAAGGGTATGATCAGAGTTCTAAGGAAATGCGCAGCTTGGGATATGAGGAGGCTACTGGCAATGGAAAATCTAGGCCATGAGGTGGTTTGAGAACTATAGTGAATTACGAGTGCTATCAGTAAATATTGGATGGCCTTACTTGTCAATTGACTCTATACTCCTCTCACATAGGAAATACAACCAGGTCGACTCTTATTTTAAAGAGGTTGAAGATCACAGAAGTCCTGACTTCGTTTACTTCAGAGCTGCAAGCCATGCTTGCAGCCACTTCTCGCCGTTCGTCCTCCTCCATTAACATACATCTTGAGATCCTACCGACCTTCATCTACTTTTCATGGGCCTTTCGATCTGCTTACCGAAGCCATGATGAGCGTTGCTGGGGAACGTGGGCCAGGGACTAACACCTCAAATCATGGGACCGTATGGTCTCAAAACCGTTGGATGCGATAAATTTCCCTCTATTTTACCATACCGGATCTCGCCTTGCCGAGTGGACCAGACCATTTCTTCTCCGGTCGTGAGGGAAGGATTTTAGTTCCTTTACGTCCAGTGAATGTGGCACACACAAACGCTGAAACTTACTTTGTTTTTCCTACTTCCCACTGAAATTCCCCTTCTCCATTCCCTCTCACACGCTCGCCTCCTGACAAATGATATCTGGAAGCTAAGACGATCATCTACTAGTCCTATCAATTTCGCTACCATCTCTGTGCTTTCATTATCAGTTCCATTGACAGTGAGTCACCTCTCATCATGTGCGAAACGCATGGCCAGGCACCCATGTCCTTTCTAACCAACATGTTGCTGCTAGAGTCTCTAGAGCACATCAAACCATGACATCCCAGCCATGCAGCCAGATTGATGAGGAGATCTTCGTTGTCGCTCAGCAACTTCAGGAGGTACAAGCTTATCTTGACAGTCAAAAAGGAAAGCGTCGGGCCGATGGGAGCCCCAAGGACGGCCAGGATATTATAAGAGAACAGTATGAAGAGCTTAGAACGTATCTAAGATCACTGCAGGACAAGAAGCTCGCTACGAGTATTGCTTTGGCGGTAGACTCTGATAGCCGTGTTATTGCTGCGCTTACACGTGAAGAAGCTCAGGCAAGCGATGATCGACGTTTGGCAATCAGAATGAGTGAGAGAGACGATGACCCGGACTCTTCGACAATGGAAAGTGAGGTGGAGCAGCCTAACGCTGTCGGAGAGCCCCAGTCTAGTGATGATGAGTGCGTCGCAGGTCCCTCCATGACCTACAGAGAGAGACAGGCCTTGGAACTTGAGAAGTCGGCCGCCACAGAAACACAATGCTGTGTGTGCTACGAAAGCTTTTACACTCATAAGGTGACGCGATTGGACTGCAACCATAAATACTGTAACGATTGTCTCAAGGATCTTTTCCGGAGAGCGACGAAGGACTCAACTCTGTTCCCCCCACGATGCTGTCGTATGCCGATTCATCTAGAACTTGTTCAGAAACACATGTCAGAGACTGAGATCTCCGACTTCAGAAGCGCGGAGATAGAGTTTGCTACGACAGACCGGACCTACTGCTGCAATGCCAGCTGCGGCAAGTTCATACTACCTCACAACATCACAGCCGGCCGAGCCCAGTGTCCTCACTGCAGATCCGATACCTGCGCAATGTGCAAAAACTCATTCCATACTGATGACTGTGTTGAGGACGCCGACCTCCAAGCTACACTAGCGCTGGCCAGCACCCAAGGCTGGCAACGGTGCTTCCGTTGCAGGGCTCTCGTCGACCTGGGCATTGGCTGTTACCACATCACGTATTGCAGAGACTCCCCGCCCCTATTACCCACTTCTACTGACTTACCTATTCAAACAGGTGCAAATGTCGAGCTGAGTTTTGCTACCTCTGCGGCCTTCAGTGGAAGACTTGTGAATGCGTCGTATGGGCCGAGGAAAGACTCGTCGCCAGAGCGGCGGAAGTCGTGGACCGTCAGGCTGAAGCGCCCTTGCCACCTCAGGTCCGTCAACAACGGGTTGAACAGATGCAGGAAGATCTGCGACATAATCACGAGTGTGAACATCCCGGAAGATTCCGCCGTCTTGAAGGTTCAAGGAGGAGGGTATTCGAATGTGAGTTCTGTGGAGCCCGCCACCGGAATTATATTCTTGAGTGTCGCCATTGCCATATCGAAGTTTGTGAGAGTTGCCGACGCCATCGCATTTAAGGCGGCATAGGAAGGGTACAAAGACTGTTGAATAGGTGGAAGAGTAGGTCTAAGGAGGAGTGTGGTACTTGATGAGCAGTTGAATGCCCATCTTTACAGGAAGTGCTGTTTCGTTTTCATGTTCGGATGCAGATTTAGTTGTCTTCTAGATTGTGCGCATCTCTGACTTGTCGGGATATCATTGTCTTTGTGTCATGTTCAATTTCATATGGCAGAGCTGCCACTTCGCGAGGAGAGAGCTTTCGCGAACAACCATCCAGAGACCTAGCTATAGCTACCTCTACACATAGAGGACAATACATACAAAGAACTCTTCTGAATCTGACCAGCACATCTTCATAAGGGTAAAAAGCTTCTATACTACCGAACAACAATGCTTGTAGTTCTTCAATCCGGATATTTATACGACAGTAATCTATCTTCCTGATCCAATTTTCGATCCAATACTGTTTGGAAACAGGATATCAAAGAGCACGAACTCTGTGGTTGTATGAATCTACTAGCTCAGGGGAATCTTTGCTGTAGCGAGGGCGTGCCGATTAGTCTGCGCCATGGCAGCTTCCGAACAGAAAAACTACGACTGTCGTTGATTTCCACAATATTAGACTATCCTAAATGTTATATGACATGGTTTTCTACCCCTACGATGTACCTTAGCTCAAAATATCTTATATTAATAGTGTATTTGGAATATGAACCTTAGTAATATGTTGCTCGCTAAATATCATGCTTCATTAGAATGGCCAAAGAGATTTCAATCCAACCTTCGCTGCATATTGAATCTGACTAATTCGTAGATTCAATCGTGAGTTCCCAAGTTCGGAATCCGCGCCATGGTTCAGAAGTAGACGCATTACTTCTTGTTTGTTTTTCTGGGCGGCCAAGTATAAGGGCGTATGCCCGTCTTCGTCTTTCCAATTTACGTCGACACCGGCGTCAAGCAATCGCTGAATGAACTGTATACTGATGGTCCTAGATGCGACGGCATAGTGTAGCGCAGAAAAACCGTGATTGTCAAGTGCGTGGGGATCGGAATCTTTGTCTAACAATGCTGTCGCCACCGCCTCTTGCTCTAGATATAGAGCGTACAAGAGTGGTGTACGCCCCTGTCGCCCCTTGATATTCGTTGATGCCTCGGCGTCGAGTAAAGGCTGGATTGCAGGGACAGTTCCCAAGCGGGCAATTGCAAGATGCAGAGCGGTGTCGCCACTGGAGTTTTGAGCGTCGATGTCGTCTCGGACAGCTCGAATGGCTAGTAGTAGCTTTGACTTCCTTATAAACTCTTCCAGGTTACCTTTAAAAGTCGACAGTTGTAGGGAGGTTTCGCGACCGGGCTCTGTACGAATTTGGGCATCGGCGCCGTATGAAAGAAGGAGTTCGACCCACTCCGCTGAGGCGGATTCTGAGACAATGTGCAAAGCTGTGTAGCCATTGTGCAGTCTATTGAGGCTTGGGTGTGTTGTCAGGAGGGCTTGAAGCTTCACTGTACTGGCTCGGTCGAAGGTTTGGGTTGTTTTGACGAAGTTCCAGAGTTCCGTGGAGAAGTAGTCCTAAATTCGAGTTACTCGATTGTTGATGCCTAGGGGAGGGTCATGAAGCGGACTGAAATACCATCTCATCGACTGAATACGAACCAAGTCCATTGAATGTATTATCGAGGAGGCCGGCCCATTGCGTATCATCGATTGATGCTTGTGTCGAATTACTAAGGGCCCATGTAAAGCCATCCGCTGGACCGGTATCTCCTGTACTACGGAGCTCCGGGCCCAGACTCTTCGTTACTGTCCAGGATAGCCCAGCTGCTCTCTAAGTCCACCGATGCTGATGGACGGGCTTCAGGGAGCGGATCCAACAGTCTCTTGATGAATCTGCATCCCTGAAGGCTCACGTTGTTCTCCTTCAAATGTCCCTCAGGAAACGCCATGCGTCCCTTGGCATAGCCACGAAGTTCTGTAGATCACCTACTTACCCCTCACGAGACTAACAACATCATCGTTCCCATGGATCCTGCTTCTCTCGCTCTCTCCATTTTTGGGACCTTGGATATATGTCTCAAGTAAGTGGCAAACACCTTCGCCGATATCTACTGCGCATGCACTACTGAATTGTCTCGGGTAGATACGGCAAGCGTCTCGTTGAACTATGTCGCGAGACTCGCAACCTCCAAAACGACATCGCCCAGATCACCTTAACAATTGAAGGCGTATGGCTGAAAACGGAGATTCGGTTGGATTTATTGAAGCGATTATCGAGAGCTGGATCGTTAGACCACACCCTGAGTGGCCATTATGGAGAGGCTCTTCAGCGACTGCGGGTGAAGATCTCGAGCTTGGAGGCAGTTCACAAACGGTCGATTTCCACCTCAAGATTCCCCCAAGTGGCTTGGACGGTGTACTTGAAGCGACATCTTGAGGGAGTGAATGGTGATCTCGAGGAATGGCAGCGCCGGTTCGATCAGTCGTGGTATCTTTATCACCTTCATTGCCAATCCTCTCGTGGACAGCACTTATAACGAAGAAGGACGAGGATCCGTCGGCAGCAAGTCTGTTGGAATTCAGGGAAGCTGTACGCCAGATTTCGTCGGTGAAAACCCCGGCCGAAGGCTCGGTTTTCATTCAAAAGCCCAGGGCTCCTTAAACAACGACAGCATATACCAGGCACCAACGAATATCGATAGTAAACAGGAAGTCCTTCTCGATGTTAGAAACTATACCCGCAAATCAGCTTCGACAAGCAGAAACCATGTCAGAGATTGAGCGCGTCTTCTCCGCCGTGTCAATCCCTCAACATTTAGCCTCTTAAAATGCGACGGCGTGATCGAGGCTCTAACTGACCAGGATATTAAATTCAATTCATTTTCAAGGTTTCACATGGATTGCATTCCCCAGAAAACCCTCCGCGGTCTTCTGGCAGAATATCCACGTATCTCTCTGAGCAAGCGCGTCCAATTTGCGGAACAACTTGCCCGATCGGTCATGTTCGTCCATACAATGGCTTCGTGCACAAAGACATTCGACTGGAAACCATTATGATTTCCCGCCAAGTTAACGAAGAAAAGGACCCTTTTTTCCTCGTCGAGTTCGAGCGTGTTCGACCCGCAGAAGCTCAGTCTGATCTACTCGGCGATCTGGAATGGGAAAGAAACCTCTACCGCCACCCCGTGCGGCAGGGGCTTCGGTCCGACGAAGCGTTTACCATGCAGCATGACATTTACAGTCTTGGGGTTCTGTCTTCTTGAGATGGCCTTATGGGAGTTGTTCGTTCGCGATGACAACGGAATGACTACTCATTGGTTGGACCTGGCCATCCAGGTGCCATCTCGGCTAAGGATGCTCGACGTGGAGGCTTTGCGGATGAAGAAAGTACTTATCGCAATCACCGAGGATCGACTTCTTGCCATGGTGGGAGACCAGTACGCGAACATCGTTCTCGCGTGTCTTTGTTGCTAGATGGAGTAGATGATAATATCTTTCGCGATGTCAAAGACGATGATGATATTGTGGTAGGCGTTAGCTTTATTGAGAATGTAAATTTTCTCTCGCGTATCAGCTGACATGTACTAACCTGCTATAGGTATTGGTATTGGTGAAAGGAGAGGAGTTGCACATATAGAGTCCTTAAGCTCACTAAAACCATGTTTTTCTATCTGAGATAGAGAAGAGGTATGGCACTAACATGATGCTCTGGCAATTCAGCCAGGTTTAGATCGACCCCGAAAAGCCTGACCCTGGCCAGGAACTCGTAGGCCTCAGGGCCATGCAGATTGACGCTAAAGACGCTGGGAAATATCAGATGGATCCACTCCAAAAGCTCGGATACTTTTGGTGTACTCTGTAAGCTTCTAACTTTCACGGAAGTATATGCAAAACATACATCGACCACCGAGTTTGTTTTGAATATAGATTGAGGTTTCCATGATTGCGGAAGGCATGGAGGGCTCAGCTTCACAAGTTATGGGCCAGGACACTCGGATACTTGTGGCAAGAGATCCCAATCTCCCGCCAAACGTCGAGCCATCCTTACCACCGCAACTTTACCCATGGAATTAATATGGTAAATTCGAGGGCCTTGATTTTGGGTTTCTTGCTCTGGTTGGGATGTGTCTTTTTTTTTCGACCCCGCTGAAGCGATGTGGTCAGAGTCGATGACAAGGATTAGACGCTCGGGCATCCAAAAACTCCGCACATATAGATAGCGGTTGGTCGACTGGTTAGCCCTCTCTTCGGTCAGCAGCCCCAGCTCCCTTGAGAAAACTTTCCTTTCAAATTACGCAGGGATACAGTATAAATAGAAAAAACATGAGGCATAATTTTTGTGTGTGTGTACTCGATAGCCTTCAAGGAGGGCATATGACACAGAGATAGATATTGAATGAAGAACCCGGAATGACGGGAAAACGTACTATTTCTATTCTCATAGACGCAATATTTACATCCACATGGAGCGAAAAAAATGAAATTTCTCAATTAAGTACAGCATCCAGGAGGTTCTCAAATACGTTATCATGATCAGGCTGCCACGTTCCACGCCGCATAACCACACAGCAGCTTTTGAATGTCTTCTATCTGTTCGCTTGAAAAATGATCCCGCAGAGGCTAGGTTAGGATGTGGGCCTAGCACGTTAAGCACATGACCTCGAAGTCGCGATCAAGGCCAAGGATTAGACTGCATCCTCCCCCATTCCAGTTAACTTCCTCTCCCTGTCAATATACTGTCATGTACCCGACTACAAGAGCAAACATCGTACATCGCAAGTGATCCGACTGGTATAAATCTGGATGCCGCCCATTCCGCCACTGTTCGCTCCATGCTGGTGCTTCGCCGTCCTTCATTTGCTCCGCCCCTCGTCATCATCTCTGGACGCCCTCATCCATCCCATTCAGTCAATAAATCACCCGATCAATCAATCATTCATTCCATCAATACCTTTCTCGTTTCCGTTGTACTGAGTTGTTCCTTTTCCCCTGGGGTCATTCCACTGTCGCTGTCGCGTTCTCTATCTCTCTGCGGTTCTCAATCACCTTTCCTTTTCTTTCCTCTTTCTATACAGTCGTGTTATTTGAGTGTGTCTGACTTGGCGAGGTCAAAAATACCAACAAAAGGAGAAAGGGAAGAGAAAAACAGAAACAAAAGGAAAAATAACTAGCAGTCGACATTATCTTCGTCATCGCTTTCATTTATATCTCATTATCTCAGTCTCCCTTCCGTCGTCTCTTCCCCACGCCCACTTCTTCCTCATACGTGCACCTGCAAACTCGCGCCTTTACGATTCCATCATTCCTTGTTACTCTGCTGCCCTTATCCCACCTCCTCCGACCATTCATCTCCATCATGAGTACCATCCGAGATCTCTCAAAATTCATACGTCATGGGAAACAAGCCCGCTTGGTGACTCCCCATGCTGAACCCTCCACCAACGACTCCGCCATCCACGCTGGAAAACAGCATCGACCTCAAGAATCATACCCGTCCACTGCGGGGAACCTGAATGCCATTGATGCCCAGATTAACGCTGCGCCGGCTCAGCCTCCGGCCAAGTCACCTGAGGGTCAGTCCCAGGGAGCCCGCGAGCTCGAGATCGAGCAAATTGTTGCCGAAGAAAAGAGTGCACGCTCGAAGATGCCCGAATATCCCGGCCTAGAACGCTGGATTTTGCTGGACAAGATGGGCGATGGCGCCTTCAGCAACGTCTACCGGGCCAAGGACACCACCGGCAAGTATGACGAGGTCGCTATTAAGGTCGTTCAAAAATTCGATAGTAATCAGGTAGGCCGAGATGGTCTTTTCAAGAACTGGCTTTGCCTTTCGTTCTTTTTCATCGTCGTTCGCATTCGTTTCCTCTCGAACCAAGCTTGCCAATATCAGTGTCTCGTCCCCGAATCTTCCTCTCCTTTCTCGCAATAAGAGACCAAAAGCTACGGAGGTGCGCAACCTCTCATAACCGCCAAGCGAACCACCTCGCTTGGGTTGACATCCTTGCTCTGTTCCTGCGTTCTTATTCTGCCTGGCCGTCCCCGTCGTTCCTTTGTCACTCCAAACCTTTGTACCACGTACATTTCCAACCGAGAATCTTTCAACTGACCATGTTCCCAGCAGCGTGCCAATATTCTGAGAGAGGTCCAGATTATGCACCAAGTAGACCACCCGAATATCGTGAAGCTGATTGATTTTTCTGAATCCCGCCAACACTATTATATCGTGCTGGAGCTTTGTCCTGGTGGCGAGCTATTCCATCAAATCATTCGACTAACCTATTTTAGTGAAGACCTCAGCCGTCATGTTATCCTGCAGGTCGCTAAGGCGATCGAGTATCTCCACGAGACTTCTGGTGTTATCCATAGGTAGGCTTCTTCGCTTTATACCCAGGCTATTGCATGTGCTGACCCCTACGACAGGGACATTAAACCTGAGAATTTACTCTTCTATCCAATCCCTCTTGTTCCCAGCGAGTCCCCCAAACCACGTCAGCCGGGTGATGAAGACAAGCTTGATGAAGGCAAATTTATCCCGGGAAAAGGCGCTGGTGGTATTGGAGTGATCAAGATTGCTGATTTCAGTCTGTCTAAGACTATCTGGGATAATCAAACTATGACCCCCGGCGGAACAGTCGGCTACACAGCTCATGAGATTAATAGAGACAAGCGTTACTCTAAGAGTATTGACATGTGGGCGTTAGGCTGTATTCCCTATACTTTTCTCTGCGGCTTCCCGCCCTTCTATAACGAGAGTGTCCAGGAATTAACCGAGGAAGTGGCTCGCGGGCAATGCACATTTTCATCACCTTGGTGGGATAATATCTCCAATTCTGCTAAGGACTTAATCTCTCATCTCTTGATGGTGGACCCTGACCAGCGGTACTCGATTAAAGAGTTTTTGGCCCACCCCTGGATCCGTCAGACCGACGCACCCCCGCTCGCGACACCACTATCTTCACGCCATGTGCAGAAACAAGCTCTGGATGCCTCTGCGGCTGACCAGGGCCCCTACCCCTCCGCCAGCGCTCGCCTGTCCGACCAGCCCTCGGCGGGCCTGGAGCGCTCGATGGATTTCCGCTCCCCAGGAGCCATCAACCTCCGTGAGGTCTTCGACGTGGGCTACGCCATCCATCGCCAGGAAGAAGAGAACAAACGTCGTAAAAATTACCGGAATCACCCTGGGGCAAATTCCACTGCACTCTCAGTCTGTTCTCAATTCACTTAACGAAGACTACAATGATGGATACGATGGCGGGATCACGTATCAACCGATTGACCATGACGAATATCCCCCGTCCAAACCCCAGAATCAGTCGAAAGAGGTATCGGCAATGGAAGCAAAATTACGGTACATCAATTTGGGTGCCCCCGGCCATCCTGGTCAGGCGCGGAGAGCTCTCCAGCCCCGGCAGCAGCAGGGCTACGGCCAACACAGTGCCAAAGTCACTGCGGCAGCGGGACAGAGGATTTCCAGCGGGGGTAGGGAGACTTTCGAACTCAGTTTGGACAACGCGGCGTTGCTCCAAAAGAGAGTACAACACACTGAGCGTAATGACAGGCCCCCCCAGAATGACAAATCTCATGGTGTCCACTCAACTATCTCGCGAATACCACAGGGCTACCTAGAAGAACTTGCGAATGAAGTGATATATGCCGTTCGACCCTACAAGTTGGGCAGTGGTGTGGTTGAGCACATTCATAAAATACTTCCAGACCTCTTGGAAACGTTTGCGCTTGGTTTAGGTCAATTTTCGTCCATCCAGGCCTACCGTGACGTGATGGCTTTTATCCATGAGTATCGATGGTAGAATTCTCTGAACCTTACAAGCATTGGGCATAAGCGCTAATATCATAGTCATAGGGATATCGCTACTACGTTCCAGGAACGCTTGGCCGATAACACAGTGGACCAACCTTATCGAGACGTGGCAAGACTGACTCTAGACGATGCTATGGATCTCCGGCATGGAAGGACCGATGGTCTGGCGCCTAGATCACAACCGCTTGTTGCGAGAAACACTGACCAAAAAGAGTGCCTTGTTATGAATATCGCAGCGGACGATGAAGCTGAAGCGAACGAGCTGCCTGGGATCGAGTTTTATGGGGCTATTATCCGGAGAACATCTGCATACACTTCGCTATTGAACAATATTCGTCGAGAGTGCCTTTTCGCCCCTTCTGAGCCGGACCTTTTGGGAAAAATTCGGAAATTTATACTGGGATCCCTCCCAGTATCACCCTGCATCAATGAACAAAAGCCAGCGGAAGTTTTCGACATCAGTTTCAGAATCAGGTGGGACCCGCTCAAATTCATGCTAGACGAACATTACGAAGACGATCCAGAGGAGGCAATTGAATATGTCATTACATTGACCGGCTCTGCCATGTCGGCACAGGCGATGACTTGCGGGGAGTACTTACGTCAAGTTTGGCCATCAACAGGCCCGAGTGTGATAAAGCTTATGAAAGCCCTCGTGTCTGAGGAGAGGAAGGGCTCCGGTAAGCGCAGTCCAACAGTAACTTATTCTCAAACTCATGTATCTGCCAGACGTTTTAGCTGATGGCACTCAACTTGCCTTTTCGAGCCGTCCGTCCATAGAACAGGCTTCGTCATTTGATGTCTGGGTTGATGCTCGAGGGACTGCGCCCATTCTTGCTGAGATTGGAGAGCAGGTTGCGTGGCTTGCATCCGCGCTACGGTCCTCTTCCCTCAGTCCGGGCACCGTTGCCTACAACAGACCCTTCATCAAATTCGTGAAGATCAGCCACCAAAAAGGCGAAGAGAATATGAAGACCACTTATCTATATGATATTGGTGTTGAAGTATACGATGAGCCAGACCGCCGCGAGATTGCGAATGGTGATTGCTGGCACAAATTGTTCGGATCGCCAGTTGTCGTAGAAGGGTTCCCGATACGACGGAGGGTGGAACAACATTCAAAAGGCCTTGAAATCCCGCTAGAAATGATGGCGTCACTCGCAGGCACGCGCAAGATCAATTACTTCGACGGGAGAGTTATTCTGAAAGGCTTTTCAACTATGCTGGTCCCTGCAAAATGCAGCCAAAGTTCAGTCACATGGCATCTTCTGTACCAGAAAAATGGGGACCATATTTCTTATCTCAAAAGCGAGCAGCTTCCCCGTCTCGATCTCAATATTCAACAGCTAGAAAAAGCGCGACACTTTTTGGGGTGGTGTCCGGCTGCACGGATGTACGCGGGTAGGTCAACATCGTTGTCATTTATCGATGATAAGGCTGCCTATGCTGACTGGTTTCACAGGCGAAGCTGATGCTAGCTATAACATCAGGAACTCGAGGCTCCCCCGTCCCTCAGGAGACTGTATTCTGAGCAACGCATCACTCTCTGCTTCGTATGGAATTATTGGAAGTTCAGCTTTTAGGATTGGGCGTAAAGATATCAAGCTCCCGCGCAACTCGTACGTTAAGAAGATAAGATGGATATCGGAGAAATATACAATTCTCTGGGAAATTACAGAAAAGCGAGGTTGGCTTGTTAATGGAGCCGCCGCCTTGCTTCACCTTGTTCATACGTCTCTACGGCAGGACGACCTCAGCAACGCTAGTCTGTTGTGTCTATACAATGAGGGAACCCAGAGAACATCTGCTTCTCACCGATCTGATTCCGCCCTTAGTGTGCTCTTGAGTCAACCACACCTTGAACTGCCTGTTTACCCAGGGGATGATCAGCACACATTGAAGGACCTTATAGAGGACTTATATGATTACCTGGAAAGAGCGATCACATACCAGGTGAAAGCGATCGGTCCAGATGGCAACACTTATAAGCAGCCGAGGTCAGCATTGGATGGTTGGGATTTCACTGATATGGCTCTAGAGCGAGATCCCATATATCCACGGCGAGCATACCTGGAAGAAGATGGTCGGTCCTGGGTCGACTTCGCTCGCTCCATACACGCAATCATCCTATTTGGCAGAGGGTTCGATGAAATCATTCAGCCTGCTGATGCATACTGCCCTTCATGGGCGACACTGCCACATGGAAAATCGTATCTCGGTGCTGCAGTTGCGGACCTTTACAAGATAATGGAGCAATATGGAGACTATGACACCCGACCAATGCGACTTTGTCACGACACATTCTGGGCGGTGACCAACGAGAAGTTCAGTCAGTGCTCATGTGGCATGCAAACTGAAACTGAAATCCCTAAGCACTCGGATTTTGTCCAAGTTCTGCTTCCTTCAATCATGCGGCACGAACTCCCCAGCCACGTTCTTGTGCGCCCGGAACCTCCAGGTGCGGTCATCTTCGGCCAAAGCGCCAGGGACCGATGGTACTGGGGCAACTTTGGACCTCCCGCAAAGGCAGTCACTCTGATCAGCAATGACTCATACCAAGCTTACTCCGATTTTGAAGATAATACATTTGCAACAACTCTTTGTTCAACAGGACCCAAGGAAAGTGAAGACTCGGTATCTGATTTGTATCAGCCGGACGTAGAACGGTACATAAAACAATCGCGTACAACATCCGGTCAAAGGAATGACTTTGTCTTTGCGGCCAGCAGAAAGTACGAGACAAGGCATATCCGTTATGCAGATGACTACAAGTTGGGCATTATATGCGCCCTCCATATTGAGCTCATGGCAGTACGTGCTCTGTTTGACGAAACGCATGAGAACCTGCCTATTTCTGAGAACGATGACAACTACTATGCGCTGGGATCCATCGCGAAGCATAATGTTGTTGCTGCATGTCTTCCCTTAGGCACCTACGGCACAAACCCTGCTGCAATTGTCGCAACCCATATGAAGCGCAGTTTCCCTGCTTTGAGATTCTGCCTTCTGGTTGGTATCGGAGCTGGAGTACCTTCTGAGAAGTATCAAATACGCTTAGGTGACATTGTAGTCAGCAAGGCTAGCGGCAGATATCCCGGCGTCCTGCCATACGACATGATTAAATGCCTCGAATTTGGAGCATCTGAGCTAAATGGTTGCCTGAGCCCTCCCCCTGCGCACCTTATGGCCCTGATAAGTGAGCTTGAGTCAGACCCGGGTGGATCCTCTACACTCCAGGAATATATTCGGCAAATTGAGGAGCGCCAGCCCCAGTATAAATACCCCGGAGCCATCAAGGATAGACTGTTTGCATCTTCTTACATGCATAGTGGCGGCGACGAATCTTGTGACCAGTGCAACCCACTGTGTGAAATCCGACGACCCCCTCGAACACCAGCTTATCCAAAAGTGCACTATGGCTTAATTGCATCTGGGAACAAACTCATCAGATCGGCCGAAAAGCGGGATATGTTAGGGCGGGAGCACAATGTACTGTGCTTTGAGATGGAAGGCGCGGGGATCGTGAACAGCTTCCCCTGCCTAGTCATTCGGGGGATCTGTGACTATGCTGATTCCCACAAAAACAAAATCTGGCAGAAATATGCTGCTGCGGTTGCCGCGGCATATGCGAAATTACTGCTCTCTCGACTGAGGGCGTCAGACAGCGTTCCTCCAAACTTTTGAGATTGGTGGAAGTCGGCATTGGTATAAGTGGTCCATACAAACAGGGTGGGAAGGTAGTTGGGACATGTTTGGAATCCGAGTCGGGGGACGATGTTGGCAGGGTATTGAATTTTCGCTTGGGAATGCAGCGTCCTTCCGAAATCCACGTTTCGCAGCTAAAACATAACTCAACCAGAGATTGAGCCACATATATCTTCGCATAACTCAAGAAATAATGAAACCCAAACGTCCAAGATCGCAAATTTCTTTAAGCTAGTAATCCTTAGAAGCATTCTTCTCTCTGTGACCCGGTACCAGTCTTTCTCGTGATACTTGGGTAACACCATGAAAGCTGCTATCAGAGGATTGGAAGGGCACGAGCAGATATATCCACCTTCAGGCACAGTTTAGATACGTAAATTAGGATGATAATATAAGGCAGCAGTACGCCATTAATTACCTTCACAGCCTAAACGATGTACGCTGTGTCTGGCAAGCTACTGCGGTTCTGCGGGACTAGCCACTTCCCTTGCATATTCACAGAAAGGGTACTGGAGCGAGGATGTTTTGGACCTAGATTGACACAGCTATGCTGCCATCTTCCACACTATACTTCGACCTGTTGGACTTTTGAGTGTAGAGATGACCATCAGTCGGATTTGAGTATTATACAGGGAAAAGGCTTGTCAACGCAGCATGAATGCAGAGCACATTCAGCTTTTGCCGATAATGAATTCAACAGTCCCGAGTTGCATGATACTGGGTGTGCGTCAGTCATGGAGGCTTTCTTTCTTCATAGCACCACCATGTCTTACTCATGATAACTGGATCGCATTATGATCAGCAGTGGTAAACGAGAATCACAATGATCAGATGGACGACACAGATGTTCACGTGGAGGCTCAGGTATACTTTAGATAGAAAGATTAGTAGGATAACCAGAGGCATGGATATGCTCTCATTTATGTGCTTTACCCAAACTGACTTGGTACCTGGTAGGCCACTGCGGCCCTACGGCACTAATCAACCTGCTGGTTGAAGAAATTTCATTTTAATGGTTCCTCAGGTCCACAGTTGAGGGATGATCATGCAAAGGGTATGATATGGGCCGGTCAAACCTACCTGGCGAGTTGTGCCCGTTACAAAGTACAAACAGCCGATGGGTTCCTACTCGCTAGATAGTGGGTGGTAAAATGGAGAGAAGAGTCTCTAATTAACTGATTAACGCCTGTATCCTGTTGATAATCCTATGTGTTACTTATGCTAGATGAAGAACATCTGTCTTGTTTGCACTACTATATTCTGTCCTTTTCTAGATCTCTTGATCGGTATTGCTGTGGGGCTATTGCCTTTCACATTCTTACATACACCACCTGTGGCAGGTTCGACAAGCTATCCCGAATATGAGAAATTACCAATCACACAATGTTTATCTCCGCAGGCCGCATATGGTCTGGCCAGGCCTCCAGAATAAGTCGTCCTCTCCCAATGCGGGAGTATGATCGTTTCTCCCTGGCAGGCTCGAGCAAGATAATGTCGATGCATATTTCGTTTTTATAGTTAGATGAAGAACCAAGCACTCGCTGTGTATCTTGACCTGGCTTATTCGGACGTTCACATGAGCAGATTGCGACAAAGTGAAGTGGAACAAGTCGGTCTCCCAATTCGGTTGTGGTTCTCTGAATGTCCCTTATGAACCAGCCGTTAGACCGCCCGTTTTCATCAGACAGAATTGCTGTATGTTTCGGAAGAGATAAAGTTCTCAGGGGCACCTCCAATTGCCTGCATTCAGTGTAGCGGGGAATTGGAATCATCTCTCTATAGACGGAATGTCCAAGGATAGGAAGTAGGTCACTGTCCTTTTGTAGTGATGGATCACCATATAGACGCTTTCCACTAGTATAAGTAATTCCAATTGGTGCCTCCAACGATATAAGTCCCGACAAGCATGGGCTATTCTCGCAATGGTTCTGATTGTTCCGCTGGGGGCAAGAAAAATCCATGCTATATTTGATCCGGCTGGCCAAAGCATGGCGGGTATCAGCGTATGTCGTGATATTGTAGCTGACGGGGCCATTATAGGCAGCCCATGTCCACGATGGAGCATGGAAATCAGGATATTTGTCAAGAAATGTGTCTTTTGCGTGCCACAACAGGCCAAAACCCGTCGCATCCCCCTCAATGCCGGCATAGTTCTCGGAGTTGTATCTCATTGTAAAGCTCCTTGTCAGTCCCATGAGAGCTGCTAGTTTGTCTCGATTGTATGTCAGTATAGTATTGCTATACTCAGACACAATAAACTCCCAAACCCTTCTTGGTTTCTCGCTATCTCCGGTTGCTGCATCATCAAGCGCTCTGAGGGGTGATCCGAGGGATTCAGCATGCTGTTCCTCTTCGGATATCTTCAAGCAGTCCCAGTAGAGTTTGTCTTTTGTGAAATAAATTATACGTCTGCTCAAAACACGTTCTTGCATTACCCAGCCACGGCGGGCCCAAACAGATTTGTCCATCTTATAATAGGAAGACATAATTCGAGGTCGCAGGACAAGGCGATTGCGAGAAATCGCCGTATCCAATTGTCCAGAGTTGGAATGACTATCCGACATTGAATCACCTGATATCTCAGTCAGCCACTTGAATTTCCAAACACAAGGATAACCCTTGAAAGCGGGAACGCGAGAAATAACGCGCTCTGCAAGTGTTTTGGTGAACGGGATATTCATTTCAACAGCGAGTGGGTTGACTGGGCGGGCTAGAAAGAGACCATTATCTTCACCGTCCCCGTTCTCCAAGGCATCCACGGCTGCAAGTGTGCAGGTAGAATTTTCAAAAATGCTACCCATAAGGGCTGACTGTTCCCTCCACTCGTCTGGATCATCTTGGACGATGCACAGTGCGTCTATCCATATATACCGTATTCCTAGTCTGCGAGTGGCCAGTATGGCGTCTCGAAATGTGCACGGCAGAGTTTCCAAAGCCAACCCTCTATAGCTATCTGCTAGCGTTGAACTTGTTGTGAAAGACAACTTGCGCTTTCCCCATCGGTGACTCAAGGTAAAATATTTACCTCTCCGACCACCTCCTTCTTCAAGACGTGGTGATCTACAGTCGTCAACAGATCCGGTGTATATCACTCGTCGAGGAAGTAGAGGTGAACTTTGTTCATCATGGATTTCGCCAGAAAACGACGTCTTGCATATTTTATGATGTTTTATGCAGTCATTTAACCATTTGTGAAGGGCTGAAAAGTTTTTTTCCGAGTCAGCGGCGATGACTTCGCGAGTCCGGACATATCCATTTTTTAGATATAGAGATTCTAGGAACTTGTCAGGTAACCCCCCCTTACATTTTAGTAAGAAATGCAAAGTTACCATCGGGCGCATTAGCTTGAATAGTAGCCCCATCGCAAACAGCTCCCTTAAGTTGTCCGCTTTGTTCCCACGTAAATGGCTGCCACTGTAGATGTTTGGGAGGCTGGTGCAAGAGATCAATAACAAAGGGTTTTTCGCAGGTGGCTATCCGCGAAATGGCCGGGGCAACCCGGAGCTGGCTAGCCACCTTGTCATAGTTATTTTCTAATTCAAAAGGATTCTCAAGAGCTTGTAATTTGCTGAAGGAGTAAACCATAAGCTTGCAAAACCGGCAGAAACTTCCATTGATCAAATTTTGTTCATAGGTCAAAGGGTGTGTGAAGCCGCTCTCTAGATCATTGAACGTAATAGTCTTGCACGAACGGCAGAGTTCGCTTATTTCTGACATGGTGAGACTGGTTCCGTAATGCTGAATGTTAACATAACGCTGGATCGCCCGAAATATAAGCAGAGACCCCAGCGAAGTACACGTAGCCATCTTACATGCATGAGGCATGTTCGAGTATTGGACCAATGAAAGGCTGGATTTCCTAAATCAAGCCGAGCCACCCAGGAAAACGAGGCAGACTACAGTCTACGTGAGGACTTCAATAGGACCCCATCAGGCTGGAAATGAATGGCTGTAGCGCGGTCTGCAACCACACTTCATAGAAAATGTACTGGTTTGCCTACAGCAATGGAAAACAGACGATGAGAGTCGAGTGGGTTTTACCACGTGATGGGTCCGAAAAGCAAAGATGTGGATAGAAAATAGTACCGCTGCATCTAGGCTGCATCTACTGCTACTCACGCGTTCAATTGGCTGATGTTTCTCAACCCAGCTTCTGAGGAAAAATCGACCATGTGATCATGTGCGTACCTCAGCCGGTTATCATGGGCGAATTAGCATATTGTTCTTGAGAAAACAAGGCTTCAAGGGCATTGCTCTTGCATGAGTGAGCCCAGTCGAGCGTTGGCGCCGTTGCTGACCTTGCCCAACATAGAGAAGGCCAGCGGCGATGGCTGCGGTGGTCTGTGGGTCTTCCCCAATAATCCGTCGCTCCGAGCCCCTAGAAAATGCCTCATACAGACTAAGTGCTAGTCCGTTATCGGTATTTAAAACTATAGAGGCAGATGGCGCAGGAGTAAGTGGTAAAGGACCTTTCATGTTCCTTGTGATAGAGAAGTAGTAGCTGACAATGTACCACTCTGCTGAGTAACTACGTTAGTTGACTAGTTAGCTTATCGGTAGTTCCATTTATACTGATGTTGCAAACCCTCCAGGTTAACGATACAAACGTTCCTGCCATATCACGCCCAGATCCATTTATGCAACCTGCTCGAAATATTTCAAAAACTCCACATCTTCCATCAGAGCCTCATGCTCTGGCTCCGGAGCTTGCACGAAAACCTCAAATACCCTCGTATCACTCTCATAGAAATTTGGTAGAATTACCGCGCACGCGCCCGGCACTCCCGCCTGCACTCGAAAAGCCACGGGCCGTGGTGCCCCTCCTAGATCATACTTAGCCGCGCTCCCGGTGTACCAGGTGTTCATGAACAGATCCATGCCCGCAAAGTCAGCGTTCGGAAGAAGTATTTGAGTGTCTGCGAGTGAGGTCTGCAACGCTGTAATGTGCCCAATCTTCGATATGTCAACGGCGTGGATGGATTGGCGGATCTTCGTAGCTGCTGCGGCAAGACTGCGGTCCCCGTCGGATATGAGTGTGGTGGCGGGCACTGGCCCAGCGAGGGTGCCGATGACGGCGTTGCCAAAGTACTGGAGCGAGGTTTTATGTTCGGGGTCGCGGGATCGGACGTCGATGGGGTGGACGAAGCGCGATGGAGCGTTGGCTTGGTCGGGATGGATGTGCAGACGGGCCCGGGTGAGAGCGATCCATACGAGGGCGGATATGCAGTCGTAGGAGCTTACGTACTCCACCTGGTCCAGGTATTGGGCACATCGAGCTTTAAGCTGTTGGATGGTGGGCTCTGCTATGCGGTAGATACCGGCGCGGGTTGGAGGCGGTGATTTGACTTGGAACTTGCTCTTTTCGATGATGTGGAACAGGGGAAGTTGAGCGAGTCGGTCTTCTCGCGAGAGGGTGATATTGAGCGCCGGGGTGTTGTAAGGGTCTCTTTTGAGGTCTGGAGTATAGGTTGGCATGGTCAAACCTTCTTGGTGTGCCTTGCTGCTTTGGCAGACAAGCGAGATGAAGGTGTCGAGAGATACCCAGTCCCCAGCTGCATGGTCCATACGAAACCCTACGGCCAGGCCTCCTTGGATGAGGCTGACTTGCATTAGGCAGACTGGATGCTTGGCCGTTGGTTCTTCTGGGAGGAATCGAGTCAAGTCCAGCTTGCTGGGAGAGAACGAGTCCTGTGCCAAGACATGGAAAGGGTTGCACTCGGTGCTCGTGAACCGACGTATGCTGACTTGCACCGAGCTATCAGGGGAGGCTACGATGCAGAGCCTTCCAGACTCATTCAACTGGAGATTTCCTCCCATGAAGGGTAGTAGGTGAGTTGCGTGCTTGACTCCCTCCAGTAAAGAGGAAATCACACTCTCAGGATCAACAGTGGCCTGGAGGTCATAGAATAGGACGACTTTCACGGTCTTGGTGAAGCCTGCTTTGTCAAGGTCTGACAAGTCATACGTCCTCGGGTTCTCCATGGCCTCGTTTGCAGTTTGAATGCCTAGATTGTAAAGATTGTTGCTTTAGACGCATCCAGGGCTGTTAAGTAAAGAAGTCATCGCCGTCGGGAACCCGAACCGGTCAAGCTCCGGGACGCCTGAACCGCCCCGTTTGGGAGCCCGACCAGGCGGTCACTGGCATCGGGTGTTTCGACTTTACTCCAGCAGGAGTTCTTCGATTATTTACTATACTATTTCTATCAATTTATACACTGTATATATGATGCTGAGCAATCGCTATCAATGTTACTGAATAACATGGAGTGGTGTACAAGATACCTTCATAGATCCGCACAGGCCTTGTTTGACTCCGAACATGGACCAGCATTTACTACCTCTAACGAACAAACCGTTCGATCGGACGCAATTTGGGCTCTGATCTGGCCATGGGACAAAGCTGCCACTAGACTGGAGAATGCAAGTCTAATTCCGACGATGTCACCACTCAGCATTTGGAATAGGGTTCAGGGATTAAGGATATGTAGATTTCAAAGTCTAATCGCTCTGTCGCATCTCGAACGCATACGGTCCTTAGCTCATAGGGTCGCCCTTTCTTTATTACTGCTGCAGGATTCATCGGTCTTTCGGTCTTGTTGGCCTGCAGATCTCAACCCCGGCAAAAACATTGTTTTATGCTACGGAAATCGCTTTCCCATTGCAATTCGGTGACCCGGGCAAAAAGGCAGCTGGAGCTTCGTGAGATCCATTCACGTGAGAGGGGAATTATGGATGATTAGCTGTGGGACTGGTTCTCTGACTTGAACTTGCCAGAGAGGGATTTGGCGTTGACTTCATTGTGTTACCGTAGTATTTGAGGAGATTCCCGTGACTGTTGAGAGTGACAGCTGATTAGAGTTGGATGACAAGAAACTGAAAGATTGATGACTGATAGAACAGGGGATAACTGAGGGAAGAGAGTCCTTTTAAATCTCTGTGCCTCCCGATCATTCACTCCTGCCTATCTTGATAAGCCACTTCATCAAGTGTTTCTACCTCTTCTCTCTTTTAATAGCCTTCGCTCAACCTTACTTCTCCTGCACCGACCGTCTTCCGTAACCGACAACCAAGGCCTCGACCAACAGAATCTCCCGCGTCCTCCTTCAGTATCAGGTCATTCTAATCGCGCACCGACCACGAGTTTACGTTACTTTCTTGTCTCAGTTGAATCACACCTGTCATCTTGACAGGTCAACCAAGATGCTGGACACTCTTCCCCTGGAACTTTTGAATATGATACTCAGCAATGTGAGTTCTGAATCTGTCCTTGGAGTTGAATCCGGCCTCATTCAACTATCCTCCAAGATTACCAGCCACAGGGACTTGAAGCAAATATGTGAGGTCTGCACCCGCCTGTGGGACTGTGCTACCCCCCATCTTTATCGGTGCCAAGTCTTTACTGCTGCGAATTCGTCATTTGCTGAGTTGACTGCGGCTGTAAAGGCAATTCCTACAAGATACGTGAAGTATATACGAGAGCTTGAATTGAGAATGCCGATCCATCACCGAGCATGCGCGCACTGTTGGCGTTACGACGAGATGTGGTTAGTCGAAGATGACGCATCCGTTCCCGAGGAGCTGTTATGCGACTACTTTGAAGGGATAGATGATGAACGTACATATAGCGAGGTAAGCAAAGTGATGCCATGATCCACTATTTCAGTGGTTTGAAAGCGCACTAACTTTCAAGATATCCGATGATGACTGCCCATTCGTTGACCTGATGCATGCTTTAAATGATTTGCAGTTCCTTGATGACCAATTACGAAGTTTTCGGTGGAATCTTGGACAGTGCATTCCAAACATTACACTATCTTCTAACGAATTTTCCCTTCTAAGAAAGCAGAGGAAGATCGAGTCTCTCATAATCCACACGGATATTTATTGTGATCATGGTGTGGGCTCTGTTGACCTTGTGCAGTTCCCAGACCTGAGAAGCCTCTCCTGGAAAGGCCTGAACAAGTATAGCGACTTCGAGTGCCTCAAGGACTGTATTAGAGCTCATGGTAATCAATTAGTTTCGCTTACACTAGATCTTGTCGACTGGTATCGCGCAAAAGATATTTGGACCGATGAGTTTCGCCGACAGAGCGACGAAGCAATGCCAGACAATTTCCTTTTTCAGAGAATTATGAACCCCAAAGCTGAAGATGAGAAAATAATTTTACAGTCACTCAAATACCTTGACTTGTCGGCTATATCGTTTGAGATTGCTGCCATCGATATGCCGGTTTTGTTCAATACTGTGAACCTGAGGACCTTGAAGCTGCGGAAATGTATAGGATCCCTCAAGTGGCTAGAACTGGTATCAAGCTCTGGGAAGTTGACAGAGCTTAAAAGCTTCGAACTTGTTCTTACCAACTGTGGGCCTATAAACACAATGAAGGCAATCTGCAACTTCATTGAAAGAGCTCCCAAATTAGAGATTCTCTGTCTCATGCTCCGCAGACCCATCAATTGGGAGTCTCTCATAAGTACAATTTGCCGTTGCAGCTCTCTGACACGTCTCGTCATGCATAGTTTGGCGGACGAAGGTAACCAGATCCTCGGTGGAGAAGGTATGCCTTGGCCTTCGGGTTTGGAACGATTATTGCAGGACAAACAGTTAGCCTGTTTTGGATCCTCTACACCACCCAGTGAATTAGTGAGTGCATATTGTGCATGTCTAATGTCCTGTAGCTACTACTAACCAGACCACAAGGCCAGTCAGTTACAAATATTGCAGGCTAGACCTTTATGCAAGCTTCTGCACATCAGAGCGACTGGGAAGGCGATGGTGAGTATGTATTATTCGAACATACGTGGTAAGTGTACTCCAAACGCCAATGGTAATGGTTGCAAAGGCAAAAAATAAACACCGAGATAGATCCATCGTTCCCTCCCCTTGAGATATACAAATTTGCGAAGTGGGCGTTCAGTGCAGACGGTCTGCCCAACGTTACCGTACTCGCTTGGGGGGACTTCTCTCATGAAGGCCACTATTCAGAACACAATGATCTCCTATGCAGATGCGGGACTGGCTACCGACGTTTGAACCCATCTGACATATCGCTTTGGGATCTCGTGAATGATAACATGGACATGCTGGCCGCCTGTCCTTTTGCGGAGTTTACAGACCTATCAAGCGACGATTTTATGTAGCTTTCTATTCGGTTGTCGTCAGAAAGAGTATGGTTTTATCTCGGTGTATTTCATAGCCTACAGCTGAACTAAGGATGAATGGGAACTATGCGACTCAAATTATGAAGCTTGTACCCCTCTCATAGTACATTTTCTGCCCCGTGCAAATAGCCTACTCTAATATCACTGACAAGTAACGGTTATTATTGACATACCGCTCAAAAGACAGTTCTGACCGACCCAAGCAGGAAATAATATAGCAGCGATGTCCCGCGGGATGGCTGCCATGCGGATATATCCGAGCGTGATGACCTCGGTGTGCTACAAAGCAAATAAGATATATCCGTAGACAATGCTGGTAAGATGGCCGAGTGGTTAAGGCGAGCGGCTTAAGAGAGTATTTCGGATTTTACTTGTTCGGAATACTTAAAACTCCGCTTGACGAAAGTCAGCCTGGGTTCGAACCCCAGTCTTACCATTTTGTTTTTCCTGCTTTATTGCTTTTATACTTGGGGTTTATTCTACAGTTTTATTTCTTAGGGTTGATTTGAAGCTGGACAAGTTTTTGTGTTGTTTTTAAACAGTGGAACTTTCTTCACATGGTGCGGCTCGCCCGTTGCCAATGCTTTATATCTTTACTTCCAGTTGGTCTCGTCGCGTGACTACTTGCGAACCAACCCCTTCTATTCTGATGCAGTAAAATAGCTCAAAGAATTGATACAGCCGGCCATGTAATGGTGTTCAGGTTCCTTAGTCCTGGGATCTCTGTTCGATGCCAATAGCAGGACCTGCTTGAACGAAGGTTGAGTGGATTTATACCATATTATACTGCTATGTATGATGAACATGTGCATCGAGCAGGTGCCAGTGGCTGAAGGTTAGAACAAATTCCAGGACTCGTCTACTCCAGCTATCTATCATTATATAGTGAATTACTGCCAGCAGTTTATGGGGCTCCTTTTTTTTGAAGTGGTTTTATTGACTCACGATTCTTGATCAGGTATTTCTTCTTTCTTTTCATCCTTTGCATGTTGGGAGCAGTACTTGATAATCCAAGGGTGTTGTCGGACCTTTTCCAGGGTGATTCTTTGATCCGCGTCAAGGACAAGAAGCTTAGGTACTGTCAGCATCCTGTTTGCTATGAAAGAGACGATTACTTTACCTTCCTGATAAGGTCCTTTGCCTCAAGACTCACAAAAGAAGGGATTACCATATCCGCTTTCATGATCCTTCTCTGCGTCATGACAGGCGTATCCTCAAATGGAGCACTCCCAACGAGGAACTCATACAACAAAACCCCAAGGGACCATAAATCCACCTTCTGATTATACGGCTTATCACACTTCTTCGGATCAACCATTTCAGGAGGCAAGTAGTCCAGTGTGCCGCATTTCGTAAGCCTGCGACCACTTGGCGCGTGGACACTCCAGCCGAAATCCGACATTTTGAGCTCCCCATGCATACCAACAAGAATATTTTCCGGCTTAATATCCCGATGGATAACATGCTTGCGGTGTAGATATTGCAGAGCATTCGCCATTTGCGCAATGTACTGCGCAGCCTTGCACTCCGGAAACCTGTTCTCCTTTTGCAAGTGCTTGTATAGCTCTCCCTTACCCGCAAACTCCAATATGAGTATTATTCGTTTGCTATCGTGAAAGTGGCCGTAGAGCCGAAGAATATTAGGATGGCGCAGATTACTCTGGATCTCAATCTCGCGGGCCACCTGCCTTCCTTGTTGAATTTCATTCTTGTGAAGTACCTTCAAAGCACAAACAAATCCGCTGTCTCGCTCCCGAGCAAGGTAGACCCGTCCGAACTTTCCTTTGCCCAGCGCTTTGCCTATTTCGAACATGCCTAAGTGTAATAGTCTGGGCATTGGCTGTCTTGTAAGCTTGGTGGAGTGTTGTTCGCGCTTGACTGCGGCATTCGGTGCCTGTGATAGAACGGACAGAGGATGGCGAGCTTGTGAAGTTGATGATTGTCTTTCTTTCTGTCGGGGAGGTTGGGAGGGTGTGGAGCTTTGACGTGCAGTTGGTGTCTTGGAATCAGTAGTGGCATGTTGGTCATCTTCATTGAAAGCATCTTCGGAGACTTGCGACACTACAGAAGCGAGTGGATGTCTTGTCCTCGGGGGACTTTGTTGGACTTTCGTTGATGCGGACTGGGAAGGACCGGTGGTCGCAGTCTTAGGAGGATTTGGTTCGCAGTTCTTTGGTCGTAGAGAACGGTTCACCGGTCGTGTTGTCGAAGTCGTGGTCTGCTTTCTGTCGTCAATCGTGCCCTCATATTTAGCTAGATGAATCATTGGGTGGGACATACTTTAGCTTTCTGTTGAAGTTTCGCACCATCGTGAGCATTCTCATCGACAATGGCCATATGCCTGAACCGGGTCTCAAGCGCGACGGTCACCATGTTTAGATCTTTTGCCGTGACCTTGCTTGCTTGTTCTATGAAATCAAGCATGATTGATAATCTTTGAGGCTCGTTGTGCTGTGTGAGCCTTGCTGGGGAACTGGTAGAGGATGTGTAAGCCTGTCATGCGAACTGCATTACGTTGCCGCGGTAACTGGCCGATTGTACAGCAGTAAAACCCCTGTACAAGTAACCTTTTTGTCAAGTGCGCCGTTAATGCAAGTACCAAAGTCTGGATCAAAGAAACTTTAAGATTCTAGTAGTTCTAGGCAGCTTTTCGAGATCTTGATATTTCCTATGAAACTGTGGGACCAACTAGTCATGATAGTAGCGCTTGCCCCAACCTGTTTTGATCTGCTACCCCACAGATCCACTCAGCCCGTTCGAATGAGAATGTTTGGCCCCAAACATTGTAACAATAGGGCTGAGAGACATTGGGCTACAGATATTAACCTTTGCCTCCACAGCTGTACCTAACGATTTATACTACTAGCGGATGCGAAAATTTCGTTGGCCAGTTGTAAGCGTACGTCAGCCGTCAGTAGTGGTGAATTTGGGAGGCCTCAGTGAAGATGTACGATGCTTTGTTAAAGAGGAAACGCCTAAAAGATGGACATTCAAGAATATATTCTGATTATTTTATAGCCCTATCTCCCAGCTCCAGGAGGGAACCAGAAGTGGGATGTTGGGTATGTGGCTCTGGCAGGCATCCACGACAAGTGTATGAAACGGTAACGCAACCCTGTAGTCATAAGAGTCAAAGATTCATTAAGACCCTTGAAAACCTTCTCGGCATTATCAGTGAACCTTAGTGGTCTTGCGTGGTATATCTTGACCGTGAGAGCTAAGAGCATAGAAACATCGCGTCCCGACCTGGCAGACCCAGTATCACGGCGAACCTTACTAGGTCGCTCGTCGAGGCCACTGCGTGCGATCAAGATACCGGGTAATTAGAAGTTCAGATCCAGTGTATGTAATATCAGCTGCAAATCAGAGTGTAAATTGGCGTTCTTGCAGCCACGTCGAAGTGATAAGTATGCAATTGAGCAGCCAACAACGAGTGAAAAGCGCGTGAGACTACAGCTGTATACTGAGATTGAGAAGATGATCAAGAAGTCGTGACCGTTAACTGCTGGAGTAGTATGTAGAAAACAAGATAACTGATTTCCTTTCATTGAATAAGGACAAGGCTAGCAGTCATAGGCTCCAGGAGCAGGGTAATGGATAGAAAGAGCACGAGCCGTCAGCCCTTGCTTCGGCTAGAGACCGAATCCAGTACTGTCAATGGCCTCGACAAGATAGACCGTGACAGGTCTCAAATATGTAATTTGTAACGTCGCATGATCCAGTAATGTCCACCGCAGGTGCGATGCGGAGTTCTGGCACCAGGACAATACGATCAACGGCCTATTGTTAACATGGGGACAGGCTGATATGGCGCAGCCTCCTAGGAACTTCTAGTTATCGGCTGTTTCAGGTACTAGTGCTTTTACGAAACCTAGTCAGACCTTCTGAATGGTGGTATTTCACTGTCATTAGTAACTATATTATTAGTTGTCATTGCCAAATGGACGGTTCTCCCTTGCTGAGATTCTGCAGAGAAGCCAACTTGGACAAGCTGGCCATGTATCATCATCTGACTTTCTTAGCAGTGTGACCAGCTACCGGTCAAGTGGATGTCGCATGACCGGGTGATGGTCCGGTGAATCTCAAGACCGATCAAGTCGGCAATAGATATATAGTTTGATGACGGAAATAAGCTCACAACACCTTGGCAGTGATCATGCAAATTACTCGGATTGAATGTGGGATAGGTAAATTAACTCAGATACTCAAACCTACTCGTATAAGGTGTTTAGATTCTCTAGTAAACTCTGCTTCGTTTGATTGTCCCTGACAGAGTTCCTGGATGATCGCGGGGAGTGCCTGACGTTAGCGCCCGACAGGTGAGGCCAACCACCGCCGCTTACGTACATCGCCGCTTATCGTCATCCCGGAAGCTCCCTGCCGACCTGCGCCTCCTCTATTTACTTCCTTTCCTCTCCAACCCCGACTCTTTCATTCCCATCCGTCCAACTCTTTCACCCGTTATCTCATCATTGTTGAATGTAATCAATCGCTCCATTCGCTCCTCCCCTATCGGCTACGCCCCCAATCATGCGGGGACTCCGCTTAATCCCCTTCATCGCAAGTCTTGGCGTTCTCCCTCAATCGTGGGCCCGGGAGGAACCGAGCTTAGGCTTCACCAACATCCATGAGCCTGGTCGTTGTGCAATCCGGGGCCATTGCGGAAAGAAGTCATTCTTTGGTGGGGAGCTCCCCTGTCCGGATAATGGCCTGGCACAACAGCCCGAACCAGCGGTGAGAAAGAAGCTGGTAGATCTCTGTGGTAGCAAATGGGAAGAAGGCCCTGTGTGCTGTCTGGATGAGCAAGTAAGCTCCATGGACGCCCCACATCTTCGGTTCATCGAACCCTGCTGACTTGTCGTGCTATAGATCGATGCTCTCTCCAAGAATCTCAAACTCGCCGAAGGTATCATCGCGTCATGTCCCGCTTGCAAGGATAATTTCTTCAACATCTTCTGCACGTTCACCTGCTCCCCTGACCAGTCCTTGTTCGTCAACGTCACCGATATAGACGAGGCCCGCGGCGGAAAACAACTTGTCACCGAAATCGATAACATTTGGTCCGAACAGTATCAAAGCGGTTTCTACGACAGCTGCAAGAATGTCAAGAATGGCGCGTCAGGTGGTAAAGCCATCGACTTCATCGGTGGCGGTGCCAAGAACTACTCCCAATTTCTGAAGTTCCTGGGCGACAAAAAGCTTTTGGGGAGCCCATTCCAGATTAACTTCAAGACCGAGCCTGCGGGTTCAGATCCGGAGGGAATGAAGGCATTACCAATCAAGCCCAAGGCGTGCAACGACGCTGATGAGGCATTCCGTTGTTCTTGCGTTGACTGCCCCGATGTGTGCCCGGAGCTACCTGCCATAGAAACAGACAAGTACTGCCATGTTGGCCTATTGCCTTGTCTGTCGTTCGCAGTCATCCTCATCTACTCGGTCTTTTTACTGGTTGTCGTCGCTTTCTCCAGCTATTTCACCTACCGAGAACGCCGCTACCGGAAACCCGAACGCGTCAGACTCTTGCAGGATCCCGCCCCTAGTGATGATGAGGACGAAGGTGACATTGTTCGTGCAGGTGGTTATATCGAGCAGCCCAACGGTGTGTATAAGCTGAACTCTGTGCTGGACAGAATGTTCAACAGAATCGGTGGTGCCTGCGCTCGGTTTCCCGCCATCACAATTATTTGCAGTATTGTCGTGGTCGTTTTACTGAGCCTTGGTTGGTTCCGATTTGCCGTGGAGACAGACCCAGTTCGTCTTTGGGTAAGTCCCACCTCGGCAGCGGCACAAGAAAAGGCCTACTTCGATGCCAATTTCGGGCCGTTCTACCGGGCAGAACAAGCGTTTCTCGTTAATGACACGTCCTCAGGGGATGGGAGCGTTCTGAGCTACGACACTCTAAGTTGGTGGTTTGATGTGGAGTCTCGAGTGCGCCGCATGATCTCTCTTGATCGAGGGCTAATCCTCGATGACATTTGCACAAAGCCTACCGGTGAAGCCTGTGTCATCCAGTCTCTGACTGGTTACTTTGGAGGATCGGTGGCAAATCTGGACCCAGACACGTGGGAGGCACGGCTTAAGCATTGCGCGGATTCACCTGGTGATGTGAGCTGTCTCCCAGACTTCGGACAACCACTAAGGCCAGAAATGATTTTGGGCGGCTATGGAGAGTCAAGAGACGTCTTAGACGCCCAAGCACTGATTACAACATGGGTTGTGGACAACCACGCGCAGGATACAGAAGGTGAAGCTAATGCCATTGACTGGGAAAATAGCCTCAGACGCATTCTGGAAGTGGTGCAAGAAGAAGCCAAGGAGCGTGGACTACGTGTTTCGTTCACCACGGAGATCAGTGTTGAGCAAGAGTTAAACAAGTCCACGAACACCGACGCAAAAATCGTGGTCATCAGCTATATCATCATGTTCTTATATGCATCCCTGGCTTTGGGTTCTGTCACAGTTACGTGGAAATCCTTGTTCACCAATCCTGCGAACGCGTTGGTCCAGTCCAAGTTCACCCTGGGAATTGTCGGCATCCTCATTGTTCTGATGTCAGTCTCGGCGTCGGTTGGATTGTTTTCTGCAGCTGGCATAAAGGTCACCCTGATCATTGCCGAGGTCATTCCATTCCTCGTTCTGGCGGTGGGTGTAGACAATATTTTCTTGATTGTTCACGAGTTTGAACGAATCAACGTCAGTCACCCTGATGAAGAGATTGATGAGAGGATCGCCCGTGCCGTGGGCCGAATTGGCCCCAGTATCTTCCTATCTGCACTTACGGAGACTGTCGCTTTCGTCATGGGTGTCTTTGTGGGGATGCCTGCTGTGAGGAATTTCGCTGTTTATGCCGCTGGTGCAGTCTTCATCAACGCAGTCTTGCAAATCACCATGTTCATTTCGGTTCTGGCCTTGAATCAGAGGCGCGTTGAAAGCCTCCGCGCCGATTGCATCCCGTGTCTGACCGTCCGTAAAGCGCATTCCGGCATGTCTGAAGACCAGCTTCTTGATCACCAGGAAGGCGAAAGCGCTCTACAGGTGTTTATACGCAAGGTGTATGCATCTTCACTCCTTGCACGTAGGGTCAAAGTCATCGTTGTGATTACTTTCCTTGGCCTTTTGACTGCTGGGCTTGCTTTGATTCCCAAAGTGGCTCTTGGCCTGGACCAACGCATCGCTCTCCCAAGCGATTCTTATCTCATCCAATACTTCAATGACTTGGACGCTTACTTTGGAAGTGGGCCTCCGGTTTACTTTGTGACACGCAACGTAAACGTTACTGAACGTCACCACCAGCAACAACTTTGCGGACGCTTCACGACATGCGAGGAGTTCTCTTTGCCCTTTGTGCTCGAGCAGGAGTCGAAACGGTCTAATGTCTCATACATCTCAGGATCCACGGCTAGCTGGATCGATGACTTTTTCTACTGGCTTAACCCCCAACAAGACTGCTGCAAAGAGGGTGACGAGATCTGCTTCGAAGACAGGACACCCGCCTGGAATATTTCGCTTTATGGTATGCCTGAAGGAGATGAATTTATTCACTATGTGGAGAAGTGGATCGAATCTCCTACCGATGCGTCCTGCCCGTTGGGAGGCAAGGCGCCCTACAGCAATGCCCTTGTTATCGACCAGAAACGCGTCATGACCAACGCCAGCCATTTCCGGACCTCACACACCCCCTTGAGGACGCAAGATGACTTCATCAAGTCATACATTTCTGCCCGTCGTATAGCCGATGGCATCTCCAAGGAGCATGGAATTGATGTATTCCCATACTCCAAAACCTACATCTTCTTTGACCAATACGTCTCCATCGTACGGCTCACGGGTACATTACTGGGCTTCGCTGTTGCGATCATCTTCGCATTAACCTCCATCATCCTTGGATCCGTGGCAACTGGCGCGGTGGTCACTACGACCGTTGTCATGATTCTGGTTGACATTATGGGTGCCATGGCCGTAGCTGGCGTGTCGCTTAACGCAGTTTCACTGGTGAATCTTGTTATCTGCGTTGGTATTGCAGTAGAGTTTTGCGCACATATTGCTCGCGCGTTCATGTTTCCTTCCCGTGCCATTATGGAGAAGGTGCCGACCAAATTCCGGGGCAAAGATGCGCGGGCGTGGACAGCTCTGGTCAACGTTGGCGGCAGTGTCTTTAGTGGTATAACGGTGACCAAGCTCCTGGGGGTATGCGTGTTGGCCTTTACTCGCAGCAAGATTTTTGAGATCTATTACTTCCGAGTGTGGCTGGCTTTGATCTTATTTGCTGCCACCCATGCTCTCATCTTCTTGCCAGTAGCACTCAGCTATTTTGGTGGCGAGGGTAAGTTTACAATCGACAATACTTTGTACTTCGGTAACGCTTACTGACTATCTCCACGCAGGTTATGCTGACCCGGGGGCTGATGGCGGTCTTGAAGAGAATCTTGCGTCCAGGGGCTACCGTTCCCTGCTGGGCGACGACGATTACGACTCTGACGAATATTAGACGCTCGTAGCGCCGGAACGCACCGTCTTATACAGCAAAACATGATATCACGTCTTATGAACCCGTTGATAATTCCACCATCAACTGATAGGACCTGAGACCATACTCGGCAGACGAAGCTGTACACCACATCTATATATTTTTGAAAGTTATACCAAGATGGTCGGGAGTTAGCACGGTTTAATCGGAGTTGGGTCAATGAAACTTGGTTACTCAGTGTACACTGAAAAGTAGTAGTAGTAGTAGTAGTAGTAGCATTCACACGCGTAAGAATACTCGGATAAACAATAATGGGGGCGCTCTTGCTGGGACGCGTGATCTATCGTGAAGGTCGTACCGAGTCTCCCGGACGAACTATTGTTCCGGCTGTGTAACGGAGAAAAGCAGGCGCGCCAGTCCCGCCCTTTCAGTAACTATGAGTAGGCGTCGCATACGCAGACAACTCTCGTCGTGGTTACCATATGCAAGTGGTAAATTTTCCCTGAACCGACGTAGACCACAAGTAGAAAAAATACAATAATACAATAATAAAGTCAAAAAAGCACCGAGTGGATACAAACGGTGGGCGATCCTAGTTGGGCACCGAGTCAAAGGAGTATGGTATGTTACCAATCCTGCGAACCGGCCCCTGATTGGTATCCCGGGCCAGCTTCAAATACCGCTAAGCCGCAGTAGGCAAAATGAGTATCTCCGTAAAACAGCCCACCCGAACATAATTTTTTTTTGGGTTCCCTTTTTCTTCCCCTCCATTCACTTTTTTTCTTCTTCTTCTTTTCTCTCCTTTTCCTCACTCCTCCCCCTCTTCCTCTTCTTACACTTTCCTTTTCCTTTGTGTTTATCCCTTTCTTGTTCTATATTTCTGTTTTTTTGATACCCTGTGGGCTGTCTGTTTGTGTGCAGTCAGCTCATTCAATCCAAGGACCTTCTGAAAAGGAGGTGCTGGTCTTGTCTTGTACGAGGCTTTTTTCTTTTTGAACAAACCAATACATTAGAAAAGAAGAGTTGCACAGTCCATCATGGATCAACAACGCTTTTTGCAGCAGCTTCAGATTGTCCTGAACCGTGAGTATTCCATCCTGCATTATGACGACCTGGCGACGTTGCTGACTGCTTATCTCAGCCGCCCAGGGTAACGTCAAGGAAGCGACGGGCGTTCTTCAGCGCGAGTTCTACAAGAGCCCTGAATCTCTCGTTCTCCTCATCCAGATCGCCACCGGCCATGAGGACCCGAACCTGAGGCAGCTGGCGGCCGTCGAAAGTCGGACGCTGGTTGTCAAGCACTGGGTTTCCGTTCAGGCGAACCAGAAGCCCCAGATCCGTGAACAACTTCTGCGTGCTGCTGTTGGCGAGAGCTCCTCTCTCGTCCGCCACTCGGTTGCTCGTGTCATCTCTGCCATTGCTAAGATCGATCTGAACGATGGCGAGTGGGCTGATCTGCCCAACTTCTTGCTTCAGGCCGCTAGCACCGGTAACAAGGAGGAGCGTGCCGTGAGCATCTACATCCTGCTCACTATCCTGGAGACTCTAGGCGATGGCTTTGAGGAGAAGTTTGATGAACTGTTCCAGCTTTTCAGCAAGACCATCAGTGATCCCGAGAGCGAGGAGGTGCGCATGAACACCCTCATGGCCTTGAGCAAGCTGGCCATGTACCTCGACTCCGAGGAGAACGTCGCTCCTGTGAAGGCGTTCCAGAACCTGATCCCCTCTATGGTTGCCGTTCTTAAGGATGTTATCACCCGTGAGCAGGATGATGGCATCATGCAGGGTTTCGAGGTCTTCCAGACTCTTCTGGGCTGTGACCCCGCTCTGTTGACCGTCCACCTCAAGGATCTTGTTATCTTCATGAATGAGCTGGCCGGAAACGTGGAGCAGGAGGAGGATGTCCGTACCCAGGCCATCAGTTTCCTCATGCAGTGCGTTCAGTACCGCAAGCTCAAGATCCAGGGCATGCGCATTGGTGAGCAGTTGACCCGCACGGCGCTGCAGGTTGTCACTGAGCTCGGAGATGCTTCCCCTGCCGATGATGACATTACCCCTGCCCGCTCTGCTCTTGGTCTCCTTGACATTCTTGCACAGAGCTTGCCTCCTAGCCAGGTCGTTGTGCCCCTGCTCCAGACTCTGGGACAGTACTTCAACAATGGCAATGCCGACTACCGCCGTGCTGGTATCATGGCTCTGGGAATGTGTGTCGAGGGTGCTCCCGACTTCATCAGCACTCAGATGCAGGAGATCTTCCCCATGGTTCTGCAGCTGCTTGCTGACCCCGAGCCCAAGGTCCGTCAGGCTTCCCTGCACGCCGTGGCTCGCTTGGCCGACGACTTGGCCGAGGACCTCAGCCAGGAGCACGAGAGACTCATGCCCCTGCTCTTCAAGAACCTGGCCAGCGCTATGCAGGAATACAAGGGTGAGGAGGACGGTCCTACCGTCGACATCATGAAGGCCGGTATCAGTGCGATTGACGCTGTTGTCGACGGTCTCGATGAGAAGGACGTTGCCCCTTACCAGGGTGAACTGGTTCCCATCCTGCACAACCTGTTCAAGCACCCCGACTTCCGTATCAAGGGCTTGGCTGCTGGAGCCCTGGGTTCCCTCGCCTCTTCTGCTGGCGACTCTTTCCTTCCCTTCTTCGACGACTCTATGCATCTCCTGCAGGAGTTTGCTACCGTCAAGGATAGCGAGGAAGAGCTCGACCTTCGTGCCAGTGTCACTGACGCCATGGGTGAGATGGCCGCTGCTGCCGGCCCCGAGCGCTACCAGCCTTACGTTGAGCCTCTCATGCGCGCTACTGAGGAGGCTCTCCACCTTGGTCACTCCCGCCTCAAGGAGAGCACCTACATCTTCTGGGGTGCCATGTCCAAGGTCTACGTGGAGCACTTCTCTCCCTTCCTTGATGGCGTTGTCAAGGGTCTTTTCGCTTGCATCGAGCAGGATGAGACTGATCTCGATGTCTCCCTGGGCGCTGCCGCCAAGGATCTCATCGGCCAGGAAGTGACCATCGGTGGCCGCAAGGTCCGTGTTGCCGATGCGGATGACGATGATGATGAGCCTACCGGTGAGGATGGTGATATCGAGGATCTTGATGTTGACGATGAGGATGGATGGGATGACATCACTGCCACCACCCCTCTGTCCTTGGAGAAGGAAATCGCCGTCGAGGTGATCGGTGACCTTGTCACTCACACCAAGTCTGCTTACCTTCCCTACTTTGAGAAGACCATTGAGATGGTCCTTCCCTTGGCTGAACACCCCTACGAGGGCGTGCGCAAGAGCACCATCAGCACCCTGCACCGCTCCTACGCCATGCTGTACTGCATTGCTGAGGAGAGCGGCCAGATGGCCAAGTGGCAGCCTGGTCTGCCCCTCCAGGTCCAGCCCGCCAAGGAGGTCCAGAAGTTTGGTGAAATTCTCATGACCGCCACTGTTAAGATGTGGACTGAGGAAGATGATCGGTATGTGTTGCAACCCTTTTCTTCTTCTATGCCCCTTTATGCCCGTCCTCGGGCTTCTTTAAATGATGAACACCACGTTTACCCAGCTCACTCCGACACGCAAAAGTCGTGCATGATGTGAAACACGTTTACTCACAACCTTCTGATATTCATTCACACATTTGTCCTGCTGTATGATTGCCTTCTGGTTACAAAAGCTAACCCGCAAATAACTAGTGCTACCGTCGCCGACATCAACCGCAACATGGCTGAGAACCTGCGTTACTGCGGTCCTTCCTTGATCTCCAACGAGACCACCCTGCACAACGTGATCACCATGATCACTGACATCATTACCAAGAAGCACCCTTGCCAGCTCGAGTTCGGCCCTGAAGAGGAGACCCTCGAAGCCGGTGAGGAGACTTCTGAGTTCGACTGGGTTGTCGTTGACACTGGTCTCGATGTTGTCTCTGGTATGGCTGCTGCTCTTGGCGCCAGCTTTGCCGAGCTGTGGAAGGTCTTCGAAAAGACTGTCATGCGCTATGCTGGCAGCACCGAGGCTCTTGAGCGCGCCACCGCTGTCGGTGTCATTGCTGAGTGCATCAACGGTATGGGTTCCGCTGTCACCCCGTACACCGCTAGCTTCCTGAAGCTCCTTGTCCACCGCCTTGGTGATGAGGATACTCAGACTCGCTCCAATGCTGCCTACGCCGTTGGCCGTCTCGTTGAGCACTCCGAAGCCAAGGACCAGATTGTCAAGGAGTTCCCCACCATTCTCTCTCGTCTGGAGCAGTGCCTTCACATGAATGTCTCCCGTCTTCAGGACAATGCTACCGGTTGCCTGAGCCGCATGATCCTCCGCCACCGCGAGAACGTTCCCATTAAGGATGTCCTTCCCGTCCTTCTCACTATCCTTCCCCTCAAGAACGACTACGAGGAGAACGACCCCTTGTACCACATGATCTGCCAGCTTTACAAGTGGGAGGACCCCACTGTCCGTGAGCTCACTCCTCAGCTCGTTCCCATCTTCCAGGCTGTTCTCAGCGACGAGGACCAGCTGGAGGATGAGCGCCGGGCCGAGCTCATTGAGCTTGTCAAGTGGCTGAACCAGATGCAGCCTGGTGCTGCCCCATGGGCTGACCAGCTGTAAGGCAATGAAAAAAGGATGGATGACGACAGCTTGATGACCAAATACTACTTAATGGATAGATCGGGTCTCTCTACGAGGACTCTTATGGACGACGTTAGAAGATACCCCTGGGGAGCCAATGAGCGATGAACCCACAACCTATAGAATATGGCTGGACATGCTATGAATTATGAACAAAAGTGGTGTATATATTTTATGAGTCAAATCGAATTTCGATTCGTATGTTCATGTTGCCTTCCGTATAATCGCTTTCTGTAGTTCCCGTCAACGGTAGTTTGACCCCGCTATGGGTTACATGTATCGAGTTTATCCCTTCGATGTGCCATGTGTCATCAGATCATGCATGCTCGGTAACCCTGGTTGTTGATGCGACACCGAAGTGTCATCTATCCCTTTCATAACTCGATTGACCTTCAGTCCCTGGAAGAGCCACGTATGGGTTTTGATTCACGACCCTACTATTTTTCTCCGTCTAATATCGAACAATGAGTTCTGACACAAACCATCATTAGATATAACTCCAGTGTCCTGGTTCGTCAGAGTGGGTGTCTATGTATTCTTGTGGTTACGGGGGGTTTGGCTACCAGCATCTTGCGTTTCAATTTCGGGATTGTAGATGCACCCTCATGCAACCCAGCCATCTTAGCGAACTTGCGTCTCCTTAAATAACATACTAATATTTATTCCGCGAGTCATTTAGGTATACATGACGCCTTTCCGCATGACATACCCGATCCTGTCGACGTCAATTACACATATCTCCTCCCAATAGAGGCCATATCATTACGTAGAGATATTTATATAGTTACTCCAGCCTTCGATGAAAATGAGGCTCTGAATTACACCGATCCAGAATTTCCCATTTCACCATCTGTTCCAACTATTGTTACCATCTCTTGACAGAAGCTACTGCAGTACTAGTTTTGCCCCTTGAAGGAAGGGAGAAAAGTCTACTTATATGGCGTCCATTTGTCTCGGCCATCCTACAAATCACGCTCAGGCCACGACGTCACTATTAGAGGCTCATTACCTGTCCTAAGTGGTACAGTGCACATTCATAATCACATCATTCTGACTATCGATTGCTCAAGAAATACTTCTCCTCCAGCTCACAATCATTCCGCCTCCATCCAGCTCTCTATTTCGAAAATATCATCTATCAGTTTTGTGATAGTCAAGCACCTCGTTAGATTAACCACCACCTCTGCTATCTGTGACATTGTCCACAGTATTTCTCACTCCGTTCCTTGATTTTATTTTCGGGATATCGAATTTCTAGATCTCCACGAAATCGATCCTACGTCTTGTTACATTGAAAAGCCACCTATCCTGCCTTTAACCAAGCCGAGGCGGCTATAATGGCCCCTGCGGACAGCTCCAACCAAGCTAAAGCAGCTATTCCAAGCCCTGCGGGCGAGCTTCGTGAAGCAAAGCGACACGGCCTGATCGCACAGCTGTTATGTGCTACCAGGCCTACCAAGCTTGACTCGATCACCTGGGCTTATCTGTGGTTTGCAGATCTCTCGAACTTAGAAGAACTCGTGAGAGCCTGTGAAGAGATTCGATTGTTCACTCATTGTATGCACCTCGGTCTCTCGAAGAGTGAGGATAAAACACAAGTAATCGATACCTGTAAGTGAACAGAAATATCATGCAAACAAGCTCAGGCTAAACACTATCAGGGGCGGTTGCACGTACCAAAGAAGAATTGGGAAAGGCCTCAGAAGACGAAGAATCAGATACAGACAGCGAGGAGCCTCCAACCAAGAAACGTCGGCTTGCTTTAGACCAAGAAAAGCGTCCCAGTGTTTCAGAAGAAGAAGCCACTCATATAGCCAATAAACTAGTAAGTCAGCTTTACATGTGATATGACCCGGCCAATCTTTTACTGACTTTATCAAGTGTACCGAGCGAGACAATGCCAGTTGCGTGGTCACTGGTTGCCGTGATCCGGTCGAAATCGCACGTATACTCCCAATCGGTCTGGGAATGAAGGAGGCACAAGAACCCCAGAATTTTTGGTCACAACTGTACCGTTTCTGGAGCAAAGAGAGAGTCGATGCATGGATAAAACAGGCTAGAGCCCTAGAAGGGAAAGGGGCCTGCTCAAACTTGCTGTGTATGACGGACATGACCCATAAACTATGGAAAAAAGCGTGCTTTGCTTTGAAACCGCTGTCCCCGAGTGAGGATCGGAGGTCACTTGAGGTGCAATTCTACTGGCTCCCGGTATGTAAATACCGTTCGAGAGTTTCAGCAACCGAAGTTCCCAGTCGTTTCCCTCGCAAGCTCTCCGGAACAGACGTCTATGGACAAGAAACCATGCTGTTTAGCATTGCCACAGACAAGATACTATGTTCGGGGGACATTCTCACCTTCACTACCAACGATCCGAACAGCCACCCCCTTCCATCCATGGAGCTGCTAGACATGCAGTGGGTCTTGAATCGAGTCCTTGCCCTCAGTGGCGCTACCTACGCTACAGACAAAGAGCTTTATGACAATTACTGGTCGAATGAGTGCTCATATATTGATAGCGAGGATGATTTGTACTAAGCACAAGTGAAAGTCCCAAAGGGCTAGATTCTGCAGGAAGGAATAGGTAGTCAATTCAACGAGACCCAAGCGATATATAGTGAGCTACGCGGAGTAGATGGAGAGCGATATATCCCAATGTGGCTTCTTCGGACTGGATGTGAGAGTGTAGCTGAAATAATAGGAATAACTAGAAGCAGGTAGTACGAAATCAGTGCTCTTTAACTTCTTCTAGCTGTTGTATAACTCTGATAATCTTACTCTGCTTTAGCAGATGTTGGTTGATGAACCAATTTTCTTGAAAGCTCTAGCCATGTGGATGTCTGCCCCGTCTACATTCTCTCATAAGTAGATCCTACCTTATAAAACGGCAAGCTGAAGAGTGGAAAGGGTTATCATCTCTCGCTTAGAAAAGGAGCTGACGAGGATAGCTACCGGTAACTACCGCACTGTCGAAGTATGCAGGAGATAGCCGTCACATCAACAGATCTTGCCGTCCCGACTAGGGAGAGATGTGACCGTAGGAACCCCATAAAGCCCCCGAGTCATCTACATCTAAGGTAGCTATCTAGACAAGCAAATGCTCGACAGATGCTAATACCCCTTTGATCTGCCTATGAAAACGGGCCAGATGAATTAAGTATAAAATATGGCATAAGCTGCTGCCAATTCCCTCCATATTTCACAGTCTAAGCACATACTACAATGAATATATCAAACCTTCACTGCAGATTTCACTAATCGCCTCCCATCACTCTACAATCGTTGAATACTGCCCCCTTCAATCTGCGCCTCTTCCCTGAGTACGAACGTACTTTCACAGGGCTTCGAAATTTGAATTTCTGATTCACCATTATACACCCGGTCCTTCCTATAAATTGCCCCAACTTTCCCCTCTCAGAGCAATCAATTCCTTTCTTACTATCTGCCAGACAGCTACAGGCCTGCTTTCTTATTACTCCCTCTATATAATTATTACTTTGTCTATTATACTTCTCCGGTTTTTCCACATCTACCAGGGGAAATATTACTCGTACTGGGAAAGGTTGGAAAGTCTCCATGAAGATGAAAACTACAGTCAACATATCCGAAAGAGAAACGGAACGTTGTTGCTTCCAAACAATTGACACAGAGACATTCAATACCATATTACTAGGTATAACGAAGAGAAAGAAGGGGGTATCTGCTCATATAAATCCAGCAAGGTACATAGCCGTCTCTGTTACCCCCTGTCGTCCGTGCCCAATTGACCAGATGTTCACTGCCACAGCGCAGGCCGTCCCCAATGCCATGTTCAGCCGAAGCTCCCATATGAACGTCAACTTCGAGATCGCGCCCTCGCTTCTAATCGATCCTGACGTACCAGTCGCAGTCGGCCGGTCAATTCTACTACAAATCTCATACAGCCAATTCGAGACCGTCCTCTCCGATAAGTGTGGTTACAGCCGAAATTCAGAAGCCATCCACAACGGGGGGTGTGTGTGGCCCTTACTAGAGCAACCACAACTGCATATCGCCTTCATTTGGCCATCTTGAGTACAAGACAAAATTCGTCATCAGAACCAGACCGCGATCCGCTGACCTGGCGACTATGCAGCTGGGGAAGTCCAGGCAAGGCGTTGGATCGCGCTTTTCAGTGCTGGAAATTGTTGTTCTTGGTATAAAAGTACCGGATTTTGGTCAGAACCTATCTGCTCCGCCGTTGATTGGTAATCGTCTGTGTCTGAGCTGAACATGCAGCTTACACGGATAAAGGGCTCATCACACAATGCAGTCATCTTCCGAAACATTACTCCGTCGCTGTATAGCACAATATACAATATAGCCAAAGAAGGAATAATTTCCCGGTCATTTTCAAGATGGAAGGGTTGTGGCTTGCCACTCTCGAATACGAATGCCGATGATGCGGTTATCGATGCATTCAATGCCGCGTTTACTGCTTCGATAAAATCCTCGAGAGATATATCAACCGTGAAGATCAGTCAGGTGCACTTGTTATGCCAAGATTGGACCCAATACTTCGAGGCTGAAGGCTTACAGCTTCAGCACTATGGTATGTTGGTCTCGAACTCATCAGACAGAGCAGGTGAGAATTCTGTGCTCCCTGGGATCAAGGGGGGTTGGTCGTTTGGATTACCCAATATTTACCAGCAGGATCTCTTGAATCTTGCAACCGGCAGTGACACACGCACCTTGATGTCAATGCTCTTGCGTACGATGCAAGAAGCCACAAAGACTGGAATTCTGTAGGCCACTGCGGGTCATTGTTTGCCTGAGCAAATATGCCCATTGAGGTGACCTTGGATCTGTTTCTCTACCACAAGTTATGGTATCATGTCGAATTATCTTCCCGGTTCTTCAAAGACCAAGAGGAGCGATTGACTCCAAATGATAATGAACTCACTAACGAGTTGGAGAAAATAGAAGTGCCTGTGTGAACGAGGATGTTGAAGCAGGGTATCTACAGTTGCAGATCGGATTCTCTTGGGAACCTGTCCAAAAGATACCATCAGCTTCAATGATGTGAAAAGCACACTCTGGTGTTTTTATTAAACGCGTATTTCACAGGGAGAGGACAAGAACCGTCGATACCGGGTAAAATGGGGATCCTGGAGTCATTTGAGATGTCATCTACAGCATCCCTTCTTATAAGACGTTCCAGACCATATACTGTCAAAGACGTTTCCTTGTTCTCATTCAGAGACACTTTAGGTTCTGGCAGATTCAGTTGAGAGAATGGCGCTTACTTTAAAACCATCAGTCACACCACTATACCTGGGGCACATAGTACAGTTCCTACTATCACTAAGGTATTCCTGTGGATATGCAGCCTACCCGCTCCATCCGGTCAAATCGTGCCATCCTGCGAGAGATCAGGTCTTGAGTAAGATAGACCCATTGAACTGAATTCTTGCTTAGAGACCCATTGCTGCTAGACAGGCCATGCGAGACCAGACTCTCGGTATACATGCATCTTTTCAGACAGTCAACAAGCCCTTCGAAAGTGGTGTACTTATCTCGAAGGAATCACAAGCTTCTGCCACCAGGAGCGGACTCACAGCGGAGCGCATGGGTTTAAATACTGATACATGCAGCTCAGCACTGCAATGAAGATGCCAATAGCAATTGGACGAATTTGATGTCAAAGTCTATTCCGTTCCGAGCCCTCTCAGCAAAATAGCGACGCTCCGAGCAATCAGAAATCTCTCTGGAGTTTGGAACGAAGAAATATTTGACAAAGTGTGTCGGAAATCCGAGGACACAGGCCAGGATAGGCGAATCTTCCGTTCACTCCAATATATCATGCGTCTTCTCCGCAGGGTGGTTGAAGCCCTCGACCCTTGATCGCTTCCGTGCATGTGATCCTGCTGGGCTGCACACTTTCATACTTTACACGAACTTTCTATGAACTATTCATTTTCATATCGGGATCCAATTCTTACCACTTCAACAATGGCTCGTGGAGGCGCCACCGCATGGGAGGATCACATAGCAAACTCAACTACAAGCGAAGCTTGAGCTTGGCACCGGTCTGTTCAAGCTCGCGAAAAGAATCTTGCAAAAGATCACGAGATCATGCAACCAGCAATCCAACAACAGCAAGTGGTTGTGCATATCTCATACGCGGCAAGACCTTGCATGCACCAGGTGACCGCTCATACCACTCCCTAGTAGCCGTTGCATAAAGAGAGATCTACGAGGCTATGATATATTCGCATTGATAATGAGTACTATCATCTGCGGTTCCATTCCCCTTGGTTTGATCCATACAGGAACCCCAATAGAGATGTCTTGGCTGCGTTAGCGGGCGCGATACACTCACAGCATACTAACATCCAAATGATTCGACAGGCACTGCTTTTTGTGTGTTGAACGGCGTCGACACAGCGATAACAGTTTCAAACACCACTCGGTTGCTTCCAACATTTTTCTTTTTCATCGTGGTTGGACCTCCGGACACGCGAAACGAAGTTGCCAATCGCGGCAGAGCCCCTGCTCACTCCACAGATTTCCCGTCATAATGCAACAAAGAAAGAAAAAGAAGACTTTTCTACTTCCACTTTGTTCAGGCTAAGAGGAAAGCCAACTCTACTTGTCCTGGTAGCGACTCACGCAGTAGTTTTCGCTGCAATGAACCACTTACTGGCACTTCCAGTTCAAGTTCTTCAAGGATGGAAATGAAAAGCTCACGGTTTTACGAAGTAGAGCTGTTCTAATACCCAGATCAGGACCTCTGTAACTACTGTTTTGTCCTACATCAGAGGACATGAAACGTGGACTAAGATGTGATTACCTGAACCTCTCCGATGTACATTCATCGGAAAGTAACGAAGTACCACTGCTTGAGACGTATAGAGCCGGGTTAGAATACACATTCGTGCACCGCAGACCACAATTCCCCGAGAATGAGAATGAAGATGGGTATTGCAACATCTTCGATAAGCTGACTACGCATAACGAGTCAAATGTCATCAAGCCGATATTGAAGGATGCCTTTCTAGTGGAAGAGTTCAATATCACGAGGATGTTGAAGAAGTCATCATTCTTGCCAATCAAGAGCCTCCATACACTGTTCTAGTTCTTCCAAAGAATTGAAAGCTTTAATACATGACAAACGAGACCAGCATGACACCAGCCCAGGTAGTCAGCTGGATTTCTTCCCCGTACATCTCGCGGCCAGAAAGAAGCCATCTGTTACCCTACGCCATCTGAAAGCACTCACAATGGAGCTCAAGGATCTCTAAAAAACATGCGAATTATCAGATGGCAAGGTCGTAGTAACGGTTTGGATCTCAGATGCGTCTCGGCTATATATGCTATGCTTGCAGTATCGGGAACCAATTCCTGTATGTTTATTTCAATCTGATTCCTTCTATTTGCTACTGATTACTGAAAAAAGCTAGCACGTCATAAAACGCCCACCATTGAAGCACTACCCTGTCCAGTTGTATTCTTCTGAGCACTGACAGTAAATATTGAAACAATACCCTTGAAGACATCCAGATTGTGGTCACACTTCCACTAAACATCAAAGAGACGATGTGGCCAGACCCGAGCTTCGGCATCGAGTTCGTCGTCGTTGGCACACAGTCTCTTCACAACTGAATTGCCGAGCCTTCTACGTTGAACAAGCGCAAGGACGGGCCCTAGAAAATTGTCTCTTTCATGTTCTTTTCTCGTACGCAGTACTTCAGTGTGAGCCGCTCGCAATGACTCACCACAGATGGGACCTGGCTGCTGGCTTTGCTGTCGTCAAAGTTGACAACGTCTACCGCCCCAATCGACGTGCTCAGTTCATTCTGCTCTGTCTATCTCCGCAAAGCTACACAGGGTACAGGGCTATTCTTCAGTGTCGAAGCCTCTAGTCAGTCTCTTGGTCCACAGAGGCCACAGTACATTATTCCAATTACTACACAGACGACTCTCAACATTTAACGACCAGGAAGGGAAAATTTTCAGGCCCAGGTGGATACTGCGAGAGAAGGTCGTAAACAGTACTTCTCTCTGCGTCCCCATATCACATATGGAGAGCTGACCGTGGAGCCACATTGGATAAGCGCCTTTTAGACAGAGACTTACTACTGACGTTCTTATTATATCGCCATGCAAACCCCAGTTGTCTTCGTGAAGAATGTGTGGGAGAAGAGTTTTGGCCAAATAGTAGGCGCTTCTTAAACGCCAGAAGCCTTGGCTTTTGTTGTCCTGAACAGGCATAACGGCAATTGAAGAGGAGCTTTAATTTGCAAAGTTTGGGGAGGACGGGAATGAGGCACACAAGTGTACTTAGCTAGAAATTGTTGATATTAGATAGAGATACTGGCACTGATCACCATCACCTGGGTGGCGTTTGTGATTGCCGAGGTCATTCCCTTCTCGGATTTGCTGTCTATCTTCAGTTCGCTCTTCATCTCGGGCTTTACTTTCTACTTTTCCGCGCTGATGCGATTTTTGCTGGTGCGTGAGGGCAAGTGGGACACGCCTAAGACTTTGATACTGGAGGTGTTAAACCTGTTTAATTTGATTATTAGCTTGGTGACACTGGAGACTGTATTTATACCAGTGTTGATGATATTATAGATTGTCCTGTCTCTGATTTATCTCTAATATTATAATATTAATTCTTATTTTCGAGATTCTTAACCACCGCGGCGGTTCTGGAAAGGGCGTGTTTACCTGCGCTGCTCCAGAGTAAAGCATTCTTTGTGATTGAATTGGGAGCCGAATCAACTATTTGATCACCATAGATCTCCTACATTCACGGGACAACCAATAATTTTGTCTTACGAGAGGACTCTGTCGGCGCCTCGGTTCGCTTTTTACCTTAGCTTGACGCTACTTAAATTGTCTCGATGATTGGAAGGATTGTTTGTAAGGCGGTTTGCTAAGTCATGGCTGATTGCACCGAGAGCCTCATCTCTGATGTGCGTGTATTTGTAGATTCTTTATGAGACGGATTTCTTGGCTTTCCTGGTAGGGTAGTCCGGAATCTGGCTAGAAAAGACTCTTCAGGGAGCAATTAACATATCCACACGATTGGTATGACCAACTTAGCATCTCCTTTGTCTCAGGCTCACCCAGAGAGATGTACCGGCCATTTGGTCAGCGTCTCAGCTGCTACACTGAAGGTTATCATCAAGCGGAAGAGGCGGCACCTCGGGTTAGCTCTGGTAGCTATAGGCTCGGGCTAGGGTTACTGTGGATACCAGAGTTTGGACAGACAGTGAAGGTACCAAAGCTTACACTGTTGGAAGGCTTACCAAATAGGTGTATTCCTTGTTGTATACCCGAAAGTCCGGCCAGGAAAACTCTAAGCCAAGTTGTTGGCCGATCTGAACTTGGTTTGCGCGGATATAGCATTGCATAGGTTCTGATAACTGTAATATCAAGGAGATGTCGATTATTATACTTGATATGCGGAAAGTGGGCGGGTCGCTAGCTCTGCGATATAATCGCTACTTAAGACCGGCTAGTACGTCGTGTTTGAGTGGAAAAGTCCATGGAGTGCTCTGTCTTTTTTTTCGCTACCCGAAGTCCGATCACGGCTCTCCTATCATATTATCCAATCATGCAATCATCTACAGTTGACCTTCTGTCATCAGACCTATTTAAACATTACTATGAGGATGGCCCTAGGGAGGCGCATCTGGAACGCACGTATCTCCGGGCCAGGGCCTTTGCTCGATTCTGGCGTAGGTCTTCAGTTGTTGCATTTCGGTTATCTATACATTCTGACAATCACCCAGAGCTGACCCCAGATGATGTTCTCCAATTCACACCGAAATTCAGGCGCGCACACACTGATGGTATCATACTTCGGGATATAGCCGCCCAATCCGCATTCAGCGTTCATTACAATCTGGTGGGAGGGACCATTGCATCATTGGCTCCGCAGCGGCCGGACCTTCAGCCGTTACTGAGGCAAATATTCAATTTCGATGTTGTGTATGTGATCGTTGAATAGGCTGCATAGACAATGCTGATGTGATTGTGAGTAGTACTACCTATATGATGACGGAGGCCGGACACGGCTGCGATGCGAGGAATCTCGAGACTATTGCCGTTTGGCAGTCTGATGGCAGCTTTATCCTTGACACACCAACGCCTGCCGCAAGAAAGTATTGTATCACAGTCCACCTTTGAGCAGAAGAATGCTAAGATAAATAGGCTCATGCCGCCCTCCGCACCTCTTGCAGCAGGGATACCACGTATAGCGCTTGTCCTTGCGCGCCTGATAGTCGAAGGAGAGGACCGAGGCACCCGACAGTTCATTGTTCCGGTTAATGATGGGCGACAGATGTATCGGGGAATTAAAGCATGGTTGGTACCCGTTAAATGCACCAAATACCTGGTTAACAATGTCAGGGGTCTTCCAGCTCCTGGAGCCGGAAGGCTACTCGATTTCGTCCTTACAACCTTCGATCATGTCCATCTTCCGCCAACCCCCATGTTAGGAGACCTTGCAAGACCTTCCAACATGCGCGATCAGTACCTCACTGCCATCGATCGGCTGAGCACAGGTGCACTAATCGTCAGTCTATGGGTCATTCCGTTTCTGAAGGGTGCCGCTTTTACTGTGGGCAGGTATAGCCAGCGTCGCACAGTTCAGGAAGGCCTTCAAGGGGAAAGGGTCCCAATTATCTCTTTTAGAACTCAGCAGCTACCCATTGCACACGCTTTAGCTGAGGTTGCTGTACTAGCCCCGTTTGCGGATTGGGTTATCAAGCAACAGAAAAGCCCTTCTATCGGCCCTGGACTCAAACATGCGCTTAGTATTATCTTGAAGGTCGTTTTCCTTCAGCATGGGAGTGAAAGTCTCAAACAATTGAACGAAAGAAGTGGTTCCAGGGGAATGTTTCCTATCAACGGTCTCATGGAGATGGAGGTATAGCCGGGCCTCTTGTATGTCTCGAACCTTGACAGGTGGCTGACACGGCCCTTCTAGACTTATCTTCGAGCTAGCGCTTCAGCAGAAGGAGAAATCTTAGTCCATTCCATTCGTGAGTGATTCTACAGCTTTCACAAATTACACTCATGCTGATGCCTTATAGGCTCTGCTACTGAGTTGCTTCATGGCCGGTTCAGGATACCCGATGCTAAGACGCCAGACTCCCTTTTGGGACGGCACGAGGCAGGGTTCATTGCAGAGATGAAAGAGTCCCAGAAGAGGACCAAAGGTCATAGGACTCCTGAATATAACAGGCTAATTCTACCTCGTTGTCGCCCCATGCTTCTGGCTATAGGCCAACGGATGGCACATGAGGCAGCCGTTGATGCGGGTGTTGATCCCAATTTTCTGGCGCTGTATGAAGCCGGAGCGGTGAGGAACGACTCAAGTTGGTATGTGGAGCAGCTGGGGCTCAGTAGAGCATCCCAATATGATATGGAGTGCCAAGCGTGCGATAGTGTGATGTCGCAGCTTGATAGGCATTTGGACGAATTGGGTATCGAGCCGTACTGCACCGCCCCGATGCTGTCGCCGTCCAGATGGGATAATTTCATCGATACCTGCCCGAAATACACAGGAGACGCAGTCCCTAGCCTGAGTATTGGGGATAACCGAGAGCAAAAGCTTTGATATTATAGAGTGTCCCGCAATTTAACCAATTACTGCGCGTGGAGCCGAGAGGAAAGTTGTATGAAGTAAACGGATGAAAGAGTTGAAGGGGAAGTGGAGATGGCGGTGGAGCTTTGCTGCCTGAGCTGATCGGCTCGGCTAACCCCAGAAGGGTCTAGTGGGTCCTGAGCTGGTCAGTGACGTTGATGGCGTCTCGCTCTTCTTTCTCGACTTTTGGCTCATCTCTGGTTCTTGGTCTGGTCTGGTTCCTGATCCCTTCTTCTTCTTCTCAAGTGAAGTACGATTATCGTATTGAGCTGACTATCTCATCAATTTACTATCTTTATCTTTACATACTATATCCCCGAATTAATCCACGATGGCCGCCTCAGCCGTTTCCTCCGCTGTCAACTTCACCCTTCCTTCCTCCAGTTCTGGCTCTTCCATTAAGCGACCTATCAAGACAGTCTCGAAGCCTTGTTTCGGCTGCGACTGCGGAGACGAAGAATGCGACTGCTGTGTTTGCACTGTGATGTGGTATGTTAATCAAAGACCCTGGTTCTTCAGCAAGAATCCTTAGTAACTCCCATATTTGCAGAACCCACGCTCGTTGCTTTTATAGCCATGTCTATAGCGTCTGAAAACCATCTTGGCTATATACCGAATTTAATGATACAAATGACTTTCAATGGGTGCACTCAGGAGTTTGTTATAAGGATGGTGTCGAAGGCAGGGAGTACATACGTCATTGATGCCACCCCTTGCCGTCCACGTCGATACGTTTTGATATGACTATAGCAAAAGCATAGCGCAGAATGATCGATCTGCTTCAAAATTCCAGCTTTCAAGCCGGGTTGTTCAGTATTAGCTCTATATTCCCTGACTAGTGGATGTAAGGCTTACGACGGGCCTCATGGTCAAGGCCCTGGATACTTCGGAGGTGCCTTTCCTACACTTGTCCCGAATACAGGCTGCAATGTTAGTAGTAACATGTCTTTTTTTGCCTGCTATATGATACCTTGAGATGTGGCACCGACTAGACAATAGCAGGGGACCCCAGACTAGCGTCGTCCGGATGGTCTAAGGCTAAGCAACGATGGGTTTAGCATGCGTGTCCAGCCACATTAGGCTGCATACGCGAGTCATTTTTTAAGACACCTCGTGAGGGGAAACAGTCCGACCCCAAGATTTGAACACCTCTGAGGCAGCACCTGTCTTGCTATTTAGCGCTCCACATATCCGAATCTACATCTTCCACACAAGGATGCCACCTTCAAGCAACAGATTTTCAGCATAGTCCCACAGCACATAAACCATAGTGTACTCAAGATCCTCAGGTATACATGCGATCGGGTTCAACCGGGAAATGTCTCCGCCTCCTTGTTTCGAGATAAGCCACATTCCTAAGCGCCCACAGGTCTAAATATGGGTGATCCAAACGAACTAAGCAATGCGCTAACACTACCCGGCTCAGACTACTGCATGATATAGCGATGCAATGCACTTTTAGGGTAAAGCACGCTACACTGGCGCAAGGCTATAGGAGGGGAGGCCGCTATTGTGTGTGGGTTGGGTGAGGGATGTAAGAGATGAGCAGAGCACAGCCGCATGATAACACTCCTCTTGATTTTCATAGGCATATTCAGTGGTCTACCTTGAATCTGCCTTGCTAATCCCTGTCATTGCTGATCTATTTGAATCCCCCACAGTCCCTCTTTGTGTGATCTGCCTACGTGCGAAAGTTTAACGCTAGATTCTCGAAACAAAGACAACTATGACATCGTTTTTCTCCACTCCTCCGTTTCGTCGAAGCATTTCATTATCTTCATGCTTGACATCAGACGACAATGACGGGGTCGCTGAACCCATTTCGCCTAACGATGTGGCAACTGTTGCGAGTGCACCCGCTCGACCTACAAGTTCCGGGGATCGGAGCCCTTCTGTACAATTTACAGCGAGGCGGGAATCCAGCCGAAGAGTGGCGTCTGTACCTTCACCTGGGCATACGGAACGACCCAGAAATCTCATATCACCGAAGCCTAGAACAGTACAACAATACATATTAGAATCCGATGAAGCCAACCAGAAATCCAACCATCTGCGGCGACTAATGGCCGGCTCTCCCTCTTCACCACCCCGATCACGTGAGGCTCCAAGATTCAGTGGTGGCCCTGTGGGCGATGCCATTTCGCCAGGGGTGAATGATGTATTTCAGGATGCTGTGGAGGAGCAGGTCCAGAGTCCTGCAGAAGATGACAAGCCAGGGGTTACGACAGAGGCTATTCTTTCCAGCATGCACAACATCATTCGGGGATCTTACAACGAAAATAATAAGGGATACGCTTACGTTTACCGGGACAGTAAGGATGAGTGTCAGCGCTTCAAGATTGGATCGACGGATCGGCCAGAAGTTCGCAAAAAGGAGCTCGACAAACAGTGCAAATACGTGGACTGGGAATTAGTACAGGATCCTAAATTGCCTATCTGGGAGTATAAACGACTAGAAAGACTGGCCCACAGTGAGCTGCAAAATTTGAGATGCAATTTCATATGCCCCGGTGACGGTATCAAGCATCGAGAGTACTTCTATGGCTCAAACGCTACTGCCTCTGAGGTCCTCGGACGCTGGTCGCGGTGGTTAGTAGAACACGAGCCATATGACGAGAAAAGCAAGCTGAAGCCTTTCTGGTCCGAGCGCCTCGAATGGTTCACCGCTAACAAAACGGCATCGTTCTATTTCAACTGCAAAAAAGCTGAATGCTCACGGCGGGACTCCAGTCATGCTGCTTGCCAGGAATGTCTTCGGATAGGATGGAAAGTGTGGACAGAACCAACGACGCTCGACAAGGTTAGGTACTACTGTCCTTGTTATGCCAAGGCCATATGGGAGCGCACACCCGCACTGCCTACCTGTTTCCTCTTCATTTTGTGCGGCAGATTGATTGGGCCAATGATCCTTGCTCATTTTCATGATTACGGACTTCGCGGAGAGGTAATCGTGACTGACGTTGTTATATGCATGTGCGCCTTTCTCTGTCACTATTCCCAGAATAAGGCACTTCAAAAGGCACTTCAGAGGGGATCTGGTACAAAGGGCATCGGTAAGAGAGCTACATCAGCTTCAGGGCAATTCTTTATCTCTCCAGAGGGGCACTCCAGCAGGCATGACCAAGAAGGAACTCCTGCGAAGAAGAGAAAGCGATCATAGCAATCTCGGACAATTCATGACAGGGCAAGTCCGGGGAAGGTCCTTTGCTCTTCGGAATAGGCACGGTGAAGTATACGGTGATTTTCAAGACATATCGCTACTATTGACGTGAATATGCTTTATCCACCATTGCAGAGACTATTCACAAGGAACTAGGTTGTCAATCGAACACTAGATGGCAATCATGGCAATCTAGTGTGTAGCTCCGAGGTTGTGCTGTGATACCCACCCGCGATGATGTCAACAGGGTTTCCCGGCCCACCCGGATGTTTACAAGGCACAGCTGAGGAGGCTCGCCTTGCACTGTATCTGTAGATCGGCGTTAGTGATATCAGATCTCACCCAGGAGCCAGGAACAGCGAGTTCCAAAAGAAACTTCCAGCTATTGTGGAGAAACCCAAAACCCTGGGTGTTGACGTAGGCGGTCCGTCACCTGACAGCCAACCCAAACTGCAGCTATCTTAACTTGGGATCCACCGGAAGGTTCGTCACAATCCTCATCTTCTTACCAATTCTCGATTGACGAGATAACGAGATAGTGGGAGCTTGCCTTTTGTCGTGGCGGGTGCTCAGGATTGTGTTGTGTTGAGCAATGCCACTCCCCTTTCCACATCAACAAACTCCGACTAGCTGAGCAACTCATGTTGATCTTAGTTATACCAGATATGCAGCGACCGCGCCATCGTAACAAATTAGCAAACTTCACAATTAACAGTCAATGAGCGACGAGCATCCGAATGGCTTTGGCCAGCCATTCTTCATTGTGACATGGGCCGAGTTTGGACTGGCGATCATCTTCATGATCGCTCGAGGCGTTGCTGCTTCCAAATTGATTCATAACGTGACAATGGACTGCTATTTGGCCATAGTCACATTTGTAAGTACCTCTTCCACCTTGCAATATCGCTGCTCATATTGATATGACAGGTTTTGGGAGCTGCAAGCATGGCGATGATTACAGTGGGGGCTACATACGGGCTCGGCCTACCGCAGGACATGTTAAGTTTCAATCAGAGCAAGATGGCACTACTCTATGGCTGGGTCAACCAGCTTATTGCCCTCGTTGCGATTGGTTTAGGGAAGCTTACCATTGTCGCATTTCTCGAACAAGTCCAAGGCTATCAGACCAAAGCCAGAAGCATCTTTCTCTGGTCTGTGGCAGGCAGCAACCTCGTCCTGAATTGTATCGCTGCCATCCTGATGATGCTTCAATGCTCGCCGAGGAGGATGCTGTGGGAGGCATATGCTAAGGGAAGTTGTCCTTATCGCGGCCGTATACAGATATTTGGCTATATTCAAGGGCGTGAGTGTGTCCTCTCGCTTCATGGGTTCTTGTCTAACGTTGACAGCTTGGTCTGCTTTTTGCGATTTTGCACTAGCATTATACCCAGTTTCTTTCCTTGCACGGGTCCACGCTTTCTCGATAGCGACCCGGATCGGTCTCTGCGTACTGATGGGATTTGGCGTCGTGTACTGCACCTTTCCTCTTACTGGATGATTTAGTACTGACGCAGAGTAGAGCAGGGGCATGTGCAATAGTTAAAACAGTTCAATTGACTGTTCTCACCAAAATCCACGACCCGAGTCGTGAGTGACTGCTGTCCATCAGCTTGCGAGATGAGAGCTAACAGACATTGTAGAACAGATTGGGACTGTCATTGTTTGGAATCAGTGAGTAATACTTGACATCTCTGATACCATCTCTAATAACCAAATATAGAACCGAAATGTGGGTCGTATTCATTGTCAGCTGTATACCGCCGACGAAAGTGTTCTTCAAGCATATATATCGCCGGAGTTCTATCCGGCTAGGTTCATTTGTCGACCAAATGCGGCCCCGGGAACAGGAGATAAAGCCGAATGAGTCGTTTCAGTCTAGTTGATGTGGCCGCTCAGTACGAGGCGTGGTATTTATCAATCAGTCGACAGTATGGGGAAGCTATATTGTACTATATCTGTGTATTTATTCGATTATGATACCATGGCGCTTGGGGACTATTAAGAGAACAATTCAACCGAACTATAGTAGCAATACAGTGTAAGTGGAGCGTAACACAAGACTCAATGCTATCTATGCTTTGTATAAGGAGCATGAAACTTTCCTAACTGCTGTCCGCGCAGCTGATACTTGCCTACTGTTTCAAAGTATCACGAATCCAATCATATGACTCGTTATCAGCACCACATCTCATTCTCACTATTAAGTAGACATATATACACGGTTCACATTCATAGAATAATGAGTCACGCCATCCACCTCAGTATTTATACACCGGCCAATCTCCCAATTAGTGACATATTGCCTCAACTGACATCCCAATGACTCAAACCAATACTTACCCAAAAGAAGCTACCAACGAAAATCCGCCCCCAAATCCAAACATCCAGCCTACCTAATCAGTCCCAAATTCCCGAGATAAACCAAGATCGGAAATCACAAATCTCGTCTTACTCAGCTCACCTCAGCCTTCACCTAGGCCACTAACTCACTAACGAACTAGCAGTAGTAGTCAACCACTATCTATCTCTCCCGTTTCATACTAAGTTAACAAGGGTATAATTTACGGCGTAAAACCTCGTACCCCATTCGACGGCTCGGCAATTCCTTGTACTTTAATGATTGACAATCATGCTGCCCGAGTAAACCGACATTGTTCTATTTTCGGGGTTATTTCGGCGAAACAATATATAGTAGATCGGGTACATACGTATGCTATGAGTTTATTATAGTTAAATCCAGGGGCAAGAAGCGGTTCAGAATTTTGCCTTGATCTGCAACTTGGCAGGGTGATCGTTTACTTTGCTTTTTTTTGTTGTTGTTGTTGTTGTTAGTAAGTACTTTTGTTGGGGGGTTGTTTTGGTATTGGGACTATTAATGGGATTTGACATGTTTGATTGAGTACTAGTGAGTGACTAGTTGTAGGGAAAGGGGGAGGGTTTCATGGCTTTTTTGGGTATGGAGTGCGATTGTTTTAGTAGTAGTAGTAGTGTTGAATAGTTGTCGCTAGAGCAAGTTCAGTTTAGAAATTGTGAAGTGGCTAAGTAGTCATAGCAGCAGTGCAGTTACTAACGTTAAGTGCCAGAATGACATGCGTCATGTTGTGGCACAGTGCTGGTTACTTAGTAGCCAGTACTAGTATTTATTGCTTAGTAGTAGTAATGTGACTAGCAGTAGCTCAAGATATATCTTTCCCGCACACGCATTATGAGTGCGACATAACTAATCATGATTCATACTATTACTCGGGTTCATTGACATGGAAGAATTTAATCCTTATCTTCTTTTTTTATTTTTTTATTCATCAGTCTATACACGAGCAAAAGGGACTAATCAATCAAACTTTCGACTAAGTATCAGCCAAAGTAGTCGGCCCAATGTCTCACTCCAACCGTTCGCAGTGGAACTTTGGAAATGCAGTTCCCGGCCGGAGAAACAACACAACTCGGAAAAAGAAAAAGCGAAAGATCGAATGGCTGTGCGGCATCGTTAGTTATCTTACCCCACCACGCAATCGTCCAGAACTGAACCCAACCACATCCCCACATTAGAGAGGGACCAAGGGCGAGAGAGAGACAAGAGAGAAGATTATAATGACGAAATCGTGCGTATGTTAGACTGGATCACTAACTAGTCAGTTAGTTAGTTTACTTACATGGTTAGTTGATGTGGTTAGTTAGTTATCTAGTCTACAAATGTACCAAGTAGCTAGGCGTTTAAAAGTAATCAAGCCGAACGAAGACCCGGGAGGTGGAGGAGAGAGGGGTTATTTTGCACTTTGTCCAGTAAAACCAAACGAATGGTAAAGCGAGGCTTGGACATTATGCATTTGACATTTCATGGTCCGTTGAGTTTTTATTACACACTTCAATGACCTTTGGCTGGAGCCTGGCGCATTTCCTCTTTCCAGTCAAATCTGTGAATGCGGTGGTGGGCTTTGACCATGTTCCAGACACGTCAAGAGTCTAGACTTACGCATCTCTGCTAGCTAGTTATCTACTAGTATGGGTATATACATCACATCAACCGAGCGCTTGGCTCCCCAGTTGGGTGGTCCGTGATGCAGGGTAGACAGATGGGTTGGTCGTGCATGTTGGTACCTACAGGCTGGTTCATACGTGCGTCGCTGATCTTGGAGGGTACGGTTTGCCGCCGTTGTCTGCTTGGCATTAGCGCTTTGCTCTGGTTGGGTTGGCTGGGACTGCCCTTTCTGGGTCGCAGTGGAAAAGAGCTTCTTCTTTTAGAATGAAATTAATTGATGAATAGCGACTCTAGTTCCCTGCCTGTGAGTGGTAGGACCCAGACTGGGAGACAAGGCTGGCTGAGATAAGGCGCACGATTTGGTGGTGGCGGGTCAGGACTGTCTGCTGATAGGAAATTCCGAAAAAACTTGAATTTGGATTGGCGATGCCACGATCGTACGGCGCTTCTTGCTGGAGGCTCATTAGCACCCCAAAAGTGGATGGCGTAAATTCTCTCAGCCGCTCATTCCTGGCGCTTAAAGCTCGCGTACGTCCGAGGCATGTGGGTGGCGTGGGGAGCAGCTTTAGTCCAGGAGACAAAGAGGGGTCGAATGGGTATCCAGTACGGAGTAGTTGGAGTTGAACTGCGGCCGGCAAAAGTTGGTCATTCGATTGGGGGGAGGGGGTAGTTGGTAAGAGTCGAGAGGAAGAGGCTTCTTAATCTAAAAAAAAAGGGAACTAGTGAAGCCCGTTCAGGGAGCCAGCAGATCATGCGATCGTGGAAGTGTTTCTCACCCCCTCCCCTCCCTTCCTTCCTTCGCTTCCCTACTCATCCCGGTAGACTATGACCAACCCCTGCAAGTCTTAGTAGTTATTAGTGAGAAACCCGATCAGATTGGTAGTATTTGGGAGACAAGGTAGCAGTGCTAACTTGTTTTAAGGTGTTACCTCAACCATGTGGCCGGCTACCCACCTCGAACGGCTCCCATCTCGGCCACATGCGGAATCCTAGCAGGATCAATAAAAGTGCCACAGCACGTGGAGTTTATGACCCGATCGCCGGATCCTGGCTAGCCTGACAGTCAGAAGGGCGTTAAAAGTAGAAATTGTAGTTGAGAGCCTCTCCGATGCTGGTGATGGGATGCAGGCGTATCGCCGGGTGCTCCCAGACTACTAGGAGCCTGCGTGGTCCCCCGGGCCAGGAGGGAGTAAATCCCCCAACGACAGCTGGCTGCGGCGGACATCGAAGCGCTGGACTGTGCACAGTTCTCTCCCTGTCTCCGCACGACGTCCACGAGGGGATCAGGCACCGTGAAGAGCGGAAAAGATCCCAGGCGCTTCGGATGGCGGTCGCCGAGAACGGGCCCCATAATTCAATGACGCTGTTGCCGGCCTGCCAACCAACCAGTCCAAGTGTCAACCGCCAGTGCCCATGGCTTTCCTCCGGTGGAGCAAGGCAGCGAAGCTAAACGGACGGAGGAAATTGGTCAATAGGAATCATGTCCTTGGGTCGTAAACTGAGATTCCTCGTGACACCTAGGGAATTTAATGTATATTTTTTTTTTTCCCTTATTAGTTTTATTTTATTTTATTATTATTATTTTTTTTCCCCCTCCCTCTGTTTTCCCCTTTCTCTTTCTCCATCAGCGCGGTATTTGGAGGGGCGACTTAATTTATTTGACCTTGGGTTTAGACTCATTTCAGCACTTATTGCTCAGCCTTTCTCCCCCAGGAGAACAGGAATTTGGAAAAAGGTGGATCAAGGAGCAGTGCAGTGCCTTCGAGGAGGATTTGTTCGGTTACTCGAGCGTCCGGCGAGCGGGCGGTTAATCCAATTTACATCCACTGCCTCCCGTGAGAGAGCGAGGTTCTTGATCCTGGCCGATCATTTCCGTGGCGGTCAAGGCAATCACAGGATCGGACAATCGGGCGCTCGCCATGCTCCGGACTCTGAGGGGCGCAAATAAACGTGTCACGTAACTGGTAATTGGTAGCCTGCTTAGGGCCGGTCCACGGGTCTGAGTCTGACCGTGTCGGCCAAAGCGCCTCCCTTAGCAGCAACCTTGACCTCATCACAAGTAACCTAGCACCTTCGGACCACCGTTTCACCGTTGGCTGTTTTCAGGACAGGCAATATTCGCGATCCTTCGGATCTTACAGCCCCGACCATGTTGGAAGAATAAGTGGTGAGCTTTCTGGTCCTTCTGTGTCCCTGCATCGTCTCGCACCCAATCTGCTGGTCCCTCTCGCTCCTCGATCATCTCAACCCACACTAGGAAAAAGGGAGAGAAAGAAAAAGGGTCGTAGTAAGAAATGCTGATACCTGGGTCAAGAATGCCTCGGGAACGTGATAATAGCCAGAGAGGATTTATGGAGATTACAGCGATCCTCTGGAGTTGACAGGAGGATCCGTGAGCTTGCAGCGATGCGCCAAGCTGTCGTCACAGAAGGTAACCTTTCGAAACGAAACCTGTCGATCTCCCCAGCGCATTGCGTTTGAGCATGGTCAGAATATAGTACGATGGATGTATCCAATCATGCCCCCAAAGGCGTATGGGAAAAACGGTAAGTGGGCATATGCTCTGCTTGGGGGGCGGCGCATCACTGTGTCTAAGAGGGGGCCATCTGGCGGAATAATCCAGAAAGACCCTTTTTTCTTTTCTTCCGCCTGGTTCTAGTTAGGTCTGCAAAGCCGGGCCATGAAAGGGGAGACGAAGCCAGAAACACGCGATGGCCCATTGTCAGCCCGAAGCGGTAAGAATCGGGATCCATAGCGTGGCTGGCGGCCGCTAAGGCAGTGGGGGCCAAAAAAGAACAGGACAAAAGTTCTGAGCCTGATGCAGTCGCCAGAGGCTAGACACGCTAGACGAAACAATGTTCGGGTCCTATTGCTCAGCGTGTTGCGCGCGGGAAAGCCTCTCAGTGATCGTGGGAGGGAAGGGAATCCTCGAGGAGACGGTTGGTGGTATGGGTCCCCGGCTCCCCCTGCTCCCCTACACTGCAATCCCTGGTAGGAGGATGAGGGAAGGAAGCATGCATCGCCCCGGGGAAGGAATTAATTGAACCGCCCATTGCTTATCGCCATGTGGTTCCGGATCTAAAAGGCCATGCCTCGCTATCATGACGATCTCGCACGACTCCACGTATGTCAGACGGCGTCGTTCGCAACTAGCTATCCAGCCAGGACTGACTTTAGCCCCGGCGGACGCTTCTCAGACCCGCCTGGATATACGAATCAGGGAATTGGGAGTCCTTCGCATCCTGAAATTGGCCCCCAAACCATGCGGATTCAACAACGAATCCATCGACGCCGCCTCTGAAGGAAGATGAGCCGAAACAAATCAGAGCATCACCGGGCGGGGGGCTTGTTAATCATTCACTCGGTTCATGCTACTGGCGGTGACGCTCAACGCCCTCGAGCCTTCTGGGGCTGGAACCGACGTTCTCCTAAAATTTCCCACAATCGATGGTGACTGGGGAGAAAAAAGAGGGAGGCGAGAGGGGGTAGGGTCGAGTAAACTAATCTCAACCGGTCCTTTCACTATGATAGGAGCTTGTTTCTGTTTTCCCAGGCGGCTCTCAGCCCAAAGCCCGCCATCTCCGAGTCTATTCCTCTCGTGGCTCGCGAAAGAAGTGTTGGTATCGATCGACGGACCGGTTAGGGCGATACGATTGCTGATGTCAATTGCAAAGGTCTCCTTTAACCCCGTCATTCCCAGAGTGGAGTAGCGAGGGGACAGGGGGGCGCTTGCAGCCCAGACTAATTCGAGGCTACTGAAGCTGACCAGGCCGGGTGCGATTGAGCTGTTGGGACCTTCACGTGGCGATGGTGCAGGACTATCCCCTATTGAGCACCCTGACTCAGAGCCGGAAGGAAGCATAATCCGACTGGCGTGGCCCATCTTGTCCGGAATAAATAAACTCAGAAAATGAACCGGGTTCGATACTAGTAGTTAGTAGTAGTGACGGTGGTGGTGGTTGTGAGTGGTGATGAAGGCCGACGGCGTTGGGTCACCGTTTAAACGACTAATATTAGCTCAACAATAGGGACATTCTGCAATGACGGACCCGCCAAACACGATGATGGAGATGAATGGTTCTCCATGCTCTACAATCATCAGACCACAAGTGTGGGAAACCTTTCGCTACCAACAATGCGACCGATGGACATGATCAGATGAAGGGGAAGTTTCGTGATGGGATCGTCCCCACGTCGAAGAACCATCCAAAGAGGTAACGCGCAGGTCAGTGGTGATTGTTGGGTTGGAGATCCCAGCGAAGGTAAAACAATAGAATAAAACGAAATAAAATAAAAGAGGGCCCTCTGGCTAGATGGAAGCTTCCGATGGTGGCAGTGAAAGGAGCGCACACACACACAGACACAGGCACACACATACGCCTTCCGTCGAGTGCGCGGGAGAGGATTTGAAATAATTATAATAATAATAATAATAATAACAGTAATATCCCGACCTGTCAAGAAAACCCCATAATCAAACGGGGGAAGCCTTTTTCATTTTTTATTTTTCAATTTCCAGCTGCAAATTAAAAATAGCGAGACAATTCACGGTAATTCGTATACGAAAAAAAATCCAGGATAAGCGTAATTACTATTCCGATCTAGTGGCATAAGCCCAGGTAAAATACATACAAACAGCACCCACCCTCGTTCTCTCTCACGCATTGCTCACCCGCCATAAGCTGCCAGTCTCCAGAAGACGAACCACCAGGTAATCTTCGGCCCCCGTTCGTTGCGCTTATTCGGTCTCTTTCTCGCCTGGCTATCACTGGGCCACCAGGCGTTAAATACTCTCTTCTAGCCGGGCTTCTGGAACACAAAAAAGGGTTATCGAACTGATTTACTTACTATCCATCTACCCGTCCGTCGTCCTGGCCAACCTACTACTACCACACTACTACTTACCTTGACTCCCGTGGTGGATATAGTTGCTGTCAATCCGGAAGGATTCTCTGCCTAAGCCTACTACCTAACTAACTGTATGTCACGTACCCTCATTTGTTTTCCTTCGATCTACTTAGCACCTGTTGGTTTTTGTACTTCTCTCCTCATTTCCCTTCTCTTCCTTCATCTCTCCGGGCGTCTTAAAACTATCCCATTCCCCATCGATTACCCTCAGCATATTTTTATTTTTTCTTTTTTTCTTGAGACTGTCTCCCTAAATAATTATCTTTTCCCCCGTTGTTATCCTCTCAGCTATTGATCGCCTCTCTTGTTCTTGTGATTTTGGCGTTCTTCGATCGAGCACCAATGTTTTCCAGTGAATTCTACCACTCACCAGGCGACTCGTTCGTTCGTCACAGGCAGCTGAGCGATTCCATTCCGCGAAGTTGGAGGGTACCATCGCCAGCATCAGCACCTTTTGTCGTTGATCTTACGCACTCTGATGGTGGTTCGGCTCCGCTAAAGTCTGAGACAACCCCATCAGATACCGCACCTGCGTCCACTCTTCCAGGCTGGCTTCCTGGCACACCGAGTCCTGCTTCAGTCTACAGTTCTCCTGCAAGCGAAAGATCCAGCATCAGCTCAGGAGAAGGACGTAGTCATTTATCACCCCTTCCTCCAAATCAGTACCTAGGCAGAACGCCTTTCCCATCCGAATTCATTTCTCGGGATCTTGAACCAGCAAAGTCATCTTCAAGACTGGTCCAAAGGAGTCCCTCGCAAGCTTTATCACAAATATCACAGTATGTTCAAAAGGCACCTATCTTCACCTTTCCGAGGTACTATTTACTGAAGATGTTGGGCATTAGGGCGTCAGATTCTTCATTATT